TTTACTTGAACGTCATTCTACTATCATCATTCCATCCCAATCGACACGGACCAAGTCATCAACGGAAGAAAGAACAAGAAGAGAGAGAGAGAGAGAGAGTTAATTGGAACGTTTTCGGCAACTATTCCTATTCTATTCTGAATACCTCGCGTACTACCTGACTGGCTCAGCGGGACGTCGCCACAAAACGCTTTTGAGCTTCTTTTCCCCAAGTTTTCCCATTTATTTCTCGACTTCCTCTAACCACTTGATCTTTTCACTCAACACCTGCTTTGAATGTGCCTATTTTTCAAGGTAATTCTTTTTCTGAAACTGAAAGCTGAAAGCCCCCGCCCCCTAACCTTTAAAAACGTCTACTGTCGATGGTGGTGGTGCTGAAAACGGTCAACAAACAAACCGCTTCAAAACGAATGAGCATTGAGTGAGCCTTGAGTTTTTGTAAAATAATAGAACCACTTCCTTCCTTCCCCAAAAATACGATTGAGTGGTTTGCAGAATTAACGAGAGTTTGTGACGGAACAAAAGATGGGGCAGAGCAAAAGTAGTGCGCATTTGGCAACACTACGCGCCAATAGATTTCAGCGGGCTAGGAGGAGGAGGGCGAAAATTTGGAAGGGAGGGGGAGAAACAATACATCACAACTCATTCAAGCGTATAATAGTCACTTGATTAGCGAAAACGTGTGCCCTGAGTCTGACCGCATTGGTCATCCTATTTCCTGCCCTCTACCTGAAATGGCTCCTATGAAAATTAAGAGCTCGCCTACTAAAAAACCAAAGGCAATGTCAAAGTTTAGACGGAAGAAGAAACAGCCACCACCTGACGTAAGACTTTTTTTCGTTTGACAACTTACTTGCATTTGGAACTAGCAAATCTTCATTTCAAAACCAAAAAGTTCCCATTTCACACCAAAATAATGGAATTTCGGTCGACCGTATTCGTGTCGTGGGCACTTCGGAGTGTCCGAGAGTCGCTGATCCAAGTGGATCCTCTGGCCGCTGCCCTCGCTCATCAGGCCCGTAAAGCGAATACTGTTCCGGCCGTCTCAAGAACTCCGCTCCTGCTGCAGTTCACCCCATTCGGACCACCTCCCAGTGCGTGTAAGTCCAACCTCTTCAAGTTTTTCTGCCAAAAGACGTTCTTTAGTTTTCAAATCCTTTTTTTCTGAAAAAATTGCATACAACCAGCTCGCTTTGATTGTTGTCCATTAGCATCTTCTCTGTAATTACACTCCAAGCCCTGTCAATTTTTTGCCCTTTGAGTTCTGTTCTTCAGTGGGGAACATGCAAACATCTGAAAAAGGCAAAAATGTCATTGATAAATGTTGATAGCAGACGTGCAACAGGCCGGGCTGAAAGGAACATCTTCATGGTGGCCCGGACATACAGGAAAAATGAAATTTCTACTGAAACTTTATGTTTCTGGTTTCAACTATCTCAACCTCACAAATTGTGCGATGATTTCCTTTTGAAACGGAAGTGTATGAGCTCTCAGAGCACTATTTCGGCGAGTGCTTCAAATGATCGTCGGGGGAGTTGTTGAATATGAGTAGAATAAAGAAGGCGTGGGGTGGAATAGAGGGAAAGGGTCAAAAAATGGAAGAGGCAGAAGACGATGCTCCCGCCGTCAGATCGTCATCGAGAAAACGAGAAAACGACGTCGACGAGAAATGGGGGGTATATGTTTCGAGTTGAGAAGAAGAAACACCATCATAAACGATGCGGAGCCCCCGGAATGCTTGTCTCGGATAAGTGTACTCATCGGCTTTTACCAACTTGACCAAAACACGTTTTCGCATTTATCAATCTCCGATGATTCCTCCGTTGTTTTGGCGTTCGTTCCGTTCCCTAAAACACATCATTCATAGAGCGCGAGAAGTTTCTTTCCGGCCAGTCTGTCAAGATGCTGCAATCGGTGAGCGCGCACCTGATGGACGAGCGCCGCGGCTCGTATCGAACCGATCGTCGCAGAAGTACTTACGGACATTCGAGTGGCTCGCCTGCTCATCACTCCCATCACAACTTTCTGATGCCCCCACCACCTGTCTCATGGATCGGAACCCAAATCATCCACGACTTTCAACCAACAACTGTGCAACCAAACGAGAACCCGATCGGTTGGGCGGTCTTCAACCCTCTTCCGATTCGAGCACCTCCACCCCGGCCACGCATCCGACAGATACAAATTACAGCAGGTTTGAAGAAGAAATTCGTGACAATTTTGCGTCTCTTTTGATATTCTTTGAATTCAAATTAAGGGTATCGCAAAACAAATTGCAAGAGAGACGAGAAAAGCGGAAAACAAGAAGACTTATGAAGAGGGTGGGGGAGACATAATTATTCTTAGTTTAGACTAAATGAAGATCTCGTGAATTTCAATTTGTTTTCACTTTAAAAACGCTTAATATCCGTTCCTATCTTCATTTCTCTCAATTTTTCATTATCTTCTTCCGACACTCACTCATCTGTCTGCTTCAGTTCTTTTTTGTGCTTTTTGCTCCTTCTCCCACTCTTCTCATTATCTCTTTCTCAAGTAACACCACCACTTGTGTCAATTTTTGTTTTACTATTTCTTGCCTACTTCAGAATAGTATAGTATAACTTGCTAGAGGTTTGGTCAGCTGAAGAACATCAGACTTGCACAATATGTTTAATGATATCTCTACTTCAAAAATCTTGTTTTTAAACAAAGCGAATAGTCCGACTGGCTCAGCAGTTTCAAAAATTCTTAGTAACCTGATACGAATCAGTCACATTTGTAAAGAGAAGAAACCTAAGATGAGCATTCTTCCGACCGAAATCCTTTGGCTCTCATCGTATCTCCTCCATTCACTTTCTTCTTCTGTTTTCACATTAACTAATTTCTCAGAACGATTTTTATGCCTACAGACGTACATAGCTCTCCAAGCGAAAACAGAAGGAGATAAAGAAAACGGGTGCGCATGGCGCGCAAAATCTTTGCAAAGGCTCAATAAAAATTTTGTTATGAAGTCCGAGTCAGCGCCAGTTTGGTTTTGGCTATTGAATGGCGGAGTAATGCGGATCTCAATCTTTTTTATTCGATATAGAAGAAAAAATGTTCGCATGTTGAGATGTTTATTTACTATAGACCAAACATAGCCGTTCTACGTTTCATATTCTTCTTCTTCTTTTTTTTAAACTTCTGAAGTGAGGTCTTCTGAGGTCTTTCCCAATATCATTCCCAAGCAGACATCTTTTGTGTCGAGTTCATTGTGGATCAAATCTTGTTACCTTTCCCGCACTCTTCAAAAAAAAGGGAAGGCTGGATGTGCTTCTCACCCTTTGACCTTTAAATAAAATAATCGACAGAGACGGACAGAATGTTTCAAAAACCGAAACCGAACAGATTTTAGCTCTCAGCTCTCGGCTGTCAGTCTGTGTGTTTGTGTAAGTGTGTTTCAAAAAGCAACAACACCGACTTTTTGTTTTGTGACATCGAGAGGCGTGTGCGATATGAAAGAAAGGCATCCGGAGCATGCAGTGTGTGGCCACAAGAGGGGAGGAAGCGTCTCTCAAAAGTTTAATTTATGTTTACGAGCATATGTTTCGTTTTTGGTCAAAGACGCTGCGGGTCCCAAAACTTACGCGTCCAACAGCGAGCGATTTGTTTTTTCGCCTCCTCGTTTCCTACTTCAGATGCTCTGTGTGTGTGTGTGTGTGTGCCCTTCTTCAAATCGTTCTGTAATTAAGTGGAGGGACTCTGAGAGTTCTTCCATTCTTCTCCATACCACTCACATCATTGGTATCTCATTTTTTCGAGATAAAAAGAGAGGAAGGAAGGGCACCACCACCACCATCATCACCACCACGAGCGTCGTTGACAAGATGAGAAAAAGAAGAAGAAGAAGAAGAAAAAGAAGAAGAAGAAGAAGAAGGGGTGCCCCTTTGGTGGTGGTTATGGTGGTGGTGGTGGTGGAGGCGCCGAGCCCGACGGATGTGAATCTCTAAACAAAATGTAACTTTTCCTTTCTCTTTTTTGCTGGTTTTGACACTTTCACGCCCTTGTTGTGGTGATATAAACGAGAAGACAACAAAAAACTTTGTTTCCAGCCGCACCACCCTCGCCCACATGGGCCATCCGAGGGAACGCCACAATGACATGGGCATTGATCCTTTTTGCTTTTCAAGTTTCTCTCAAACAAGTATCTATATTTGAACTTTTCATGCCATCGTTTCATGTCAAATTTTGAAATCCTTTCACTTTTGTTTATTGGGAATCTGACTTGAGCCACCCCCCGTTTCGCACTTCAAATAAGATGTTATTCTAGACAAACCAGCGTAGGCTAATGTAAGTTTAAGTTTCAAAAGTTTGCAAGCCATTCTTTCCGCCTTGCAACAAAAAACAACACAAACAGACACACAGCGTCTGTCAGCTTATTTCGTTTGTGCATTTGAACACCCCCACAATTTGGACGGAACAATTTACGTTTTCGTTAACTTTTTTCTTCAAAACCGAACCCAGTACCAACAATTCGGCAGCAAACACCTCCACTAAATCTTTATCGAGCCTTTAGTGCATCAAAAATTATTCACTTTGGAAGTATGTAGTCGGACTCGAACTTTGTGAGGGGTCACCGCCAAACTACCAACCCATGTACTAGCTCATCTTTTCCTTTCCGCGCGAATAATTCGGAGCATAAGTCTGCAGGCCGCTAAAATTCAAAAACCGATAGACTCAAAAGAATATACTTGAAAATTCCACGCTCACTAGTGACTACTACTCATTGTCTAAGAATAAACCTGTTGGAACTTTGAAGTGCAAAACAAACCTTCCAGGATGTGGTCTTAAGTTTCCCCTTTGATTTTTTCAAGTTTTACTTTCATCTTACGCAGCTCAACGCTTGAATATTGTTAACCCATGATTTCGATTTCCGTTCACTCTGTGTACCTCTCGAACATCTCGAACCTTCAGCATTCGGTCATTCTTGTATCCTATCCCACCGTCGCCGGTTTTACCGACTCGCGCGGTGACACCAGCCAATGTTCCTCCGCAAATTCTGGAACCAATGGACTTTGGAAGAGAATGCTCGGCGGATGACCATCACGGTCTTGCCGACGGGCACCAAGAAAGTCCATTTGAAAGAGTCGAACGAGCTGGCAGAACTCTATCCGGATCGTCATGACAGAGGTTGGTATGCCATTCTTGTTTCTTTTTTTCTAATCCCGTTAAAGTCGTACAGACGTTCGTCGGTGACATCAAACTGATCCAATTGTATTATTTCCCTTGTCTCTCTTCCTCTCTCTCTCTTCAAAGTTAACTTGGTTATCCTGCATGTACATGCCAAAATAGCAAGTCCCAGGGACTGAAATAGTAGGGGGGACTCTCAAGAGTGCAATCACAATCATCTTGTCGACCCATATTTCCTCCAAGTCAAACTAATAGACTGCCTAATTTTTTTGACCTCTCAAGGGGTTCGCTCCCCTTTCTCCAGTTCCGCCTGAATCAAACTTTTGGTGTTTCACCGCACACATGTCCGTTTAAAATTGACACATTCTCAACTGCACCATCATAAATCATGCAACTCTATGTAAAACCCGAGCAAACATTTTTTGACAAGTGTGCCCGACCCCCCACGATTCTTTTCCCTAAATGCACGATAATTCGGGTCCGAATTCAAGAGGGGCGGTTTTGCGCAAGACATCAAAACCCGATCGAACTTTTTTCCGGATTTCGGAAAGAAGCGGTGGGAAAAAGAAAGTTATTGCTGGAAAAGAAAGGCAGGCCCAGGACGTTTTTTTTTCGGTGCCGAATGTGCTCCCACATTGATAAATGACATGCCCGACGCCCATCTTGCCGTTTTTGGTCGGCCAAAAAAATGAGGTTTTCTCTCGAGGCGGACGACTCGCAATACACATTCCAGGATGATTCTAGTCAAATGATCCTGGGAACGAACGATGGAAAAAAGGCGGAATGAGCCAAATGAGAGGTCTTACCCGGATGAGTGGTTGAAATATCATCAAGTTTTTACGAATGCGTGAATGAGAAACTTTCTAGTGAACTAATATATCGTATGCTTTATGAGCGCATTCAAATTAATTGTTGATCTTTTTGTATCTCACAATAATCATTGGCACTAAGAAGCGCAGCTATAAGAGAGGCACCATATTCGGCGGCCGTTTATAAATATTTCATTAGTCAGTTTTAATTAGACTACGAATTGGTTGCCCTTCTCCACAATTCCAACTATTTCCTGTGCCGCTTTTGGTGTCGCCGATCCGCTTCTTCTTAGTTTTTACTCAATATAATTTTCGTCGTATTCTCTCGGACCGCCACAATTTGTTCTGCATAGGAGAATGCTCATTTTTCTAGGAAAAGAGATGTAAAGTAAAGAATAACTTTTTTTTCAGAATATAGGCTTTCCGCAATGATGTTGTATTGCAGATGTATAAGCCTGATAATGGTCGCCATACTCATATCCAAAAAAAACGTTATGAGCAACATTAAAAACGCATGTTCCCGATTGGGATTCTGAAAGTACGGAAGACCAATGATGTTTGTACATGCATGTTTCCGAAAAAATATAACCTTATTGAATTTGAACAAATTTTGAACCAAACCTTCTTCTTCCAACATTAGCGGCACACATCATTTTCCGAAATAGTGCTCCGGTCTAGTCGACCACTCGTAAAGTAAAAGACTATCAATCATGAAAGCAAAGTGAGAACCAAAAAAACCGACCTTTCCTTCCGATTTTCGAGCTACACAGGAAGTGTTTTTATATAAAATGTAAATTCTTAGAAAACAAATTGTACTTTCGATATTTGAAGCTAGTTACCCTTCTCATCCCCATTACTCTTTGTGGTCATTTGTTACATCAAGGATCCTCTCTTTCTCTCTCTCTCTCTCTTCTTGTTCTTTTATTTTCCTTCTCGTCTTCAAGAACCTTTCCCTTGTCTGTACTAGTCGTGCGGTCACTAAGAACAGAAAGCCTTCTAGAAAAGTTGAAGAAACGCAAATATAATTTGGTTTCGCAGAGGAACGACACAAAACTAACTAACAGACAAAAAACGGGCCAGACCGCCTGATGGTGTCGTTTTTCTTTCGGAAGAAATGTGCTACATCCGCTGCGGTTTCACATTATGACCCCATTTGTACATTTCACTGTTTTTCCACCTTTTCCACTTTCAAGACATATCTGATGTCCGAACAAATTAGCATGAGATGAGATGAGATCTAGTAAAACAGTTTCGTACATTCGCATTTCAAAGTAGTGTCTGAGATGTTCTAACTGTCTCAGAAAAAGATGAATTCCAGACTTCAGGTGAATGAATTATAATATTCTCGTCGTTTTCCTGACCACTCATATAAACAACACTACCCGAGTTCCCAGTAGTCTCTGAATTCTTGAGCAGGACTCGAATGATTTTGTTATTCATGAGTTATCTTCATTGACAAGCACGTCGTTCTCACCCTACCATCTTTATTTTCATAAACCCTACAGATGTTTTGGTTGCAACTTACTTGAAGTGATGATATTCTCACAAGCGTTCCGAAACGAGCAATTCAGTCCGGCGGTTGCTCTGTTCAGCGCCGCCGGCCTTATAAAAACGACTGCCGGAATCAAAGAGGAAGAAAACGAGCAGCAAAATAAGAAGAAAGGTGATTACTAGAAAAATGAGTGGAGGATTTAAGAGCATAGTTCCGACGTGATTCCTGACCTCTGCTTTCCTTTTTCCTCATTCGATTGGATTGTCTCTGAACTCGCTCAAAACATGAACAGATTGTGTTTGCCGTTTGCGTGCCAGCGCCGTTAGTTCCTTCTTTTTCTATAATTACTGACTCTAATCTTGCTTTTTGTCTGCAAACCGCGACCCAACAAAGCAAAAAGTTTGCACGATGTACTTTCAGTTGAAACTTTTTTGGAGCAAATTTCAACAAAAACACAATTTAAAATCAAAATCACAACTAATCCAGTCCCATTCTTGAATTTCTAATAGCTTTTTTCTTGTTTCTTGGACCACCTCTTGCATCGTTTTAGTATTCATGCAAGTGTTTCTAGTCCTAGTCCCTGTGGCTTGTTTCTTGATTCCCCGGTTCTCCGGGAACGAACATAAAACGAATATTTTTGATAAATTGAGCTCCTTTTGACTAGCCGAGTATCTAAAATGTATGTATACTTCTCAACGGAAAAGAGTGATAGCATTTTTTGTTTGACGGGCGACAAAGCCAGCACCGAACAAGTACATTCTCAGTTATTATTCTTGTTCCAAAAACAACCGCAACCACTTTCGTTTAAGTGATTTCAAGAAGCTAGATTTATAGTCCCTCGAGGATTGGTCCTATCCGCTACCTTTATAACAATTTTATATGGTCCCGACCTTTGCAGCAAGCACCTCGCACCCAATACGCGCGGCTGCCTCTCATTTTAAATGAAAACACCCTGTCTCCGATGGTGGTGATTTCTCCGTTGCAACTTGACGCCGAGCAACTTTGTCACAAGTTGAATGGACTACAAGGTTACTTTTTTCTCGATTCACAGCTCGTACGAGTCAAGTACGTACTTATCAACTTCTCTGTCCGTATTGGGTTTCAAGTAGATGACCGACGTTCTCATGTTCTATTTTGAGCTTGACGCTTTCAAGATCTTGATGGAACTCAGTGTATTGTAATGAGATGAGAACGTTAAAATGTATAATATATTCTATATCTGTACTGCACTTGTATTGCACCAAACTGCCACCAAACGCACCCATGCCTAAAATCCGTTTACCATCAGCCAAGAAAAGAGCGTTGAGATAAGAATCCAACTCTTTCACGAAAAAAGTTGAGCAAACTTATTGAAATTGAAAAATTAACCCTCTCCGACTGGGATTTCATTCTTTCCCGCCGACTCTCGGCCCCAATGTGCTAACTTGAGACGTTTTTGGCTAGGGATGCGACGACAGCGTGCATATTTGCCCCCGCCCTTCTTTCTTCACGCTACGCTATGCAATTCACAAAATGCGAGCATACGCGAGAAACTGATTTCAACTAGCTTCAACCTCTAACTATGTTTTCCTACTGACTACGTCCGTCTGTCTGCCAATTATGTTTTTCTACTCGCCGAACGTCGCGTCGTCGTCTCAAAGTAATCGGAGAGCCACTCTTACCCATCAACATCATCTCCATGTGGGACACTTAGACACCAGGCTCTCCGTCCAAATCCCAGAGATTTTGAGTAGAACTCTTGGCGATTCGGAGAGAGAACAACTGGTCCCGGAGCAACTTCGATTTGTGAATGATGAGAATCAAGAGATCTGGACTACGTCACAACCTGCCCTTCTGGAGCTATGTGCTTCTCCCGTCTCTTCTGTTTTCTCGACGACAGAGCACCGAAGAATGAGCCAACGGAAACTTGTACTTCGAAGACCAACCATTTCTATTCAGGAAGATGGGAAAATCATAATTGGTCAAAGCCTAGCATCACATTTTCCTATTTTCGTGTTTTCAACTTCAACTCTCTTTTTTCAGATCATGTGACAGCTCGGTGGGATGGTGCTCCAATCAATTCTCAGTCGGCTCTTCTGGATGCAGATGACGGTGCGACAGTCATCACAGACACCATCAAAGACGACCAGGACGACAAGGAGCCGAAAAGTTGTCCGCAGCAAACGGTTAAGGTCAGTTTCCCACCCTTTGTATATTTTTCACTTCTACGAATAGTCTCCCAAAAAGGCCACACTGAGACATTCATGCCTCCTGAGACATTGCTTGTTCGCTGGGAACAATGGATGATCAGTGTTCCCGGAAATTCTGGTTTGGCAACATTCTTTTGCGTGCCACAATCCCACCGGCAATAAATTTTGAGCGCCGCCGAAAAGAGACTCGCTGGAGCATTGAAAAGACAACAATTCATAAGGGGCGTGGAAGGGCATGTTCAAAAATGAGAATCATCAGTAGTGAAATGACATTTTGCAAATCTTGAGCAGGAAGCAGTGAATGTGCAATCACGTCATCCCAGACAGCATTCTTATGTTAAAAGCGTTCAAATATGAATTATCATGTGAATATAAGATTGACAGATACTTTTTTGCTACTTGGAGACATGCCCATTGTTTCTTGCACAACATTGTTGCTAGTAACTACATAGTAATGCAACGCAGAATTGCATATAATGATGATCAAGAGAAGGTAACATTTATTGACCTAAAAATTGACAATTACCCGGTTGCAATCCAATTGCTTTTCCAATTTTCAACCTTCCAAAACTGATACCCAATTTAATTGACCAATTAGAAAGTTGATCTAAACAAAAACACAACAACCGGTTGAGCTTTGACTTGACGTAAGGAAGTCGGCGGGTGAGTTCCCCGGGGAATCACTACACACATATCCATATACACCCATCCGCAAAAATAACGGATTTAGAAAGCGGGGGGAGCGCAGCGTAGACTGCGTCGGGCGCATAAAAATCAAACCCCATATGAGGAGGAGATAGATTGCCTCAAGTACAATGAAATGACTGATGACCGGAAAGCACTCCTTGTTGTCTTTTTTTTCGCCGCTTTCAAACAATTTGAGGCAAAAAGGGAGGATACCAAAGAAGAGGATATATTTTCAGTACATCAAAATCCTCACACCTCACGTGATCTTGGTGTCGGTGCTGATTGGATACCTCTGCTTGGGAGCCTGGATTCTCATGTTATTGGAGACAAGAACTGAATTGCTCGCCAGATCGAAGAAACTTGTGAGGTATGTTGGGAATTTCAAAGCGAGGCGCTCAAGTGGTAATGCTTTGCAGGTTAACAAACTTGATGTCAAACTTCACGGCGGAAAGTTGGAAGATGCTGAGTGACGCTCAACACGGGATGAGTACAATGGATGAGACTCAGTGGGCAGCCACGTTTCGGGAATGGATGGTGAGAGTGTCGGAGACGGTGGACGATCGAAGACCGATCCGAAGGGAGTTAAACCGGCCGGATGATCTCTCGAACATGCATAACAAATGGACTTTTCCCACTGCTCTTCTTTACGTGCTAACCGTGCTGACAACTTGCGGTAGAACAAAATACGTGTCTTCTGGTACTATAAGATTGATTTTTTAGGTTATGGAGAAGTATCAGTTGACACAGACGTCGGTAAAGTGTTCTCAGTAGCATTTGCCCTTGTGGGTATCCCACTCATGTTCATCACGGCCGCTGATATTGGTAAATTCCTCTCCGAAACACTGCTCAAATTTGTCAGCTTTTGGAACAGAAGTGTTAGAAAAGTAAAAGTGAGTTGATAGCGAGATAAACACAATGTCTTATAACATTTTTTAGCAATGGATAAGCCGTGTTCGTCACGGACGACGAAAGTCACTCCAATCGACAGGCGGACAAAACGATACCCTCGACATTCTGGGGGTTGATGGAACCGAAGAAAAGCTGTGGTTCCCCATAGGTACCTTTTTGTTCAGTTTGCTGCAGCCAACATATTCTTAACGGCGATGAGTAATTGATTTCTAATTTTGTTATCATAACAGTTCCAAATGGTGAAAGAACGAAATTATGGTTTCCAATCGGTAAGGTTCAGTGTTCTGTCTTTCTCCTTTCTAAAAACATTTTCATGATCGTTCAATTTCATTCATTAACAGCCAATGTTGTCTATCAGTTCTATTTTCTTCCCTTCTGTTTCCAAAGTCTCTTTGTATCTGTCCGTACCTATGTCACTTTTCCGATTCTTTCGTCCATCTGTGTTTCCTCTATCCGCGTTTCTCTTCACTTTTTCCTCTGTCAACATTCAATGATACCCTTTTCACCTCACAGAGTATGGTGTTCTATCACAAAGAAAGTGTGTGTCAGACTTGAGAAAACTGATCATTTTCAGGTGCCTATGTCTCCTGTATCTGCTTGTATTGCTCAATGGGTTCTGCGATGTTTATCAATTGGGAAAGGTAAGAATCATGGTGAATTTTATCAACTTTAATTTATTTCAGAACCTGGTCTTTCATCCACGCTTTCCATTTCGGTTTCAATTTGATCGTCACAGTCGGTCTCGGTGACGTTGTCGTGACGGATTATATCTTCCTGTCGCTCATTGTCGCATTTGTTATAGTTGGTACGTTAAAATCCGACACCTTTTTTGGCATCAACCTCCGATTTTCAGGTCTCTCGGTGGTCACAATGTGCGTTGATCTCGCATCAACTCATCTCAAAGCGTATTTCACCAGAATCCACTACTTCGGAAGAGCCAAACGGTCGGTTTGAGCGGTTCAGCATTAAACTGATTTCCTACAAAATGATTTTCAGATTTTTGGGAATGAGTGAAGAGCTCAAGGAAATTGTGGCTTTGCTCGGCGCAATGCGACGGAAAAAGGGCGGCAAAGTGACGTGGAATGACGTCCGAGACTTTTTGGACAACGAACTTCGTGACCGTCCGTTCGAACCTCATGAGCTTCTCATGAAACTGCGTTTCATCGATGAAACATCCTCAGGTAAACCTGACCATTTCAATCAATATGAAGTGTTATGTTTAGGAATGTCGACGATCCGTCACAATTCGTTCCAATCCGACTTCTTCCGAGAATCCGAGTACATCCGACGAGTGGCCGCTCTGAGGCCGGAGCAGCCAGCATACCTGTAATGGATCGTCAGAGAACATCAAAAATTCCTATTTTTACCACCCTCTCCTCTCAACAAGCAATTTTTAGGCTTTTTTGGAATTTTGTCTTCTCTCTTTGCCTCAATTTTCTCTCAATTCTTTCGTCGAGGATACTATTGTCAACTCTTCCGAGAACAATTTGAAACGGGATTTTCTAATTTTCATCGTCGCTTTATTTATTTGATCAATCTGACCTGGATTATCATGCACTTCTCTTCCGTTAATTCCTACAATATCCGACTTTGGTTTGATAGGGCCTTTCGTCAATTCTTTCACTCTTCTGCCAATCAAACTATTCTCAATTTCCCTAAACAATTTCAGAAACAAACGAACCCGATCTTTCAATGCCAAACACCTTTTCGTATAAAAAAATGTCCTATTTTAAACATTCATTCACCAATATATAAAGCGAATTTCAAAAATGACAATTCGGGGGATACATTATGATTGTATGGAGCGATTACACAGGCTAGACATCTAGCTAAATAGAATATAATAAAAATGGCAAAGAACAAAATTAATGAATGGAATCAGATGGCGTTCTTCTGCTGGATCGTAGCTGTGACAATCCCTCCCGGTCCGGCCAGGGTCGTCTTGCCCATCAGGTACTCGTCCACTTGGCGAGCAGCTTGACGTCCTTCATGGATTGCCCACACAACGAGCGATTGTCCCCTGCGGCAGTCACCGGCAGCGAACACCTAAATTGAACAATTAACAAAACGTAAATTGCTTTTGTTTACCTTGGCGACATCCGAATCGTACTTGTCTTTTGGCGTGAGAATGTTGGAACGCGGGTCCGTCTTCAGGTTCAGCTGCTCAATAACAGACTTTTCGGGTCCAACGAATCCCATGGCCAGAATGCAGAGATCGCATTCGATGACGCGGATCGAATCCTTCTTCTCGACCAACTTCCAGGCGCCCTTCTCGTCCTTCTCCCACTCGACGTCGACAATCTCGAGTCCCGTGAGCACTTGGACTCCGGCCGCATTGATGGTGGTCAGGAATCGCTTGGTGGAGACCGAGTAAGTTCTCGGATCCGATCCGGTCTTCTCCTTGGCTTCCTCGTGTCCGTAGTCAATGCGGAAGATGAGCGGCCACTCCGGCCAAGGATTCTCCGGCTTGCGGCTGTCGGCTGGTTTCGGAAGGATCTCAAACGCTCCGACCGTCTTGCATCCCAATCTGTTGCTGGTTGCAATGCAATCAGTGGCAGTGTCTCCTCCTCCAAGGATGATCACCTTCTTGTTGGCCGGGTCAAGTCCCTCCCAGGCGACATCGTCTCCAGCACGGCGACGCTGACTTTTCTCGAGGTATTCCATGGCAAAGCAGATTCCCTTGGCTTCACGTCCTTCCACAACAAGATCACGAGGGGTCGTCGAGCCAGTACAAACAATGATTGCATCGTTATCCTTGAGCAGGAAATCAGCCGGCACGTGCTTGCCGATCTCAGTGTTCGTGAGGAATCTCACTCCCTCTTGCTCCAAAAGAGTGACACGACGGTCAACCACAAACTTGTCAAGCTTCATTGTAGGGATTCCGTATCTGCAAACAATTACATAGTTAGGTAATACAGAAAAAAGTATAAATAGTTTTACCTGAGGAGTCCTCCGACACGGTTCTTGCGCTCGTAGACAACAACAGTGTGCCCGACCTTGATGAGCTGAGCAGCAGCTCCCAAACCAGACGGTCCTGATCCAATAATGGCAATTCTCTTTCCAGTGCTGAATGCCGGTTTGCACGGCTTCATCCACCCTTGCATGAACGCGTAGTCGATGATAGCGCATTCGATGGACTTGATAGTGACCGCGGGCGATCCGATTCCAAGAGTACAGGCACCCTCGCATGGCGCCGGACAGACACGTCCCGTGAACTCAGGGAAGTTATTGGTCTGAAGGAGTTGCTCAAGCGCCTGACGCCAGTTCTTCTTGAACACGAAATCATTCCACTTTGGAATAATGTTTCCGAGTGGGCATCCAGAGTGTCCTTGACAGAATGGGACTCCGCAATCCATGCAACGAGCAGCCTGCTCGCGGATGTTGCTGCGGATCGCCTCAAAATCGTAGACTTCATCCCAATCGTTGAGACGCGTTTTCGGGTCACGGTAGATCTTCTTCTGACGGTGATACTTGACGAATCCGCGAAGCTTGTCGAGTGGTTCCTCCTTCTTGCGAAGATGAGCCGGAACTCCGAGGCTCTCAATGTCGACGCTCGGTTTCTTCTCGACAATCTGAAAAAAAGATACGTTGGCTGACGTCATCTTTGTTTTAATCTTAGAAGGACTAAAAAATTCACTTTGCAGGATGTGCGTTCACGAAAAAAGGAAGGAACAGAAAGCGTGACCCCGAGAAAGTTAATTACAACAAGTCACGTCATGTGCCGTCTACTTTTCACTTTTCAATGCTGCTACTCCAAACCTCCATGTTTCTTTGTTTGAAGTCTTCTAATTCACTCGCCTCTTCTTCATCAGAGTGATCGTCAAGATCAGACTTCGTGTCCTCCTCCTCCTCTTCCAAATCGGCCGCTTCTTGCAAGTCCTCCTCATTCTCGAATCCGGCCAGATCCTGCGGGCGCAGACTTTTCGACAGACGACGTTGTTTGCGGTTATCACCGAGCTGAAAAGAATATAATTATTTCGGTTTTGTCAAATTTAGTTTCTAATACTACATGCACTTGGAAGATCGGGTAAATTCTGTAATCCAGTGCGCGAAATAAGTTTTGGACTTCCCTAAATATTGAGCTCCCAGAATTTGTGAATGCCACTCGATTTGGCTTAAAAAAGAACACTCAGCCAATTTAGCTTGACTTCGAACACACCCCCGGTTATACAACGAAGAACAACTTACTTATATTTTCGTACCCCAGACACTACTACGGTTTTCACTAGTTTCGCTGCCGAAAAACGATTATTTTGTATGGCAAGCCCGATGGCGCTCATTGATTTCCCATTTCTCTTCTAGTTTAGATTGGATGCTCTATATTCAGGGTGTGCTAAGCTTTTCTCGCGCACTTTTTTCATTGAATACCAAACGTCTAGAACAATCACGACTACTTTTGCATCTACACAACTCTACCTTTGGAACCTGGAGAGAATTTTTATCCTGTAACGGGAAGTTTGACTTCTAACATCTTTACGTTCATGTTGACTGATTACGGTTCTCACACTTACCAAGCTCTTCTTTCTCGAAGTCTCCTTTTGCTTCTTGTGGAGACGGATGGTCGGGGCAATCTGCATGTCCATCGACAAAGTTCTCGTTCTTGGCTTCGAGTCGTCCACCGAGAGCAGGCTCATATCCAGATTGGCCTTCTCAATCTCGGCCTCCTTCTTGCGGGCCTCCTCCTGCTCTGCGAGCACACGCTTGTAATCGCGCGGAAAGACCTTGATTAACTTGAGATGCTCGCGTTGCCAGTTGCTCAAGATGCGTTGTCCGAGCTCCGAACCGGTCAGCTTGACAAACTCCTCGATCTTTGATTTGACAAAAATGAGATCTTCGGTAGTGGCATCATCGAGATCGACGGTAGCCGAGTTGACCAAACGGGCAAAGTTGTCCTCTCTGAAAAAGCAAGAATTAGAATCAAAAAAGTTGAGCCGTAAAGTGTCTCACTGGGAAAAGAGATAAGCGATTCCTCCACTCATCGCGGCGGCAAAGTTTCTTCCGATGGTTCCGAGCACAATGACCCTTCCTCCGGTCATGTACTCGCAACCGTGATCTCCGACGGCTTCAACAATGGCGTTGGCGCCAGAGTTTCTGACGGCGAATCTCTCTCCAGCAACTCCGCGGAACCAGCAGTCACCAGAAGTGGCACCGTAAAGAGCGACGTTTCCGATGATCGAGTTCTCCTCCGACTTGTAGATGGCGCTCTTTGGAGGGAAGACAACAATCTTTCCACCAGACAGACATTTTCCGACGTAGTCATTGGCGTCTCCTTCCAAAGTGATACTGACTCCCTTGGCCAAGAAAGCGCAGAAGGACTGTCCGGCATGCCCCTTTAGATTGATAGTGATCGAGCGGGTTCCTTCGAGTCCGAGTTCGCCATATCTCTTCGAGATTTCATACGAAATTCTCGTTCCAAAGGTACGGTCCAAGTTGGTGATGAGCTGGTTGTCAAAGATTTTGTGCTCTCCGGCCTCGCTGAACACTCCGGCAATCTCAGTGAGCAGCTGGGTCTCCAGCGCTCCCATTTCAATGACCTGCTTGACACTTCCTCCCTTGATCGAAACATTCGGGAACATTTGCTGAGCATTCTTCAGGATGGATCCAAACTCCAACATCGTTGCCTTCTTGTTGACAGGATTCGGAGAGGCGTAGAGAAGATCAGTGCGTCCGACGGCTTCTTCGAGCTTTCGGAGTCCCAGTTTGGACAGGAAATAACGAACTTCCTCAGCCACCATGAACATGTAGTTAATCACGTGCTCCGGTTTTCCTTCAAACTTGGCACGAAGAACCGGATCTTGGGTGGCAACTCCGACTGGGCAAGTGTTCAGATGACACTTTCTCATCATAGTGCATCCGAGCACAATAAGCGGTGCAGTCGACATTCCAAATTCGTCAGCACCGAGAAGAGCAGCAATCATGACGTCACGTCCAGTTCGGATTTGTCCGTCGGCTTGGAGGACCACACGGGAACGCAAGTTGTTCATGGTCAGAACCTGGTGAGTCTCGGCCACTCCCAACTCCCATGGCAGTCCGGCGTGTTTGATTCCAGTCCAGCTGGACGCTCCGGTTCCTCCGTCGTGTCCAGAAACGGTGATGTGGTCGGCATTTCCCTTAGCCACTCCGGCAGCAATGATTCCAACTCCGGCTTCCGAGACGAGTTTCACACTGACACGAGCCACCGGATTCGCACATTTCAAATCGTAGATAAGCTGAAAATTTAATTATTTTTCTTTTTTTGTGTTTGTTTCGCTTAGTTTTCACAGAATAGATTGGCGGAAAGAAAAACAAAAAGGGCAAAACTATCTCGACTTGCGATCAAAACGTTGATGTGACCAAGAACACGTCTAATCCAATCTCACTTGTTTTCTATTCAAATAAGGTTTCAGTTTTCTTTTTTCAACGCACAAAATGTGTTCAGACCCCTTCGTTTTTATGCGCATTTCATTTCCAAATTTATCTAACCTGAGCCAAGTCCTCAATACTGTAGATGTCGTGGTGAGGTGGGGGCGAAATGAGGCCGACTCCAGCAGTGGACTTTCTCGTGTCCGCAATGTCCTTGGTGACCTTGTGTCCCGGCAACTCTCCTCCCTCTCCCGGCTTCGCGCCCTGAGCCATCTTGATCTGCAGCTCGTCGGCGTTGGCCAGGTAGGAAGAAGTGACTCCAAAACGAGCAGAAGCCACTTGCTTGATGGCGGAACGCAGGTTCTGGTTCGGGTCCTGGTTCTTGCGATACCTCTCCGGCTTCTCTCCTCCTTCTCCGGTGTTCGACTTGGCACCGATGCGGTTCATGGCTATCGCAAGCGCAGTGTGAGCTTCCCACGAGATGGATCCGAACGACATGGCTCCGGTGACGAACCGCTTGACAATGTCACTGGCCGCCTCGACCTCGGACAACGGGATTTGGATCTTCTTGCTCGTCTTGATTTCGAGTTGTCCGCGAAGAGTGCACCAGCGCTGGGCCATATTCGAAGCCTGCGAGTACTCTTGGAAAGTCTTCGAGTTGTTGAGACGCGTAGCCGCCTAAAAACTTTTCTAATTGGAATTTTTTCACTCATAGTTGTTAAAATTTCAATGTTCTGAAATGTTCGCATTTCTAACTTGCGGGCCACAAAATCACAACTATGTTTTCAATAGTTCAAACCTGAAGTTTGGCGATGGCCAACGGCTCATTGATGTGCTTTTCTCCTCCGGCTCTCCAATGGAAGGTTCCGCTAGCGACCAAAGTTTTCGAGTCACCTGAAAATATTCAAATTTATCATTTCTCACCGGAAACAAAATTTCACATAGACGCTCTCAGTCCTGAGAACACACCGTACTCCGGCAGACAAGCGGTTATCATTAGCAAATGCAAAAGCGGCTTGAGTTACACATATGGTTGCAGTAAACTTAGACGAGGTAGCAAAAGCCATGCAACGGACAACAGGGTTAACAGTATGTAGCAATTATTAGAGTCAGCAACGCAGATGATGTTGTTTTAGCCGTGATTCTTACCGTAGGATACTCCATTTAGGGTTGTTGAATCTAAAAAAAGAGCTCTCAACAAATGAGATAGGAAATAAGAGGGGAAATGAGCTCTTCCAGAAACTACCATGCCTAAGACATCTACAGTAAGATAGCGTTGTGATTGGAGTGTTTTGAATCAAATTGTGCCAATAGACAAAACCTTCCACTCCAGTGAAACTCTACGTCCATGATGAAATGACGTAGTACAAGTCGTAGTAATAGACAAAAGCATGAGTCTATCTAGTTTCCTCTTTTTCTCCCCTCTGCTACACCCACACCATCCTTCTTCATTTGACATTTATATGTATGACAAACTGCTGTGCTACTGCTTCGGCACATGTTTGCTCAAACAAATTACACTATTCTGAATTCGACTTGACTCAATTTGGTTCTTCGTTTGCCACTTCATCATCTTTTTCCTAGTTTGTAACACTTTTTCTCAAGTGAACGACAAGTCAAACCCCACCCTTTGCTTTCCAAGTTCCAAGCTTTCCCATCCCATTGCTAATATATTGCTCGAGGCGCCGATGTGCAGACTTACCGAATGACGCATCCGTAGTCGACGGAAAAGCCGAGCGATGCCGTTTGAGCGCCTCAGCAGCCAGAATTTCGAAGGTGGCTCCTCCGAGACGCGACACTGTGTTTTTGAAGCACATCTCCACCACATCCTTCGAGAGTCCCACAATCTCGAAGATTTGAGCGTGCTGCAAAAACATGCGGATAAAGTAATTGGCGATTCGCACGTCCCTTCCAATTCCATCCGTTTTCCTCCTCCATCGTCCCACATTCCTCCCACGCTCACCTTGTACGAATGGAGCGTCGAGATTCCCATCTTGGCCATCACTTTAAAGATTCCTCGCTCGACTCCCTGGCGGTATCCCTGATAGACCTGATCGTCATTAAGTTCCTTGTCCAAAAGACCCAGGTTGCGAAGACGATGCACCGTCTCGTACACCATGTACGGACAAATGGCATCGGCTCCAAAGCCGAGAAGCACGCAGAAATCATGGACAACGCGAGCTTCGCCAGTCTCCACAATGATTGCAACCTTCATGCGAAGACGATGGCGGATGAGACACTGATGGATGGCTCCGACCGCCAAAAGTGACGGGATCGGAACTCGTTCCGCATTCGCGTTTCTATCCGAGAGCACCAGCACTTGATACCCATCGAGAGCAGCAGTGCACGCAGAGCAGCACATCGCGTCGAGTCCGGGAACGAGTCCTAAAAATATGTAGCTTATTTTTATGCCATGATATCATTCCGAAGAGCTTCTCGAGACTTCTTCGAACCTATTATCCTTTTAGTCATAACTTTCTTTCAACTAATTATTACCAGCTCTTGCTCACTACAAGCCAGAGCAAAACGGCAACATTCTGCTCGTGATTAGCTTCATGAGTCTCCGGGCTTCAACTTTCCGTTTCTTTTAACTCTTACACACCTTTGACTCCGTATCGAACTGGGAATGTGATGTCGATCACTTTTGACTTCCATCCCTTGTACATCGTACGTTTCATCACCTGAAAAAGTGCAATTTTTCAGTGTATGCGTCATCCGGAATCCCAAATTCCCCCAAGAATTCTAACAAGCGAGGCGGAGCGGAGCCGTTGTGCGCTTTTGACTAATTCAACCGACTATAAATTCGCAACATGTGATTGTAATTTCAGTCATTCAGAACATGTCTTTGTCCTATTTCCTTCCATTTGTCTTTTTCTTCTCTCGCCTTTTCTGCTTTTTCAAAACCCCCCATTTCTCACCTCCATATCGACCATCGAGAGGATGGGTTGCTCTAAGATGAGACGGCTTGCAAGCTCCGCGTCCGGCTCGAGCATGTTCGACTCGGGTCCGATTGGGCATCGCAGTGACATGACGATCTGCTCTCGGAACGGGTCAATTGGCGGATTGGTGACCTGTAATCATCGTGCATTCTCTTTTTTTTCTCCATCTTTCCCCTCAACACGTCATGGTTAAGCTCCGTCTTTCGAAAAACATTCTCTGGCCGACATTTTCTCAGAAGACCACTAAATTTACGAAGTTCGTCGAGGAGCCACGAGTTTGTTTTTCTAATCAACTACAAAGGATGAGAGGGCGGTGGGAAAGTGAATGACTTTTCGTCTCCCAAAACAATTTAACGACCTCCGACGGATTGAATCCCTCCCTCCCTCCTACCACTCATTCCATTTCAATTCGCTCTTCCTTCTTCGGCACACCCGTTTTTTTTTTCAAACGGCATACCTGAGCAAAAAGCTGTTGGAAGTAGCTGAACAGCAGAGGGCTGTAGTCAGACAGACAGGCCAACGCAGCGTCATTTCCCATTGATCCCAGAGCTTCCTTCTTTTCTTTGATCATTGGAACGAGGAGAAGACTGAACGTGTCGTGGGTGTAAGCGTAGAGGGCCAGCCGACGGTCAGCATCGAGGTGAACCTCCTTCTTCTTGATTAAACTGGGGTTGACCTGCTCCAAGTGCCAGCGATTGAGATACTCGTTAGTGACGGCGCCATGTGAGAGCTGAAAGTTTGAGTTTAGTTTCTCAACTGGAGAAGACTTTCCAATGACCCATTCTGTCCTGAGGGTGCACTAATTCTAAACTAAACGGGTCTCCCCGGAAAATCTTCTCCTGAAGAAAACTTAACAAAGTACGGATTGAAAACGTACGGAAGACAGTTTCACATCATGACGATGTCTTCTCTGATCAAATATGTAATCAGTTCAGTTTCCCATTCGTTGTCCCCAAACTTACCACGTCATCCTTGCGAATCAGGTCCAAGTAGATTCTCGATGAGGAGAGGTGCTTGTGTGGTCTTGATTGAGCGATTCTCGTCTTGAGATCCTCATCCAACTCGATCTTCTTCAGATGCGTATCCACCAGAAGCATACGTCCGGGACGGAGACGGTCCTGAAATAGCACGGTTACTCATAATGATCAAAATTCACTTCTATTCGTTTTCCCCAATGGCCCAAGTTCATGAGTGATGCTTGCAAATCAAACGGATCTTTCCCATCCTTTTCGCCTTTCTAAATCACGATTGCAGAATGATGACATGTTTTTCACATTCAACACACGCTCTTTGACGAGCTAGTTCGCAATGAAATCCGAGCTTTGCGAGCTAATGAGCAAGTTCCGTGTAACGTTTCGTGTCTCTATTCGCTGACTCTTGACGATCTTCTGCGCAAAAGCTCTCCATTTTCAGGTACACACCCGCACACCGAGCCCGCCTGACTCATCGTCGGCCGCCCTCCCCACAAACACCATTTGTCGAACCATGCAACCGTCCGGAATCCTCTCTGCTCTTTTCCTCGTCCTTCTCGCCGTCTTTGTAAGTCCATTCCAAATTGTGCAACCAAAACGGATACTGCCCACAAGCCGCGACCAACTATTACGCGGACAACTAGCTTATTTGAAGGGTACTACTATCGCCCAATCAGCCGTACTCGATAACAATTTCGGGCCATTCGAGGCATCGATGATTGCGAAACGCCTCCGCGGAGAGCCGATCCGCTTCGGCAAGCGGTCCCCACGCGAGCCCATTCGGTGAGTTGCCAGGAAATAGTTCCGTTTCAAAACACCCCCAAATTACGTAGGACATTTGAGATGGGAATTGATAGTTTCTTAGTCATCCGAGTCCCTCAAAACATCCATAAATCAGACGTACTGCGTCATTTCGAATATTACATATTTTTACATCATCTGACGTATTTCTTCCTGCCAATCATCTAATTCCAAATCGATCTATTTCAGCTTCGGAAAACGATTCAACCCGTTGCCGGACTACGACCTCCAGTAGTTGGCCCTGGCATCTGAAACAACACTCACGACCACCACTTCGAAGAAACTTCTAATCCATTCTATTTGTTCTTTATTTAGCTCCTCCACCCTCTTCCAATATTAATTCCACCGTTTCTTACTTCGAATAAAGTGGTTGGGTTCCGCATGGAATAATAGCCCATCTGTTAATCGATCGTTTTCTATTCTACAGTTTCAGATGAAAAATGACATGTGCTAGATAGCTACCAAAAAGTCATCGCTCTTACTCCCTTCATTTCTCAATTTCGCATCCCCGCATATTGGGAGGGAAATGTGCAAAACCGTTGGTTTTTACAAGATTCGTACACTACAATTACCAAATACACTCGTTAGGTTTTTATTGGTTACGTTCGCGTGTCATCGGTAATCATATAATTGCCGTTGTTTCAGCAATTTTTTTCTGACAACACTCGAATTAAAAAACCACAGAAAGAGGGAAGATTTATGTGTTTCGGTTTCCAACACCTAGTCCCACCTCCTCTAAATTTTAGTTTCAGTTTTGCCTCGTTGCGCCCGCATTTTCTTTGTTGGGCGACAAAATCATCAAAGTCCTGACGACGACGACGACACCCACGCGTCGCACTTAGGTCCAATTACCCGTTTTGTCGAAACATTTCCAAAAATGTCAGATGACGATTTATAATTTGGCACCCGTGCTTGTCGACCGTTTATAGAAAGAAACACGCGGAGCTCATTGTCCCACTCGAAATTGGAGGTGCACGTCGGAAAAGGTCCTTTTCACACAATAACTTTCGAAACGTTTTTGACCTGTGAATTGCGCGACGTCTGCTGGCAAAGAACCCGCCCCAATTTTTGACAATAGAAATAACCGACTACTTATTAGACCGGTTTCTCCAGGCATACGCTCAACTTTACCACTCGGAGAGCAGTCCGCTTGACAACATTTGTCATTTAGTTATAGAATATTTACCGGTGTCAAAATTCCATAAAAGTGAGAGAACCTATTCCAACACACGTCTTCTGTGCAGTCAACCGAACGCGTTTTAATATATAGGCTCATATAAAAACATGCAAATATGCTGAAACGACTACTTTCTTCGCTTCACTCAACGTTCTCCTCCCATTTTTCCGCACCACCTTTTTTCGATCGGCTCATTTTCACGGATTTGTAGGTCCCCCCTGTGTGTAGCTTCCACACTACCACCAATGATCTCGCTCAACCACCTCATCCTCCTATTCTGTGTGGGGTGCGCGATCTTGGCGGCTTCGGGTAAGAAATAGAGTAGTCATGAAAGTGATTATAAAGTATTACTGTAGATGCCACACCCAAAAGGTCTCCATTGGGAACAATGCGATTTGGCAAACGCTCCATTGTCAATGACATGTCTTTCGATGAGGAGGGGTACTATCCGAGCCTCCTGCTCAAACGGTCCAACGTGGACTCGGAGCCAGTGATCCGAGACCAGCGCACTCCGCTGGGCACTATGCGTTTCGGCAAGCGCAGCAATGGTAAAGAAAATTATCGAGGGTTACAGTAGACTCGTTTTCTTCCAGAGCCCTTCGGGACAATGCGCTTCGGGAAACGGGAGCTAGAGAGCGATGCTCCGTTCGGAACAATGAGATTTGGAAAGAGAGATAACGGTGAGATATCTGGGTACGCAAGTGTGTTTTTCATAGTGTAAACTAATCCAGAACCGTTCGGAACCATGCGCTTCGGAAAAAGAGACGACGACAATGCCCCATTCGGAACAATGCGCTTCGGAAAGAGAGGATCCGGTAAACCATCACAGAATTTTGAGCATTTCCTAACTGTCATTTACAGACGAGCCCCTTGGAACCATGCGTTTTGGAAAGAGATCCGTCGACGACGCTCCGTTTGGCACCATGCGTTTCGGCAAGCGCAACCCACTCGGAACCATGCGCTTCGGCAAATAATTTCTTTAACCTTTCTGTTCCCCTTTTCATTCATTCTGGCGAAATATTCTTACCGCGGCTGTTGTGGCACTTTCTCTCTCTCTCTCTTTTCCTATTTATCTCCGTTTCTCTCCCAATTTCTTATGAATAATCGTGGGCTCTTCTCGCAAAAACGAAAAACGACATCGAAATGATTTGTCACCCGAAACTCCCTTCCTTGGCGCGCTCTCTCTCTCTCTCATCAAGTGGTTTGCATAGATTGGAGAATAAATTAATGTTATTATTCATTGTTTTTGATGGAGCGTTGTTCGCTTTTACGCGTCACCCTTCAAAGTTCGGTTACTGGAAAACGAAAGATCGGTTTCCAGGCGGATTTCATGGTTCGGTCACCTTCAGAAGCCAAAATTTCCGGTGTTTTCGTCAATTTTTCAGAAGTTGGACGTTTCTTGCTTTTCGATTTTACAGAAAGACTTCCGACACACCTGAGTGGGTGTCTTGAACCCCCATGGAAACCAGGATGGGCAAATCGTGAAGGATACGAAAAAAAGTGTTCTGGATGAGTTGGAAATTGTGGAAATTGTCTGTTATTAATAGTTTCAACGTTTTCCCGCGTTTTTTGAGCGTTCAATTTTTCGTCTGACACGCAGAATACAACTGGAAAGAGAAAGTGCACCGGAAAGGAGAACGTGATTTTGAAAAGGCGACGTCATTTGAACGATCAAAAACACAAATCAAAGTGCTAGAACTTTGTAAAAATGAAACGTTGTTCCCCTCCAGATCCTGTCATGTTGTCAAACGAAACAAATCATTTTTCAAAAGGAGGATTGACATCATGATGAATTTCTGAACGGTTCTCAAGCACTCATCATCACGCCTAGATGACCTCTTAACGCCGAATCACAATCCGATGACGTCGAAATTGAAATTGAAATCGCGGGCTCGCTCAAGTGTGCAAACATTCTATTTCATTCCGCAAGACAAAGAACTGTCAGCAAAAAACATTGGAACACATCATCCGCCCACGCGTCTAGTCTGATTTACAACCCCTTCCCTATCCGTTCCAACTTCCCTCATTTCAATTTCCATTTCATAATTGCAGATAAAAGGGGAAATTTTCAATTTTGCCCTCGCAGTTCTCATCACCCATTCTATTGTGCTCAGAACTTTTTGAAAGTATATAATGCGATGTCGGTCCCAGAAAAAGAATGTTCGAAAAGCACCCGTGTGCATTCATTCTGTTCCAATCCGGCTGTGAACATGAAGATCGCGTCGACAAGAAAATTCCATATTATTTTCGTCTCAACCACAAAAAGGCAACCATGAATTGTCGCGCGTCTAATTTTTTAGATGAACGAACAGCAATGGCAATTTTCTGTCTCTTTCCGCGGCTCACAAAATCGTTGGAACTGGAACTTGCAATAAAAAATTGAGTGCTCGTCACTGGAATTCGGCGTCCCTCTCAAAACCGTCGTACACCACATAATGCATCCCGGAATTTGAAAAATTAGGTACTGCAAACGAGAAAAGGAAAAAAATCGAGAATTGGTTGGGCAATTCGTGCCCAAATTGATGACAAGTGTCCATTCGAGATGGTGCCGGGGCCTATTTGCAGTCCGTGAAGAGCATAATAAATCCTGCCGCTAAGATTCCCCACTCAATTTGCTCGGTTCGAGATGAGCATGCGACGAAAGGGCGTCAAAGAGGGGATGTTTTTGTGCGGGGGATTGAGAAGGACACTAATTTCCGGTGCAGTGTATTGTAGTATTTCGAAAGGACAATAGTTCAGATTTGTGATGTGTGGTGCTCAAAAATCAGCGAAACAAGCTTGTCGAGTCTGGGAGACTGATAATGAACGGCACCACAAAAAAATTGAAAGAATTCTGTTCCCCTTGATGATTTCTCTGGAAGGTGTGTGATTTTTGGTTAATCGGGCCGAGCTTTTCAAAAATTTCTGCAGCAGCAGGTCACGTGATCATTGCCGCGAATATAGCCCTCAGTGCAAAAGGTCCTGGGAAAACTGACGTTTTGGTTTCCACGAAAACTCATATTCCGTTGAACTTCCTTGTTTCTCAGGATATTCGAACGCAAGTCTATTTTTGTCAATTTTCCAATAGATTTCCCACCCCCACTCGACTATTCTTAGTGTTTTACACGGAATGACAATTAGGCGTCAAGACCTTTTATGACCTCGTGGGGGCAAAATGACTAACAAATAAACGAGAGCACATCATCATTTTGGGCTCAATTTACAAACGATACCACTTTCCAAATCAAAATCCCATTAGCCAATAAAAAGAAAGGAATGACTACGGTACTCTCAGGTTTGGGATTGTTTTTGTTATTACTTTTATTAAATGTGCCTTTTCAACTTCTCTCAAAAAACATTTACATAATTGTGACGTTACCGAAAAACAAAAAAAGCAATCCCGGATCTTAGCTGTGAATGTCAAAAACTTCTCATCAGAGCATGATTAACGACTCCTGATTTGTCTCATTCTTGTTTTGTTCCCTCTATTTTCCAGCTGTACCCCACACTAATTCTTCAATCACAACCGGCCGAGAGATGCGAAATTAAAATTGGAGCCTTCTGTGTTTTTCGGTAAACAACTACTGAAAATTTCAACGTTGGCGTTCCGTTCCGTGGCAAACACCCGAAAGGCTACTCTAATTGACCACTGGGATCCCCTTCCCCTGATGGTTTCTGACCGGCTGCGTGCGGAAAATGGAAAACGATTGTGGCCGAAAAAAACAAGGTTCCAAACAAACTGAATTCGAAGATGGGCCGGTCGGTGAGCACAACGACAATACCCGAAAACAAGTACTCATTTTAATTCGAATTTTGTATTCACAAAACGGAAGGAAAAAAGAGTAGACCACGTCATCTACATTGCATCTTTTGTGTCGTTTTGGCTTGTCGGCGGTGGTCCGCGCCGTAAATTAAATGACTACATCAAAATTCTTGTCCCAAAATATCTCGTCAATTTTCAATTTTTGCTCTAAAATACACAATAGGACTGGAGCGAAAATGATGAAAATTGGACAAAGTGCACTTTGCAAGGAACAATTTTCCATTTCCGTTTTGGTAAATAACATCCATTCGGACAGTCGTCAGTCAAAAATTTTTTCCACTCTCTCGCATACACTTGAACTTTCCGTTAGAGTTCAAAAAAGCCGCAAATCATTAATTCATAAGGTCCGAAGCTTTCCAAATCTGAAAAATTATTGATGTCGTGGCCAGACTTTGAATAGTTCGTGGGATGCCCCCTTCAAAAGATTGCACTAATGCCGACATTAACAAGTCTTTGGTCTTAATGCACGGAACCATCAAAACGGCCAACAACAATCCCACGGAATCTGGTTACGTTCCAAACAAAGAGCTTCTTGTTTTTCGCCGAATTAAATCACAGGATTCTTCTTCTTTTACACTTCCTCTCATCCATAGTCAGAATGATTCTGTCGTTAGCTGAAATGGGTGCCCATCCGCCCCAAACAAATCTTTTATCGGGGAAGCCCTCCGCTATTTCATTCAAGTGAAATTTTCCACATTTAATCGCCCACAGATGTATGTATCTGCCAAAATAGCATTTTTAAAGCATTCGGCCCGCTGTTGAGTTTCCATTTTGCAAACAGCTTAGAAATTGCACCCCATTCAAACGATTTGACACACACACACACACACATACACACACGCACAAAAAAGCTCATTTTCCGCTTCGAGGATACTGTAAGTGGGCAGCGAAATTGGCAATTTCAATCTCAAGTCTTTCTCCGCCTCTTCTCCAACGGCTCCTCCACTCTCGCCTCACTCCTCCTCGACCGTCTCTTGCTTCTCTTTCTGCGCACTCTAGCTCTCTTGGCCCCGCCCTTTTTGGGAACATCGCGAGAAGACAATCGGAGGAGGCTCACCTTACATTCGATGGTGGTGGCGGGCTCCGAGGCTGGTGAGCCCGAGCCAGCTCTCTTCTTCCGCCTTCCCTTCCTCTTATCCACCCCCGCTTCCTTTTCTAGGACATAGGAGCTGAGCGGCTCAATTCTCTGCCACAGACTCCTTTTCAATAATACATTACTCAGTACAAAAGCATTGTGTAGTGTTCCTTTTTTTACCTCGCAACCGCTACACTTTACGAATTCTGGAACAATTACACCACCTCTCCTTTTTAGGTATGTTCTCCGCTCGTATCATCTTGGCTCTCTTCTGCGTCCTTATCTTGGCCCTATCCGTCGCTAATGCGGCTCCCAACCGTGTCCTCATGCGTTTCGGAAAGCGTGGAGGAGCCAGCGAGGGTCACTTGGGATACCGTTTTATCCCGGCCGCCGCTCCGGCCATCGCCGAGTACATAGACGTGGACGAGTGAGTTAATTTCAAAAATTCGAAAGACTTTGTGACTGATACTTGACATTTTCAGAGCTCTACTCGGCCAAGACCGCTTCTAAATCCAGCACAACACTACAACCATCACCACCATTATCATCATCGTCGCCATCAACAACAACTACAACTAAATCTACTTCTATATGAACACCTTTTGTAGACGTCGAACCCCCACCAACCCATCACCAATCAGAGACAAATTTCTTTTCCTAATCTCCCATTATTGTCCTTCTCTCTCTCTCTCGCCCCTTGTTTTTGAAAATAATCATCATCGTCGCCACCCGTCACACCAAATTTCTTGAAGCCATCCTTTTCCTAATGAGACTGTAACACTTTTTGCCCCTGTTGTGCTGGATAAAAAAACTCCCGTTGTGCATCAGAATCAGACACAGAAAACGTCACAAAGAGTCAGAAAACATCTATGGAATAGGGGAATAGTTCAATTATTCCAATCTGCCCGTGAACCATTGTCTGTTCGCTCGAGCGAATTTCAGCGAGATCCATCCATATTTCATAACTTCCGTCTTCCCAAACACGTTTCAATGATACCCCCACTGAATTTCATTAGGCGGCTTGCCGATAAGCGTACCTTTTTGACGACACTTTCGATGGGAATGTCGTTGACTCCGACCTCCGAGCTCAAGTACAGATGATCATCCTCCGTCAAGTAGTATCTGGCCGGACGCAGTCCATTTCGGTCAAGGATTGCTCCAATATATCTTCCGTCGGAGAAGGCGAGAAGAGCTGCAAAGAGGTTTCAGGTTTCAAATGTCAATGGTTTCAAAACGCGGCGCATTTCCTTCAATTCACACACTTATCAAGTGTGCGGACATTTGAACTTGAACTCAATTTTCGTGAAATTGAATATTCCAGGGGTTCTTTTCGCTGAATGATGTGGTTACAAAATAATCTGAAGGGGGCACATGTGTTGGTGCTACAATTTTGATTACGAGAGAGAAAGTGTGGGCGTTCGGCAGTGATCTCTAAACCAAAAAGTGTCCCTTGACAATTTGTAGTGTCTGCGAACGAATGACTAATGATTACGGAGCCCAATGAATCGTAGCTTGCTCTGTGGTGTGGTTTGAATCTCAAATCTCAGAAAGGAACCAACATCACGTTTTGGTTTCTTTGTGCCCACTTCAAAAGTGGCGTTTTTTTCCCATCTTGCAGAAGCCATGCGCTTAGAGCAAAAAGTACAAACTATTTACCAGGTCCGTCCCACGGTTCCATGCTCATCGCGGCCCAACGGTAGAAGTGCTTCTTCTCCGAGGACATGTCGTCGTCCTTTTCCCACGCCTCCGGTACCATTGTCATTGCCGCTTCCGGAAGTGATCTTCCTCCGGCGTGGACCAGGAATTCCATCACGTTGTCGAGACATCCGGAATCAGTGAGACCCTGCAAGAACCTTCAAATTCCATTGTATCCGTGGATGGGTGCAATTTGTTATTCGGTTGAAATTTAAATGATGCTGAGAGCTCTGAAAGGTTAGCACTGACATCCGGGGACTAATTGGACTGGGATGTTGGCACAAGAGTGTGAAAAGATTGGTGGATTTCTCTCTCTCTCGCTCCCTATTCGTTGAAAAAAGTAGTACTCCCGGTCAGTTGAAAAGAAAACAACGATGACGAATCAAATCGAAGAGACTAGTTCCGCGTTTACTCACCTCCTCCACAATCGGGAACAACTTTTGGAGATCGTCGCGATAGTGCTTGCTCTTCATGACTCCTTCACGAGCACGCATCAGGTTGATGTTACCACGGAGCGTGTTGATTTCTCCATTGTGCGCCAGAATTCGGTTGGGTTGGGCACGATTCCAGCTGGGGAAGGTGTTGGTGGAGAAGCGAGAATGGACGAGCGCGAGATGAGTCTGATACTCCGGATTAGTCAGGTCGTCGTAGTACTTGAACAGTTGCTGCGTGTTGAACTGGCCCTTGTAGACGATGGTCGACGTGCTCAGGGAACAGAGGTAACACTCCAATTCCTGACGAGCCATGTTGTTGACGGCTTGTTTGCGGAGCAAGTAGACGCTCCGCTGAAACTTAGCCGGATCGCTCTCCGCATAGTCGGCGCTGACGAAGACCTGCCGGATGAGCGGCTCCGTCTTCCTGGCCTCTTCTCCGATACATTCACGATTGGTTCCCAGTTTGCGCCAGGCAATAACCCGCAGACCGCACGCTCTCGCGAGATCTTGGAATGCCTCCTTGGCTTGTTTGTAGGATCCCTCCTCGAGGAACAGAATTCCCGTGGCGTACTGCCCAATCGGTGGGAGATCCGATCCATCCTGCCTGCAAAATAAAGATTGTCATCAGCCCTGAAACGGGGGTGGTGGGGCTGGACGTACTCCACCGATTTTCTGTAGAGATCATCCGGAATCGCGGTGAGCACACCAGCACCGTCACCCGAATCGTTGTCACAGCCACAAGCTCCACGATGAGCCATTCTCTCGAGCATGGTCCGAGCATCCGACATGATCTGAAATCAACCAGACTCTTTTACTTCCTATAAGTGAGCCCGTACCTTGCTGGACGTGACTCCCTTAATAGAGCACACAAATCCAACTCCGCACGCATCACGCTCGAGTTGTGGCAGCCAGAGCCCGTTGTTGGCAGCGTCTTGTTGCTGTTCCTTGGTTAGGATAACCATTGTCAAAACGTAAGCTTGGTTGCTTCAGTATGCAAAATCCCTGGAAAAAGAAACGAGTTAGTGAGAGCACAAAGAAAAGAGAACGAAGAATCAGAGCGAGCGGAAAGAGAGTGAATGAGGGCATGCCCACAGGCGAGACGGGCCGAGACCATACTGCATGCGGGTCCGAGAGCGATAAGATAGCAAAGGTTTGATCTTGTGACCCGAGGAAATTATGGTCCGATGGTTCAGGACGCACGTGACTGCCACACAACCCGCGAATGATCGCCGTCTACCGTCCCTTTATAGTCTAGCGATGGGAGGAGACACAAGAACATTTTACAAAAAATAAGTGATCGCGCTGACCCTTTTCTATTCAATTTCTGAAGATATGTGTCACACGCCGATCACGTGTGCCTTATCTTTACAAAATTGTGTTCTTCGGTGAGAAAAAGCAACGGTTTGTGTGTGGATCGGTCAAAAGAAAGTGCTTGCAGAAGTTCCTATCAGTTGAATGGGGTCATTTGAGTGGGGGAGGGGGAGGCAATAGGTTATCAGTATAATCCTTCAAGACTGCACTACACTGACATTTTGGCGATAGGCACTACCAATCGTGGTACTCTGAACTTTGTATTGCCGAATGGTTTTATGAGCTTACGGAAAACAAGTGACAGTGGCATATGACTACAACGTGTTTATCAGTTTTCGAAGCAAGTGTTTGTACCCGGGCGTGGATCAAAGTACGATTTTTTCGAAACGATAAAGATGCAACGATTGGAAGGACGGATTGATGGAACATTCGGATTTGATATGATACGCGATACTTGTCTAAACGCGGATTGAAACAAAAGGAAATAGTCGGTCGTCAACGACAGGACTGTTGAAGACGACGGCAGAACGACAAGAGAGAACGATTCGCAATTCGCAAACTTTGTAAGGATTTGCTTGTTTTCGGCTGTCTTTCCCTATCTGGCGGCATGATGTTTGTGTTATTAGGTTATTTTTTGCGTGGTCATGGGATAAAAGTGATTGCGCTGCGAATAAGACAAAGGGGAAATGATGGAAACACAAAGAAACGAATCGAAAGGTACAAGAAGAGAGCGGAGGGGACACTGACAAAATAAGAGGGCCCCTCTGGCAGATCGAGCGTTCCCGAAAGGAACGCACTGTTACAGGTGAGCGACGTGCACGCGAGAGATTGTGCGCACGAGAAAGACGCAGACAGTGTGACAGACGGGACGGGCCGCAGGAGGGAGCACTTCTCCCCACGCACAGGAATGCATCGAAACGATACGTATTCGAGATATATTGACGAGAATCGCGTAGGGAAAGTGGATAAGGGCAGAAGGCGGTGATCAATGGGTTCAGAAAGACGCAAAAACTGTGTTTTCTTACGAATCACTTCAAGAAAAGACGACAAATTAGGTGTTGATCTGTGTTACTCGTGTTCTTTTTTGTCATCCATTACAAGAACATACTGAACCGACAATGTGCTCATGTAAAAGGGGTCGGGCGCCATTAATCACGCCAACGTTCTTGTTGGCACAAAAGGCAACGAGCCGGAATGAAAATACATCAAAAGCGCTTTAGCACCCCACTATCCTAAGCTCATTCTTGTGAGTGGAGGGCAGAATGATATGTGCTGCAAAAAGTGTAAGAGAAAACGAGGTCGGCAGATGTTAGCACGGACGGAGGGACTCGCAGCCGTTCTTTGGTTGCGAAATGGACGACGGCTGTTAATCTGCACTTTAAATTAAGACCCTTAATTAGAGATTTGCGGAAAAACAAACGTTGAGACTTTTGGAAAACATGGAAAACATATTGTGGAGAGAGAGAAAATGGAATGAGTCCGGTAATAGATTGGTGAGAGAATGCTGACAGAGCGGAAATTGGGGGAAAAGCTGAATAGGCAAGATGCGGTAGATTGAAAGGAGGAAATGGGTTACATGCGTTCAGAAAACTCATCTTTTTTCCTTGATACTCCCCAATAAATGCATTGATTTCCCGAAAGTTTGCGCGAAAAAGCATGAGAAAAGAATGAAACTGATGCAGAAGAAGAGAAAGCGCATCAATATTTCAAAGGTAATGCTTGGGATTAAGTATGCCTCGGGCAAACTTCCTGAGGGTTGCGTTAAGAAAGGAAAACAGAGTGGAAAGATTAGTGAGCGAGCTGAGCGTTTGCATGCACGAAAAGGCAACGCTTTGACGCAGCGAAACGAGGTAATTGCGAAAAAAAAGGGACTGCTATTTGAATAAATTGAAAGTTTCCCTATCAAAGTGTACCAATATCTTCTTTTTCCTCTTCTCTCTCTCTCTCTCTCTCACTTTTTCGCTTCACACCCTTCCGCCTCCTGCTCAAACGTACACGGCCTCTGTGTGAACTGAACCAAATTCGATTAACCTCTTCTAGTTTATCCCCCCCCCTCTCGAAAGCTTTGCTTTTTTGCGGAAAAGAAAAACGTTTTAGGCAATCATGAGACAATGGATGTTTACAAAATAGACACGCGGTGGTCAGTGAACGTTTATAGAAAACAAGGGAGGGTTACTAGGCGAGAGACAGAAAAAATAACGATTCTAAATTTGATAAGAACGAAAGAGAAGGCATGTCGGTTTTTAATAATAACATTTGTGACGTGTCATGCAGTTGAATCTTGATGAAAAAAAAAACAAAATGTTATTTATGGACGGGAAAATGACGAGAATAGAGAAATAGAATACCCTCGCGAATTTTGAGAATAAGCCAGAACAGCAGGAGACTCTTATGCATAATAAACAAGACTTCACATATTTCGATATGAAAATTGCTGGTCATTTTTGCAGAGATCAAAGTGCTCGTTTTGCAGACGGAAGCAGATACTTTAATCATTGCTCTCAAGTAAGCCTTTTTGAGTGTGTTTTGAGTGCTCCGAGTCATCTGATTGCTAATTAACTCGCGCATTTTTGTTGTCTGACATTTAGAAACACCAACGAGGGACTGAATTTACATTTGCTCAGTTGGCAAGAGCAAAAACCTGGCCAGCGAGAGCAAACAGACAGAGAATATTGAAATGAAAATAGAGGAATATTCTCAAAAAAAAACTCATTCACGGTTTCGTTTTGTTTTCTCGCAATCGCAATCAAAATATCCGACCAAAGAGGAAGCAGACGGATAAATTCGAAACAAAAATGAGCAGCCGCATTTCTTTTTCTTTTTCGTGAAAAGCCGAGTGGTGCGGCAACAATGCCTTCGCATGTTTTTGGTGGGTGCCGAGAGAAATTGAAGGACCAAAAGTTCTGCGTCTACCCAAAATCTCTCAGATTTAATGAAACGAAAAGGATTTTCGCTTTTGTGCTAGAAACGTGAGAAAATAGACGTAAGCCTAGGTGTAAAATGAAACTAGGCGCAGCCACCAGCACTGAAAACAAATAGAGCCGAACTTTGCCAGTCGAACGGAAGGAGGGACATCAAAAAGCAAGCGTGAGAAATGGAAAATGATGCTCTGTCGGAAAACGGGACGCTAATGAAAAAACTAACTAGGAGGCCGGCTGCAGAACAAGAAAATGAAAGCGAAGAAGAAAAAGCCGAACGCGACCAAAATCGATGAGAAGCAGCTTCGATATGCATTCCGCTCACTCGCTGTGCTCTTCTTTGCCGGACGCGACCTGCCTGGCGGACAGCCGGACGGACACGAGCCTCTCGGGGTCAATCGGACCAACTGTTGGTTTACGTCGCCTCAACTGCTCTCCGTGGAGCCGCACTCCACCTCTTTCTTTCTGAATATTGCTTTTAGTAGCATAAGCGGCAATTCAAAGTTTTTGATTCACTGCACTTTGGTTTTGTTTTGTTTGAAAAGTGAGTAAGAGAAAGTGAGAGTAACTCCAGAATATTTTCTGATAAATACTCGCTAGACAAACCCTCAATTGTTCTTTGATGCCAAAAATGCGATTAATATTGAAAGAGAGAGAGAGAGAGAGAGAGAGAGAGAGAATGAAGAACTTGTGAGCAGCAACAGCCGCGAATATTTCCGTCGACTATCTAGGTTTTTGTTCCACTTCCCACTTTACACTTCGGAAAATATTTTGGAATATCTCACGTAGAGTTCCGACCAATTTTTCTCTGTCACAAACGAGATTATTTCATAAATCACTTGGAAGTTTTGAGCTCGTGAAATTTCTTTGGATTTTCTCTGCCAATCTCGCAGTGAATCTTCGATGCACTGGGGAAAATTTACATCAAATTTCCAAAATGTGTTGGAAGCATTGTGCATGAGTTCACCGCTGATTAATAGAATTTTAACAAAAGCTGGTCTATGCCTCTTTTTTTTTGACACCAACTTTCAATGAGAAACGTTAAAAACTTGAAATCACAAAGACAATTTTGGAATGCTTGAGTATTTATTAGATATAATAATGAAATTAATGGCGAGAAACGAAAACGGCGGATCTTGGTGGGCAGGCGCAGTAAGCGGCGTCTGGTCCTGGAAGTCCGCTGCCGCCTGGGGCTCCTGGGCGTCCATCCTGGGCCTTGTTTCCTGGGGCTCCTGGAGCTCCGGATGGTCCAGCTGGTCCTGGGGTTCCATCGGCTCCCTTATTTCCTGGGGCTCCTGGGGCTCCGGCTGGTCCGGCCTTTCCTGGGGCTCCTGGGGCTCCAGCGGCTCCCTTTCCGCGTCTTCCGTCCTTTCCTGGCGCTCCTGGCTGTCCGTTTCCTCCTGGGGCTCCTGGAGCTCCGTTGTCTCCCTTTGGTCCTGGCTGTCCTGGAGATCCTGGTCTTCCAGCGTTTCCTGGCTGTCCTGGGCGTCCGTCTGGTCCCGATGGTCCCGCTGGTCCTGCTGGTCCGGCGGCTCCGGCTGGTCCTGGTGCGCACTTGACGCAATCATTGGACACTGGTGGGCAGTTGATTGGAGCGTAGGTGGTGGTGCTGTCTGGTCCCTTTGGTCCTGGGGCTCCTGGGGTTCCTGAAATTACCGAAATTGAGTTTCAGAAGTCACAAAGATTGTGTTTACCTGGCTGTCCAGCTGGTCCTGGTGGTCCTGGAGGTCCTGGTGGGCAAGTTGGCTTAGTTGGCTCGCACTGGCACCAAGCTGGGAGTCCAGAGAAGGTCTGACGCTTCTGACGGAAGATGGAGTTGAATGGGTTGACACGTGGCTTTGATGGTGGAGTGACGGTGATCTGGATGTCCATCATCTCGGTCCAAGCGGAATCGGTCTCAACGCGGAACACACGAACTCCATCGAGAACCTCATTGTGGATCTCGTCGATGGTGCTGTAGAGCGACGGGATGACGATGAGGCAGGCGACGACGGCGAGGGTCGAGAAGGCCGAAGCCACAGACACAAGAAGTTTCTCCTCAAACATACTCAGTTTGGTGTGGTTTCAATGAGTTCAGGTAACCCTTTTATACTCCACTTTGTGATGAGAAGGCGTGGTCGAAGGTGGAAGTAAGTAGGTAGCGACGAGGAAGGAACTGTAGTGAAAAAAAAGGTGGCAGGCACGGAGGCCATGAGAAGAAGGAAGTACGGGTGTGCTAAATGGGGATATTAGTGAAGAGATGACCGCCATTGCGCAAGAAAAGATAGAAGACACAAAACTGTTCTGAACGCAAATCACATCATTTCCTCCTGTGGAAGTAGGGGGTGAACCGGGTAAACGACGCCATTTTCATCATCTGCATGGTGCATCGGATCTTCAAGAACTAAATTTGTGTACTCAAACTATTGTGTAGAACCATTGTCTGAACATGTTACCACCCAAACATTAATGTTTTTGTTGATCGATCAAACCACTTAGCAGTAACCTTCAAACTCTCCGAAAACTAATCACATAAACAGTTTGGTTTGCCGCTTCCTTGTAAGAAAGCATATTTCAAAAATCCGGTTTCTCATTATCTTCTGACAGGACCTGACTTGAGTAATGGAAGTAACCTTGGATTGAAATCGGACCGAACAGAAAACATGTAACTTCCTTTTTGGTTGTGGTCTGGGAAAGTCTCAAGATGAACATGGCGGATTTCAAGGCCGGTGTCAGAAGGACACTCGAATGGTTGCGGAAGACAATTATCGAAATGGAAGCTTGGTTTGGTGTTTGAACTGGACCGGCGGCCACTCACTCAACAACACAAGACAAAAACTTTATTATGAAGCAGTGAACTGCTTGTAGTATTAGGATGAATGAACGTTGGCAAGATAAATGGAAAAGTAAAACAACGCGAGTGTAATAACAATTTACACCCCAGGTGCAAGAACATGTCTGAAAACTGTAATCGCTTTGTCTCTCATCTTTACTCCTTCGTCTCCGTAGCTGTGCCAGTTAACATTATATGGATCATAAGTGGCTGGTGGAAGATAGCCGCCAGAAATAGCTCTGTGATAACCTCCAGAAGAACCTAAACATTAAATAAACTAATTTGCCTGGATCTGAAATATTTACCGTGAATATCAAGTCCTTGAAGCATTTGGAGAGTTCCAGTTGGGTTGAGATTGTAATGGTCCTGAAGCGTGGGTGGTGCCTGTTTTTTGAAATTGGCGAATGTCAATGCTTCCAGCTTATCCTTGCTCTTCAGATTCCCGTATTTGTCAAAAATTGGCTCAGGACGTGGGAAAGAGAAAGTATCATTCTCTTTCTCTTTCTCCTCCGGCTTCTCTTCTTCCATAATCGGTACTCCGGTAACTGAGCTCTCCGTCTCTCCTGATCCTTCAACTTCCTCTCCCGATCCCGATCCTTCAACATCGGCGTCAGCATGCAATAGTTCCTCTTTTTTTATCTCTTCTGTCTCCTGCTCTACTTTCTGGGCATGATTATCCTCTTCTGTGGCCTGAAGTCTTGCTCGAATCTCTCGAAGAAGTGCATCAACTGCTCTGGGGTCAAACAAATACGCATTGGTAGCTGAATATTCAGCGAATACAAGAAAGAGAATGGAAAAGAGTGCGAACCTCATAGCGATTGCTGTACGTACTCATGTTCCTGGATGCGGCCTTTTATAACCGCGCCCGCTTTTTGTCATTTCAGACAAAAAACTTATCAAATGCCTGTTTCATTGCCAACGGCAAGTATTATCATGCATTCGAGACTTACGCAAGACAAAAAAGTGCACAGCTAACAGGATCGTTACGTTAACGCAGAAGAGGGGAAACGTCTTTGTCTATGCAATTCTCATTATGTTTATCATCTCCATCCGCTTCTTGCGTCTCTTGTTACGTTATACGATTCTTTTTCCATTTATGTGGAATTGACTACTTTTTCATTGGGTTCTCGCCAGACGCTTGTTCGGCAATTGGCATCGGCTTGGCAATCTGTGATGGTGAACTGCTGAAAAAAGGTTTTCCGCTATCCATGGAGATCTTGGATCACAAATGATATATTTTTCTCATTTATATTCTCGATCCTTTGTTTATCCAACACGATTCGGGCTGGTCATTGAGAGATTTGAGCAGAATGTACATAGAAGAACAACATTCAAAACATAAGCTCCATCCTTGTTGTTCTTCCATTTAAACTTGCTGTCTGAAGTGTTTTTCTTAATCACATTTCGAGGAAACATTTATTTCAGTCGTCTTGCGGAAGAACCATGCAAATTTTCTGACTTTTCCTAAACATTTTCATTAGTTCTATGAATTGTCAGGCTGAGCTCAGATTTTTCAAGTATGCAATTCATAGATTCATTCCCCATCTTCCATCGAAACGTTTTTTTTTTGTGAAATGCCCTCAAAAATCAATGTTTTGAAACATTCCGCGACCACCAGTATCAGAGAAAGAAAAACCGGAAAGAGAGTACGTGAACCAGTGGAGAGTGCAGAGAAATGGCCTGCGAGAGAGCGCAGGAGGAATGCAGAGAGCACGAGAACTGGCCTTTCTTCCATTCTTATCGCTACCTGTACGCCAATCGGCTCGCCTGTTGCATTGCCTTCACAGCTCGCATTCTTCTCCCATCATGGCGGAGTTTGTTAAAGACAAGAACTTTCAAGAACTTGTCGTCGACACCACAATCGAGAATAGGAACGATGAAGAGGTAAGAGGAACTGAAGGAACTTTATCAATAAACTCTTCACATTTCTTTGCAGCCGATGACGCTTGACAATTTCACGAAACTAATGGTCCAGTTTTACGAGTTGGGATGGATGCGTGGGAGCGGCGGAGCGATGGGCTGCATCTCCGGAAGCAAACTGATGATTTCTCCGTCGGCACTTCAAAAAGAGCGTATACGAGAGTAAGCGTTTCTTTCAATTGGTTTTGGTGTTGAACATGAGGTTTTTTGTTAAGACAGGACGTGTTTGTTTACAATATCTCGGAAAAAACTGAGGTTCAACGACCGCTCAACAAAAGGATCACAGTTTCATCCTGTTCTGTGCTCTTCTCTCTTATCATGAAGGAAACTGGTAAGTTAGTTTGATTACTGCAACTATTGATCACCAATAACCGATTTTTTTTTTAAATTTAATTTAATTTCACTATGTGCATTAGATTGTGTTTTAGGAAGTGAATGTGTGATCCACACGCACTCGAAAGCCGCGAACCTGATCACACAACTCGTGAAAACGGACACTTTTGAAATCTCGCACCAGGAATACATCAAGGGAATCTACGATCCATTTTCTGGAAAAGCATTGAAGTATTCGGATACCCTTTTAATTCCGATTATCGAAAATATGCCCAGTGAAAGTCAGCTTTTGGCGAGTGAAACACCTAAAAAAGAGTTTGCTTTATTGACTTTTCGTTTTTAGGAGCCGATAAGAGGCGTTCTCGAAGCTTATCCGCAAGCAATTGCTGTGCTCGTTAGAAATCATGGGCTCTTCGTGTGGGGACCCACTTGGGAATTGACGAAGATCATGTGAGTAATGACGTCAAGCATGATGTTCAATCACTTACTTTTGTTTTCATTCTTTCATTCTTTCAGGACCGAGTGCATCGATTACTTGTTGGAGTTGGGTCTCGAAATGGTGAAGAACAATATTCCATTAGTGAACGAAGCAGCTTTCGAAAAAGATTCTAGGCTGCCCGACAAACTGACAACATTGCTTTTTTGAGAATTATGGCATTTTACTTAGCGTTCTTTGAAATCTCTCAAAAATTTGTGATAACTACTAAATTTTACGGTTGGTTGGATTTGTGACGTTAACGCATTTACTATGTGTTATGTTGTATATTTACTTTTACATTTTGGGTTGGAAGTTGAGATACTTCTAATAAAGTTTACATTCGGAGCCAATCGCATTCGCCGGAGAAAAATGAATGACGCAACGTTTTTCGGCGAATTACTGAACACCCCACAAAGTGTGATCTCCGATGAGCTCGGGTAAAAGAGAGATAAAAGTGCGAGACGGAGGCATTGAGACAAAAGCGATTTCTTCACGGAGCATCCGGCCTCCAGTTGGTGCTCCCGTCGAGGAGCGTTTTCGCCTCTCTTATGATCCCTCCGACCTATTGATTGTAATACAGCTCGGTTTCCCGTCTCAACTTATTTGGTCCGTCTCTCATTTCTCGACTCCCATTCCATGATGGAATGGCACTTTATCACTCTCAAAATATTTGCCCTTGAGTGTCAAAGTCTCATGCCGTTTTTATTGTCTGCTACTTTAATATTTCCGCAAAGTCGATGATGATGCCTGTGAATATTGCAGTCCTGGTCCCCTCCACTAGCTTCGAATTTCAAATTCCAACTTCCAATTTCATGTTTGTCGTCTGGTTACCTTCCCTTCCTTCTCACCTCACAACAAAGAAGTGCCAATGTGCGAGCACCGAAATAGACCGCGTGTCAAACAAGTGTTTTGTTTAGCGAGTAGTTAGCAGAGGAAACACAAAAAAACGCAAATTTAGCTGAATGAAAAACTTGTTACCACTAGCCGCCGTCGAACTGCAAACAGTCGAGAGCGCGCACGGAGCAAAATGTGTGAAACATTTGTCACTACCCGCTGCTCAGAAATCTTTTTCGGTCTCCTCCTCCTTTTTGTTCTCCTACTTGTTTGGTGGTAAATTCGTCGCGGGTGGGCTTTTGGAAGGTAGGCACTGTTTACTCGATCTGATAATTCATTTTTTTTCCTGTTTTTCTCTTCTATTCTAATTTTCATTTTCCCCTTTCCAAATCTCGTTGTGTGCGGCGCTATCGTTAATTTCCGGGAAAGTGCTAATCCTAGCCAGAAAAAAACGGAAAAGTTGATGATTGAATGGCATTTTCATCCGTTTCTATCCACATTAAGTCTACGTGGCATAATTATAGGTAGCGCCCATCTCATCATGTATTCGCAGAACAAGTCAGTGATCAAAAACAATCAAAATTATTTCATTGTTTCCTATCTTTCATTGGCGGGTAAATTCCAATATAAGATCCGTTCTCATTTCGGTACATTTGCGGGTGGGAACTCCTCAAAACACTACATTCTCCGCCAATTTCTTCAAAACTCAAACCACCCACTTTATTTGCTCACCGAATGTTTGAGACAGTCACCTCGCCTCGCACAGCTTTTTGTGATCCAATCCGCAAACCGAGGTTTTTCTTCAACTGTTTTCCCGATTATTTTTGTTTTGTGTTGTTGTTGCAAAACAATTAAAGTGCGGGTCGTACTTGATAGCTTAGCGTCTCGCCCCCATAAAAACAAACAAACACGGAAAATAGAGACGTGATAGGTTATTTTGGCCTCAGAATATTCCGCTTTTGTATTTTGTCTCTTTCGTTTTCATTTTGTTTTCACTTTCGCATTCTTTCTCGAGGTTGCCCTCCATGACTCATCCGAAATTTCTCGCGAGTTTACCTTTTCGTATGTTTTTTCGGTTTCTGCTATTGCCATTTTCCTCGCTTATCACGCACATATTTTCGAAATAATTTTCGTCAGCTGTTTTCGGTTTTTTCCGCATTTCTCATTGATAGGGAAAAGAATAGGTGCATACAAATATTAGTCATCGTTTAACAATGGCTTCTGGAATAGGCGGACAGTAGCCGGCCGTCATTCCATTCCATCCAAAACGCCTCAGTGTAGGCTCCCGTCCCCCCGTCCTCTCCGATCGTCGCCTAACTCGATATTCTGCAATTCAACCATGAACAATCGCAGGTTTTCTCTTCAAGTCCCAATGGGGACCGAATCCAGCGGTAGTGGGAAGATCAAAGTCGACGAGCACTATCCATCAGGTATAGAATCGTTTATGAAATGATCTAATATCCTGATTTTTATAGAACTCGATGAGCCACCCGTGTTTGACGTAAAAAGAATTGAAAATATCAGAGCAAATGTAAAGTTTGATACACTTTATCAAGTGACAAAACTTCTGGGAGAGTAAGTTACTCGTTTATTCTTATTTTTCCCTAATTGAATTATGTTATTTCAGTGGAAAATTCGGTAAAGTGTACTGCGTGATTGAGAAGGCAAGCGGCAAAGAGTTTGCGGCCAAGTTTATCAAAATCCGAAAGGTTGGATTATCGTGATTTCATTTATACGCGTTTTTTTCTAGGAAGCCGATCGTGCGGAGGTGGAGAGAGAAGTTTCGATTCTCACGCAACTTCGCCATCCGAGAATCGCTCAGATTTATGACGCATTTTACACCACCACCAACGATGTGGTCTTGATTATGGAAATGTAAGCGCGGGGTGGTTTTACACTTTCATTGCAAAAAATTGGGATCGCGAAGACTCGAATCGATAATAATGTGGTTCATTTTTTCAGTGTCCGTGGAGGTGAGCTGTTCGATCGAGTTGCGGAAGAGTCGTATGAACTCTCCGAGCTCGCTGTCGTCATGATCATCTGCCAACTATGCGAGGCGATCGACTACATCCATAAGCAAAACATTCTCCACCTGGATGTAAAGGTGAGGGCTTTGAACCGTGATCAAGAGAGAAAATAGGTTCTCTCATTTCACCGGAAAACAGCTGACAGCACACCCACAGGCGCCAGCGTGTTTTTGCCACAGACACGCGGAGTTTGGCGATAAAAGAGACGGATGGGTTTTCCGTGAACACGGGACTTGTGGGCGGAAGGAGATGGGGGCACTGAGAAGGTTGAAATTGCCAGTGCAAAAACCTGGGAAAATGGATGGAAGGGAACGAATATTGTCAAAGTATGTACATATTTTCCAGCCTGAAAACATAATGTGCGTGTCGCTCACTGGCAATCGGATCAAATTAATTGATTTCGGACTCGCAAGACATTATGACGGTACTCAGGTTCGTTGTCTATTCTTTTGAACTTTTGGACAATTTCAATGTTTTTTTCCAATTTCAGGAACTGAAATATATGGCTGGAACTCCAGAATTTGCGGCTCCGGAAGTCATAAAGTTCGAGAGACTCGATTATCACACTGACATGTGGAGCATCGGTGTCATCACCTACATTCTGTAAGTTGACAAAAAGCCAAAATTCACGTGCATGTTGTTTGACCTCTATGTAAAGAAAATAAAAATATTCTATGAATATCATAGGAGTCCGTCGGATGGCCGAACTCTGACTCTAGTTTGATGTATTCTGATCAATAAGTTCCGCATTCCAGACTTTCCGGCTACTCACCCTTTCTGGGAGACAATCTAGGAGAAACTTACTGCAACGTGGAAAAGGGCGTGTGGGAGTTTACCGAAGAGTTCGACACAGTCAGTGAGGAAGCGAAAGATTTTGTCTCGAATCTTCTCATTTATGATCAAAGGTTTGTTGTCAACTGGCAATATGTATAATCTTGAATTAAATTCTTTCCCAACTGTTTGAGCATTTGTACAAGTATTCATCTTCACTCTTTCTCAGCCCAAATGGTCCCAGTCGCAGAGCACATAAGGAAGCTGTCCAAAAGCTCATTCTTTCTTTCCAGCAAGCGTATGCTCCCACATGAATGTCTCGAACATCCGTGGATAGCAAAACACCGTCAGAAAGCAGCTTGTAACCGGATTCTTGAGAAACCGCTCAACGCGCCAACCCTTGACAATAAGCAGATTATGAGATACAACGCAAGAAGGAAATTCCGAGTGAGTCATTGTTTCCAACTACACTATTTCATTGCAATTAGTTAGTTGTTGACGCACTAATCAGGAGGATACCCAACTCCCAGAGGGTACTCTAGTTTTCCGTTCTGCGTCAGCATGCATTTCATATCAAACGAAGTTTCCTTTTTCGTCTATTTTAGGCTTACTATGTAGTGAGCACGTTGTGCTTTCTCCGTACTTTTTCCGTGTCATTCTCATACTTTTCTTTGCAGCGTATGATAATTTATGTGAAGTTCCTGATTGAAATGAACCGACTGCGCAACTCTCTCAAAACTCGAATGAGTGCCAACGGACACAAGTTCTTCGATCCGCTGCTCAAGATGGCCGAAAAGAAGGAACAAAAGGTAGGAATCCCTTCTTTTTCTCTTTTTGTTAACCCATATATGTGTCATTCCAGATTACCGACGCGTGTGTCCCACCACTGCCGGTTACTGGCCTCAGTCCTCTAGTCCAGAAGGTAAGATTATTGAGTTTCCAGAATTTTGAAATAAACTATACGTTTGATTTGAGGCTGTGGACAGTAAAAAGAAAAACGGAGATGCGATGACTCAGGAGCCAACTATTTCCATCGAGCCTGAAGAAAAGAAGAAGAAAAAGAAGATTGTCATCGGTGACGGCACAACAAAGACGGTATGAATGGAGAAGAATTCATCATGGAATCTCAATATTTCATTACAGGAAAAGACCGGCAGTGAAAAAGAGAAGAAAAAGAAGAAGATGGAGGTGGAAGACAATGGAGAGGCTAGCCTGAGGCCTCCGCCTGAATTGATGACGAAGAGAGCTTCAACTGGAGGGGAACATCTGCTGGCCGCCAGCAAAGTATTGAGAAACTTGCATTCGGCGGAGAACGGCGACGTTTCCAAGAAAAACAGCCTTGCCTCGGTGAAAGAGGAAAAGGAACCTGTTGGCAAAACGAAAAAGGAATCAGCAGGATACAAGACTCTGGAAACTACGGCCAATGGGGACATCCGAAGAAAAAGTGCGCCGGCGGCAAGGGCGGAACAGTCTGCCGTTCCCACAAAGCTATCTGAAGGAATCAAAACATCGAAACTTTTGGAGACCGCCCCGAATGGTGACATAAGAAGAAAAAGTAATGCTTCCACTAAAGAAGATAAAACGGAGCACGCGGACGAATCTCGCAAGAAGAGCACGGTTTCACTGAAAGAAGTCAAGATTGTCGAGTTGCCAGTTGCGTCCAAAACTGCTGAGACAGAAGAGAAGAGTAAAGTAATAAAGAAGAAAAAGAAGATAACAACAGTCACTGCGGAGTTGGAGAAGCCAAAAGCAATTGAAGTGAAAGTGGAGGAAGTAGCGAACGGAGATGTTCAGGAGCCAAAGCCATTGAAGAAAAGAATTGTGAGCTTGAAACACTCTACTGAGCAACATCCGACTGCTGAAACAACGCAGAAGACAACGGTAGCTGAAGAGAAGAAAACAAAAGAGGTCAAGGAGACGAGAGATGTGATGAAAGATATCAGAGCATCGTTGACAAAAAGCAAAACGATCGCGTCGGAAGTTCCACCTGAAGCACAAGCGGAAACGAAAAAACCAATCAGACAGGTATGCAATATCTCGTAACCGAATGATGAAATATATTGTTCAGGGTGCACTTCGGAAACGTGACAAATCAGTGGATGATGTGCTCAATGCTGCTCCGACTCCAACGACACTCTCAAAAACCACCGAAACGTGCGTGAAGCACTCTATTGTGGAAACAGCTCATTCAAACGGGGATGTTGTCAAATCTGAGAAGATTATGACTAAGAAAAAGGTATTATTTATCCATTGTTTATCTCTTGTTGGATAATCATTGCAATTTTCAGAGTTTGAAGAAAGATTCGAGCACAGAAGATCATCATTTGCCTGTTCAGGTCCTCGACGACAGTTCTAAAACTACCGTGAGTCCTCTAAAAAACTTTCTTATTTTTACTTGTTTCTTGTAGAAATTGAAAGCCAGTGAGGTTAACTTCGAATCGAAGCCGGTGAAGAAAACATCAAAGATTGTGAAACTGATTCCCGATGAGAGTATTGCAGTGAAAGGTATGTTATGGCTCTCAGAAGACATAAATAAATACAATTGTTTGCAGATGAGAAAAAGCCAACACAGATCATGATGACAGCAGAGAAACAGGAGACAACCACTGTTCAAACTAAAACGAGCGTCACACGGACTACGAAGAGTTCGGAGAAGAAAGTGGAGCACACGGCCGACGGGAAGAGTGTGGAGTCTTCTCAAAAGAGGAACTCTCAGAAGGATGACTTGAAAATCAGCCAAGTTCGTTAAAGTAAATAGTTTCAGGAAGCAGAAAGTGTTCATTACAGGTGACTACCAAAAAGGAAGAGGATGCAAACATGCCTGCACCGAAATTAACCGTCAAAAAGAGCGTCCTGAAGCAGAGTGCTGAGAAATCAACATCCGAGAAAGAACACAAAACCACTGAGCACAAGGACCAAGAGAAAGTTGTGAAGAAGAGCAGCACGGTGAAAGACAAGGATGTTGCACAATTGTCACTGGAGCACACACTGAAGGTGAGTCACCCGATCGCCATCAAAACATCTTCATTGTTTTTAGGTGAATGGTGAGAAGCCTGAGAAAGCGAAGATCACGGGAACCAAAACAAATGTGCAGAAGGTAGAAGTGAAGGGAGAAGAAGTGATCGGTCCGAAGAAGTCGTCGCTGAAAAAGACAAGTGCGAAGCTTACAGGAGAGGTAACTACAGACGTCAGCAGACTGTTCCCATACATATATCATCTTTTTAGACTATCAAACATCTCGAACTTGTCAAAGATGGAAAAATTGGTAGCCTGAAAACAAAAGACACTTCAACGGTAACTCATGGATCTAATCTTTCTTTTTTCATTCCTTATTCAGGTGAAACTGTCACCGGACTCCGCAAGTGACACGTCCTCAGCTAAAAACGTGCGAATCCATTTGACAGATGAGCAGTCAGTTAAGTCGAGTGTCAGATCGCATCCGTCCAGTGTTAGCACTAGAGATAGTTCAGAGGAAAGGAAAAAGGTTAGAAAACCATTAGTTCCTCCATTTTTTACAATTAAGATTGTTTTTAGGTTCGTTTTGCCGGCGATATTGAGTCACCGTCAAAACTGAAGCCTCCTCCGCAGCCGTTGTTCGGTAACGGACTGCAGAAAATGAGATCCGAGAGTAGTTTGCACAAGAAGATTGCCGAGAACGGAGCAAAGAAAAGCAGCCACGACGACGTGTCCCTTGTCCGAAAAGCTTCTCTGTTCACTGATATTGAGTATCAGCCTCGGGAAGACTTTTCATTTGAGGCTTTGAAGGAGAAGCTGACACGGCGGGTCAGCGACGGTTTCAGTGACGAGGAGAAGAAGCCAAAACAGATGATATCCATCCCACCGACCAACTCTGTCAAGGATCGGCTGCGCCACTTCGAGAAGAAATTTGCAAAATAAATGACATGTTTCTTTGTGAACAACTCGTATTTATTGAATGTCTGTCTGTTATTACTGAGCTCATATCAAGTTGGTACTGGTCCTCTGAATATATTCCCCGCCCTGTGTTACGTCCGTCCTTTCCTCCCTTTGCTTCCGTTTCTTCGACGTGTTTATCGTGTTCAGTTCGTATTGCTATCCGTTAGAGCTTTTTCTTGTCGTGACCATTAGTATACTATCAAAATAGCTTTCTTGCCTTTTGTTTCAAAGCGTTAACATGTGGTTGTCTTACCTTACTGATGCTTGTGCACATATTCTCATACTACATGATGAAGGACGCAATAAATATTACGATTCTAAAAATTTTTAACGATAGCTGTTTTAAAATGAAACTGTGATAGTTGTTAATGATAGTGTGATAGTACGATAGTTGTTTTGAATGAGAGACTTCACTCAGTTCTAGTACAATGGGATCCTCGCACAGTACTTCACTTGGGTGGGAGGAATCCCAATGGGTAGACATGAAAAAAAAAGACGGAAATAAATAAAATGACAATTTCTGCCTTTATATACCCCTGTGGGTGTGGCCATTCTAATTAGTGGGCGTGGCTCCTATGTCGGCATTCTTATCACTAATCTCCGACTTTAATTAAGATGGCGTGGGAATGTGAGCTTCAAGCGGATTTGCGGCAAGTTTCAAAGAAGCCAACATAATTACAGACGGGGATTAGTGATAAGGACGCAGACAAAGGACTCCGATGGGAAAGAACGATTGGGATTTCGAAACGTCATTGCCCCGTGCCAAGAGGATTCGGAAAAAGAGTGATAAGGAATTGATAGGGACCACTGTTTTCACTGAATATTCCATAAGGACCATCGTTGTAACTGAATATTCAATAGAGGTTACCGTTTCAACTAAATGTCGAATAGAAACCACGGTTCTAACCGAATATCCAAAAAGGACCAACTGGAATTCCGATAAAGACTACTGTTTCAACGGAATATCCAGTTGATACCATTTCTGCTTTAGCTGCAAAAAGAACTTCACAATTCAAGGTAGGTCCTTTTAGTCCACTAACGCTTTCTTGCAATCTATAATTCTTATTTCACTAAATGCTTTGGGAAGTCACGTCACCTCTGCACAGACGAGCCAAAGACCATGAGATCATGTAAAAGCGAAACGTTTCCACAACATTTCTCTTTTTCAATCACGATTGACACAACATAAAGCGAGTATAAAAGAGCACGATCCGGCAAGTGTGCATCTGTCTCGACAATGCGCTCCTTCTTCGCTATCTTGGCCCTTGCCACCATCTCCTACGCGCAGTTTGCCCAGCAACTTCCATGTGGATTCTGTGAGTTTCCTTCTTCTCCTTGTACCTGACAATTCTGATCCGATTTCAGCGTGCTCCCGCCGCACCGTGGTCAATGCGATCATCGACGGACAACCCGGAACTGCCACCTGCTCGGAGAACACAAACCCGGCCAGATGTCTCGGGTGTTGCCAGTCGAGAGCTCTCCAGGACGGACTCACCGTTGACCGTGCTTCCGGATTCTTGTCGAACGACCAGAGATCGTGCGTCTGCTGCTTCAGCAACAGCAACAGAAACTGCGGAAACAACAACACGTTCGGAAAGTAATTATCTGATGTTTTCCTATTTTGAAGTAAAATGGCTCAGCATTTCAAATCTGTTCAGTTTTTTCTCATGATTTCGTCTTTTTGGTCGCTAATGACGGGAGTTGTCATTTTGTTTTTTAAATCCGACCATCGTTTTTGTGCTGAACGAACACACAAAAATAAGTGAATTTTGATATGCAAAAGATGTGAAAGCATCGAACATTTATTTATTTCCGCATTTCGTAAAAAATGGCGATTCGTCACTTGTTCCTTGACAATTAGGTCGAGAGACTCAAAACATTATTCAAAATTGACTTGAACAGGTGAAGCGGCCGTCCAGTTCGGCGGATGGACAATTTCTTTTCTCTTTCTTCTTCATGAGCCACACTTTAGTCTAGCTCAATGTCAAGAGAAGAGACCCAGTTTCTTTTGTCGTTGCCAACCAACACCACTTATTATGAACTGACTATCATCGGATCTTCTTGTCAACACGTCCATGTTCCTCGCTTGACAGATAGTGATTTTCGCTGGATCCTTCATATCATAACATTCATTTCAATATGGTTTAACTTTTTCGCCATTTATTGCATACTTACTGCTACAAGTGTCAGCATGGGCAGATTTCGTTGGTGCTTGCTGAATTTGCAAATATGGTCAGCGTCTTTTCGTTCAACTAAATTTTTAAACGGACTTTTTATTAGGACTGCAATTACTGATTTGATGGCTTCCGTGTTCGTAGTGCCTCGGTTTCACTTCCCCGTCATTGGCGGAACTGTTATTGGTGTCATTCAACAGTTTGGGGTGCCTGTACCACATCAGACTTATATTGGATTTGCGTGTTGTGGAGGTAATATTTTCAAGATTATTCTCAAAAAATCTTCATTTCAGCAATGATTGCAAGTGTCGCAGTACTCTTTGTCTATCGTCATCAAGTGATTGTAGGGACTGAGCATCCTATGCACATGAAAACTAGAAATCTAGTACTTATTCTCACTTTCAACTACATTCTTTACATGAATATGACAGTTCCAGCTCTTAACACTCTTCCTGCGGACCAAGTAGCAGTGAAGATTGAGATACTAAAAGTGAGTCCATGAACATCAAAAGGTAACCTATTTGGTTGTAGGTAGAGCGATGTCCCCCTAAAAATTTGCCGAGTCCGGATGTGTTCATTATGCAAACTTCCTTTGATCTCCTTCCCTGGCTCCTCTTCTTGATTGTCTTCGTTGGAACTGAATGTGGTTGTTTGGCGCTTCATTCTTCTTGGATTCTGTTTTTCTCAACTCTGTCTTCAAACTTCTCGCGGAAAACTCGAATACTACAAATTAAATTCCTCGGCGCTCTTGTCTTGCAGGTGAAAATTCGCGGAATGCGAATGAATTAAAGTTGTGTTTTGTGACTCCCCCTTTTCAGATTGCGATTCCAACCACACTCTGCTACTGCCCAATACTCTATTGTGTTATCACCACACTCACCGATCATTACTGGCAATGTGAGTCACAGTTTTCCAGACTTGCAAGATTTCGAGCCGGCCCGTAAGCTTCACCATGAATTGATTGGTTTGGACAAATTCTGGACAAATTTTAAGTTTTGGCCCGGCCCGTTGCAAGTTTGCAGTTTTCCACGAGAACAAGATAATTTCAGTTGCAAATGACATTTGCGTTTTTGTGTTCAGTACACACGGTACAATCTCATCAGTTTGTTTGGTTCTGCTGTACGACTGCTACAGGGATTTCCTGTTTCACTGCATCCGGAAGTTAGCCTTTTGTTGTAAGAACAGGGGCCAGGTGCAAATAACTGAGTGAGGAGGAAGTGAAATGGAATGAACTAATGAATGTCTCCGTTTTTTCAGAAACGCATCTGTCATTCGGAGTGACATCAGTAGAAATGCCATTCATGCGTCTTACATAACATAAACCAGCAGTGCCAGAATAATAATATTTTTAAATAAACTTGTGAGAATTTATTGTCGAATACAAAAATTAATCAAAATACAAAATAGTGGAGAGAAGGGGACAATCTCTCCGAATCTTAAAAGTAATACGTTCAGGATAATACGTTTTTGTCATAATACGTTGCCAACGGAATGGTAGTGCTAATATTGCAGTGCTTATGCGTCAAGGAAGTGACGCTCGTTCATCCACTCGTCGTCGAGGAACTTGGTCCTAAAAATATGTTCAATATACAAACTTTTTGAATAATTTAGTACTCACAGATAGTTTCTGATTCCATCCGGAAGCAAAACGACGACATTCGCGTCCTCCGGCAGATTGAGAGCCTTGCACTCCTCGAGAGCGTAGTGAACAGCGCATCCGGACGATCCTCCGCAAAGGATTCCCTCGGTGCGGATGAGCTCGCGAGCCATCAGGAACGACTCCTTATCGTGCGACTTGGCCCAGTAGTCGACCACGTTGGTGTCCAAGGTCCCCGGAAGGAAGTCGTATCCGATGCCCTCCACCTCGTAGAATTCGATCTCCGTCTCGTTTGGGCCGGCAAGAATGGATCCATGTGGGTCCACTCCGACAACCTTGGCAGTTGGAACACGCTCGTGAATCTTGCGAGAAATTCCGGTGACAGTTCCTCCAGTTCCCGCCGTCAGAACCTGAATGGAAAACGATTGCAATCAAAACTAGGTTCACGCTCGATTGCGTTCAAAATTGGAAAAAAAACCGAAAGCGATTATATCTTTAGATCGATGAACATACCACGAGGTCGATCGGTTTGTCTCCCATATCGTACAGAATCTCTTCAGCGGTCTGTTCGTAATGAGCCAGTGGGTTTCCTGGATTGCAGTATTGATCGAGTACGACCGCATCCTGGATTTCACTCTTCAGACGGAGGGCAACTCCGATGTGGGAGTGCGGGCTGTCGAATCCGGCCTCGTTCGGGGTACGGATGATGGTGGATCCAAGAGAAGCCATGGCGATCGCCTTCTCTTTCGACATCTTCTTTGGCATGGTGATGATGCACTTGTACCCACGGACAGCCGAAGCGAGCGACAGTCCGATTCCAGTGTTTCCGGAGGTCGGTTCGATGAGAGTGACTCCAGGAACCAACTTTCCTGGCTTTCCGGTCTTCTCGGCAATCTCAACCATTCTCTTGGCAATACGATCCTTGGTGGATCCTCCGGCATTCAGATACTCACACTTGACATCTGAAAAACAAACACATAAAATTGTCCCGTTAATAACACAAATAACACGTACAAACATTGCACTTGACGCCATGGTTCTTGGGCACGTGTTGAAGTTTGACCAGTGGAGTCTTTCCGATTGCATCGAGAACGGTATCAAGCACCAACGGTCTCTCCGGGCTGAAATAAAAAGGAATTGATGTTATCATGCCCTCCGGTTTCCTTTCTCACTTAAATTCTCCGAATTCGACAGCCGAGTGATTCCACTGCTTGGTTTGCGGGTCTTGCGACCATTCGCCGGCCAGTTTGGTTGGGTCATAAATCAAGACGGATGGGTCGAAAGTGCTGTTTGGCTGTGGTCCATCTTTTCTTGTGACCACATTCTTCTTATGAGCGGTGATCCAATCGTCATCAAGGAAATGACGCCTGAAATTGTCAATGTGATTTTGAGAAAACCAGTTTCATTGTGATAGTACTCACAAATAATTTCGAATTCCATCCATTAAAATGACAACGATCGTTGAACCGGCTGGGAGTTCCTTGGCAAGCTGAACAGAAATGTTTGTGGTTTGAATTACAGATAATGCCTACCTTGATGGCAGCAAGAACAGCGGCTCCAGAAGATGGTCCGGCCATGATTCCTTCGCTGGAGATGAGCTGTCTGGTGAAAGCATAGGCCTCGTCCTCATCGACTTCTCTCTTCTCTACATTGTACTCTTGAAGAAGGTCCTCTTTCAGATCGAGCCCCATTTCCGGGATGGTGTTCTTCTTGCAAGTGACTCCGACCACACGGACTCCATGCTCTCCTGCACCCTTGTAGTAAGCAGCAATTCCAGCAGCAGCCGCACCGGTGTTCAGTGGAAGGACGACTGCTCCGACCTTTCCGATCGACTTGTTATTCACAGCCTTCTCAATTTCCAAAGCGGTTTTCTGGAGATTTGCAACAAAGGCAGCGTTGGTGGTGAATCTGTTCAGAGAGAACGCTCCTTTCTGCTGAGCAGCCTCTTCAGTGAGAGCACGAGCTTCTAGGTACGTCTCCACCGGCAACTCGATATAGTTGGCTCCAAGAGTATGCAGAACAGTATCCACAAGTGCGAACTCTCCTTTCGGCGCGTAAACGGTCAATCTGAAAGATGTTTGGTTGAGTGACGTGGTGCTTCTTGATCTTGATCTCTCTTTCTCTTACTTGTTTCCCTTCACTGCAGCAACTGTTGCGAAAGAGATGGCAGCAGACCCTCCGGCGGTCACAAAGACCTCATTTCCTCTGACGAGTCCGATCTCTTCAGCAAACTGAAAAATGAAAAGAAATGAAGATAGTGGTCACTTTCAGATTGCGATTTCTTGCCTGGAAAGCCTTGTCTGCGGTTCTATCCTCCAGCGATCCCGCAATGTTGAGATACTCCAACTTGACATCTGAAAAGTAGAAAAGGTTTTTGGTGGACTCGTCTTGACCGAAAGTTAATCTTCAAATATAGACGGAGAGGTTAAGCAAATAGAATCGGTAAAAAAGTTGAAGCTACCGCTTGGCGATAATTAGCTTTTTTGTCATCAAAACTCACAAATGTCGCTTTTGAGTTGATGCTCCACATTGAGTTTCTTCAGTGGGACCAATGGAGTTGGGCGCTGAGCGGCCTCCAAAATATTGTTATAGGTGATCCCTTTCCTGCAAAATCTTGTCTTATCTTTTTTGTCTCGAGATGAGATCAGACGTGATAATCTTATCATATCATGTCTCGACTTCAACCGTCTAACCAGCACGTGGCCAGCAGTAATTCACTCTTCTGACTATCTTACGAATATTTCATTTATCATTAAACATGAAGATTGCGTCACTGTTTCAAGGGAAACGGTTCTTCTGTTTACATCAGAAAAAGTAAAACTGATAAGAAATACGTGATGTTTAAAATCAACAGTATCGGTTCAAAATGTTGTTGGCACGTACCTGGCGACTCCATTCGTGGCAGCAACAACGTTTTGGCTCATCCTTACACTCGGAACTAGAAGATTGGTCCGACCTGCAAGAAACACGCGTTGGGGCTTGTTTGCAACAAATCGAGAAGAGTGGCCAACAAACAGAAAACGAAAATCAAAAGACGCGGCTGTTTCAACCTAGAGATTGTCGGGCACAATTGTTCACAGAAACCATAGACTGATCGGCATACGGGAAAGGGGGTCAGACCCGATGACGGTGGGCGGGGCCTTGTTCTGATTCTTCTGGCAAACAGCCGACGCCTATGGATCTTTTGGCGGGTTTTAAGAAACGATTTGGAGGGGGAGGTCAAAAAATCAAAAACCCCTTTGCAAATCGCGCGTGTTTCGTTGCAAGAGTAAAAAATAGAAAAACTGGAATTCGGAATGTTATCAGTTTTTGTGCAATTATAACTACAATATCGAGATGACCAGTGGGAAATAGAAAGTTTCTGTCTGTCACCTTCATGGTCGTCACAATCAGATAGAAGAAAGAAGACGGGCCCGTTTCAAGTACAGTCTCTCTGTATTTCAGGGCAAAGTTTCATAGTTTTTCTCGCCGGACAATTGATTTGATCTTTGGTGCGATATAACAGAAGATACAGTGAACAAATTTTACTTTTTTATTTCGACACAATTATGCATTATTATCATGTAATGAAAACGGACGATGCGTTGAAGAAAAATGGGAAGACATAAATCATAGAGAACATGAGATCGTGGGCACAAGATCTGGCAAGGTATCAATACCTAAGCAACCCAGGACGATCTATGGATGTGTGCGGGAGGAATTGGAAGAAAAAAAGTAATGGAGAGAAGGGAGGGGGGCGCGAAGCAGTGTACAGAAAAACGCAGTGTTTGGTGAATGTGGAGATGAGATGGTTGAGCAGTGCTGACCTCAGGACAGTATGTTTTACAACGTTGTAACGCGTTGGGAAAGGGCAACCTGACAACCTTATTGGAACGTTTTTCTTGGAAATATGATATTTCTCGTCAGATATGATAAATGTCAGCAATGTTTTGTGATTTGGTAAAAAAAAAGAAGCAAATATCATCTTTGTGCTCTGTAACTATCGGCGGAAGAGCTAAGCGGGGATGATGCGATGCAAAAAAGCGGTTATCAGGTTTCTTTTTCTGCGTTCGCGGTAAATTATAAATAAATGTTAACACTGCTCGAGTCTAGCTCCATCAAGTGATCCACTGCACCTAAACCTCGTTACTTTTGGTGTTTTTGAGTCGACTTGGGACGCGCGTCTGCTCTCGTACCGTGGCGCGCGTACCACGAGGTGACACTGTGGAAGTTCCTTGCTCGCGACGTGCGCGACTTGCGGCTGCGATCCGGTGGCTCTCGGCTTCGCGAATCTGCGTCGATCGGCGGACAGAACGGCTTCCTGCAAAATCGTTTTGATCTGGATGTACACTGATGAGGGTCGGTGAGGGAAGGGAAGGATGGGGACAAACGGGTTGGTTGGTTGCAAGGGATGACATTTCTCAGCTACGCCGAAGGTGATTAGATCTCAATTAGAAGCAGACAAGACATCATATTCAATTTCCGTCCGAAAGGTCTTCTCATGTCATCAGCTGATGCAATTTCCTCTCAAGAACACCGCATCTTCCAATTCCCATTAAGTCTGGAGAACTATCGGCTAGACCCTATCGTCATTGATAACAGTGTACGTGCAGAATGAAACATCGTGTTGAAGAAATTGAAGAAGTAAACCGGTTTTGCAGAGAGGGTGAAAAAGACACCACGTGATAAGATAAGAATTTGATCGAAAATGGAGAAGATGGGAAGAAGAAGTGAAGGAAACCACTTGACCGTCATGCATACCTCCTTACCAGCAGTGTCCATGGTGCTGCAATAGTACGAGTTGCGTTTTGGTTCGGTGCCAAAACGGTACAAGAAAGGGTTGATGCACGTGCTGGAAAATGTGTTTTTGTTAGTCACACATCCGAATACAATTCCTACCTTGCTATAATTATAGCTTGGAGCCAATTCAGTTTGCTCACTACTTCTTGGCAATTATCAGAGACACAAACAATGCGGAGAAGAGCCAGAACCTGAGAATCATTATATTTCCATTTTCACAATTTCAAATCTCACCTGATATGGAAGCCACGTGAATAAAAATGTACAAATAATCGCTACAGAAGCTTTCAGGAATCTAGCTTTAGTGTTTGTTGTTTTCTGTCCTTGTCCTCCATCCTACAAAAACAAGCGGATTATCAAAACCAGAAAAAAAATTTAAAAAAAGCTAACCTGCAAAAGACGACGTTCCGCCATTTGTTTCCTAATCGATAATCCGATTGCCAAGTAGCAGATAATAACTATGAAGAGTGGGATGTAGAACGAAGTTATGACGTGGAAGAGGTTGAAAGCAATCAGAACGTCCTCCCCGAAAACCTGAAATAACCGTCCGTGAAACTGATCCGTCGATTCCAGTTTTCTTACATCAGTTCTGGGGTAGCACTGATACATGTCTTCGTCGTTGATCTGAATGGTTCCGCGCAGAATGCTCATCGGCGAGGCACAGACTATGGCAAAGCCCCACGCAAGAGTTATGAGCCAATTAACGCGGTTGGCGCCGGTCCGATAGCTGCTCAGCGGAGATCTGAAACCTGCGTCGTGTCAGTTTACGCGCAGAATGTTTGTGGGTTGTTTACGTAATGCAGCACAGCATATCGATCGCAATCGCGGCCACCATGTTCGACCAGAGATGGAAAGGAAGGGCACACAGGAAACTGAACACACGGCACATCACATCTCCTGCAAAACAAAAAAAAACGAAACAGTCCAAGAGTTTGATACAATCATCTCTTACCCTGAGTCCACACAATTCTATAAATCCAGTAACTTCTCCAGATTCCGTACATAAAAAGAACCATGAGATGAGCGATAAGCAACTGTCTGCTGAGCTTCACTAATCGCGATTCGACGCCTCCTTCACGGACATTTCTGAAACCAAACATCATACAAATTACTTCTTCTTCTTCTCCTTTTTTAGCGAGTAATGGCTAATGACAATTTCTGCCTCAAACATGGAGCATCGAGCTTTTGTTTCTTTTCTGAGTATTCTGACGAATTTTAAATGCTTCAACTAAAAGTGGATTGCACAAATTATTTTGCAGCGCTTTTGCACACTCGAAACTCATCTATCGTTTTCTGTGCGTAAACACTCACCGACTTGTCTTAACAAATGCGAAAACATTGATCGGAGTTCCGATGATGAAAAATGCGAGCTGGTAGAACATTTCGATTATTTCCGATGTCGAATGGACCATCACAAATGCACCGTCTGTGCTTGAATTCATTCTCTGTAAGACAGAACTCATTATTAGAGTAATACAAATAGAATTAGTAATACGCGAGATAATATAAAATAAATTGGATAAACTTGGCGACCGCCAGGAAATTAGAAATGAGAACGGTAGCGTTACTACTTCATGATATAACTTCACAATACAAAATTCCGTTTTTTTTCTATTTTCGCCCATAAATGTGTAGTATTAGTAAGTAGTCAGAGTAAATAACTAAGAAAGCAGACATCGTATTACTCACAAATGATACGGTGGGTTCTGGGGATCCAGACATGCCCAAAGATGTGACAACCGGCAGAAAATGAGCAGAGTTATAGGAAAATACGAGTACGATGACGCCGGAAACGAGTCGAATCAACATGTGCGTAGAAAGGCGTGGCCTCTTGTGCTAACTTTGCGTGGTTCACACCGTAACTCGTCGGGTCTGGTTTTTAATTTCCGGTTGCGGTAGTCTAACAAGTAAGGTAAAATTAGCTATGAAGTTTAATTATTCAAAGACGTCACTGTCCAAAATAGTTACTATTTTAAGACATTTCGACACTTTTCAGTTCTTCATAAAGGTGAGGTCAAGTTTCAGAGATCTCCCATCGCTATTCAAAACATATTGAACTGAAGCAAGAGCATGACAAACAATAGACAGAGAACAACGAGTCGTCTTGGAAAGTTGAACAGATTTTCAGAGCCAATTGAAGAAAAGAACTAAAGATGTACTGAGATGCTAAGTGTCAGTGTTCATCTTGAAAGTCCATTTTGTCTGGCCGGGTTCAGGTTTCCTAGGCAGAGTGCTCTGCGCTGTTATTTGGAAGTGATAGTCAAAAACAAAGTGATAAAAGGTCAACAGGAAATAACAGCGGAATCTAGGCAAACTCCACTTGGCGTCGCATCTCAAAGAGTATTTTAGGGAATGAAGCTTGCATACGGAGGCCGAATTAACGACAAAAAAAACAAATGACGAGAAGAGGTTACAAACGGGCCGCGTACTCTTGTTTTTGTTCTTGTTTCGATCAAGTAAATTGGACGTACGTTCGAGATGTCTTGTTCTTGAGCAAGGAGGGAATTTGGCTGGAATCCCAGGAGGAAGTCTTGCGGAGAAATAGGAACAAGTTGACTTTTTTGACCGGATTAGTTGTCTATCCAGAATTGTTCCGTTTTTGAATACAAAAGTTCCTTGAATTCATGCATACTAAGAAAAAAGTGAACAAATGGAATAGACAACAAGTACAGTAATCCGCGTCATTTCGTTAATCTGTTCCCGATTTTCTTTTCCAGATCTTCGAGTTTCGAGTCATTTCCTTCTCCTACTGCCGAGCACAAACTTCACAAATTTCTGCTGTGCGTCAAAGTTTGATAAGATGTCATCGAACGCTCGCTATCACGAAGATGTAATATCAAATTTGAATTGCGAATTGTCGTCGATTCGGTCATTCGTTATTTCTCTATCTCTCCCACTTTCTTTCGCTCTTTCACCGTCTCAAAAGTTTGAAAGCCGCTGTAAATTGTCCGGAGAGTGACACTTATCCTTCACAAACTCTCAGATATTACATTTTGAATGGCCAGTTGCGTATTGCAATGTATCATTTTGAGATAACGTTGACCAGGGCGGCTCGTGTTTGCCCTTGCCCTGTCTCGCACTTTCATTACTACCTTCTCGCCGCTCCTGCCGCTCCTGCTGCTGCTGCTCCATGAGACTTCTACTTTTTGCTTTTATTTTCTATCTTACGGTATCAGCGCCGGTGTCTATACTACGTGATCCAAGAGCACGAGTAGTACCGGAACTCGATATCATCTATGTGGAATGGCAATCGACACAACAACTACAGAGTGAGAAAATTGAAAAATGTTGGCTTTTCGGCTTCATAATAACTAAAAACTATGAGCATGGACTTTCAGCTAAACGAGAAATGCACTTTTCTCAAAATACTTTTGTAATTAGCATTCCCTAGAAAATTGATTTTCCTGTTATCACGCACGAAAGGTAGTCATAATGTGGGCTGCTGATAAATGTTGAATTTGAACAAAAATTGCGAATTTGCAGACGTAATGTACACGGTTCGACACAAATCGGGAGCGGATCAAGCTGCGTGGAAATACATTAAAACTGTTCAATCAAACGTTCGAATTCCGTTGAACATGTATCAAAACGGCGAGAATGTGCACGTCCAGGTAAGAGAGGAAATGGGAAAACGGGTACCGACATTCATTAAAATTTCAGATAAAAACAGAGAGAGGGGCTCAAGTCGTCGAGGATTGGACACAGGAAGTCGTTGTTGCGGTGGCCAAAAAGGTCAGCTTAAAAGAAAGAAAAGTGAATAGATAAATAAGCAATGGGGGAATTTCTGACCAGATATGACCTGGGGTTTGGTTCTAAAATTGTGTGGGGAAGGGGAGAAAAGCGGCGGAAACGGAGGAGTCGCTGTTTTTCCGAACAGCTATTGAGACAAAGTATCGGGAGGTTTGGGCTCTCTTCGAAAAGTCCATAATCCTGGGCGACGAGTCATAAAGGGCCAAAAAACGGGGAAAAGGAAGCAATAAAACGGCCAGGACTAAGGTTTGCACTCCTTTTCAAAAATAATTCTAGACTAGCGATTCCTCGCGCCAAAACGTTTTTGGAAGAAACTTTTCTTTCTCTCTCTCCCTCTTCCAGATGCAGTCAACAGGATGTTCCACTTCCACCATTGGCTGGCTATTCTCTCTTCGGTTAGCCGGAGATATATAGCCAATGTGATTTATCGCTTCGGAATTCTGACTAGTTATTTGGAAGAAAAATATTGAAGTGAAGTGAGACTGAAAAATGACTCGAAGGGAAGGGAAAGAGGGAAGAGGGTCTCGAATTGGAGTGAGTATTGTAATAAATAGTCCTGCAATTTGTCAGAAATGACTGATTTCTGTGTTGGCGTGTATTTTTGGAAAAGTGACGAAAGCACATCAGAAGAATCGGGTTTGCACAGATTTAATTTGAACGTTTCAAGATTCACAATATTTGATAGCAAACAAATCGGATGTTGTTTTTTAACATAGAGAGAGAGAAAGAGAAAAGAGAGAGCCATGTGAATTTGCAAAAAGACGTGTAATGCAGGAAAGATACATGATCAGACAGACAACTCTGGTTTGAAATGAACGAAACTCTTAAGAGTAAGCGTCACAAGAAAAATAAATTAACTAAAAATAAAGAGCTGATCCTTTTAGAAATAAAATAAGACCAAATGTTTCAGAGTGTTCGATCGGCTCCACTACGACCAGCCCCACCAGTGCCTGCGGTCCCTGCTGCTCCAGCCCCAGCGCCATCTTTGACCCTCGCGTCTGCTCCGACCGTAGCACTTTCTCCGCCACTCCATTTCATTGCAAATATAATGAACCCGACTACGGTCCAGCTGAAATGGCAACCAGCAATGCCCGGAAGACAAGGTGCGTGTGTTCATGTGTGTTCTTTGAACATTAATGGTTCATCTGAAGACACCTCAGACAAAACATTGAAACTTAAAATGTGCGTATGTGTGTGCGAGACGACCTTTCAATGGCTTCTGAATACGTTGTCTGTCTGACGGCCAGGAGTCAGAGTCAGATATTCTCGGAAGAGTTAAGTATTTAGATACTATGAAATGAGTCCGGTCTTTTCTCACCAGCAGAAAATACTTGAGAAAGTCCGATATGACACAGAGAAGGCCGAGTGGTCCCTTTGAGAAAAGAAAAACACTTTCTCCAGGAAATGAAAGTTGAAAGCGAGAGTTGTTCCGATGAGGGCTCACATTACCTATTGTGTTTTGAAAGCCGCACAAATTACAACTGTTCCTACGTGTTTGTTTTCGAGAGGCCAACGATAAGATGAAAATGTGGAAGAGCAGAAAACGGAAATCAAGCAGCGACCAAATAGAATTCATGAAAACAAGAGGGCAGGAAGCGGAAGAAAAGCGTAGCGTTTGGATGGATTCGAAGAATTTAGGTCTACTTTTATTAAACATCCGTTAGGATTGAATTGACAGAAGGGACGGGAAAACACGTCACGGAGTAGGGCCAGACACGATCGAGTTCAAGAACTTTCTCTATTTCTAGCCGGAACGTTTTGCCGACTAAAATCGCAAAATGAACGGGCTTCTAACTTTGACGAGAGCACGAGACCAACATCAGTGAATGAAACGGATAGAGGTGAAATAGAGAGATAGTTTTTGAATAATTCAACAGCGGACGGGCGAATGCATGAAAAAAACGAGTGGGAAGGACGGCAGAAGGCCAAATTGGATAATGTTTCGCTGTGGATATTAGAGATGCACTGAAACGAGCACATAATTGGATGGAAACTGCGCACTAGTGACGCTGACTCGAGTTAACGGCTGAAGTGTCTGCAATTCCAGTTAAATGACAATTAGTCAGAGGAAACGACGCATATTGGATGCACAAAAAAAGGGTTCTGTTTTCTTGCGAACTCGTGCTCAGAGTCGAAACGAGGCGGAGGCTCAATATGCTCCAAATGGCCTTACTACAACCTACGGCAGGATGAATGCAACAACAACAAAAAGATAAGAGGATTCGGTTTGGTGTGCACAGAAAAAGAAAAGAACAGAGAATATATGGATGTTTTTTTAGAGATCCCACACATGACTAGTCGCTAAATTATGGTCTTTCTTTTTCAGATATCTACTATTTAGTGAACGTGAAGCAGCTGACAACAGCATCAGGAAGCACACTTCAAAACCAACAAGTATCAAAGATCTCGTCGACAAACGAATCAAACCGCAAATGTTTCAGATCAAAACTGCGGCCACTAGTTTTGTACTCGGAAAAATGATTGCCGGCGAAAAGTATGAAATGACAATCAGAAGTGCATCCAAACAGGACGCAGTTTCCGGAACCGCCGCGATTGTCGAGATCACAATGCCAAGAGGTAGTGTTTTTTTGTGGGGCGACGGACTCATTCGGTGACGAAATAAGACTTATGGATCAAAAAAATACGCACAGGTTTAGAAAGAGATGAGCTGGCCGAACGAACGTGGACAAATCTCGCCAAGTTCGTTCTATGCATTTTTCTGCGAAAACGTCAAATGCAGAACGTTGGTCATATGTTCGTGGCCAACGTGTACCTAATCTTTTTTGTGAACCTCGTTAGGAAAGTCTCAGATAGTTAGATGAGTCTAAACGTGAGAACACAACGGATCAGAGAAATCTTCAAAACGAAAAGAGTACATTTTTAAAGCGTATAATCTAAGTCTAAATCTGAATATCATCGTTCTGAACACCGAGAAAAGTAGGATTTCACATGAGTTCCAAGTCATCATTATATCCTATGACATGAATAGCTCATAATTGGTCACCTTTTGTATGGACGAATGCGTCCGATCTTTACCTTTTCTCTGGGTGCATGTATTGGTGTGAAGAGAACATAAGTAGAACGAAAATAATTTCAGAATATGACTACTTTGAAATTGGAAACCTCATCATCAGTTCGTACTTCCGAAATCCGACACAAGGCATCGTCAACCTGACCTGGGAAGTCCCACAAACTATGCAAAACAGGATTGCGTGTACGTAATATCATTTACGGATAATATTATAATATTTGACAGGCTTCCAACACTTTTTTGATTTGTTTTCCAGCTTACAATGTGGAGTACTCTGAGATGGGCACCGGGTATTGGCAGAAGATTCAATTCCACGGAGCATCTTCTTCGGCGGCCCTGCACCATTTGAAAAGGTTCGTTTTACAAATTTCATTATCACCTTTTGTCTGTGTCTATTCTATCGCATTCGCAAACATTCGACAAAAAGGGGAAGCGTAAAGGAAAAGGTTCGGTTTGGTTCTACATAAAAAGAAAACGAAGCATTTTCGGCCGATCCATCTCTTTAATTAAAAAATCTTCTTGTTCCACACCAACCCCCTTATTTGATATGCCGTAAATCATGGTGAGCAACGGGAACATTGACTCAACGCGACAAATAGAAAAGAGAAAAAGAAAGCAACAAACGAAAGGGAACATTTGAAAATAAACCAAAAAAAGGAGTGGGGGAGAGGGGTTCGAAATGAATATTCATACGCAACACAAGATTTCTGCTCCTCTTCCATACACATACTTGATTTGTTTCAGCAATACGGAATACTTGCTTCGCATCAAAACTGTGTTGGCCAACAATATTATCACCGAGAGCCGACAGTTCCGATTCCGAACACCACGAGGTGAGGAACAACACAAAAAAACAGTCATGGGAAGCCGGAAAGAAGAGAGAATGAAAGAGAGAGGGGAATCTGCATTCCAAGCAGTATGTGTGAAAATGCAAAGTATCTTGCACGGAAATTTGTCAACACGTTGCGGTGTCCGGGGGCCCAAAACATCTGGTTCTGTGTTGATGAGGAACATCGTGTCAAGAAAATATATGCGGGGCGGGGGGAGAAGTGAACTTTAAGAAGCGCCGAAGAGCGCACAACGTTGAATCTCATGAATATTAGGTGTTCTTGCAGTGGAAGCGAATCCGATTCATAAAGTGGACGTGATCTATTCGCACGATGTCAATTCTGTAAAGTTGCAATGGATGCTCGAGCCGCATATTCGAATCGAAAACGTGGCCGGCTACGATGTCTACTTGAGTCAAGACACGGTGAGAATCGAAGAGCACACCAATCTCTATGCAAATTAGAAAAGGGCAGGGCACACATATGAATTGGCAATGAGAAGTAAGGAAAAGAACATAACGTCGCATCGGATGAATATTTGACTAATCCCAAATTGCACAGGATATACTAGATTTAAGCTTCTAATCCGTCAATACTCTGCCATTTTTTGTTCCGTTGTTTTCTCGTGTGATCTCGAGAACAAGTACAGGGAAAACAGTTCTAAACAGTAATTACCATTAATGGTAATTTGAGAGGAGAGCGGAACAGAGGAAGGAAGGAAGATAAAAAAAAAGAGAAAAGAAAAAATAGGATAACATACGCTCGAGAAATTTCGAATGAACGGACGAAAACTTTTGTTGGAAAACAATTTTAGATTGATGAGATCGAGGGGTGGGGACAGGGAAATTGAAAAACAGATCGGCAAAAATTAAATGTTTTCATTCTCGAGTTTTGTGCTTTAAGTTGAGCACGTGTAGGACAAAAAACACTCACAATCTGTGAAATTTGCTCTAACCTGAAAGACGCTCCAGTTTTGTTGCAAACTCAAAATTACAAAAAGTAACGATTTAGTAAAAATGTGGCTTTAGCGACAAGTCTGGACAATATATTCTTGTAGAATCTTCCGGATTCTCAATGGAAACTCGTCCGTCTCAGCAACAAGGAATCTCATTTGTCTCTGGATGATTTGAAGAGCTCGACCGTCTATTATGTGCGTGTGAACGTTCGGAACACAGACGGATCTGTGATTCGCGCGCCAACAATTTATAGATTCAAGACGATTGGTGAGTGAGTGAATGTGTGAGCTCATACTTAATTACATGCTTTGTCTGTATGCCCGGTGGGAAAACTGTGATTCATGAAAAGAAAGTGAGAATGGGGAGGAAAGGGTCCGAAAGAACGAGTGAATGTAAAAAAGGAAAGAGTTTAAGATCAGAAATTGAATTTGGAAGGAAGAAGGATGACGGGGGGTAGGTTCGTTCGTTCCGACCGACCGACCGACACGACACTTGAGCGTTCTTCAGGCTCAACTCTCAGAAACCGGAACTAAAAACACTTATACATGTGCTAATCTTGAACTTTTCAGACTGGTCTAACACTAACCCCAATGCCGATTTCAATCCGTTCGATGATTAACACCAACTAATAGTGTTTTTGTTTGTTCTGATCTAACCCAGTCTACCTCTACCTCACCCGGTTCGATTCAATAAAACAAGTTTTGTGTGAAATGTAAAACCAACCGTAAATGCAGACACTGCCGAAGAAGAGGAATTCGAGGGAAACTCGCTGTCGTACCGGAACGTGGCTCCAGGAGAAGTTGAGATTCGCTGGACGTTCCCGAAAAGCATACTGGACAGCGTTATTGGTAAGGAGAAGAAGAAGAAGAAGAAGAAGACGTTTTTGCTCGTTTTTTCTCTTGGTGAATCAATGAAAAACCGACATTAAGAGAAGTCGTCCGTGGGGCTGGTCTCCGAAAAAAACAGAGTCATTCCATTACGTCTAGACGACGTTACACGGCTCTCTCTCTCTCTTCCTCTCTTTTCAAATGATTTAATGGATATGTGTATGTGTGCATTATAGGTGCTACTATTTTGTACACGGATCGCAAAGATCTGACTCCGGAGCAGTGGCAGAAGATTGAAATTGAGGATTCGAAAAATGTACGGGATTTAGATGCAATTCGAGTGTTATATGTGATATTTTCAGACTACGGTGCTCATTAAAAAATTGAAGGAAGGTGTGCGATACTCTGTACAAATCCTTCCACGGCTATACACCGGAGATTATGACTTTGAGTCGCGGGAACTTTTCGAATTCAAAACCGACAAACTGAGTGAGTGGCGGTTCTATGGTTCTATTGTTCACTTATGAATGTCTAAATATCGAGAACTTTCAGGTCACACCGGTGTTGCTCATGGCACAGACGTCCGGACGCTTCCAATTCATGGGCACCCCCTGTCTGGGCCGCATTTTGAGCAGATGTCCCATTCCGAGACGGAATTCATGCGCATCGTCAGCTGTAACCCGGACGCAATAAAGGTTAGGAGAAAAGCGCGTGTTATTCTTGAGAAAAGTCAAAGGGCGGTTCGTCAAAACACGAAACTGAACATAAAATATGAAATGCAAATCACTAGCGGAAAAAAGTCGCACTTATGTTGGAGCAAGTCTCATAATTTTTAAGTGGTTGGCGGGCGAAGCGTTTCGAGAAAAAAAAAGAAAAAACATGTTCAGTGAGGGACATATTCAAAGTTATAAATAAATGTTGCAGACTGGATGCGATTGGGATGAGATCTGCATAAACCGCGTCGAGGACCGTTCCAGGGGATGGTGCATCTCAAACACTCTTCGGGACAGCATCTTGAACTCCTAAATGTAGACAAACAGTCCCTTGATACTCATAATTTAAATTTCCACTAAACTTCCGCCTTCTTATTCTTACCCCTGCCTTCAAGTATTTTGTAGGAAATGTAAAATTCGCTTTCTTCTTATCCGTTTTTATTTCGTAACACAAGCACGTCAAAGCACAACGGGTCCGCGTCCGCGAGGAGCAAAAGATGAGCAAACGGTTACGAAATGGAAAGTGCGGTGTAAACAAAGATGAAACCGAGAGGACAACGGACGGAAGTGTGCACGGAAATCCATAGATTTCTGCTTCTTCCCGCACAAAATTTCAGAGAAAAAACTTTTTATGATCAGAATTATCAGAGTTGTAAATACCGGAAAACGTTCGGCACTGTTGTAGAATCGTGGACCATTTGGTAAAATGGTCCGCGATTCTACGACAGTGTCAAACGTTCATGATTAGAAGAACAGTGGTTTTGAGATCAAAATTAGGAAGCTAGCACAATTGGGGTGAGGGGGAAGATGAAGAGGTGAGGAGGAAGAAGGAACCAATGCGTCAAAAAAGAGCCCATCCGGAGAGAAACACTAATCGCGGACGGGTCACTAACTTGGAACAGGAACAAATGAAGGAAGATGACCGAGACAAAAATTGAGTAAGCTGCGTAATAGGGAGAACATTTGAAACATGATCAAAACAGAGTATTATGAACGAAAAGTTTGCATACTTTGCTGAGAAATAACTGAAAAAGAAGTGCGATGACAAATACATAAATCTACAGTAGCAAGACGTGATAACTTTGTGATGTTGGCTTCTATCCTATGATATCGATTGGGTGGTCGCGAGTGTCAATTGCTTCCACTCCCAGAATACTTTTCGCTTCTTCGATTTGTGGTCCACCGACCGCATATCTGCAAAAAATGTCTATGTCAGTGTTCAAAGCAGACTTGTCCAATCCGGGGCTGGCCCGATCGGCCCGGATTACGAAAACATTGAGAACCTTTAAAAATTTTGATGCTTTTTCAGAAACGCATGTTTCATTTCAGTGCTGAGCGGCACGGGCTTTCCGAGTACTCAACTAGGGGCTGGGCTTTTGAACCATTTGCAATACTTCGATTTAACTCAAATCTTGCAGGTCTCTTGGTTTTGCATTCTTCAGTAGAAGTCAGTAGTTTCAGTAGAAACCGCCACACAACGTTTTCCAAAAACGACCGGGAAAAACTGATCATCGGCCTGGCCCGTGACAAATTTGTGAAAAAGAAAATCACTTACATTCTATAGAACTCAAAGTTTTTCAGCGTGTCGTATTTTGGTCGATGACGCCGATCTTTTGTTAAACTAAACAATATTTTAATTGGAATTGCGTTTTATGACAATTTTCTAACCAAGTGTTGATGAATTTGGCGAGCGGAAGACTAAAGCAGAACTCGCCAGTTTCCGGCCACAGAATCGGAGCGTCACCGTTTACAACCTGAAGGGAATTTCATTTGAAAAAAATGACATTGAAGATCAACGTACAGCTGCAATTTGATCGAACAAGGAGTTCCATTCGTTATAAGGGAATTTGCCGGTTGCTATTTCGTACTGAAATGATGACCGATTATTGGCAACTTCTTATTTTGACAGATCTCTCACCAAAGTGATTCCAAGCGACCAAACATCTGATCGGACGTCGTACTTATCCGAACTTGTGATTCGTTCCGGCTGAAAAGGGTGTGTTGTCGATTAAATAAGAGTCGAACTTACAGCTAGATACGGCTGACATCCTGCATCGTGAGTTTTGACCACAGAATCTTCAAGTTGACCACAAATTCCGAAATCGCACAGTTTGACAGCGCCGTGACCGTCAACCAGAATGTTTGAAGGTTTCACGTCTCGATGAATAATCTTGAGCTCCTTTTTCAAGTAGTCAAGAGCGTCCACGGTCTGAATTAACAGTTTTTCTTTCAAACAATTGGGATCAGCAACTTACGCAGACAGTTATGTGGCCAACTACGTTTTCGTTTAACCGGCTGTGTTTGACTGCATAGACACGTTTGTACAGAAGGTCCATGGAAATGTCCATCAATTCCATGCAGATCCAGCAGTCACCCTGAAACAGAACAAGAACCATTATTATTGTTTGAATCCTTTAACTCACCTCACTGAAAATCGCACCGTAAAACTTGACAATATTTGGGCCTTTCTCCGATTTGACAATAGTGTCATGCTCACGAAGCAAACGGATTTGTTCTCGTTGATCTATATTGTTGCATCGTATCCTCTGAAAATAAAATTCAATTATTTTCTGGTTTAAAGAACACTCAGAGCTGGAGAAAAGACCGGCCCAGACTTTTGGACCACTTGCAATTATCTAATCGGACCCGAACTTTGCAGGGATTATAGATTTGAATTGAAGTTTTTTTTTGATCCTGGTGTCCGACCAATCGGATTATCTGGTCACGAGATACGCGGATCTGAAGCCAAATTGTTGGATAAACCGATGGGTCTGAAACTTAAAGACCCAAGATACTTCAATCCAAATCCGAGAGCTCTAAAAAGTTTAGGTTCAATAGGATTATTGAAAGTGGGTTAAAAGTTCAGAGACCTTTGAAAAGCCTTTTGCCGAGCCCTGGATACAATCAAAGTTTACCTTAACAGCGAGAAGTTTCCCACTTTCTTTGTGTTTCATTTTATACACTGTTCCAAAGTTTCCATTGCCAATTGCGCCCAAATCTAGTAGATGAGAAGAGTTAAACGTGTAGAATTGTTCATCTTCGGGATACTTTAATGTTCCAGTGGATAATGAGCGTCTGGAAAGGAAAATATTTAATTTTAAAATTCGCTGGGGGAACACTTACAGAACATTTTCTTCTATTAATGCTTTCTCATTTCCGTTTACCGACAACGTCGTCGGTCTTGTAGACAGCGTCATCGGACGAAGGGACATCGACATACGGATATCAATGTCATCTTCTTGAACCATTAACTCTGCAATTCAAATCAAAACTTTTGAATGAGGAAAATAGGTAAGTAGAAACAGAGAGAATGATAAGAAGAGTCAACATTTTCTGGCATAGTCCGAATCGAATTGAAAAAGCAAACCACAACAGTTAGCCGAGTTAGTCATAAAATTAAATCTGAGCAAATAGGGATTGGGGAGCTAGCGGAGCCGAAGGGGGAAAAGTGATGCGATGCTCCGATTTGAGTTCATTTTACGTGCGTAACACGAAAACCCATATTAATTGCGGCCAAGTCTGATAATCAGGTGCGAAGCGGGCCTTGTTTGCTCTTTGGAATCGCAAGAGACACTGCTGACACAAAAATGATATAACGATGGGGGAAGAATACAAAAGGTGGAAGAAAAAAGGAGACGGTTGACAACAACTTGTGCGCATGATGTTTTGATTAAACTTTCAATCGAATAAAAACAATCGACAGTGAACTGACAATGACCATGAAAAGATCAATGACAGTGTACACTTTTTTTCGTATTTCCTTCGACGAAGACTGACGGAACACTCGAGTAACCTTCAGGACCTGTTCTACAAGTACTTTACAGCGTTTGCAACGGTCAAAATAGTCTTTGTCTTTTTATTTTCTTTTTTCATTTTCTTTTTTCTTCATCAATAAATGGAATTGCAACAGACAGAACTGATACTGGGCTGTTTGTTACCTTCCGATTCACAAAGCTGATGGCTTTAGTAATCTCGAAAGTGCGAAAGAAGAGGGCGTGCTGCCCTTGTTCCTTGCTCTCATGTGCAGAGAGCATGGACAACTTACGTCATCCGACATCAGAGTGAGCAAAAATAGTAATTGACGCAACTAGTAGCAGCTCACAGTAGCATCACAACGTAAACATTCGGCTTTTCCATGAGTCAATAGCAAACCAATAAAGCAATTCTCATGTACAGCCAAGCTAAGAACTCGGGGGAAACCCGGAAAAAGGGAAAAAAGTCATGGAACCCATTTTTTTTCAAAACTGTTAAAAAATGGGTAGTCAATAAAATTGAAAACTAGGACGAGACGGGGGAATGACGGAAGCAGAGAAAGGAAAACGGTTGAGTGTGTTGGGAGGAACGAGAAACCGAGGAAGCCGACTGGAGAGAGAGAGAGAATCAATAGAGAGAGTGCTGGAAAGAGAGAAAGTCAGAGAAAGAGAGACGGGAAGACATGCATTGAGGGAAGTCGGCGCGAAACTGGACATTGCCAGGGTCTCGACTACATATGCGCACTCCCATACATGACCACCCGGCTAGATTAATAGGCCCGCCAATCTATGCGTGCTTCTCCAAATCGGCGACGAGAAATGCAAGAGATTTTGATAGGATTTCTTGGAATGACAGCAAAATCAGAATCACTATTGAATTATATTCCCGGAAACCCTCAACCTGCCACCAAATACGATGATAGAGTGGAGGGAGACTCTGAAAACACTCAAGTTTGTGTTGGTAGTCCTCGTGTGTTTGACGTTTGACTCCTAGGTTGGCAGAGAGAGAGAGAGAGAGAGAGAGAGAGAAAGAGCAAATAGGCCGAGATTTCTTGAAGAACACACGAAAGTGTGTTCCTTTGTCGCAGAAACACAGTAGCTATGATGACATTGAAGAAAACTTGAGATTTCGTTTCAAACACCGTCCAATGAACAATTTTTCGACGAGAAAAAGAGCACGCTATATCAAAAATGCGCATAGTTAAAGTATAGCATTCCGGAGATATTTCTCTTCCGCAACCCGACAAAAATGTCCCATGCTCTCGTCATTTCCCCCGGGATTCAAACTCTTCTCCGCCATTCCTCCTTTTTGCACTAAATCATAAAACAAAGCCTCATTCTCAATTCGTGCCCGGCAGCTCTTCATTTTCCGGAAACTGCCAAGAAACCGCGGTCTTTTCGCTGCTTCAGATTGATTGTAATAATGACCTGAGCGGAGCAGATTCTCAGGAAGAGAACAGCAGGTGTTGTTGTGAACGGAAGGAACTAGAAAGAAGGAAAATAAGAAAAATCCAAGAGACGTCAAAAAAAAAGACGCCAGTTTTTGTGGGAAAATCATAGAAATGGAAGAACTAGCAAAAAAGGAAAGAAGCAAACGTTGAAAGAAACGGAAGGAATCTGCATAGCGCGTTGTCGCCTGCTCTCAATGGAATGATCTTTCGTTTTCGTAGTGAAAGTTGAGCAAGAAAGAAGAATTGAGGAGGAGCCTGAAAGGAAATGCAAAACAATGACAGGGAGGAAATTTAATCCGGAATGCTGCCGGCCGCACCGCAATAACACAATCTTAACGAAACTGGGTTTGGCTTGTGCGTGTGACTATGGTAACCTTATAAGTTTCTCATTCGATTTCCATACTTCTATAATTGTCGCGAAGAGAAGGAAACGTGAAACTTAAAGTGGGCAGGTGATAGGAAATTATGATAGAGAACCGTAAAATTTCAGTTTTTCTTATCATTAAAGGGAAGTGGTGACACAAACACAACCACGATAACCAGTTGATTCATATTTTTTTTTAGTATTATCATGAATCAAAGATCACCGACTTGGTCTGGTCCGGAAAATTTCTCAACCTTAGCCAATTTCCGACAAGCCTGTATTTCACTCTAATTTTTCATATTCTTTGTGAAGACATCCCGTCCTCAACCCACTGTTCCACCTTATAATCTTTCTGAGAAGGCAGGAATCCTCACTAGTACTTTTCGCATTTATGCTAACATGTTTGCGGCAGTAAAACTAGAAGAAGAACAACTGCCAACTCGGCGCTTCTTCTCAGACCACACGTTTTTGCCAAGAACAATTGTTCCCGATAGCAGTGTTTCGAGCCGCTGGATGCATGTAACAACGAGCTGTATAGCTCGGCGGATGCACAAAAAACGTACACGCAGACACATTGATTCAACCTGTCACTATCATCCAAATGATACATCGAATCCCATCTGTTTATCCAACTCGTCGCCTCTCAATTGATTGCGAGGAAGATAACAGACACACACAACTGGACACTGGATGATAAACCGCTGGAGCATGGTAGATTACACACGAGTTGCAATTCATCTCGTGGTCTTCATCAAATCCACATCGCTTCGTCCCGCGATCGACGCGTTTTTTTGCGGTTTTACGCCGGATCATCATCTGCGTTTCGTCAAAAGCTATTAGTGTTTCACCAGAGTTCGGGTAGGCGTGGTTTGGAAAAGAAAAGATGAAGCAGAGCACACTAAAAGCATCTCGATATTCAGATCGGTCCTGGTGTACGGAAGAAGTTGAGGAAAGTACACGTGAATCTAGTCGCTCAACATGACTTTGTCACTACTTTTGCTACTAGCCGCGCTGGTATTCTCTGGTTATTGTGAGCAGGTTTGTGATCTGTGAGCATCTTGTCTAACTAAAGTTTTCTTACCGCTAAGACCATGTATTTTATTGAAATTACTTTGCTTTCCAATATTATGACATCCTCTTATTGTGTGTCTAGACAGTTCCATGACATTTGTTTCTTGGTGTAGTAGGTAATGTCAATCAAAAATGTTTGAAAGTAAAAGAGAAAAATGTCGGCTCCACTTTAGCTGTTTTTTGTGCCGAGCAACTGGTGTCAGTGATCATGAGAGATAGAAACATACAAAACAACATCTTTCAGATTAAAATAAGATATTTATTACACATTTCATTTCAGAAAAAACTAATTTTTGACTATTTTATAGATTTCGGGTCCACCAGCATGTCAAGACTTCTACGAGCACATTTGCAGCAAAAACTACCCAAAAGTTCAGGCTAGACTGAAGGACATCAGACAAGCTCAAATACCAGATGATATCGATGTAGGCCCTCGTTTAGTCTTGTTTTAAAACCTCTAACATTTTCAGCAATACCAAGGATACGTGTTCCCCACCAGAGAACCAGCCAAGTAAGAGTCTCATTTGTGTACACAGTACATATATCGATCGTTTTCAGACGTCTTTGGGAAGTGATCGACTTTGATGTAGTTTCGAAATGGCTCGTCCAGTTTGACACTTTCCGAGATGGAATTCATTGGGTTAACCATACGAAGCGACACGAAGATTTTCTTCTGTTGGAAGCGGATGCAAAAAAAGAACAACTCGAACGACTTCTAGCACCTCTTCATTTCCAGGTTTTACTCATTTCTTCGTTTAGATCCATCAATTTGTCGTTTAGATCTTTGCGAGATTCTACAAAAGTTTGAAAACATCTGTCGAATATCTGACTGAAATGAAAATTCCGGTGTCCACTCGAAATCACTTCTATCATGGCCTATTCGAAGAAGTCAGAGACATTCACATCTCTGAAATCAAAGCAAACTCACAATATAATAGAGAACAGAAACAAATTCTGATTGATGAGATCAAAAAAGTCAAAATCATCTTTCCATACGTCGAATACAACAATGTTTCTGTCTGGCGGCAAGCAAAAACTGCATACGAGAAGGAGTATTACCGACTGAAAACTATTATCAATGAAAGGTAAACGTGATTTGAATGGACTCGCAGAAAATGTTTGTTATTTTAGCATTATTCCGGAGGATGTCGTTGAAAAAGTTATTCGCATCGCATCTGTGAATCCAACAATGGAAATATTCGAAAGATATATCAAAGAATTCACTTCAAGATTTATATTCCAGCACGTGATCGCAGCACCTTCCATGGACTCTTTCAACTATCAAAATGAAGTCCATGTTTCAGTTTTCACAATCATGGATCCCCAAAAGAACCCAGAGTTTGTGGTGAGATCTTCTTCGAAGCATGTGTTTTTGATTGCAATTAATTCAGTACCACCAGTTTTTATTCGTTTTGAATCATGAGCTCATGCACGTACATTTTAACACTGAATCGCCTTCATTTGAACACGATATCTGGAAAAATGAGAAGCAATGTCTGGTTGATCAACTTAATCTGTTTGGGAAAGAATGGAAGGTAGAAGTTAACGTTCATTCCAAAAAAACAATCTCATTTCACAGGCGAATCATTCTGATTGGAGTGCTGATCAATTCGCATATGAAGACATGTCAAATATTGCTGGATTACGGTTGCTCGTCTTGTACACGGCTCAAAAAACTTCGGATGATCAAAAAGTAAATCGTAACCATAGTTTTTTCGAAATTTTATCGTAATTTAGATCAGAGATTCAATTGAGCGATCGATGGCTGCATTTTGTACGAATCAACGAGCGAACAAGGAGCACAATCCCCATGACGTTTCAATCAATGTGGCCGTCTCTCAAATTCCAACTTTTAATTCTCTATACAATTGCACTCCCGGCGATCGGATGTACTTGAAAAAAGACGAGCTGTGCCGAACGTTGAACATGGACATTGATGGAAACGACTACACGACTCAGAAGGTGGATGAGGATGGACTGTTTGTTCTCACTCAGTTTATGGATGTTCTGGAGAACACTGCTGACGAGCTCGATGCGGCAAACATCACTTCTTTCGAAGGAAAACTGTTCGATGTTACTGTCGAAGACGTGGAAGAACAGGAAGAGGCGTTGGAGGGAAGTGCGTCGAGTTCGGAGTCTTCGGAAAGTGAGGAGAGCAAAGAGAGTGAAGAGGATGGGCATCTTGAGGATGCATTGGATGGTTCTGGCAAAGATATAGAACAAGCTGGAATTGTGTCTTTGAGCAGGTATCATTTTATTAGAAGAAAAACGTTAAAAGTGTTTTTTTTTTCAGAAAAACTTTCTTTGACATCCTTTTTTCGGTACTGCTTCTGTTTGGTTTGTTTTTCCATTGATTCTCTAAAGTACGATCAAACTAACAAACTTTCTATATTTTTTAATAATCTCACCAACCTATCGCGTTCTATGCAAGAATCATATTTTCGTATTTTTATTTTCCATCTTCAATTTTACACCCAAACTATCTAAACGTACCCCCGTCGGTACATTATGATGCTGCAAGCGTTCGTTCAACTTCCCCATTTGCCGTCCGTCGACTTTCTTCAATTGTTTATCTTATCAAATTGGAAAATAAACACACCCAACTTTTTCGCTCTTTTCCTCCATCATCCTCCACTCTATCAACTTGATTTTCGGGGCTTGACCGATGGCGATGGCAGTTGTTGGCCAATTCGAAACGTCTCTTGATCTCGTCACATCTCGTATAAAAAAGAAAAAGACAGTTCAAAATTTCCGGGTCGCTTCGTTTCTTTTTTTGTGACCGACGACGTCAACGGTGGTGATTTGAAAAAGAAGTGAAATAGAAGCCGCTGTCATGAGTTTGAGTTTGCCGGACGAAATTTGAGACGGAGAGGACGGACGCAACGTGCCACAAAAATCAGGCAGGTGGCTCACGTTCATCAAACCCCAGAACATACTCAACTACATATTGTAACAACTTGTGACGTGACACTATGCATTTCATTTGGTTGATACCATTGATCAGTACATTCAATGCTCAGATGGTAAATACGCACTCTCCCTATCTTTTTTCTTGAAAATTTTTAATTTGCAGACGACGACGGAACCAGCATTAGATCCTTGCAATGATTTTTATGATTATGTCTGTGCAACGGACACCAGGGTGATCAATAATCTCACATTCACTGGTATGAACGAAGAATTGGAAGTACTTGTGAGTAAACGTTTCTATTCTTTTTCAAATCAGCATTCAGGTACCAGAAGAGAACTCGACCATTACCAATAATGGAACTATAGTTCCCCTTAGTCAACTAGTCAAACTGACCCGTTTGATGAAGTGGTGCACTGAAATTGAAGTTCTCTACACAGGAGTGTTCACGAGAGACTACTTTGGAGACCTTGATTCGGTTACCAAAATGAATCACTCTGAGAGATACACAGCTGTTGTGGCGAGACTTGATGCCTTGAACTCGACGGTGAGACCAGGGTTATGACTCAGCGACAGATGAGTTTTTTTTTCAGATGGTTAACATATTCTACAACGCACTCACTGCCAACATTGAAATTTTGAATGCGATACAAGCACCGGTTTCAAAGAAGAATGCTTTTTTGCATTGGATATTTGGATCTCTGAAGAACAGCACAATAGATGAGATTCAAGTGAGCTTCAGTGTAAAAAAGAGTTGTACAGAGCATCAAATTTTTCAGAAATCTAACCTGTCGGACAGAGCGAAAAGAGTGTTGAAAAAGGGAATCCAAATGTCACATAGTTATTTCGCATTCTATGATTATAACAATGTGACAGTGATTGAGGAAACCAAATTAGTGTATGAAACGGAGTATCACCGACTGAGAAACAGTTTATCTTTAGAGTAAGATTAGGCACTGAACGTTTTTATACATTATATTTGCAGAGATCTCCTAAACCCGCTGGCGAACAAGATTCTTCGATTGGGAGCAACTGATGCCGCAATGATCAGAATCTCTCAGTATATTGAGCATGACGATCGGTTCATGTTCCAAGCAATTGTGGCAAATCCAACTAATGACGCTTTTCAATATCTGAATAACAACCATATAACTGTCATAACCAGAAACGATCCTCATCAACCTGAAAAAGCTGTAAGTTTTGTTATGACCTATTGCCAAAGCATTGAATGGAATTCAGGTAGCGGATACAGTTTTCGTGACGACTCATGAGATCCTCCACAGAATCTATCCATACGGATTCTTTCTTATCGGAGCAAATGTTTCGAGTAGTGCAATGAAATGCGCACAGAGGGAGGTGGAACAGTTAGGGAATAGCGATGCGGTGAAGCCGAAGGAAGGGTGGTTCAACAAAGAAGTTGCTCATGAGGATGTGGTGAATGTGATGGCAATGAGGATTGTGATGAAGATGGCGGCGAACAAATCCGTGAATGAAAAACAGGTCTGAGATTATCTGTTTCTCTTCGATTTTCAGTCATTCAGTTAAAAGAAGCACTCGAGACTATAATCGGTGGTCTTTGTAAACAAAATCAACGGAAGAACGAGCCGATTCCTCATCATCATCCACTGGAAATTTCTCTAAACAATGCAGTCCGTCAGTATCCCATGTTCAGTTCCCTCTACGGTTGTCGTGCCGGAGATCGAATGTTTGCAAAGCCCGTAAGCTCCTTCCTGGTTCTTTGTGCCACGTGTCTTTTGTTCCAGGAAGACTTCTGCAAGCCATTGGGCAACGATGTGAATATTGAGGATTATTCGGTGAAAAACAATGCGTTCAGCAAAGACGTCGGTGGCTTTTTTAAGGATTTGATGAATACATCAAAATCGCTGAATTTTTCCTACGGTGTTCTGTAAATAATAAACATGTTTGTTTTATTTTGTTTTCGAGTCCCGGAGAGAATTATCTCATGTTGGCCTCCGTCCAATCGCCTTCTCCGGTGGGGTGGCCGGCTCAAGAAAAAATAAATCCCACAAGTGCTTAGAGCTGACGATGAAGAAGCCATCATCACGGAGGAAAAGGAAAAGAAGATGTGGACGCTCGAGCGAACAAGATATTTGTCCCTCTAGACACGAGTTCTCTGACTAATCTTTGACAAGGATGCATTCTTTTTCTTCTCATTTTCGGTAATAGGAACGTTCAGTTGAAATATCTCATTAACTTTCTGACGTATTAGCCAAAACAAGAAGATCATATCTTACCGCCACACAAAATATTGTTATTCGGCGTGCTGTGATTTTTTAAGACTGGCACGGATCGGATTATATATGTATTATACAATAGAAAAGTTTAAAGTGCATCTTTCCATTTGATTCCCCCGTCGAATTTGTGCCATTAGGCGCTGCTCAAGAAGTAATGTGCTGAATTTGAAGAAGGCTCCTTTCCAATTTTATCAAATAAGAACCCAATTTCTTTTCTTTTTCTCCTTCTTCTTCTTCTATCCAATTCGTTTTTCCATTCCGTTTAGAGCAGTTCTTCTTCGTTTCTCTCGAAACTCCCGGGAAATAAAGAGAAGAAAGTTTTGAGCCGTTGTTCACCGAAAAACCTTTTTTGTGCGGCATGAGTGAATTCATTAGCAATTCCTTTGTATTCAAGAACATCTTTCCATCTAAAAAATAAGTTGTACGTTTTCTGAATTTGAATTATTCAAAAAGGTCGGAGCAATGTAATGTCCTTTATAAAACGAGTTTGGTTAATTAGAATAAGAGCTTTCAAATGAATGGATATCACATTTCTGTACTAAATCGGGAGCGTGAGCATGAGCATTAAAACGAACTTCAGTGATATCAGAGCTTTTCGCATTTCCGGAAATGCACGCGTACTTCGCAAGCTAACAAGTTTTCCTGACACATTTATTTCTTCTCCCACCTCCCACCGAAACGACGTAATGGCATCTTTTAACTTCCTCAGATAAAATCGTGGCAAGAAGATGTTCCAGAGTTCACTTCACTAGGCACGCAACCGAACCTTTTCTTTTTGTTTCTTCTTTATTTTCTATCCTTGAAAAAAGAAGAAACATTCGAAATGTGAGGTTCATTAGATGCGGATGCGAATTCGAGAGCAATTAGCGGAGAAGACGTGGGTGCATAATGCCTGTCGAATGCTCGAATTCGAGATCAGTCTGGCTGAGCTTTTCAGATGACGTTCGGTCTGTTCTCTATTTACTCAAGGATTAGCGATAGTGCTCTAGGACGCAGAAAAATAAAAATAATGAAGAACGTCGATGAAGCTAATGAGTGTTGAAAGCGAAATTACCTGGTCCTTGGCCGACTGGAGGTCCAAGTCAACAAGAAGAAAAACAAGTCCGGTCGCTAAATTCGACCGCACTCTGCGATGTTTTATTTCAAATCCAATCCCATCTTGTTATGTCGGCTCTCAAAGTTCAAAGGCAAAATATAACCGATTCGACATGCCTTAGAATAGAATGATACGCATGGCTGAGTGCGTTTTTCTGCCGTCTCGGATCCTTTCCCATCCATTTCCCCAACCACCTCACCCGACTGTGTCGGGCTGACATCACTCTGGAAAACGTTTGTGTGACAAGAAATGTGCGCGCTGATTTATGGCCCCATCTGGTGGAAAAGAAGGCAAAAAGACTCTAGAAGACTCTGGAAGTGTTTGTCAATCTACACAAAAAGAGCTGGAAGACAAATGGGACTCGCGCCCAAGTATTGTCTTACTCTCGGTTTTGTGTTGTAAGGACACGCGACACTCATGAGCGAATAATCCCCCCTTCCCCACCCATTTCCATCTTTTTTCGGTAGACTCATCTTTTTACAAAAATTGCTTTATTTCCAGAAACACACAAATGTTCTAATTTGCATTCTCTTATTCCGGTTGCATCGTTTTTACGCAAATGTCTTGTGACTAAACACCCAGAACACATAGTTGGTACCTAGAAATTGAATCTCTAATATTATCTAGGCCGTGTTCAAAGAAAAAGAAAGCCGCAGAACTTGCATTCAGCTCTAGCTTATCAAGCATTTCTTCCGCTGCTTTTCTCCGCGACTTTCCTCTTCTTTTTGTGCCAATGTATCCATTTTCGGAGGGGGCGACGACTCCCAGACACTAACTGGACACTAACTGGACATCTATTCGGATTATTCTCAATACCAATTTATTTACACAAACACTTTTTTGTTGCTTTACTTTCGCTTTACTCAATCACCAAATTCATTTCCTCTACATAGGCTTCCAATCATGAAATTTTGAGCCAACTCTGATAACTTGGTTCTCGGTCGATTCAGCCGAGTTGCCCTCGAGGCAGTACTCCCGTCCTTTTCTCTGAAAGTGCCCGCGGCCATGTCCGGTCTACTGTCGCCCACTCTCATTCAAAAGTCGGTTTTTCTAATGCTTCTGCACATGCACAACAATTGTTTTCTTCTCGACAATTTTTAATGAAGATTCAGCAGACGAATTATCCACAGCGCACGTTTCTCTACTCTTGCATACGTTTCTGTTAATTCAGTAAATATTTCCGGTCCTTCGTCATCAGCAATGTTTTCGCTTTGATTATTTTTGTATCAAATTGAGCAAAGTACTCGGGGACAATTTTGTTATTTCTCAATGGAATCTAGATGTATCCAATCAATTTATTCTGCAGGTTAGAAACAATCTTTGTCTTTTTTCCAATCCATTCTTCAATCCATATATATTTTAAAAGCGCAAAACTCCAAACTATGAAGATGATATTGTTAATGAGCCCAAAAATGAATCTTTCGTACTTTTAAAGCTTTGCAATATAATGCTCAAAATGGTTGTATCGCTCCCAAAGTACTCGAAATTGTTCGTTAGTAGTCGATGAGTGGGTGAGTAACTACCAAAAAATCTCATTTATTCTGGCACGCAAACGTTTCTCTTCTCCGCCGTCTTCAAGTTCATCAACATGCTTCCGAGTTTCCGGTCTTATTGTGAAACACTTCCTATTCCTGTGCCCAAAAAAGTCGTGTCAAGGGAATGATGTGGAAAGGGGGAAGCGCGACACACGCATAAATGCATTTACGCGTGTTTTTCGTCCGGAGGTGTAGAAGACTGGATTTTTGAATGAAAACGAATAACTGGAAAATGTCAAGAAGTTTTCAGCATCAAGAGGTAACGGTAGGGCAGAGCAAATCCAATTTCCTTCGTATTTCTGTTCTCTGGATCATGGAATGGACGGTCAGGTGGTACGGAATCTGGAAAGCTCTTTCCAATGGCCCATCTCCTTTTTCTTTCTTGTCGTCGAACCAAGATTTGATTTCAAAAAGACATCCCCCCATGTGATACAACATCCGCAGACGGCGGGAAGCGAAGCGCAAAACTTTTTTCTGCCAACGAACTCTGATATCCATCTTTTTCTATCTTTTCACAACTGCGCGTGTGGGTGTGAGTGAGAACAACATGTTTGCCGCGTTCCGAGAGCCTTAGGCGATAGAGGGTCATCGTCACTTTTTCCATTCTCCAGACTCGTGAATTTTCGGACTCCCTCTTCATAATTATACTCTAACTGCATTCCCACGGTATTTTCCTATAATTGTGGCATGCCTGAATCACTTTTCTTCTCTTCTACTCACCTACCTGCTCAACGAATTCTGATTTCAGCGAATGTGGGCTCACCATCTCGTCATCCCGCTAACTTTTGTCGTGCTCGGAGTGTGTCAAATTGACAAAAGTCCAGCTATGGTGAGAAAAACTATTAGAACTCTATATATTTTTGTGTTATTGTTTCAGCTCGCTCATTACATGAATCTGCTGACCCTCGGAGAATCATGGGTCGCCGCCAACTTTGACATGAAAACAAACGGCACTTTCTTTCTAGCTAAAGAAGCTGAACGCCGTCTGGAAATCGGATTTTCCAATAAAACCGTATGTAATCATTAGCTGAACTTTGCAAATTATACATATTTCTAGCTGTTCATGGTGGTCCCGATAACAAAGAGCAAATCGAAGGGACCGAACTGGCAGAAGCGAATCGTCATTGACTTTGACAGTGTCGGAAGAATCGGCCCACTGCTGGACTTGATCATCACTTTCCAGCACAATCATATTCATGTGTACGATGGGTGTGACGAGATATACTCAGGTTTCGAGCCACATTTGGACTTGATGTAATCACCTCTTCCAATGATATTAATGGCATTGACAATTTGTGTTTCAGACTGAATCACCCGCATATAAAGATGGTAGAGAACTGGAAAGGCACTCCTCCATCACGTTTCATTATTGGATCCGGATGGCCTATTGGGCAGAAATGCAAGAAAGATGGTGTCAAGAAGAAGTATGCGGATCACTATTCTGAAGAAATTGAGAAGCAATATCAGCCGGTTAGTTCATCACCTCTAGATTTTTGATCAACTCCAGAAAAAAGTCCCATCGTGCTCACCAAACACGTCAGCTTTTAATCGCGTGTTAATTTATTCTTCTATTCCGTCACTTTGAGCTCTCCACATTTTGAGTGACAATTTGGGGACACTGACTGATTGGAAAGCGCCTGAAGGCATCCGAGTTCTTACTCAGAAAACGCCCTCAAGGAAAAAACACATTAAGGGCTAATTTTTGCAGAGTCCGGTCATAGATCTGAACCAATTGTTCTACGAAGTTGTCAAACTGCCTCCGGTCGGGTTTGAAGGGTGTATGGTGGGTTTTGCTGAAAACTGAAAAAGTTTGATTTTTGTTCTGTTTTTAGGTTAACAATGTTCTTATCGCGGTGGGAGAGACAAAAACCCAGGACTGTAATAGTTGTACATGTGTTGGCAGGTCCCTTGTTCTTCAGTTTTTCGTTTGTGAAACTTGAGAAACTTCAGAGATGATCTGGTCTGTCGTGCCGTGGAATGTCCGGCTGTCACCTGTGCACATCCGATGATACGCAGCGGTGATTGTTGCCCGACATGCGGTCAACAGGTGAGCAACGAGCAGTTCATACGAATGACGAAAAGAATGTTTTCAGTGTTTTTACGAAAATCATAAAATCGCCAACCCGCACGGAGAAGTATTCTGGCCAGGAGACTGCTATCGCTGTCAGTGCTGGGACGCGGAAGTTCGCTGCTTCTCAGAGTAACAATATAAGTTATGAGCTCGTTAGAATGACGGCGAATTCAGATTTGCGACATGTGAGCCGCCGGGTTGTCCGCAAGAAGATTGGGTGTACAATGAGAAATTCAATTGCTGTCCCAAATGCCGTGACTTTGCACGTTTTTGTGTCGTCAAGCCGTGTCATACAGACGCGGAGTGCACCGATCTGAAAAGAGGGCCCAAATGCTCGTGTAACACGGTGAGCAGAGCAGTCCCAAGAGGTTCAGTTGTTTGAAATGAGCAATTCTTTCAGGGATACCAGGGAAATGGCACGTATTGCGAGGACATTGACGAGTGCGCTTTCTCTCAAGACGCCAGGGAACAGGTTGGTCGTGTCAGTTCACGTGGTCCCTTGGGGTTCAGGAAATTTCGCTCGTCTATTGTCCATAGGTGGGGGAGCGAAACGCGACGAGAATACAAACAACATCTGAAGAAAAATGGATAACTATGAATAACGAGTCTCCGGGGTCCCCGAATTTTTTGTTTTCTAACACTTTTTTTTTACAAATCTTAGCATTCAACAAAAAAGGGATTTCCATTTCAGTTGCTGCATTTCGGAGGATGTTCTAGAGGATCCGTGTGCCGCAATGTACCCGGAAACTACAAATGCGACTGTCTGCCTGGATATCAAATGTTCGACGAGAGAACCTGTCTTCCACTGATCCGAGTCTAGTGCGCATTTCATTTTAGAGTACAATTTTGTTCGCGTAGGTCACAAAACCCATTTCACAATATCACCTTATCGTCTGGTAGAGACGCTATTGACGGGTGTCCACCCATGTCTAGCCACACAATCCCTCCATATTCTTCTCTTTTGTCAGTCCTGAATGCGAGGAATAGGTCGAATGATGGTGTAATCGAGTTACCAAGCTACTACTGAAGACCCAATTCCTCTCGGTCTACATTTTTGCATATTATAGCCGCGGTCCCCTTGCCCACAATTCAATTTTTTGCCATCATCACTAATTCAATTCAATTTCCATTATTCTACATCCATTCCCATTCTTGTCGAGCTTTTAGTGCCAAAAATATAATCCACCTCGGGGACACATTACCAATGAATCATTTGTTGCTGTCAAAAATTCATGAGTGTGTAAGAATATATATAATTGAAAAATACGAGTCGAGTCAAATGTGGAGAAGGAAAGAAGAAGAAGAAGAAGCGCGAGAAATACACAAATCTACCACGCATCTAATGTACAACAGGGATAGTTATGAAGTTTGTAATAAAATACTCATCGGTTGGGAGGGAAAACAAAATTGAAGCGGAGTGAGTTGAGTCAGTTGAAAGAAGAAGGTTGTAATCGGAAAGATTCGGTTTCTGGAAGACACAATGTAAGAGGAGCCAAGTGGGATTTGGGGATTAAGGCAGGGAAATAACAAGTGATAGTGCACAAGGCAACGGCGGTGGGGGGGATTAGTTCCAATATGAAAGGCAAGTAAGTATATAATACATGTGAGAAGAACGAGAAGGCCTCACCCTTATATATATATATATATAGAAATTATAAAAAAATAAAGCATTAGAACGTGATTGATTGGTCGTTGGTCATGTTAGGGATTCCTGGATACGGCTGGGTTCAAATGTCGTCAAAGTCTTCAATGTCTTCGGCACTAGCGATCGGCGGAGCAGCACGCAGCATGTCGGCCACGTCAATTTCCTCATCGTCCGAGATTGTCGGCATTCTCTCGTTCGATTTCGATCCAACTCTCGCTTTGTGCTTGTTTTTCATTTCCTCCAAGATTTGTTTGCGTGGCTTGGCCATGAACAGTTCAAGATCTTCCTCTTCGCCCAGCGAATACTCGTCCGAAGACGCCTGAAAACATTTTATTTCCGGCAAACTCCCCCGCATAATGATCACCTTATAATAGTCGTCTCCGTTGACAGCGCGCTCGAACTTCTTCAAAAACGCAGAGTTGTCCCTGGGCACGTATTCCGGTTCGGAAGGAAGTTCTCTGAAATGTGTCTTTACATCGACCTCATTCACTTATTCTCATGACACCCATCGCCACTATTCGCAATTATCGTACATTGAGGACAAAACCAGAAAGAGGGCGTTCCGCCAGAGGGCTAGCAAATTTGGCAGTTCGGTTCTTGTCGAGATGTTTGATCACCTCATTCCACAGCGATCATTTCCGGCAATTTTTGCTTCCCTTCTTTCCCTCCCAGACACAAGTCTCAAGTATACCCTCAACCAATTAACGTGTCTTCAAAAGCTTCGATCTCTTCTGATTCACAGTTTATTCATCTCTCAGTTACCCAAAAGATACAATTGTATCCGTCTCTATCTCTCGCCTGCTGCAAATCTCTAGAGAGCGAAAAATTATATTTTCCTCAGGTACAAACCAGTGCTCTCTCTGATCCCGTCTAAATTCGATAACGGAAACTTACGGAGCGTTTGTGTGGTTGACGATCGCCGCGAGCTCGCGCTTCTTTCCGAAAGCACTTCGTTTTTTCTTCTTGAACACCTGTTTTTTCGCATATTTCGCGTTGCTGTCATCCTCTTCGTCGTCGCCCGAGCCGACCGATTCACGATCGCTTGAAGATCCCTCGTCTGCAGCTTTTTCACTGATTTTCTTACTGTTCCTTTTAGTTCTCCTACTTACCAACAAAAATCTTGCGGCATTCTTGAATGTGGTTCCCGGTGACCAAGGCTTTTGCGCATTGGTACAAGTGCGTGGCAGACTGCGGGGCGCCGAACAGCCTGGCGCGCAGAGATTCCAAATGTTCGCGTTCGAAGCGGTCGCCGACTTTTTGGAATAGCCCACTAACCGGGACATCCACTCCGTTTGGAATCGACGAATGCTTTTCATCAAAAGCCATGAGCGCCAGAGAGACCCTGTGGGAAACTATGTCTGCCGGTGATTCAATATCCGCAACAGCCGTGACTTCCTGAAAAGCGATGAATGACACATTCGATGATTGCTTTTTATAGTCGACAACCTTCCAGTCACTTTCATTGATACGCGTATGAATCATCACTCGATCGTTCTCCTCGGCAAGTTTCTTCTCAAGCTCCTGCAACGTTTGTGATTTTACACAACTGATAACACCTAATGAATTACCTTGATCTTCTTATCGTCTATTTTGATAAACTCTCTGATAGCGAGGCTTAGGATGTCCGGTCTCTCGCGCGCAACGTACGCCAGAGAAGCTGGCACATTGACGCTCGTGTTATGCATACCAAAGTTTCTCGATTCGGCTGAATTCAGCTTCTGCAATGTGAAATGACGATATATATATAGATTCAGTTTTTCGCGTGGAGGGTGTGGGACGCATTTGTTTTTTTTTGGGCGAACCGGGCATAACGCCTGGCCGATTGAACATTTATCGAATTAGGAGGCAGAGAATGTAAAGCTACTCGATTTGAATGCATAAATGATTCGTTGGTATAAAGCAAACGTTACACCAAATCCAACCTCAATGATCATTATGTCATGATGATTTGAGGGCGGTTGGAAGAGAAAGAACCGGTCATAATTAGGTATTGAGTAGCTGAAAAACGGTTATCCCCCTCAGTATGGCTTACTTCGCTAAGCGACTCTGTAACCAGAATGTTCCGTGTCTCGTTCGGCACCGCACGTAGAATCTCGATTTGTGAGCGTTTCGGGAACTTGTCGGTACTTTTCGGAGAGATAAGGTGGATTACTCCGTCCATTCCAAAGACCTGTAATAAAACAGATTGTGACATGAAGATGTTATGGCTAGAACTCAGACTAGAACTCACGTTGTCTGAGAAGTACTTGACGGTGTCTGCCCACTCTGGCAGCACGTCGCTTTTGCGGGCTTCTGTGACCAATGGGTTCCTATCGTAGTTCTCAGTGTGCACTTTGAAAATAAGACCCTCTTCTGTTGCACTGATTTTGAAAAGGACCGAGACGACCTTCCAAATGTCGTCTTCTGGCGAGTCAATGGGCAGTTCCCCAAGGAGCGGAATTCCCGAGTAGCCTGACAAAAGCAGATGTGAATGAATGAACTCTCTTTTCGGCGTTTGATGGCTAGCCGCACTGACCTTTTGAAGTGAAAGATATTCCGTTTCCGCTGAAAACAAAGTCCTTGAATTCGTCGACAATGGCACGTGCGAGGTTTTCCGACGAAGTCCCGGCGTCGCGGTACACGTAGAAAAGAATCTTTTCAGTCGTCATCACCCTGAAATTTGAGAATTGTTGAGTGCGAACTGAGAGGTTCTAAGTAAAATAAGTGCAACGAATGTGAAATGGAGAAGTGTAAGAGGGAGAGTAAGTGAAGGAGAGCGACGAGAGCGATCGAACCCGATGAGTCATCGATTGCAAAACAGGCGGCCATACCATTCAGCTAAGAGGTTCGAATTGTCGAAGAGGCATAAAAGTGACGACGGTGATTAATAATGACCAACACTGTACAAATGCGCATGATTTATTCGTATCTGTCCCTTTTGACGCACTAGTTTTCCCTCTTTTCATTTTGTACTTTCTTGGTCCTTCACCTTCATCCAACACTTTTTTTAAAAGTAAGTGAAGGACGTTATTCTTTCCCAAAAAGCACATGTTTTGGAGAATTGTAACAGCAACGAAGAGAATTAAAAATTGTTCGTGGATAAGAAATATGATTCATCGCCACTACAAACGGAGGAAAAGGGAAAATGCCTGTGTGTATGTTTTGATTGATTTTGTGTATAAAAAGCCGCCGTTCTGACTGATACGTTTATCCTTGTCTTATTTTTTCTTTTTCCGTGAAAGTTTGCTGCCACTATCAATTTTCAAAGTTCTCGCTTATCGAGTCGGTTGTTGTTCAATTTTTGAGGTTTTTTCTGAATCTTTGTTCTTTCTGTGATCAATAGCAACTCTCTCACTTCTAATTTTGGCTGAAAGCGTACAAAAGACGGATAGCATCGCGAAACGAAAAGTGACTAGAAAAAAGAAAAGTTTTCCGAAACTCATACGTAACGTATACGAACAGAAGCAGAAAAGTGGAAGCGGGTAGGCGAGCGGAGACTGAATAATCTAACACGCAGGCGGTCATTGTCAAACAACAATTGGTGCTCCTCGAGAGACGAAAACTTCACGCGATAAACGACCAAGACACTCCTCTCGACTACTAGTGCCTCTATAACAAAATTGTACTAATGGATTAGTAGGAGGATGAGCCAAGCTCTGCTAAATTTTGAAAACAGATGTGAAACAGCGACGAAAAGAGCAAACGCGATTGTGTGGTTGGCGATATAAGATACAAAATGACACGTTTGGCGACTAGTGGCGACCACTGAGGGGACATGTGCACTTGCACTCGTTCGTAGTGGACTCTGGCTCTGCAGTCGCCATCCAGTGTATCATTCGCGCGCGGATGCACTTCAGTCGCGGTCAGTGCCGCCGGCAAGTCTCTCTGAAGCCGCGTACTATTTCTCCCCCCGGGCGCTTCACTCGCGCACAGACTCCCGCAGTCATTTTATTGATTGTGGCGGAAAAAAGGCGGAGAGAAGGAAGAGAGGAGGCAAATAGTAGAGGAAGGAGAAGAGGAAGAGGAAGAGCGTCGGTTGCGTGTATGTGTGTTGTGTGTGTGTGCGAGCGAGCGTGTGGTGGGGTGAGGCAAGCGCGGCCTCGCCGGTGCGCAAAAACGGCGACACTGGCCAAGAGGGCCTCGGAGAAAACACGTTCGGCCGCTAGACACGCAGCCTCCAGTCCGCGCACGCGTGTGCTGCACGCTCGCTCTCCGTCTCCGTGAATCTTGCGGCATCCCGCGCGCTCGTCAACCTCACCCCCCGCTCCTCATCCTTCTCTTCCTCCTCCTCCTCCTGCTCCTTCTTGTCCTATTTCTTCTCATCGCCCCCCTCGGCGACTGCTGCTGGTGCCCGTTCTGCAGTCGCACTGGCGAGGCTCGGCAAGTGCCCCACGGCTCCAAGAGTGACCCGCCCGCGGCGACTGCTAGCAGCTCGTGGGCTCATTGCCAACGGCTCTCGTTTTAGCGGCCTCAACTGCATTCCTAAGGCAGACCACGTAGAGGCAAAACGACACTGAAGAGAGCATAGCCACCCCCCCCCCTTTCTCTCCCGTCTTCTCTCACACCCCTACTGAAGCAGCAGCAGCACACTGGCCCCTCCCAGTTAGTCACGACTCAAGTCCTATTTTCTATATTGCTCTTATCTGTTACTTTTTATTTATTTGACCTACACCCGGCCCTTCGCGCGGGCCAGAACTGAAATTAAAAACGATTCCATTGGCAGGCGAGCGTCGTTCACCTCGAGAGCAGGCCTTTGTTGCCTAGCTCCGCCACGATAGGATTATGGAAATCGAAAACATCGTGGCCAATACGGTTTATATCAAGGCGAGGGAAAGTGAGTTGAAGCTGGTGAAAAACTGAAAAACAGAAAGAAAACAATTAATGTTCAGGTGGCGGTCAGAAGAAAGGCAAAAGCAAGAAGTGGAAAAATTATCTACAGTTCCCACACTATACAGAATGTTTACCACTGAAGGCTGAAATAGAAGTGAAGTGAGTTAAAACACGTTTTCAAAAAAAGTAGTACGATGATAGTGAGCCGGAAATGTATATATTTGGTGGAAAACGATGAATAATTCGGTGTACTCTTTCAGTTATGCATTCGTCGTCGAAAAGCAACCTATCGGCAAGTTGCTATTCCATGAATTCTGCCAAGAAACCAATTCACAGTATCATCAGTGCTGCCAGTTCTTGACCAAGGTGCGTGCGTTTTGACTGTTGAAAAGATTGGTGCGGTGGAGAAGTAATTCCTGCTAATGCTCACCCATCTTCATTTGGCCCGGGATTTCGTATTATTAGTATGGCGGGCGCGGTCTGGAGAAGAGGGGATGAGAAGCGGCTCTTTGCGCTGTGTATGTGTATGTGTGTATGTGTGCGTGTGCTTTTGCCTGTGCCTGTGCCGCCGAGTCCGCCGCGGACAAGGATACGCGCAAAGTTCACGCGTTTTGATGAATCCGCACTAATTAGGGACGATGTCTTCTGGCTCTCCCTGAAAGCAGACCTTCTCCTCTTTAATACCGCCCTCGCGCTTCTCGTCCGCGATCGTTTTCGTTCGTTTTGGATCAGATGACACGAAAACCGAGAAACGTTTTTTAATTGGACGGGTAATGATGATTTTCGGCTTGACACGAATGATGAAAAGGAAGCGCCCGGGGAGATGCGGAAAAGCGATTAATGATTCGGAACATGGTACCCTAAAAGCAGCAAGGACGACCCAAACCGTCTATCTAATTAGTGCCAGGGGAATTGGATGCCCGGCTCATTTTCGCCTTTTAGAAAAATTGGATTGAAGCTGGTTTCCACTGGGTCATATTGAAAGTATCGCCTTTTTTTCGAAATCACTTGAAGCGTGAAGTTGATTTGCTCAATATAGTAAGACGTAAAGTGCTTCGACACACACACAAGATTAAGTCCAAGTTGGAGAAAAGAAAAAAAAACACGCATGCCTAGTACTAGATATTACTCGTACATGTGCCCCAATTAAATTTGACACTTTAGTTTTGACTCCGCCACGCTTTTCTGCTAGGGAGGCTTTGCTATGTGAATGGATACACTAATGAGAAGAATCAAATTTCAGGTTGAAGAATATGAGACGTCTGACGACGACGGGCAATCCAGAAGGGAGCTGGCAACGGCTATCGTGGCGCTTCTTCACTCGAAACCTGAGGATAACCCCTCTGTAAGAGTGCTACTTTCGGCTGGATTCTTCACTCTTTTTGTTCGATTTCAGGGGTCTCAAGACGAGGATTTTTGGTGTTCCTTTCTAGCCGAAGAAGTCATATCAACGTGTATTGCCGCCGCCGACTCTGCAACCCATGACGATGAGCCCAGGAGCGACATCTTTTCGGAACCATATCGGTATGACGCGATTTTATTGTCAAGTTGAAAATGTGCTCTTCGCCTTGCCCACAAAGCACCAATGTCACGCAAAACTATGTCGTAAAACATACATTCTTGATCAGAAAGTTTTCCCAAACTGATGAAATGCCAAACTTCACATTCCGTATTTTATGAGTTGGGTCGTCAGAAAGGCACCGTAATCGGCAGACAGACTACGTTCGGACACAGATACAAACAGATACAATAAGTGCTTATTTGTTGTTTTTCACAAAAACACCATTTGATTTCTTCTTTTCCTTCTGATTCCCCGGAAAATAAGTACAGAAACCAATGAGCAAATCAAAAACGGCGAAAGAATCAGTTGTCGTATGATGTTTTTCGTAATTGACGTAGTAAACCACCGCCTCTAATACGGGCTCATTCCCGGAAACTATCTTGTTAACTGATAACGTTGTTGATTAGAGTCATAATTTCATAGATTCTGGAAGGAACAATCTGAAAATCAAAGAATATGTCACGAATAGTAACAGATGACTTTGAAATTCGATAGGGTAAACACGAACTTTTCTGACGTTACTCCAAGAATTGTTGACACGTCGGACTGGTTAAGGTTTTCGTTATTGCCCGGTTTCCATATTCATTTTCTTCCCTTTGCGTGACTGGACTGGACTGGCAGCTACGAATTCAAGCGGCGGTGATGAACACCGTGAAAAATAGCATTTGAACAAAGGACTGTTTTGAACATCTTTCTGCCGTCGCTTCTCATTCTGTCCTTCTTTTTTTGTGTGTAATTTCGCAATAACGGATGCAAAAAAATACATTTGTGAAAGGAGTTGTTGAGGGATATGTGTATGTGTTTTGCCAGTGCGAGTGTACCGAGAAAAAGAGAAGGGGGCAACGAAGGACAAACTTGTGTACAAATTGAATTTTTCTTCCAGACTCGCTCGCCAGTTTCTCACTGATGCGCCTTTCAAGGAGTTCTCGGAATCCATGTACTTTCATCGGTTTCTGCAATGGAAATGGTTGGAGAAAAGGCCCGTCGACAAGCACACGTTTCGGTTATATCGAGTTCTTGGAAAGGGCGGTTTCGGAGAAGTGTGTGCTTGCCAGGTAAGTACCCCTCAGAGACGTTTTTTTGCAATCAGATCAAGTGCAGTGCATTGTCGTTCCCGTCCTTTCATCCGGAGATATTGAAAGATATAACCCCTTTGTTTTATGGGTCATTCCAAGTTTCGGCTCCGATCGTAAACTGGTAGCTGGAGAGAAAACACAAGAACTTGATGAATTAATTGTCATCGTCTGTAGGACTGGAAGATGAAACGAAGGGGGTAGCGGGACAATGACGGCTTCTGACAAATTGAATTTTTTATTCCACTCTTTGCCAACACAACTAATCTAACCCGTCACGGAAGTAAGGCCGGGACCAGACACTAAAGCCACTAATCAAATGAATGAACAGAATCTGTAATGAATCACTTTGAGCCGGATTGTTTTCAGGTCCGTGCATCTGGCAAAATGTACGCGTTGAAAAAGCTGGAGAAAAAGCGAGTGAAGAAGAGACACGCTGAAACGTTGAGCTTAAACGAGAAGCAAATTCTGCAACGGATTAACTCTCCATTTGTAGTACGTTTCTTTCTTCTTTTGATGGAAAAGAGATTTGGGAGTACATTGAATGGGGGAAGGATGACTCTGGACGGCCTTTTTCTAATCACTCTTTTTTGCAGGTGAGTCTGGCGTACGCATACGAGACGAAAGACGCATTGTGCCTCGTGCTCACACTGATGAATGGCGGCGATTTGAAATTTCATTTGTACAATTTGATGCCCGGCGGGTTTGATGAGAAAAGAGTGCAATTCTATGCGGCCGAAATCACGCTCGGCCTCCAGCACCTTCATAGTGAACGAATTTTGTATCGTGATCTCAAACCGGAGAATATTCTCCTCGACGACTTTGGACACGTCAGAATATCTGACTTGGGTCTTGCCGTAGAAATTAAGGACAACGAACCTATTAAAGGACGAGTAGGAACTGTTGGTTACATGGGTACGTGAAATCATCAACCTTGCCTTGGCTTGTGAACTTTTTTTTGTTTTGCAGCTCCCGAAATAGTGAAAAATGAGCGGTATTCATATGGTGTCGATTGGTGGGGAGTCGGGTGTCTTATCTATGAAATGATCGAGGGAAAAGCTCCATTTCGACAGCGGAAGGAGAAAGTGAAGCGGGAGGAAGTGGAACGACGAGTGCGTGAAGACCAGGAGAAGTACTCGGAGAAGTTCAGCGAAGCGGCTCGGACTCTCTGTCGGTCAGTGATCATCTCTCAAACAACACCGTTTTTTGATTGTTCCATTTCAGAGGGTTGCTCCACAAAGAACCGGGTTTCCGTCTCGGGTGCCGTCGAGTCGGACGACCGGAAGATGGCGCCGAAGAGATTCGCGCTCATCCATTTTTCAACACTGCCGACTCAGGGACCAGCCGAGAGCCGGTTCCCTGGAAGAAAATGGAAGCGGGAAAGGTGGGACCAATCGATCGATAATGAATGTTTTTATTATTATTCTTCAGGTAACACCTCCATTCTGTCCGGATCCCAGAGCAGTATACGCGAAAGATGTGTTGGATATCGAACAGTTCAGCACTGTCAAGGGAGTCCGTTTGGACGCGACAGACACTCAGTTCTACGGGAAATTCAACACGGGATGCGTTAGTATTCCGTGGCAGAGCGAGGTTCGCTTTCCTTGTTTCTTCCTGCCTTTTGTGCTTCGAAGTGCCCGCCGCGCTGCTGCTGCTGCTGTATAGTTTTGAAAGCCATCTCCTTTTCTTTTGTCTGTGTGACAATTGAGCAAAAGTTCTCTTGTTTCGCTTCTTCTCGAAATGCATCTCGTTTCGGGGAGGAAACGGAGAAAAGGATGCGCAGAAAACAACTGGCTTTGCGTAGGAGCTCTCGGTGATTGTCCTTTTTTGGCACAATCGACGACAAAATGTCATTTTATTTTTCGTAGAAGGGATTTGTTTGAGAGAGGAACACATTCTCTTCTTCAACCGAGGGACCAAACACACATTTCACATTTTCAGATGATCGAAACGGAGTGCTTTGCCGAGCTAAATACGTTCAACGACGAAGAGGGAAACGTGATGTGGAATCTGCGTGCGGACGGAATCAACATGGACGAAAGACGGAACGGAACCAGCAAGCCTGGCTTCTTCTCGCGTCTCTTTCGCAAAAAAGTAAGAGAAGTTCTGTGAATTTCTGGAATCGGTCACAAACAGCCCCTGATTTCGCTTTCATCTCTCGCTTCCTTGGTTTTGTGCACTTTCTGAGCTGATCGTTCTTGTGATTTGCCGGGCATACGTGGATTTCTATGTATTTTCATTCTTGCTCAATATTTTCTCTCTGTGTCCTCACTTCTCTTCTGCTTCTCGCCAACCACATGATGTTTCATTACGGATGCCATCGACCAGAGAGAAAACCAAAAAAAAAAGGTGCCCTATGAATAAAAATGTGGATCCGGTTGCAGGACTCGGGTCATCCGAACGCAAAAACTTGAATGATTTGTGATTGTGAACCCCATCCTATTCCAACCATCAAACCAGTGCCAGTGCCTTCAATTCAATCAAAACCCATCCTAGATCAAAACACCAATCGGTTTATGATCTCTTCCCCGCACCTTCATGCCACGTTTCAAAAATCAAAGTAAGTTTGCGTTCCGTTTCATATACATTTTCTCTTTCTCCTTCTTTCCGGCGCACACCACGCACACTTAGGCACCTACGATTTCCATTTCATTCGTTTTTCTCCCCGTCTATCTTTACACAACTGTCCTTGATTTTTCCAGTACAATGCTGCATGAACCTTTACTTTTTCTTTCTTTTTTTCCAGTGGGAGCAAGTTCAGCAACTATCTTTCTTTCCACGTAAATATTTGTGAGAAGCAGTAGAGAATGTGAATCTGGGCTCCCACCAAAACATGACTGATATTATTAGATTTCTATACGTTTCTTGTTTCAAATCTCATTAGCCATACATACATACATATAAGCATAGGGTGCAGAGGGGGATAGACGACAAATTGAGGGTTGCTTCATGAAATCACTAATTGCAACATTTCAGAATCTCGATGTCACCAAATCACTCCATGACCTTTCCCAAATGGGTGTAGATCAACAACAGCCGAAAATAACGACCAAGATAACAATTCGATCGAGCCGTGCAGCTTCAGCCAGTGGAAGAACATCTATGGGATAATCAAAATGCGTTTTCGTCTTGATTTACATCGAAAAGTATTGGAGACAGTCTCCTATGCTTCTTTTTTCTGTTTGTTTTTTTTGTTTGCATGGAAGATTTTGGTTAACTATGTTAACTAAAGTGCCCAATTTCTTCAAAAGGTGTAGATCCAACCAGTAGTACCATGACCGTGATCTCAGGACCGTTTATAGTCCCCCCGTCCCCATCCTGCTCAGCCATGAACTTTCTATCAAAAAAGAAACAAAACAAAACCAAACGTTTTCCTCTGCCTCGTCTTGCGCACCATCTCAAAAACTTTAAAATAGCCATGTGGTACCCTTTTATAATCAAAATTTTGCGATATTATGGTTTTTCTATGATGCATGTGTACAACCTCCTTCTTATCAGAATACGAGAATTCAGAACTACAACGAATTGTCTGTATTTTAACATTATTATTTACACTTCTTTCTTTGTTTTTTCGATGCCTACTCCCTCCTTTTTTGCCCACTAAGCTCTCCCCCATGACTATAATGCTAGCAACAATTACCCCGACTCATCCTCGTTCCAAATAAAAACTGTCTCTATCTCACCACTTCCCGCTTCTCCTCTCTGACCCCGTATCGCCCAATTTTGTAATAAGATGTCATTTTCGTTTTCACTAAGTTCCGGTAAATTCAATCAATTTGTTTGATATTTCGGTAAAGTTCAAGACTGAGTCGACACGATTCCACCAATGTTCAGTTGTAGTCCCCTCGTTGTTTCATCCCCCCCCCCTCCTTTTTTTCTAGTCAATGTCTTTCTTGCTTCTAATAAAGTTTTACGTTGATACTTGCCCAGAGTCGGCCGCCAAATTTCAAATTGCAAGATAGTATCGAACACTTTCTAGGCGTTTCAAACCGAGGAATTTTTGTGTGGTCTTCTCGAACAACACGTTCTTTGTGTAACCGAGACTGAGACCTTCAAACGAAAAAACCCGCGAAACGAGAATTTATTTGAAAGCGTCGTCATTTTGGCGAGTTTTGCGCAGAAACCAACCTTTTTTGAAACGTAAACCTCCGTCGGCCCTCCTGGATAAGACATTTTCCAGAAAAACCCAATTCTGTGAAATATTTCAACATTTTCAGGAAATTTGACATTTTAGGGGTTTTTCTAACGTTTCCCACAATAAGTCACCTGGGCCGAGCAGGATTTTGTCAACTATGATTAAAACGACTTTAGCAGTCTTTGGAATGTTATTCAGACACACTTCCGAGAGGATTTTCTCTTTCCAGTTGGATTTTGCGTCGATCCATGTAACATCAATACTTTTTGAATGAGTTCACAACCCCTTTAATTGTATTTTTAGAGGACCTTTCAGAAATGTTCATGTTCTTTTTCTTTTCTTTTCTTCAATACATGTAAAGCCATTTCCTTCGAGGCAAAACGTTGAATTCATGTTCAATCGAGCAAATTTTGACCAACTCTGTTCGCTTGGTTAACTCCAATTTCCTCCATTTTTCTCAAATGCTCTCCATCCAATCCTCCAAAAAAACTGACAGCTTTTCCATCAGCAGCTTCCTGTGGTGCTACGGTCCTTCTGGCTCGTAGCACAACAACAGAAACTACGGACAGCCAGCCGGTCTTCTCAATAAGAATATAGCAGTCAGAATGGAATGACGAAGTCGAATGAGAAGGCTCTGCTTCGGGCGCGTTGTGTGCATGGCAACAAGTGGTGTCGGAGAGGGGGAAAGATGGAAGGAAGAGGACGCGCGCACACTATGAATGGTAAGTGGTGGGGTCTGGCCTCGCATCGGCCGCCTCCCGAAAGGCGGAGCTTATTTACAACACATCGCCGCTAGTTTGCATCGAATTGGACAAAAACAGACAGTCACGGGAAGAAAATATATTTAGACTAGATAAACGATCAACATATACCATCCACGAGGCTCTTTTGTTATCTGTGTACAAACTTCGAGTGAAAGTGAAACGTGTTGTGTTAAATGGACGGAAAACAAAAATGTTTAATCAGAACGGCAATAACAAGTATGTAGAAAAGTTTCAGAATCGGATCAAAACTAGCAAGTAGGAAGAGATATCCATTCTCAAACCGAGCTTCTTTGTGTGCGAGCAATTGCGATCTAATGGCTGGCTTCGTGGAAATTTACGACTTTTCCATCTTTTTCCATCCCAATTTTAGGCGTTGGAAGATGGGCTTTGACGGATTTGTAGACGAAATGGAAAAGGAAGAGTGAGAATAGAGCACGAAAGGAAAGAAGGGCCATCCGTTTTACTCAAATTTCAGTTTGAACACCTGCCGTGTGTGTGCCGAAAGGAGAGCACACGTCATGGGCCGATATAATTACACGGATATAATTCCTCATCATCCAAATCCCCATCCTCACTTATAATTATAAAGCAGTTTAGATGGCATTCATTCCGGCGGATGAGATTGCTAATGGATTCCGCTTTTTACGGAACGTTTCGCGTGATCTTTCTCAGTTGACGTACACAGTAGTAGAAGAGTGAAAATGTCTTAAAATTCAAATTGAAAGGGATGTATAATCATCAGATAAAGTGAACAGAGTATCAACTCACGGTTCAGGTTTGTGGCATTGCCCAAAGCGGTTCTAGACTTTTGGTCGTCGTGCGCATGGGCAAGATAACGAATCTTAGGCCGCATCTTTGGGGCCGTACCTCCCGTTCGGCCATGCTTGTTTGACAACGACACCATTTATCAGCGGTTCGCATCTGCCGCGGGTCTTCCTCGTCTGTTTGTCTCTGCATCATCAATCCTCTCACCTGCCTGCAATGGACAACCAGAATGTTGTGTTTGCGTTCGAGCTGATAACGAGACTATGATGTGTTTTAATATTGTGCGAACAAAGATTGAGCTGTCATAGAAATGTGTTGTGCGGAGGGGGGCGCGAAAGTCGAAAGAGGTGCCGTACAAATGGACAATAGAGTCTCACCAAGGACGTGTTCATGAACTAGATTATAAGTACCCAGACGGAAACGCAACCTGCCAATGAAAAGAAAATAAGTAAGACATCATCATACTCAAGAAGTAATAAGTGTGTAACGGTCAACTTCTGGTTTCTTCACGATGTTTGAGCAGACATGGGGATAATTTGAGCTAATAAAAAATCACGAATAATGGAGAATCGTACAGTGGAAGCGAGTTCTTTTCAAAAGGAAACTAAAAATGGCAACAACCACAAATCATAACATTTGCTATCACAAAGTAAAAACATTGTAGTTTCTAGTTGATCAGACTATCAGAGCCAAAATTAACTGATATGGCATTGAAAGGAAAGGCGAGAAATCAATCTAGCATTCCCTTTTCTTTTCTTTCTTTTTTTGCAAAACACCAAATCCCCTAGTCTTAGTTTCCCGATTATCACAAGCCATAGACGTAATAACATCCAGTCGAAACCATACAAAAAATAATCGCTGACTGGCTCCCCGCTCGTGCATTGATAAGATTGGTGAGCAGGGGTAATTTGTGTTCTTCACAAGTATTCACGCAATGGACGATCAGCATGATGAATACGAGGCGATTGTCATTTCTAGGTAAGGTTCGGCAACATATTCCTCACTAATTCTGGTTTTATATGATTGCTGTCTCTTTGTTATTGTGCGTTTGCTCTTTCCTTTCAATCACATGACGGTTGAATGTCAGTTCCACTCGCTTCTCTATCTGCCTTCTTCTCAAAAATCACGTGGTTTCCCGCAGCCCTTCTCACTCTCGTCCTTCAGAGTTGCCATGGAGGAAAACATGTTCGACCCGCAACCAGATATCCCTCGCATTCGCATCGATTCGACCCACTCTTATCAGCAGCGGTCTGTTTGAAAGATAGAAGTCACGGTCTGTTTTCCAATGCCATCTTGCACTTTTTCAGCGAAACGATGCTCGAGAAATGCAACACTTACTACACACTCGCTGTCGTCATTGCGCAAGTAATCTTTTGTTATACGGCATATCTCATTTTAATGTTGCAGTTAACGATAGGAGTACTTGGAAACAGTCTGACACTAGTCGCGGATGCTACGAGAATATTCGCTGATCATCTGGAACTTTTTCAATACGACAGAGCTGCGACGCCAGGCAAAAGATTAACAGAAATAATAACAGTTGGGATCACAAACGTGGTCTTGTTCATTCTGTTCATTGCGTTCCTTTTGGCTGCATCAGGAAGAGCGGCAACTATGAATTTTGATGTGAGTCACAAAATTGTTTAGTTCAACGAATGTATGTTGTTTTTCAGATCAACAGAGGTTACTTGATTGTTGGTACTGCTTTAGCCATGACTGCTAACACTCTCCAGACTCTCTGTCATTTCCGAAGTGAGTCGTTTCTCTTCACGTGTAATGTTTTCGAATTGTCACCCACGGATTCAAGTGACAGTAGAAAAATGTTCACTAATGAGGGCGGGAAGGGTTCACAAAATTCCTCTAAAGCCACAAGTATTTTTCTATTGAAAAGTTACTTTTATGAAGATGAATATATTTAGCTTGGCAACGAGACCGTAGTTACAACATCACTCTGTATACGGAATCGAAGAGGAACCAGCTAATGCACGGATTTGTTTACCATTTCATAGCGTACTTTGTCCTCGTCTCTTCGATGCTCATAATTGTCAATGTAAGTTTCCCTTCCCCCTTCTCCTGTTTCACAGCCGTCATTATCCTTGTATTTCAGAAAGACTACCTTCTAGCCGACGTCGTCACGACCTACGCAGCAAGCCTTCTCATTCTCACGAACATCGCCTCGATTAGTTATCAGTTGTACCACGAGTACTTCTCCCTCGAACACCCCCAGGACGAGTACGAGCCAATTTGAAAAAAAAGGAAGAAACGAAAACTTTCATCTCCCAATGAGCTCCCATTTCGCCCACCAAATGTCTTTTTTCGTTCTTTTTTTGGCATATCGTGTACATGAGTTGAACTCCACCATCACGGTCACTAATTGCTCTCCTTTTCCCCTCCCTCACTAACTTTTCCTCGTTTTAATAAACGGAAAGACAGTTAGAAAACAAAAAGGAATCGCATCCCAATCGTATAGTTGGTTGTTTTCAGATAAATAGAAAGTGTGCTTGGAAAATCAAAGTTAGTTAACACTTTTCTGTTTATTTGTTCAATAGTTCGAACAGGAACCTCCGGACCACGCTTTTCGGCTCCGGTTTCAAGTCTGTATCAGGCATTTTTCTAAAAGTGATTCTCAAAAAGATCGTAAATCCCGGAGCACAAAGAAATGTTAAAAAGACGATCGGAAAACGAGCCAACATGCAAGCTATATAGTCGGGAGAGGGAATCATTTAATTGACTTTGTTATGAACATATTTATGAGTTGAGATGGTGCAAACGACTCGTGCAGCTCTCCTAAACCCGCAGACAAAACACTGAAAACTTGTCCCTCTCCAAAATGTCAGAATGTTCTTTTTCACCCGACAAAGTGCACATTTTTCTATAGAACTCGACGCTTTCCTTCCCTTATAATTGGTGTCTCTCGCCCGTTTTTTGTGCTGTCGAGTTGAAGTCTACCTCCTAGTGTTCTTCCGCAAAAGCCACTATGAAATCACGCTTTCTTGCGTCATCTCTTCTTTGTCGGCGGTCCGACACTAAATTCAATTCTTTCGGTAGTCGTGGTGTGGAAAGTAAAATAGAAAATACACACTTACACATGATTTTTGCCTTCTCCTCCTTTTCTTTTTCTATTCCTTATTTTCCTTCATCTTCTGGGATTCGACAAATTCAACGTATGCTCAATGTCTGGGTAAAGCGGGGCACTATAATTTTCTCAACAAGTTTCCGTCGCTCGTCTGTTTCCTGTTCTAACGTTTTTTGATACACAATGTTTTTTGTCAGTGAGTTGTCTCGGAGAGTCTGAAGTTGCAAATTCAATGTACAACGTTACTTCCTTTTCGGCTTCGAGAAAAAAGAAAAAAAAAACAAATCGAATGGCAAAATTGACAGTTTTTGACAAAAAAGCTAATAAGGCCCCCGAGACTCGCCCACAAATGAAGTGCTTTGTCTAAACCGGTACTCACACTAGGAATAGCAAAAGTACAATGAATTTCTTGGGTGGCACTTTGTGTGTTGTCATTCCAACTGAGCCCTTCAAGTGTGCATATTATTTCTCTGAATTCTCGGACTACTAAACCCCACGGCGGGTTTGGTTTCGGTGTCGAAAATACGCCCCGAATTCTACGACTATTTAAAGTGTTCTCAGTTTTTAGTTTCCAGTTTTTGACGAACATTTCGTATACCATAAAAATAGACGTTATCGTGAACAAAAGTGAGCGAGCATCCGACTCTTCACTAACTTTCCCACCAGTGTCATCTTCTATTTGTTATCCGACGTCGTCTTCCAGTTTTTTCTTCCCTTCTTCCTATTTCCATTGAGAAAAAAGAAGAGTTCCAAACAGACATCCCATACCAATTTGTAATATTATATTCAGAATCGTATCCAGCCTTTTTTTCGAACAATTAGTAAATAATGCTCGTAAATACTGGTTCGTCTTCATTCATTTCCGCCGACTCTCCAGAGACGAGGGGTGGGCGAGAATCTGCGATTATTCACATTCACGCAGTTGTTTTCTCAATATGTTCCATTTTCTTGGCAAGGAACCGCAACTATAAACTTCCTCCTTGTAATAGTGACGTGATATGATCTATCCTCACAAACTATGTTTTTTTTCAGTTTTCAATTCCAGATCCTGTTCCGCTTTGACGGATTTCAATAGAAGTCAGGCAAACGAACACCAATTCCAAAGCTAAAAGCCACCAAGGAACCAATCGTTTGTGCCCACAGTTGATTGAATCAACGAACAAATGTTGCCAGTGTTATCAAATTATCCAGCGGAAAACAAATCCTTCACAGAGAGAGCTTCAGACGCAAATCTTTGATGCCTTCCTCCCTTTTTCTTGGCAATCCTACCATAGCACACTCTACTCATTTTTGAATAAGAATCGAAATTACCCAAAGCCATGTTTTGTGGCCATAATAATCGGTTGCTCTTTTCTTAGTCCGCCCGCGTTTGTGAGTCGAATCAAAATTGATAGGGCTCTGGAGAGTTCACTGCCAAACAACTCTTTTCCTCATTTACTGTGGCCATGGGGTTATTGTTTTTTGAGCACCTTCTCCTGTCATAAGTAACATCATATGTAAATACTTTCTCTCTCTCTCTCTCTCTTTTTATCTCGACACATGTTTGGATCTTACTTAGTACGAATTGAAAATTAGCCGCATTTCCTCGAGATTTTCTTTCGTGCCTTGTGTGCCTGTTCTTCCTCTTTTTGTCTCTCTTTTTTTCCCCTTTCTTCTTTTCATTTTGCTTCTTTGAGGCCGCCAACGCAGATTATATTACATTGTTCCATACTTGATGTCTCCTTTTATCTCGCATTAGTTTCAACTTTAATTTGAAATCGGACACTTTCAGTTTTGAACTCTGGATGGACATTGCTTGCGTCGTTTTTTGTTCGTAATTCGACTCCATGTTCCATAACTAGAATCGTCAACTAGAAAATCTAAAATGACAGAGCAAAGAATGAGGTGTCGGAAGATCTATGCAACCAGCAATTGCAGAAATTTTTGAATGGAACTGATTTGTATTGTTAGATTCAACGGAAGTCTGAAATATTAATGGAAGCTTCTGAACGTGGATCTGAATAATATAATTTCTTTCACAATTTGTTTTCATACTCATTTTCCCAGTTTCTTCTCTCCCAACTTCAAAATTCAGAGCGAGAAGTGCCGTTCCATCTTCCACTCCCTCTCTTTCTTTCCTCTTCAAACTGGGTCGCGAAGAAAATGAAAAAATGAAGTAATAAATCTGAGATCTCATTCTAGTATTCCCACTTATTCTTCGCCTCCCTCCGCTCCCCATTTTAATGAGTTATCTTCTGCGTCAGGAGTGCGTCGGCGCGGTTTCTGGTCGACTTTCTATACTCACTCATGATGGTTTTCATGCCTTTCGTCACAACTTTCCTCCTCCTCCGACAAAAAGAAGTAGTAACCAGAAGTGTTTTGTGCAATTTGACCCCTGGCACATCACCTCTTCTGCTCGGCCTCTCCCTTTTCTTCTTATTTGTGTCTCTGAAGGAGATAATGTCTCTTTCTGGAGAAAAAAAAACGACCAGGAAGAAAGAAAAGGCGGCGTTTTTCGTCTGCTGGTGGTACGAAAATGTCTAGGATCTTACCCCAACTCCTCCCAATTCTCTGACCATGAGTATGATCATCAAGGAGAGAAAAATAATTAAAGCGAGCCATCCCTGCTGCAGTAGTCTTTTGTTCGTTAATTTCGGAGCTCTGTCTGCTTATTATTGAAAGCCTTTGTGCAGATGCGTTGAATCTTTGTGTTCTTTTCGATTCATATTCTTTGATTTAAGATTTTCAAAAGATTTGCAGAACTCGGTACCCTTCTCTACTCATCATATCACATATCTCTAATGGATCACATCTAAGCCGACATCAACAAGCAACTTTAGCCCTGCATATGAAGCCTTTTCAGTCGGTAAGGTATGTTTTGAATGCCTCCCCTTCACTCAGTTGTGCACATTTGAATTGTGAATCTCTGAATGAGAAAAATACGTCTTATTGGAAATTATGGAAATTTTTGCGTGCGACTGCCGACAGACGCTGAAGAAGTGGGTGGTTGGGGTAAGGCAGGAGGAGGGGGTCCTTCCGGCGCCGCCCGGATTTGGTTCGTCGCAGGTCCCCCCCCCCCTCCGAAATTGGCTAGAGGTCGTCGACGTGAAGTGGGCGGAGACCAGCGGTCTCTTCAGGAAAGACAGACATGCAAACGACACATATGAATGTATATAGGGAACAAGAGTTTCCATACTCATAGTGCTCATTAGAATAGCACGGATCGTGTTTCGCTTCGCGTCTTGTTAACCGAATCTTTCTGCCCCCTCCGCCTATTGCGCCACTCAGATCTTGAGCCATCCTACCTAATTCTGAAAAACGACGTCTTACTCGAAAAATGCTGCAGGTGAGTCACTTTTTGCTCCCGGTACCTTATTAGCTTCTGACTCATTTCCTTACCTCGGTGATCCTTGCTCAAAGTGCATAGAGAAGCCATTGAAAGAGGGTGGTGGGATTAGTTCATAGCTCCTGAGCTGAGCTTTGTCTACTTCTCATTTCATTTTGTACCTTTTTGTACCTCATGAGCTTCTCGACTTTTGTGACGTCATTCTATTGTGTTTATATTACAGTTTCTGATCGTTGGTTAGTAGCAGAATAAGCTTCTCCTTTCCCCCTTCTTTTATTGTTTTTCAATGTTTCTTTCCGTTTTTCCCCCTGATGCCCTGCTTGAGATCTCGAATTTCGCCGGCACACGTCGCCGAAAATACGTAATAGGGGTGGTGGAATCCCTCAGCCCTTCTCATTGTCAAATCCACGCCGCACAACGGCTGCTGATTCACAATTTCAGAAGCAGAAGAAAACCCGAAAACATAGTAATCCATTAGTATGTACATGCTTAATGGGCAAATAAGTTCCAAAAATTGAAATGAACAACAATGCGTGTCGGAAAGAGAATGCATGTTGCCAATGTGTGGGAAAATTGCGAAAACTTACTACTGATTTCAGAAGCAGCCACCACCTTTAAGTCGACACATGTTCTCGGTGCTAGCGCTCGCGACGCAGATACTGGCAAATGTCAATGTCATTGCTCAGGTACCTTTTTTAGTCATTCAAAACTGAAACATTTTGGAAAAGTATCATATTGCTCGCCTGCTTCCGCTCAAAACACGTTTTCAGACAGCGCAGCCCGTCGACCTCGCTCCACCCCCAAAGGTTGGTGGTTCTTTCCCTGTCATTCGATCTCATAACCAATTAGTCATGTAAATAGCAAATTGTGAACGTTTCTCAAGTTGACTTTCTCTTTTTCTTCTCATTGATGTTTGACTCCTTGACCTTCTTTTCCGGAACTTCCGTCCCGTCTAGCTCTCTACATGTCACTTTCACATGCACGGGGACAAAACAGGCAAAGAACAGAAACCTCATTTCTAGGTTCGTCAAATTCGTATCCCTGGTGACATCTTGATCGGCGGAGTCTTCCCGGTTCACTCAAAGTCATTAAATGGTGATGAGCCATGTGGCGAGATTGCCGAAACCAGGTGAGTCCGGAGGGAAAGGCGGTCAATTAAAATAAAGAATGGCGTTTCATCTTGCTTCCTGCCGAGTGGCCAATCATAACTCTCATAAAAATAATGGCAGGGGTGTGCATCGTGTGGAGGCAATGCTGTATGCGCTCGACCAGATCAACTCACAAAATGACTTTCTTCGCGGGTATAAGCTGGTAAGGGATCTGCATGGAAGCGGGGACCGGTAATTAATGATTGCAGGGTGCTCTTATTCTTGATTCCTGCTCAAATCCCGCCTACGCACTGAATCAGAGTTTGGATTTCGTTCGAGATATGATTGGATCGTCGGAAGCTTCCGATTATGTTTGCTTGTGAGTGATGCATCTTAACCTGGTGTGCAAATTCAACTTTTCAGGGACGGAACAGCCCCAAATGTCAATAAACAATCCCAAAAGAAGAATGTAGCCGCGGTGGTCGGAGGCAGTTACAGTTCCGTTTCTGTCCAACTCGCCAATCTTCTTCGTCTGTTCCGCATCGCACAAGTCAGTCCAGCCAGCACAAATGCAGACTTGTCGGATAAAAACCGTTTTGAATACTTTGCAAGGTAGACTCATCCACCCCCTCCCTTCCTCAATATACGTTCACTTCAGAACGGTCCCATCTGATGACTATCAGGCGATGGCAATGGTAGAAATAGCTGTTCGGTTCAAGTGGTCATACGTTTCACTAGTTTATTCAGCGGATGAATACGGAGAATTAGGTAATCATCCTCGATTCGATTCTTTTTCCGGACGCGCTCTCATGAATATTTCAGGTGCTGATGCTTTCAAGAAAGAGGCAAGGAAAAAAGGAATCTGCATCGCATTGGAAGAACGAATTCAAAACAAAAAAGAGAGTTTCGCCGAGTCCATAAACAACTTGGTTCAAAAGTAGGTTAACCGGAAGTCGAGGTGTTGCGCTTGAGTATAATTCTTACAAGTTCAGACTTCAACCGGAAAAGAATGTCGGCGCGACAGTGGTTGTTTTGTTTGTCGGCACTGAATACATCCCCGACATTCTGCGGCACACCGCTGAAAGGATGAAGCTGACGTCCGGGGCAAAGAAGCGTATCATTTGGCTGGCCTCCGAGTCGTGGGACCGCAACAACGATAAGTACACTGCGGGCGACAACCGGCTCGCCGCTCAAGGGGCCATCGTGCTGATGTTGGCGTCGCAGAAGGTGCCGTCATTTGAGGAGTACTTCATGAGTCTTCATCCGGGAACCGAGAAATTCGAGAGAAACAAATGGCTACGGGAGTTGTGGCAAGTCAAGTACAAGTGTGAATTTGATGCTCCCGTTGGATCGAAAGGAAGGTTCGTGGTTTTTGAGTCTTTCGGGTAAAGAGGAAAGAGAGCAAAAAATCTATATTATGAGTGCATTCTCTCATAAACAGGAAACTTTCTATTTCCAGATGCGAGGATATCCGACAAACTAATGAAGGTTTCAATGCGGACGACAAAGTTCAATTTGTCATTGATGCTGTTTATGCGATTGCCCACGGTCTCCAGGTATAGAGGGGTTAACTATTGAGAGGTTTTTTGTTTTCAGGCAATGAAGAATTCGGTTTGCCCTGATGATGCTATCGAAAATCATTGGATCTCGAGATACAGTAAACAGCCCGAAATCTGTCATGCCATGCAAAATATCGATGGGAGTGATTTCTATCAAAATTATCTTTTAAAAGTTGCTTTCACAGGTTTCATAGTCATTCGCTTGTTTGTTTTCCATAAAACTGTTCAGATATTGTCGGAAAACAGTTTCACTTTTCTCCACAAGGAGATGGTCCAGCCAGCTACACTATCCTGACTTACAAGCCCAAGAATATGGATAAAAAACGGAGGATGCTGGATGAGGAAAGCTCGCAGTCAGATTATGTTGAAATTGGACACTGGAGTGAGAACAACGTACGTCATCAGAGGAGCCGACACGATCTGTAATTACCCTTTTCAGCTGACCATCTATGAAGAGCAATTATGGTGGGACGCCGACCACACGCCAGTGTCCGTCTGCTCTATGCCTTGTAAAATTGGATTCAGAAAACAATTGATCAAGGTGAAATTTCACCTAAAAACTGGGTTTCATGAATTTTTTAAGGACGAACAATGCTGTTGGGCGTGTAGCAAATGCGAAGACTACGAGTATCTCATCAATGAGACACACTGTGTAGCATGTGAACAGGGATGGTGGCCCACTAAAGATCGGAAAGGATGCTTTGATCTTTCCCTTTCTCAGCTGAAGTACATGCGTTGGAGATCCATGTACTCACTGGTTCCCACTATTTTGGCAGTCGTCGGAATCATTGCGACACTTTTTGTCATAGTTGTTTATGTCATGTAGGCCAAATCTGATCATTGAAAGTATGTTTGACAATTCGGATACATTTCAGTTACAACGAAACACCAGTGGTGAAAGCGTCCGGTCGAGAACTCTCCTATATCCTGCTCATTTCTATGATCATGTGTTACTGCATGACCTTTGTACTCCTTTCTAAACCAAGTGCCATCGTTTGTGCAATAAAACGAACCGGCATCGGATTTGCATTTTCTTGCCTCTATGCTGCGATGTTTGTAAAGACTAACCGTATTTTCCGAATCTTCAATACGCGATCAGCCCAACGACCTAGGTTCATCTCTCCAATCTCTCAAGTACGTCGTACTCTGTCAGACGTGACAAGCACACGGAAATATGCCATTTATAGGTTGTCATGACAAGTATGCTTGCCGGAGTACAATTGATCGGAAGCATTATTTGGCTGTTTGTGGTGCCCCCAAGTAATTGGCTCGTTTTGATGTGACAGATTTCCAATGTTTGGCGTTTTTTTTTTCAGGCTGGCGACATCACTACCCAACCAGGGATCAGGTTGTGCTCACCTGCAATGTTCCGGATCATCATTTCCTCTATTCTCTGGCATATGACGGATTTCTGATTGTGCTGTGTACAACGTACGCAGTCAAAACTCGAAAGGTTCCGGAGAACTTCAATGAGACCAAATTCATTGGTTTCTCTATGTATACGACATGTGTGGTTTGGCTCAGTTGGATATTTTTCTTCTTTGGAACAGGCAGTGATTTCCAGGTTTTGAAATGCAAAAATCAGTTGTGTAAGCGTCCAGTTTCAGATTCAAACGTCATCCTTATGCATTTCCATTTCCATGTCTGCCAATGTGGCGTTAGCTTGTATATTTTCTCCAAAACTCTGGATCATTTTGTTCGAAAAGCACAAAAATGTGCGAAAACAAGAAGGAGAGAGCATGCTCAACAAGAGGTATGACATCATTCGCATCCAAAACACATTTGGTTGAGACTCGAGAGTTTATCCTCATTTCCATAATCTCGCAAGATTTGTCTTGGGGCAAGATATTTTAGCATTGATCAACTCATCAAAGTTCAGAAAAAGTAATAAGAGTCTCAGTGGTGATGGTCCAGAAACAAAGTTTTGAAGATACATTTGAGTAAAAAGGTTCCTTGTGTGAACTCCGCCAACCTAACCTAACTCACTTTCAATTTTGCATGATTTTTAACATTTCGTGTGTCATTTTCATCTGTGTGTCTTAAACGAGTCTTGTTTTCAGTAGCAGATCCCTTGGCAACTGTAGTTCCCGGTTATGCGCGAATAGCATCGACGAGCCGAATCAGTACACCGCCTTGCTGTCCGATAGTACCCGGAGACGATCCTCACGCAAGACATCGCAGCCAACAAGCACCAGTTCTGCTCAAGACACTTTCTTATAAACGTGAACGATATCTGATATTTTATTTTTTATTAATATTGATTCAATTGCAAAACTATTATATATTGTTCAACACGGAATGAATGAGTTAAACACATTGAACTTGATTTTTCGAAAACGAGGCGGAAGCGACATGTACTGAAAAAGAATCGAGATGGTTTGAGGTGCATTGTTATTAAAATGCGATAAAAATTATTTCTTTCCTATCGTGCTCATAATGAATCTCTCGCTCTTGGGAATCATAATGAGGATATGCTCGAGAAAATTGAAAACGTCTAGACCTGAAATTCGAGAACGGAATAAGTAAAAATGTTACAAGCACAGGAGCAGAATATGAGACTTGAGTGTGGGGGAAATTAGATGAGTATGTTCTCAGTTGAGATCAGATTCCGAGAAACCGAGATCTCTGCGTCGACGGCGAACGTCATCATGGATGGCGCCGAGATTCTCGTGAGAAGAGTCCAAGTAGATGTCACAGTTTTCGCCGTCGATTTCCACTTCCGTCGTGGCCGATGACTTTCTCGCCCACCACACGGACAGCCACACACTACAGAATGTCCCTACCACCTGAAACAACGTTGAAATCATTCTTATAACATGAGGTTCACTCACCAAAAACAGAATCCAGATGACAATCGGTGTAATCGCGACGCGGGGGAACATCGAAATTCCGAATTTTACGCAAATTGCCGCTTCGAGAGCACACACGGCCAAGTACACCCAGCATTGCATTCCGAGGCGTTTGATCAGTGGATCGGTGGCATAGAGGTAGAACTGACGGATGGACGGGGCAGAAATGAACGCGATGAGTATGAGTCTCCAGAAGACCACTGGATGCTTCGTGTCCACGGAAAAGACGTGCTTCATGAAGAACGTGTTGAGTTCGGTTAACTGAAATGAGAACGAATATGCGTGGTTTCAAAACCAAAAAGTGTTTACCAGCCAGATAAGAACAAAGAGATAAACTGCAATCGTTCTCTTCATGGTCACCGTGAAAGATCCCCAGTCGAACTCATTCCAGCTCTCAGGAGTGAACTGCATCACCATTCTCTTGAAACGTCCACGATTTGTCTTGATGTGTTTGATGCTCTCCCAGTGGAAAGAGCGCATCGAGAACCACTTGCAGATTTGAAGTCCCGCAAAAATTCCGAGTCCGTTGCACACCAAAACGTCGAGGATGAGTGCATCCCACCAGCACTCGGCGAAATTTGGAAGTAGTTGAGTGAACACGATCTCGGTGAGCTCCCAGGAGATGCTAATGTACCAGCAGATGATTCCGTGTCTGATGAGAAGTGCTTTCATGGCCCATCCCAAAAAGTGGCCGACAGCGAAAATGTCCATGTGACTCCACAGGCGTTCCAGTGAGACATCAGAGCAGTTAATCGCATACTCCTTCTCGATGAGGTTCTCGGCTCCCAAACCTTTCGGGTCTAGCCATGTGAGCACAGTTTTGATGTCCTTGTACGTTTGGAAAAGAGTGAACTGAAGCAACATGAGGTACACAACGGAGACACCGAATACAATGCGCCAGAAAACCGGATGAGGACGGATGAAAGGACCTGGAATTGAATGAGGTTGAACAAATCACAAGAGTGGAGAAACGGACCGTTGGGGAAAGCAAGAGCACTGACAACAAGAAAGAGTACAAGTGTTCCGAGCAGTCCATCGTACACATTTCTGTCGGTTTCATTCTCCGTTACCCTAAAATTGTAATTTTTCATGGATGGCAATTTGAACTTTGATAGACACATTTTCTATTCTTATCAGTCTGATCACAGGTGTCTTTGCACGAAACTAACCCGGTGAATGCTTTGTAGGAAATAAAGACGACGAGAAGTCCGAGAATAGTCAGTGTATGCGGTTTGTAAAGAAAATCCACGGTGATGTCCTCGACAACTCGCTCGTTGACCATTTGGAAGTGCGTACGTTCCAACTGACGGCGTGTTCTACTGCGACGCACTCTTCTCTCGCTGCAAAAAAAACGAAATCTGGTTAGAAAAGAGAAAAGCCCTTGAGACAACCGAGCACCAACCTTTCCTCGTCGTAATCCGCCTCGGCTTCTGTCGTGGCCGCTGCATCTCCCATTCTGTCCTCCGGGTACAATGACTGATCCTCGTCCAGTCTGTTTGTCACATTTCTCCGTCGTGGCGACGTGCTCGACGGCGATCCCAGGTCGTCGTCTGCCATCTGAAAAACAGAAATGTTTGCCAATTGCAGAAACTATCACAAAAAAACGATTGTCCGATAGGGCAAGCGGGGAAAATGAAGAAATGCGGAGGTGATTGATAAGAAATCGGACCATATGTTGGCACGATGGACAGACAGAAAAGGGTGCAAAAGAGAAAAGAAAAAGGAATGATGATCTCCTGACGGACCGACTACAACTGAGAGATCAACTGGAAAATAGTTTTGCGAACTGTATACGAATTAGGAAACAAATGGAAAATCGCGTTTCTAAGGTGTTATATTGTCGATGAGTCATACTTTCATTTCGTAATTTGATGACGCAGACTAACCATAAGAAAAGATATAGAGTAGGGTCAAAGATATAGAATGATGCAAACACCGAAATGTTGGGTTTCAGGTCATAAATACTTCAAAGCAGAGTTTATCATTCCCTAAAAGATAACGTTATCATTAGTCGACGTCGACTTACTAACAAATTGGTAATCCAAACAGTTTGCCAATAGTATAATTTTGTGCTTCGTATCGTGAAAACAAGTTTTTCATCAACAAAAATGTGCTCCCAAGAGAGCTTAGCGTTCAATAACCAAACTGAAACGGAAGTCGACTAATATTCTGTTTACACGAACGACAAAAGTAGAGTTTTTTTTTCTAGAATAGAGGAAGAAAATTGAGTTTTTCCTAAAACACGTAACGGTGTGAACATGTACAAGAAAACGGAAAAGTGCAGACAACTACTGGAGAGCCAGTGGAAACAATGCGATAAAATGGAAATTGAAAACGGAAACCAGAGAAAACGTTTATTGATCGGTCGAATCGAATCGGTTGCGAAAAACTGAGAAGTATGACATATTTTACACATTTTTTATATATATTTTACAAACTAGATTGAAGAATTGTGTTCACAGTTGGAGAAAAAGGCATCAATGGTTGAGATAACACGTGAAAAGAAAAAAGTGAATAGAGTAAATTAAGAAGAAAAATAGAAACGGAAGTTTGCACCCGTATGGTGTCACCTTACAAGAAATAAATGCTGGTATGTGAGTGTAGCCGCTAGGTAGATTTTGATTAAGATTTGAATTGGAACCATTCGTCGAGCTTAAATGACCGGAATGTTTGCACACGTCAATTCTAAACCCTTGGGTACGCAACGGACCTGAAATCTCATGCATTTTTCATTAGATCTCAAAAGAATCGATTCTTTCTTACCCTCGTTATTTCACCCGGTAATCGTGCATAGACCGACGGAGGAATTACTCGTTTTGTCACTGTGCTCAGGGCTTCCAGAGTGATTTCCAACTTGGAGTTGTCCACATTAAGATCCAGTGCACCGTAGGCGGCAGAACGGAAGAACTCGTAAAACTTGAGGTCATAGCCAACATCCCCGAATTCCAAGTACTTCTGGAGCTCAGCGACATGTCTCTCAACGATCTGAAACTAGTGTTGTTGACAAAATAAAAAAGAGAAAACTGGCCTCTTGATGCAGACGAGGATCACTTTGCTGCGTGATTCCGTTGAATCGAAGATTGAGGATAATCTCTGGGAATTCTGGATCGAGGTCGAACACCAGAATCTCTCCCTCTTCACTGTCGCATTGAGGAAAGTCAAACTCATCGTGCACTTTTCCCATTTTGAAGAACTGTTCAATGAGGTAGTCTGCAAAAAGTACTGACCTATAGACTTTTGGTTAATAAATGTCCTACCATGCGGTGTGATTTCCGTGGAAAGGGTAACCAAAGCCTTGGGATGTTTTCTCAAGCTTTCCAACAAATACTCTCCCTCTACATGGTATAGGAAAACGGCGGCAATTCCAATTTTGTTAGCTCCATCTTTGTCAGCTGCCATTGAGAACGGAGGTCGCTCTTTTGTAAATGTTGTTCCTTTCTCATGATCTGAAAAATTGTTTTTTGATAGATTTTTGTTCAAATTTCTTACCTATCACTATTAATCCAATAGCTCCGGCGTCCTGAACCAACTGCGCTTTCAATTGGAACACACAGTTCGATCTCTCGACAATTGCAATGTTGCCTTCCAGCTCCTTGACGTTCAGAATAGTCGAACACGCTCGAAATGGAATGGCTTTCACTGCACGGCCGACGATTAGATTGGACGGAGTCGGTTCTCGGCCAAACTGAGCAGGACTACCGACGAGTGTCGGTTTTCCGTAAAACGGCGGACTTATGATCTGAACATATCGATCGCTTTTCAGCATTTGGACATCCACTGAAAGTAACGCGGAATTTGATTGAAAACATTCAGTTTTTTCTTACTTCTATAGGTCGGATTGTCGATATACTCCTGCATCTCTTGCATGAATTCTCGTCCCCATTGCGCCATAGTCGGAGAGAGTGCCTAAATGTGAATTATATTGATTGAAAAAAAACAAGAAGGTTTATTTCGAATTGAAAACATTTTATGCTTATGTTACAAAAGATATCACACGGTTTTGATTGGAGTTGAAGACAAACATGATATTGAATGAAGAACATACAGATGGCAAGGCACAACAATTGTATCAGTTTCTAGAAGGACCCAGGTTTTGCATGATCATGAACATGAATAACACGTGATTTCTAGAATAAGTAGCGAACCCGCTTGATTACGTATCGTCTATCAGGCCACTATGAGTTACTCTAAAACTGTCGACGGCGATAACGTGCTCGACGGAGTAGAGCCGCCTCGGGAGAAGACGGCTCGGATCTTTTAATCCTAAACGAAGTACACAGGAACATGGCGAAGAAGGCAAAAAGGTAGACGAGGAAGATGACGAATGTGTCAACTATGTAGAAAAAGTTGTTAAAGTAGCCGCCGTCTGGGATAAGCTCCCTATCGCCTCGCGATCCGTCCCAACAAAGAGGTTTGTTGTCAATTTCAGACGTGACTTTTTTGCCCTGCAACACGCAATATTTGTTTTTGGGCCGGTGTCCTTTGTGGTTGTGAATTGGGGCTAATCTACTTGATGAATTGTTATTGAACATTTAGAGAGACTTTGAGATCGGAACGAAAGCTTGCGTGTTGCCAAGAAAAAAGTCGTCGGAAACAAACAAAATTGATAGATAACGCATGCATTTTCATAGTCGGAACAACAACTAGCGACGTGTTTCATCTTTTTCAAGGCTTAGGGACATTCTATGAGACAAATTGTGAAAACGTGCGTTTGAATGCAGTAATGACTTACATTGGTTGACTGATGGCTGAGATGAAGACGTCCGTCGCTCAGAGTGACCAACTCAATGCCCATCATCGCAAGTTGCTTCAGATGGTCCTTGTTGGTCGTTGAGAATGCCCACGCTCTAATCCTTTCGGCTCTGAATGTTACTTTGATTCTTCTTTGCTCTCCTCTCATATCCTCAGATTAACTTATCAAGAAAATGAGTTTGCACTTCACTTACGGAGAATCACATTTGAGCAGTACATTGTTTCCACTCGGTACTGGTGATGTTCTAATCTCTCCCAATAGCATTTTCGTTTTCTCTCTTATCAATTGGGCTTCCTCCCTCTCTGTGGGCAACTTTGTAAAATCGATTGGGTTTGCACACACGTAGTTTTTGTTCTTTGGCTCGTCGGACCGCAGAATCATTCTTCGTGGACTATTTCCTTTCCTGTTTCCTGACGTTCCCATACTGAGTGGCAAGAAATGAGCTTCCGTGGTAAGTACGTAGTGATCGGGGTCGAAAATCAACTCCTCTGGATCGGTGAAGATCATGTAGAGGTACTTGAAAGTCTCGGAAAGTACGAACGATTCCATTTGATCTTCCTTCTTCATCGTTCGAATGTCCTTAAGTGCCGCAAAGCCGCACGGCACTTTCACGTACCGGTTGATGCTGTCCATTATCTAAATATAAATGATGTTGTACATTAATGAAGTTCATGAAATAGTACCTGTGCCGCAACTTCCAAGTAATGTGGGTCTTTCGTAGCCCGATACAAGAAGTAAGTGCTCTCCACGAACTCGGGCCTGATCGGATGCTCTGCCCAGTGAATTTGAAAATCGTGGGTAAACGCTTCGGGCAGGAATTTGTGCTTTTGAACGACTTGAAATAGCATTTCATGCATTTCAATGGCTTCCTTGACATCTCCTTTTAACACCTGAAGCCCTGGCCAAAAAGCGAGCAATGAGTCCATGAATCCTCGTGTGGCCACTGTCGGTCGGTGCATGTGGACGTCAACGATCAGCGGTCCTTTGCTCACGTACCGTTTAATCGCTTCGTAGTGCTTGTTGAACCGTTCCAGATAGTCTGTGTCTCCGAGAAGAATGTACGCTTTGAGAGTGTACTCGTAGTACGAGTCAATGCCCGCACCGATGCCACTTTCCCGTCGGATCCAGTCTCCGGAGTGCACATTGAGCACAGTTCCCATCAGATCGGAAGATCGGTGCCTTTGCTGCCACAGAAAATCCATCGCCTTCTTGGCCACTTTCTCGTACATCGGGTCTCCGGTTAATCTAGTCAATGCAGCAAACTCGAGAATCATAGTCCCACCACAGGCCGTGCACGTGTCTTTCTGTCTCTTCAAATGATCTTGCATTCCGTATTTCAAGTTGATTCTGCTGTACGGCAGTCCACTCGTTGTATTGAACGCGGGCAGCAGCCTATTTCCGACTTCTGTCGCCATTTTGAGCAGCTGTCCATCGTAGTTTTTGAGCCGTTTTGGGTACTTCTCTCTCACAAGATCGACCATTACGTGAGCTGGAATTTCACCTGTCAGGCAGATATTTTGAGGAAGTCCGTACCTGAGATCAATCCGCCCAATACTCTGATATTCGTTTCGAAAACACTGACGACTAGGTCGGAGTCGAAACGAACATGCTCAATGACCAAGTTCACTCCTTTTTCGAATTCATCCAGCTCGTTGAGTACCACGAGCGTGTCCAAACTGTCCAGGAGAGTGACCGAGAAACTGGAACAAAACACGATAATCGTTAAAAATTAAATTCTGATCTTACTTTCCGAGAACGTCGTCCACGTCTCCTCGGCTTGGAGTCACACCACGTACTCTTCCTTTGCAAGATAATGGCATGAGCTCATCGGCCGGGAACGCGTAGTTCATGTAGGAATTGTATCCGTGCATAAACATATCGTACGCATCTTTTCTGAAATATAATCGGTACTATTCTCAAATTCTTTTAGTTTTTCAAACGAACTGTAATCTTTTTACATCCAAGTCTGTAGCTATCGATAAATGAAAACATAATGTCAAGAATAGAATAGTTTTCCATCGAGGATTATCCATATTTTGAAAATATTCGTAGAAAAGGAAGACCGGACGATTAGCGCATCGATGAATTCAAAAACGTCGCCTGAAAACAGCGAGGCTTTCAGAAAACAGAACAATTTTTTGGGGAGAATGAGCAGAGGTCGTGGGGGTTTAATGAGATGTGCCTGTCGCAAATGCGCTCTATTGAGAAATGAACGATCGATGCGCCAACTGGACTCCCTGTCGCAGCCCTCCTCCTCCTCCTCCTCCTCCTTTCCCCTGTTTTTCCCGACGCACGCATGACACACACACTCACTCGTCCTCGAAAATACGCACACAATGTGGAGACGCAGAGAAATGACGTGTTACTTGACGGACCGAAAGTACAGTGTGTAGGCATTGGGTCGTGAGAAAAGAGGAAGACGAAAACAGTGGAGACGTCGCATAGAACATAAAAGCGAGGGCCCGAAGGTTGGCAAACAAGGTCGGACCCCAACAAACAGAAAAAAAGCAATTGATTAACAGAAGATGACTGAAAACGAAGGTATATTTGATAGTTCCGCGTTTGATAAGGAAATGGCAACATTTGATTTCTCTTTGCATGTCTTATTCGGAAAACTTCATTCACTTTTTGCATTCCGTTTCGCTTTCAAACTGTTGTCGGCACGCAAACTTTTGCAAGCGGCATCCTTTCTCTGTGTCTCCGCGATGTCAAACTCTTGTTTACACCATGCACGATTAGATCTTTTGCCGAAATGAATTGAACATTCACGACCAAGACTACTTCGATTTTAATTTTAACTTCAATTTCCATACGCCTACATTGTTCATTTCGTTGAGGAGGCCAGTCGCGAGGCACTTGTACGTGAAAATTGCCAGAAGGCGTCCAACTACGAATGATGACAAATGAGGTTTATTATCGGGGGCGAAGTCTAATTATTCGCATTTCGCTTGAGTTGTCGCGGAATTCCCCTCATCTTCATCTCTGTTTTCACATATTTCAGCTAGTCTCTGGTTTGTAGTAGCAGTATTCATAATAACAAAAACACTAATGATACAAATATTTGTCTCTTTCTGATATCCTCCGATTAATAGCTAGCTTCGAGACGAATAATTCAAAAACGTATAATTTAGTCGTTCTTCCCTCCATTTTTGTTTCAAACATTGGTTCCAACTTCATCGGCAACATGTTGAACAGCAAAACAAGCCGCTCACGTCAAAGGCAGCCGAGTTTCAACACTAACAAGACCCGTCATGCATTCATCCATTCCACCGTGCATATTCCCTCACAAATCCCCCGTATTAGCCCCTGAATCATCTTTTGATCTCGGGGTATAGCACCCGAATTCGAGTACCAATAATTGGCATTCAATTCCACACACTGCGAAATGCTGCTTACTTCTGCGCGCGAGCAGCAATAGTGCTCGTTTATCAATAATTTTAGAGAGCTTGAGAGTTGTAACCTAGTTTTTGGCGTGCGAATAGAATTTGAGCTGAGTTTCGGTCCCCGCTTGCACCTCTCTTCTCATTTTTCCCTCATGTTGCAGACCAGCTCAACTTGAGCCATTATGTACATTTGCGAGGCATAGAGAAGTATTCTCTCGCCTGATGAAGTCTGAAGTGGCCGAGCGACTAAGATGACCTTTCGCTTTTTTTGCGACACACACACACATACACAAAAGCTTCACACATTTTCCTTGTCTTGTTTTTTGTTTTCTCTGCCGCTCGTCACTCGTCTCCGACCGAATCGCTCCAATCTCAGTTGATCTAACAGACTAGTTCTCTTCTTCATTGTCCCTCTCGGTTTTATTTCCGGAATTGCATAATAGAGCACAGTCCAACTGAAGACCGGATAAAATCTTCCGTTTATCGGTTTGACTCTATGCAAAACACGACAAGAAAGAATAGGAGAAAAAGAGTGTGAGAGTTGGTTTTGAACAAATAAACGCGCAGAGCGCCAAACATTTTCGCCCAATACTTCTTTATTCCTTTCGTTGTTGTGACCGGCAGTTTTGCCGCAAGATTTCGATAGGAGTGTCCGGTTAGTAATCGATAATTTTGATGGATTAAAATAGATTTTCCTAGTGATAAATCTGAAAAGCAAATTTGAAAGAGACGCTCTCTAGCCCAGAAGAACGTTCTGTGATGTGTTTATCACCCAATGTTGACTTGATATCTCGTCGTCTATCTTATCTCTCCCTATCCGTTGCACCGTCCGTCTCTTTTGTGCATATCATTACCACTATCCGTCCATTCGCCCCGTTTGTTCTCCCTTCTGCCCTTCGCTTCGGTCGCTCACTAGTCTATTCTATCTCTTCTCTTTCTTTCTCTCTCTTTCGGTTTGTAGTAGGTAGCTCTGCAACAGCCGGAGCGTGGTGTAAACTTATAACAAATGCCAGCTGATTGTGCATTCGTTCCGTTTCACCCATTGCTTTTGCACTCCATTCCATTTATCGCTCGGTTTCCGTTTGGAAAATTAAAATGCTAAATAATTGGAATGTAATGAATCAGAATCAGATGATAATGATTTGTCGTTGATTTCCGTATAACTATCTCTGGCATTGCATGTGAAATTCATTTCACTTCCATTTTAACGCCTATCTCTTTCCACCTTGCAATCCAATCCGTTTGACCGTTACTTTTTTAGATGGCTGACCGTCACGCAATTGGAAACAATGCTTCCTCACTCATTGGCAACACGCCAATGGTCTACCTCAACAAACTGGCGAAAGGAATCCCGGGAACCGTCGGTACGTACCACAACAATAACATCGAAATCAGTAGTTCTTGTTGTTTTCAGCAGTCAAAATCGAGTACATGAACCCAGCCGGGTCGATCAAAGACCGCATCGGATGGGCAATGATCGATGCGGCGGAGAAAGAGGGAAAAGTGAGTGTTGCTGGCTGCTCGTGTGAAAAAACGCGCATGAAATATGTATGACAATGAATGTGCATCTCGTCATTTTAGATTATTCCCGGAGTAACCACGCTCATTGAGCCAACTTCCGGCAACACGGGAATCGCTCTCGCGTTTGTCGCCGCTGCAAAGGGCTATCGATGCATTGTGACGATGCCGGCGTCGATGAGTGGAGAGAGAGTAAGTCGTACTCGATCACAAACCACAAAACCAGACAATTTTTGCAGCGTACTCTCCTAAAGGCATACGGAGCCGATGTCGTGTTGACGGACCCGGCAAAAGGAATGAAGGGGGCCATCGAGAGAGCCAACCAGCTCAAGGAGAACCTGCCAGGATCCTACATCCTCGCCCAGTTCGACAACCCAAACAACCCGCTTGTCCACTACCAAACCACTGGACCGGAAATCTGGAGACAGACCAACGGGAAGGTTGACGCGGTGGTGTTTGGAGTTGGAACCGGAGGAACCATCACTGGTGTCGGAAGATTCCTGCAGGAGATGAACCCGGCTATTCGTGTGTTCGCTGTGGAACCAGAGGAATCGGCCATTCTCAGCGGAAACCCGGCCGGTCCGCACAAGATCCAAGGAATTGGAGCTGGATTTGCGCCAGCGGTGCTTGACACCAAAATCTACGAGGACGTCATCCGTATTCACTCCGACGAAGCCATTGTGATGGCAAAGAGACTCGCGTTCGAGGAGGGACTTCTCTGTGGTAAGGAATACATTCTGCAGATGTGTCTTTACAATCGTTCTTCAGGAATTTCATCTGGAGCCAACGTCGCCGCCGCTATCCAGATCGCTTCTCGCCCGGAAATGGTTGGAAAGCTGATCGTCACCGTCTTGCCGAGCTGCGGAGAACGCTACATGTGAGTACTTTTCCTGGATCTTCAGTGATGAACTCTGTTTTTTAGGACGTCTGCTTTGTACACTGACATTCGCGAGGAGGCAATGTCCATGGGAGTCGAGAGTTTGGAAACGAACTTGGAGAAACTGTCGCTCCACTCGTTCGAAGTCATGGAGTAATTTATACCTGCAATTACATCTCACTTCTCTGAAAAAATTGATCAAGGTTGTTGTTTTCATATGTTTAACTTTCTGGTTCTAGTAATCAAAATCAATAATCGTTCCCCCTTGATTTGCTCTTGAAATCCTGTAAATGAGCCCGGCCTTATTTTATTTTCTGTTCCCTTTCCACTTTGAATGTCTAATAAATTGTATTGTACAGTCCGTTGCAAAAGTATAGGGCCACCTCTGAAAATCACCGGCACGTCTTCCCCAGATAGTATCATGCCTCCGCACCTTGAAAATCGGATTCAGCATGAAAAGTTACCTCTGGAAAACAATTTTGGGGCCAGTACATTGGGTGCTGAGGCCATGGTGCTGGAAAATCTGAAAAAGTGGCTTCTGCAGGCGTTTCATAAGTATAGGGCCACCCCTGAAAACACTCTGGAAGCCTCTTAAACTGATAAACATGATCTTGAATGGGGTTCTTTGCACCTTTAGGATGTCCAAAAAGCCTTTTTGAAATCATGTGCACTGACCCCGGGGCCACTCTCCCGGGTTTAGCCTAATGTTCTGTGTGAAGCTCGGGAGTGGAACCGGGGGGACTCCGAGGATCTCAAATGAGTCAAATCTTGTTTGAAACAAGTTTTTTGAGCATTTTCAAGTCAGATTCGTTCAGACCTCTCGATTCGCTAGCACGTGATATCAGATTTTTGACCAAAATGAAGCCAGGCCCAACAAGGATCAGACTGGCTTGAGCGTCAAACTCCAGGCTGACATTGCACACTTTTAGGACTTCATAAGGAAGGTTTGAAACATGGAATGTTTGAGTTTGGTGTCAATCGGATCAGTTTCAACCGAGTTATGAGCTCCCGATTGTTGAAGTGAAGAAAACCAACATTTTTCAGTACATTTCTGTTGATTTTCTTCACTTCAACAATCGGGAGCTCATAACTCGGTTGAAACTGTTCCGATTGACACCAAACTCAAACATTCCATGTTTCAAACCTTCCTTATGAAGTTCCATAAGTGTGCAATGTCAGCCTGGAGTTTGACGCTCAAGCCAGTCTGATCCTTGTTGGGTCTGGCTTCATTTTGGCCAAAAATCTGATATCACGTGCTAGATATTCGACATGCCTCAACAAAATTGACTTGAAAATGCTCAAAAAACTTGTTTCAAACAAGATTTGACTCATTTGAGATCCTCGGAGTCCCCCCGGTTCCACTCCCGAGCTTCACACAGAACATTAGGCTAAACCCGGGAGAGTGGCCCTAGGTGGCGTCGGCGTCAGTGCACATGATTTCAAAAAGACTTTTTGGACATCCTAAAGGTGCAAAGAACCCCATTCAAGATCATGTTTATCAGTTTAAGAGGCTTCCAGAGTGTTTTCAGGGGTGGCCCTATACTTATGAAACGCCTGCAGAAGCCACTTTTTCAGATTTTCCAGCACCATGGCCTCAGCACCCAATGTACTGGCCCCAAAATTGTTTTCCAGAGGTAACTTTTCATGCTGAATCCGATTTTCAAGGTGCGGAGGCATGATACTATCTGGGGAAGACGTGCCGGTGATTTTCAGGGGTGGCCCTATACTTTTGCAACGGACTGTATTCTGTGCTATGATCTTCCTTTTTTGAATTGGTTTTGTTAATTTGGCCTCGGTGTTGGTGTCCATCGTCAGATAACCGAGTTTAGAAACAATTGAACCCATTTGCACAGTGAGGCATGAAAAAGGCCAGGCGATGTCTCACAAAAAGGTCAGTGCGTAAGTGAAACAGTGACCCTAATAAGAGAGGATGAAACCTGGTTTCGGTTTGGCTAATCGCTCGAGAATTTTTGCCGACTGAATGAACGAGACGGGATGAAATGATGATGAGGCTTCGATAGCAGCAGTTCAATTTGATTAGTGCAACCGATATAGTAGCGTACGTGATACTCCTCGGCACGGAACCAGATGACCCAGACCCCCCTGTACCTCATCAGGAAGTGCCTCTTCGCTGCACTTTGGTCATTGAGTTTGACCAGATCTTTCAGCAATCATAAATACCGGAACAGTCTAGTTTTTCCTATGACGCCGATAGATAGACCAAAGGTGTATGGAAACAAAAGCTGGCGGTTCTGTCGCCGATATCAATATATCGGTTCTCGGTTCTAATCAATCAGTGAAAACACACGAATGTCAACATGTTTCTTCGAATGTTTCAAACAGATTTACGATGTGATCTCATGTCAGAAAGCTTGAGAACAATTTAAACGAACACGTGTTACTCATCGGTCAACAAAAGGTCGAGTGACCCAAATACTCCTACCATTATCAAACAGCATTTGTTTGTACTTTCAGACGCTCAATGTGACCACCCAATCATCACACTTTTTATAGGTTTCGTGATGGATCGACGGAAATGGGTTAGTCCCAGAAGGTGGTCAAACTACCTGATTGAGAAGAGAAAATGAATCACTTTTGAGAAATTCGCAATTATGCACTGGAAATTACAATTTCAGATTCTGATTGGCAAATGTAACTCAATTTTCAAAAACTAAAGGAATTTCAAAAACAAAAAACCGGGCCTAAAAGATGCCACTCCCAGAGAACCGTAGTTTTTCCGATTTGAAATTGAGACCGGGGTACTGTAAAGACCATGACCAGAAGTGGAAAAGGATCTTCTTTTGCAGATTAAAAGTGTTGTTGCACTTGTCAAATTAGTGTGGATGAATCGAGAAAGCCAGTCGTTTTTTTTCGCCCGCCGAGAAGGTGTCAGAATTGACGCGGTCCCTCTTTGTGTGCAGTCCTAATTCGAATTAGAAGAGATGGGAATCAGGAAGAAAAGGACACCGATCCGGCCGCCGGTGTCTCATCGTGATCTTGTTAACAAACTTTGAGAAGTGGGCGGATCGTTCATATAAAAGCCAAGTCCCGACGCTCAGTCTCCATCGTTCGGCTCGTCTCGAGGGGCGGTTCGGCGCCGCCGCCGCTCGCTCCTCGAGAAAAAGACAAAATCGTTTTTGTAGTCGTTGTCGTCCTGTATGTGGGTGTGTCGGTGAATAAACGAAACAGTTCAGCTTTCCAAAGTTAGTCTCATCCTCGTTTCGCGGTCAGCGTGTCTGCCTGACCTGTATCTATTTGAGCGCGCGCCTCATTGCTTCACACTTAACTCGAACTTCTTGTCGCTGATATAATAAGAAAAAACCACCGCCGCCGCTTCTCCGAGTGATTTCTGTTTTGTTGGCCTACGACGGAGAAAGTTAGTTAATTGAGTGTGTGAAGCAAGAGGAAACTAGCATTCGTGAAGATTGAGAATCAGGGTCAAGCCATCCAATCATTTCTGTACTGCCTGACCAATCATACTTGTCCGCGTGTTGAATTACTCCCCTTAATCAAATTTCTAGTAAGTTGAAAACTGCTGTTACTGTAGTGCCTAGTGTTCTAACCTTTTAAGGTTCCGCGTTCTTTCAAACGAATCCGATATTATCTAGCTAACCATCTGATATCCCCGAATCTGCAACGAACCTTCCTGAGAAAACACGGATCCAGTGACGGTTTTGCGTTTTTCGAACAAGCAAAGGACATCGCGATACCGTTAATCTCGAGAAATTTTTGATGGGCGAAGCATGTCTCCGCACAATTGACCTCCTCATTTGGGCGTTGGGAAAAGAAACCGTATAAAGCGTCGTGTAGAAAACTGGCAAACTCTTCGCGCGTCTTCCATTCTGGTCCATCCCAATGTTTCAATATGTCATCTTTTCGATTTCTACTGATACCGTTCGCCGCAAGAAACATTCCGCCATTTCGATCCATCATTCACTGATAAGTGATTTACGCGTTCTTCTCACTTTTTTATCGCTTCGTTCTCGCATCCAATCCTTGATGTACTGTTTTGCAGAATGGCTTCTCGAACTTGCCTAAAGGCGTTCCTCATCCTAATCGGATTAGTCAACATAGCCACCGCAGCTGTGAGTGAAAGAATTCAATGAACTTTTCATCGAAATTCGAATAAAAAACGAAAACTTTTCAGTACATCGCCAATGACGTCGTGTCGGATTATGCAGAAGTGAAGGAACTGTTGGCCGCTTTCTACAGAAAACATGCAAAGAAATATGGACACGACTACGTGAGAAATTCGAATGTTAATGAGTTGAACATTTATTTTCCAGGATCCTGTGGCAATTCAAGCCATTGCTGAAAACATGGACAAGGCAATTAAGGACGACAAAACCGAGGCCACAGTCAACAGAAAGCTGTGGAATGAGGTGTTCGAGAACGACATCATCTTAACCCTTCCTCAGGCAGAAGCTCTTCTCAGCGAAAGCAGTGAGGACTACCTTCGATATCAACCACAACAAAACGTTGTTCTTACAGACATCCCAAGACGAAAGCGACAAGCTCATCCAGATCCTCGCAACTTCTGGCCCAATCTGACCATTTCTTACGAGTTCTACGGAGGCGAAGACACGTGGCGTCAGTTGGTCCGTAGTGCCATCCGACATGTTGAGCAGAACGTGTGCTTCCGGTTCAAGGAGAACGGAGGAGATAAAGACGGACTGAGATATTACCGAGGAAACGGATGCTGGTCGAATGTTGGAAGAATCGGAGGGCGACAACTTGTGTCTATTGGATACGGATGTGACAGCGTGAGTTAGAAAGCACCCGGGACACAGGCAAAGTTTGAATTTCAGCTTGGAATTGTATCTCACGAAACTCTTCACGCACTGGGTTTGTGGCACGAGCAGTCTAGAGATGACCGTGACAATTACATCTCTATTGCTTCTGATAAAATCACCAGAGTACGTTTTCAAAAGGACTCTTATATCAAGCAAATTTTTTGTAGGGAACCGAAGGAAACTTTGCCAAACGAACTCCTGCGAACAGTGACAATCTTGGTAGGTTTCAGCTAGTACTGAAAATGTATTAATAGATTGAATCAGTTTGTTCTCTTGCATTTATGACTAGCGAACGTGTGTAAAACATAGAAATACTTTCCTTTTTAGGTCAACCGTACGATCTAGGATCTGTGATGCACTATGGAGCAAAGGCTTTCTCTTACGATTGGACTAGGTAATAGAACAGAACAGAAAATAGAAGACCAGAACTAAATCTTTAACTTCAGTGACACCATCAAAACCAAGGATTGGCGTTACCAGAACACCATTGGTCAAAGAGACGGACTCTCGTTCAAAGATGCAAAAATGATCAACACAAGATATTGTCAAGGTAAAAAGGATCTCATCAGGAACTCGTCCTGAAATTATCCCTTTCCAGATGTGTGCCCACGTAAACTTCCATGCATCAATGAGGGATACACCGATCCGAACAACTGTGGTCAGTGTCGATGCCCATCGGGATACGGAGGAACTTATTGCGAAACCGTCGAGTCGAGTAAGTCGTTTATCGCGTATCTGATTACTATTCGAATGATCAGCATCATGTGGAGAATCTCTCATTGCGACGGCATCATACCAGAAGATTGAAAGCGGAATTGTACAAGCCGATGCGAATTGCGTGTGGCGAATTAGAGTAAGTAATGATGATAACGATGAAGCGTAACGGATCATTCAACGGAACAAATGTTGCCTTTTAGAACCCGGGAGGTAGTGTCGAAGTGGTATTTGACACTTTGAACTTCCAATGTTCCGATCCGTGCCAGAGTTACGTTGAGGTCAAGTGGCTTTCCCAGAAAACAGCGACAGGTACTGTTCAATAACAATTGCAAAACGAATCGATGAGTTTAGGAGCAAGACTCTGCTGCAGTTTGCCATCGGTCATCAGATCGGAAGGAGATGACATTCTGATCGTCTACCGTGGATACCCGAACACTGCCTACGGATGGAAGGGATTCACATTAAGATACAGAGCGAGTACGTTATGAACAAATTGTCAAAATTCATCCGATAGATAAACATTTTCTATATATTGAATTCAAAACGTTTCATTTTCTAGTTGGAGGATCGCCGACAACAGTGGCCACAACCCGCCCAACCACCTACACCACGACCCGACCATACTGGACCAGAACGGCAAGTGGATGGATTCATATCGAACACCCACCACTATACACGCCTGACGGCCAGATTTACACCTCGGATGAGCGATCGGTGGAAAAGTTCAATTCCGCTGAGGAACTCTTCAATCCGAGCACTGCCAACATTTCCTCTTCCGCCTCACCCGCACAGTTTCCTTCAGATGTCTCCCAACGGGGGCCATCTGCACACGAGCATGATCTATCGCAAGCTTTAGTGAGACTATCCTTTTCTTTCCTTTCCTTTCCATTTTTCTCTTTTGCTAACCCCAAACTCTATTCACTTAACAATTGTCAAAAAGGATCGAATAGTATCTAATAATTTGGGTTTAGTCTGTTCCAACTCCGACGACCGTTGCTCCAGAAACTGCCTCGTGGAGTGGTTGGGGAGAATGGTCCGTTTGTTCGCAACCTTGTGGAGGATGCGGAACCCGAACGAGAGTGAGAGCTTGTTACGGTGGAAACCAGGAATGCGCGTAAGCAAACTACGTACAACTCGATGGAGAAAGACTCTTACAGGGGAAGCAATTTGGAGAAAGAAGGTTGCAACGCTCAGACCTGCGCTAAGCCGAAAAAAGGAATGATCTGCAATGGGCGCCTTCTCCTTCCATGCGATTTGCTTTCCAAACTCAAGTTCGGATCGAACAACTATTTGAATCCCAAATTGAAGCAATCCGGATTCGCGCGAGGTAAGCGGTCATGCAAATTTTCGTGTTGTTTTGACAGGAACTGACCAAGGTAGAAACAAACTGTTTTGTAGCCAGCACCCTCCCACTGCCACGTATCTCTCAGCGCAAACCAGTCCTTCGTCAAGAGTAAGTCACGGATTCTGGGGGGCTAGCCAACTATTGTCTCGTTTTCAGGCTTGAAATACATCCACCAACTGACAGATTCTACTCCTCGACTACACGTAGAGTTAAGAGACAAACAGTGATTCGGTTCTGTGAAAAGTAAGACGAAATGAACAATCTATATTAAAAATGCTAAATTTTCAGACGTTTCATCTACCAGTGTCCAACCGCTCTTCTCACCATCAACATGGAGTACAAGGAGCCAACTGAAGCAACCAATGATGCTTATTTCGTGAGTTTCGACAGGTCAAAATACTATATTGGAAAACTTTAAATTTTCAGCAACAGTATCCAGAATGCTGCTCTGGATACACGCCACGTTCCGGTGTCTGCTACAAGAACTAATTCATCCAGTTCTGATCCGGTTTTCACAAAATCCCTCTTCGCCCAACCATTCTGATATTGCTCATGATCTGCTTTTTCTGTCTCCACCTGCTTTCCATTTGTTAATAGACAATATTTTGTTGCGCTTTCGATTGTGCTCTGCTCATTTTCCTCGTAATAAGATTCTAATAAACGTCTACTGGTTGAATATTGTCGATCACAAGTTTGTCAAATAGTGTCTAAACGTTTCATTCTGATTCAAATTAATCAGTGGCGAGCAATGGACGGAAAAGAAGCAATGAGGCGTGAAAAACCCTGGCCGAGGAATAAAAGGGAACAGTAACGAGCGCACTTCTTTGCGCATTCTGTGGGAACCCGGAGAAATCATGAGAAAAATAAGGGAAAACAAGAAAAGAAAGGAGAAGTGAGTGAAAGAGTGAAAGCTTAAAATTGAATATTGCCGAAGAACAAATAGATCTAACATACATAAGAATAGCTAAATTGACTCGAAACTGTGATACTAATACATGAGAATAACAGCTGAAATCAGAACAACCAAATAGTGCAGGGATTGCTGGTATGATCCTCCACTTGCGCTTCTCTTCGTCCACCCGGCATGACAGTACTTATTCGACTTGCAAATACATTCCTTGATCTCCAGTTTTTCGTGCAGCCTGTAATAACCGATAAAATATAACTGATAGCGGGCCATTTTGTTTATACATTTCACAAGAATGGTCGTTTTTCTTCTCCAATTCCGGAACGTTGATCGCTCCAAAATGTTCAGCACAACCACGAACCACAAACGCGTTTCCTGAAAAAAAAACGAGAATTTTGATTAAATAAACACATATCCTTTCATCTCACCCGCATTTCTATCCACTATCGACAGAGTCTGACAATATTTGTACGAGCACTTTTGCTTCTTCAGTTTCGTCAAATTTCTCGCCGAAAGGCACTCGGGTGTGACGGCGTCTTGAAAAAAAGAGAAAAGAAATTATGGGGTTCTCAAGGTTTGTGCGCCAATCCAATTACCTATCGGAAACGCAGTTCTTCGCATCTCTAGCAAGTTTCGAATTGATTTTCGCATGTCCGGACGGAGTTTATCAATTGGTGTGGCGCAGAAATAGCACCAATTGTCGTCGCTTGTCTCTTCGGTTGGGTCAATAAAGGATTGGATCGTAGTTTCTTCGTCTGAAAAAAGGAAAGGTTAGTGCATTTCTTAATCAAAAGTTCAGTTTTACTTGGTGAAGATTTCAGAGCTTGAGGTTCAGCCGGTCCCCTCAGATGTTGTCTGAACCCGTGCTTTTTTCTCGGAAGCGACGGAGCTCTGAGTTCACTCGGCAAATCCGCCGATTCGTAGTTTCCGTTCTCGATTTGTACTCCCAACTGCCGGCCCGAGTACTTGACTCCTCTCTGCTCGGCCTGTTGTTTCATCTCCATCTCGAAGTTTTGTAGTTCTATTTCTTTCAACTGAAAAACGTTTTGATTCGAATCCATTCTGTCTGATTTCCTAGGTTTCTATAATCTGTCACGAAGGACATTACTCAACCAAATCAAATTTTTGGGAATGTGAATGTGAAAACTGGTTCTCTCGGGCAGTAGGAATGTTGTATAGAAGGCTACGCAGCTATAGCTAACACACTGGAATGAGAAAAAACGTATAGAACAACTAAAACTGAAAGCCCCTTTTTACTCTAGAGTCCTTATACCAGGCTGTGTACAAATCCCATTTGTTTTTTTTTCTTTGGTGGCGGCGCGTTCCTCAAAAAACCGCACGAAAGGGGCCACAAAGGCTCGTGCCTCCGGCAGCTGGACATCTGCTTCGTATTAAAAATTTGAGCAAGAAGAGCGCGCATCTGCTGCGCCCCTTCATCAGAACGGAACGACACGATGGATCATCCCCTTCTTCTTCTTCTTTTTCTTCTTCTTCCAAAAAAGAGGATAGACGGATGCAAAGTGCCAGTGGGCGTGTTGAACTCTCAATGTCTGGAAGACGGCGCCGAGACACGGCTGTCCGGCTCCTTGCCTCACTTTTTGCATTCAGCCCAACTCTCTTCTCTTATTTCCTATACATTTATGCGGAATCTTCGAGAAATGCAAGTTTCGAAATTTTGAAATTTGATTAATTCGTAGTCGAAATTATCATTATAAATGGCCTTGCGAGATGTTTTACATTTTTCGGAATTAACCAGAAAAAAGCAGGGAGGAGCTTACTTTCAGACTTGTCGAAAATCGGCCGGCCCGGTCGGCTTTTGGAAAAAGAAAATTGGCTCAAAATTCATTATTTGAAGTTTTAGTACTAAAACCCGGTCCGCGACAAGCTTGACTTTTAGATACATGACGAGTTGATGTTATCCACATGTTTTTTACTATTTCAAAAGTCAAAACTAACATCTTGTAAGTACTTGGCCTGATCCTCTTCTGTATACACCTTCCGTCTCGCTTCTGCCATTGCCAACAACGCTAAAAGCGCCCAAGCGCCGAGAAACCGCATCGAAGAGCTGTCCTGAAAGCTGAGAATAGAAAAGATGTTGCCGGATGGCACAAATGTCAGAAATGTGGGGTGTGAGGACGGTTTTGCGGATCAATACAAATACAGACACGGCACGCCGCCCTCTGCGGCCGGCGCGCCCCTCGTTTTTCCTCCTTGCCTCCTTCTCTCCCTCTCTCAGTTCCTATCTGTCTTTGTCTCTCGCCTGACAGTACTGGTACTAACGCCACTCTGCGAAGCGAATAATGGTCGTCACATTTCTGCACACCCTCTGTGTACGCAATCTATTCAATGCGGACGGCCAAATTTACATGTCCGAAGCGAAACGCAAAGCGATCAGTCTCGCGTTGCGGTGATGTTTTGGAAATTTTGAAACTACAGGAGATTACAAATGATACTGTCGGTTTTCGTGAAAATTGGAAGAGGGGAAAGTGAAAAGTGTATCCGGACTATGAAGAACGAAGGATAAAGCTGAAAGGAAAACGCTTTTAAATCTAATCGTTCTGTGAACCGAGGTAATGTGCATATTAAGAATCAAGAGGACGGCCAACTGTTTTCCAAGTTTCCAAGTGTAGTTCTGTCAGTTGCCCTTTCACTGATTAGGCACCTCATGTTCAAAATCGTAAATTTTACGGCACCACTTTGCAAGTCCCTTATCTTCAAATGAGCGCTAAACGGCAACCTTTGTGGCACCGCCGACTCCAGTGACTCACAAGCTCCTTGTTTGAAGTCAAACTACCGACAGTGTGTCAACTTCTTTTTGGTTACCGGCAGGCACCGACCACAAATGACTCAAAAGTCATGTCATCACCGTCTTGTTATTCATTCTTTCCTTCATCTGCCCGGAATAGTGTTTACAGTTGCACGTGAATGTACATACATTTCACTCGACGCCTTTCCTCTCGGGCCCATAATAGGGGAAGTTCTAAGAAGTCGCGGGCAAACAAGCAAATCGAGAAGAGGGGGGGGGTCTGCATGTTGTTGATGCCAGCTTTTTTGCCGTCGTCTTCCTTCCGACACTTCTCAAGAGTACCCTTCGCTTGCCTGCAAACTACCGACAAATTGGGAGCAATTAAAGCGGCATCGATCATATTCACCCCCCCAAAACAATGGAAGGCAGGCACATTGCCGTCCGTTTTGTCGGGGGCCATATTCATTGCAAAGGCGCGATATCTCACACATAATATCTGACCTCCAGGATCGACCTTTTCTGCGAACGTTTATTCATTTCTGTCCGTCAAACCCACGACCGGCAGGAAGGATGCCTTGATGAGTGCCCGTCGATTAATAATGAGATCATAGGGCCGAGCAGGCAAAGAATTTCTGTGGAAGGGAGGGAAAGGAAGCAAAGGAGCGCATCTGATTCGGTTCCGTACATTTATCAAATTGAAGCTTATTAGCATGTCATTTTCCCTGCGCTCTTACGCGTGCAGTAACAGTAGAGGATGAGGAAATGAAACAAGGGACGTCTGAATTGTTATTATACTAAAATCTTGGTTATATCCTTGCCGCACCTCAAAATACCCCGAATAAACCGTTTTATTTCGCTGACATGATATTGAGAGCGCATGGACTGCCGCCGAAATCCAATTATTCTCAAAATGACGTCATCATGTCCATCCAAGTCTCCTCCTGATTCCAATCGTCGTCCCTCACTCTGCCTCCTACTTCTCCCTGGACACTTTCCTTATTTCCAGTTCGAACGACGCACGGAGAGAACGGGTGAAAAAACTGGATTGGACAAGTTCGGGCGGCAGTTGTGACCGGCCACATGACTGAGTCTTCAATTCATATCCAGATCGATGGCAGAGATTTTGTACATATTACCATTTATTCGTCGCGGTTGAGTCGGTTTGTTCCGGAGTTTCGTATGGGCTTGTTGACATTTATGTAAACGGACCAATATAGGTATTCTAAGGAAGGGAGAAAAGGGGGAGAGAGAGAGAGAGAAGGGGGGAAAACTCGGTTTGTTAAATAGATGTCGGATGAGCTTCTCATTCTGCAAACCTTATGACCTTATGACTATCGCCAAACAATACAAAAGCATTTTCCTTCTCGTTTCTCGTTTTCGATTTGCTACGAGAAAAAAGTGCATCATTATTTTCTGCCATTTATAGAAGGTCATTCATCGTCTTCACACATACATTGCCAGATTTTCATCTTTCTTTTCATTTCTTCTTTTTTTTCTCTCACACCTTTTGCCTATTTTCTGAACAAGCTCGATTTATTCACGGAACAACAAACGTTTTAGAATTAAAAGTGAGATTGCATTTCAAAAAATGAGGTGATTGTGCGTAAAGAAAGAGAACAAGAAAAGTGAAAAGGAGGCACCAGTTTTAATGAGAAGTCGTGCTGAGACCATCTTCGACCGTCGCTGGCTCCGCATTCGCATCCGCGATTCTGTCCATCGAGTTCAGCCGGAATCGCTCGCTCGTTTCGTCGTCGTGCTCTCGACGGCTTCTTCTGAAATAACCCCCTTCAATTTGTGGTTTTTGAAATGTGTCCTCTGTTTCGTATAGTCAAACAAGAGGCACCCCAAGTTGGCTATTAGAGCAGAACACTGCCAGCTTCTCTCCCCTCCCGCCGAGCACTTTTCTTCCTCTAATACTATTATAGTGTCCGCTTGCAATTCGAAAACGATCTTACCGCCTGGTTTTATGTGGCGTCGACGCTCTCTTGAGCACACCCATCACGAAACAGGAGACGACGAAGAGAATGATCTAAAACGATTAACTTTTTTCTCTTTTCTCTCTCTCCGCCGCTTCATTCCACTCTAACCTCCACGATGAATAGTATCGATGTGACCCAGTTCACCAAGATGATGTGGTGGTACAGCCAATCAGCGAACTTTGGAAAGCATCCCTAAAAATAAAGTTTCGTGTAGTTTTGTGGGTTCCCGGACATTTGGAAACCGCGACGTTTCAAAACTAACAGACCTTTTGAAACCAAAATTTTGACACTATTGTTGGTTTATTCTCGTCACTATTGATGTTTCTCAGTACCTTGTTTCAAAATGTCGCGGTTTTGAGACGTCCGGGAGTCGTTTTGTGAACTCACGTCTTGAAAGACGACTTTATCATCGGGCATTTTTCCACAGTTTTCGTTATCCGCGCCCTCGTCGAAGTGCTCGGGATTGCAGCAACTGTCCGGTGTGTATTGATTGATAGGCCAATGAACAGAATAGTACCAGTCCGTGTAAGTGTCCACTCCACAACATTCCAGCTGAAATTCTTCTCTAAAACTTTCTTTCTATTCCCTCCTAAACTATTCCTATTCTAACTATTCCCTTCATTTGGGTCCCGCTTGCAAAAGTCTATGAATAAAAGATGACAAAACTCTGAGCTTGAAACGAAAAGTATCTTCCTTCTCCTTTCATGCACCAGAAATTAGTTTCATCAACTTTTTCTTCTCCTGCCGTCCCATCTTTTTCTTGTGCCATCCAGAGCCATGTTACTTTTACTCAAAAACGAATTTTGAGCGACAATTCGGAGGGCTCTTCCTCCTCCTATTCCTCCTCTCCGTCCATTCTGTTTGTCGTACGGAGGGAAGGGATTAGACGAAGATTGGGACAAGAAGCTAATAAGTTGACCGGTTGAAAACAGAAAAGGGTAGAGACAATCCATTATCCAGCACAGCAGAGCCCTCTTCCTTCCTCGCTTGCCATAATTTTCTTCATGACAACCTCGTTTTTGTGAGAAGAAGAAGAAGAAGAAGAAGGCTCGGCTGGTCCCCTCTGGCTCAGCTGACGGCGCTCAATTCAAATCAAACACTCTCATTTTGTAGGGGCCGTTCTTGACAAACGTCAATTCTCAAGAGCCCTCTTTTCATACTATGTATTCCTCCCAAATTGGCTGGAAATGCAAATGCGAATGTCACCTTAGTTGTCTCGACTTGCGTTTCTTTAGAACAAACATTGTTCTCAAAAAATAAAATAAAACCGGGTTGCATCAAAACAGCAACATTCGTATATATTTCTGTGTTCCTCTCATTACCTCTCTTTGCAAATGATCCCATGTTAGCTGCAGTTTTATTTCTCTTCCAATCTTTGTGATCACCGTCGTCGTGTTAATATTTCGGAGCAGACTTTTTCTCAAATTCTCTCTTGCCTCATCCTCAACATTTTTCATTATGATTTATACGGCACACTCGATATTCTGACTCACTTTATGCAAGAATCCAGTCGTACGAGCCACTCCGTGCACTATTATAAGCAGGACGATGAATGAGACGTACTGAAGAATCATCAAAGATTATTCAAATCCTGTTCTTTTGCTCACCGAAACGAAAAGAGGCTTATTGTTCCAAGTCACACCAAGATATCCGACGGCCGTGATAATAAAGATGGTCACGCCTGTGAAAACACAAAGTCCGGCCGCTGATAGAGCTGCAAATAAAATCTTATTTTCTCTTTTTCTCCTTTTTCCCATTTCTCAGTGTTCAGTTCCCGTTTCAGTCCCAACACTTCTTTCTCTCTCTCTCTCTCTCCGCTTCTTTCCTTTCTCTCGTTTCACTTCATTCACTAATTGCAGGCAAATTGGTGCATCGACTGTCAATCAGTACTGTGTCGGACCCTTGTTAGCCAACCAGGTAATGCGTTCTCAACAGCGGGTGGGTGGGGGACACCCCTCAAATGCACATAATCGGTCTCGGGTCAGATAGCAATACGTGCCAGTGGTTGTGTAAGTCGTCCAACCACAGATGTCTTTATTAGTTTTCTATTCGCAAAATCCATCCTCGGATATTGATATTTTTCTTTTAGTTTCTCTGATTGTTCTCCCTTCTATTTTCTAGCTGTTTTCTCTTTTCCCATCCACCCGTTTTCACTCACACCGGCTCGAAATGTTGAGTGCGGACCGGAGCGGAGCACGACGGTGATAAGAACAACACAATCGGCTGTACTCGTTGGACTCCACCTTTTCTTTCTTCCCTTCCCGATAATACCTATTCCGACTCTTTTTCAAATTTTTGTGATAATTCTGAAAACGTCAAGTCAGCGTGTTTTGTTCCGAGTTGCGGGTGTAGGCAGAGCGAGCAAGTGAATCTTCATATCTCATCGGAACGAAACCGATCGCTCGCATATGAGCGGCGCGTCCCGAAGACCAACTGTTCGGCCTCGAAAGCACGGGTCCAATAAATTACTAGTGCATTCTGTGTTTCCCTGGGCGCCGCCTGCACGCACCCTCTTCTTGCTCCCCCCAATACTACTACTCTCACAGTCATCTATTGACGTTCACGGCCCTCCCTGCCCAAGAATTGCTGCGTCTCCAGTTCTTCAAGACGAGTCAACTCTGCGAGAAAAGTACCTGAGTAAGCTGTAGGTGTCAGTTCCACAAAGTTATTCTTCGTGCAGTAAAGCCATATTCCTACGACGAGTGATGCTAATCCGCAAGCCTGATAACAATTGGATTTTTCGTTGGCTGAAGAAATACTGGAAAATGACTCACAATCAGACACGCATTTGCCACGAAAAAAGAGTTGACTTTTCTCTGGTCCGTCCACAGTGTTTTGAGATCAATTTTCATTTTCGTTTCCCTGGTCCTGTTGCATTTGCTAATCTGAAATTTGAAATATGAAAAAAAAAATTTCCGCTTCTTCTACATTAGTAGTTCTCAGGCAAAGTAATCGGAAAGAAAAAGAAGAGAAGTAAGGCGATGAGAAGTGTTTTATCTGCAGCTTTCTGGATATGTATAATCCGCTTGCTTGTCTCCCTCGCGCCAAAAATGTTCTCCAAAAACCATGACTTTCTCTTGCACGCCCGCTCTTGCCAAGAACACACAACGTTAGACAGTTTCTTTCTTTTTCTCTCTTTTTCTCAAAAAATCGTTATTCCAATTTTAAATTTTTGATCGACCTGGGTGGCATGAGAATTGAGTCAAACAGCGCGGAGGAAAAGACACTTTCGGTACGCGACAAAACCAGCAATCTTCGTGTTCGCAATTGGCCTATCTTTGCGTCTCAGCCATCTCCTATACAAGGCACACTCTCTCCGCCTGTGAGGGCCTCTGGCCGCGCACCGTCGTTTACTTTTTTCAAACAGTGCACACACACACACACACCACCCGGCCACCACCTCGACACAACGCACTTGCCCCAGACGCGCTCATAAAACACACTCACCCACACTCATCCCTCCTCACAAACCCCCCACACAAGCGCGCACACACACCACGCTCGGCCTTCTTCTTCTCTCCCTCCCCTTCGTCTTCTCCTCGTTCTCTTCTCCACAGACAGCGCTTGTAGAAGAAGAAGAAGAAGAAGAAGAGAAAAGGGGAAGAGAAAAACAGGGAGAGGAGGCAAAGGGTGACATAGGCGATTACCTCACTGTTCTTCTTCGTCTTCTCATTTTGTTCTGCATATTGATTTTCTCAGCCAACTTTGTCCTCCCTCTCACATCGGGCGGAGGGGGGAGGAAGAATCGGCCGCTTCCCTATCCTTTCCAACAGTCTCAGGCGTACCGCGCACTATTCTCAGTTCTCATTTCACCCGATAACAGTGTGTCCTCTTTCTTCAAAAGTTTCTTCTCATCAATCACGGGTGGCGATCGGCCGTCTTCTTCCTGTTTTCAGCCTAACCTTTCTTCTCACCGGTTCACGCTTCAACACTTTCTCTGCTTCATGTTAGAACAGTATGATAACTTTCTGTCTCTCTCGCTTTCATTTCCCTTCCTTCCATGCATTGACACACTTTTTCCCATACAGTCACGTACATTCTCAAAAGTCCAAAGCAATCTTCGTCTTTTTTGCACGTTCCTCAGTGGTTAGCTATTTGATATGTGCTAATTAAAGAACAACTCACATTCGCCTTTTTTTCTTCCTTTTTCTCCGAAGTCAATGTAGCAGTAGAACTCGAAGCAAATTTGCTTTACACAATGGATATTAGCCGGCAGCGGTCGATGACAGCAGCTCAGTTCGGGCGCCGACAACCCAACCCGTTGCATGGGGCGAGATCTTTTTGTCGAAATTTCCGAGAGTCTATATTCCGAGGAGAAAGATGTACTGTTCTCTCTGGAATTGGTTAAGTTATCTGACCGATTTTCTTTCATTTCATCATTTTCCACATTGCTTCTTCTCTTAGCCATAACCCAATCGGTCGCATAAATGAGAAGAACGCCTGTTCTTCTTCTTCTCCCGGCCACTCGCCTCGGCTTTGTAGTTGGTTAGCCCTCCCCTCTTTCTTCCTCTCTCTCCCTCCTCGGCCCACTCGTCCACACATACACGACGCTCATCTCTCTACTAACCCTCCTCCGGGCCCATCGCTTTCTTTTTCGTTCTTCTTCTTTCTCTACCATAGCTTTTCTTCCAAGCCAACCTGAACTGAAACTAAAAGTTCAATCTTTCAGGGTTCATCATGTCCACGAGTTTTCCAAATGGAAATGTGCCGCCGTATAGCACTCAAGCAAACGGATCGTTCAATCAGTTTGGCCGTGGAGCTCCGCCGGGTGGATTTGCGGGAATGGACCAGTACCCTCAACACGTGAGTTTCACTCGCAGACTTTCCAGTCGAACCGAGCCTTGTTTCCAGAATATGTACTCGCCAAACGGATACGGAGGAATGCCGCCGGGACAGCCAAACATGGGAGGCCCTCCGCAGCAGCAGCAACAACCGCAGTCAGGTGGCCCTACGCAGCCAAAGACACATCCTCCGCCACAGTATCACGGAGCAGGTGCAGGCGTGAAACTGCCGGGTTATGAAGGGAATCCTATGCCGAACGGGTATGTAGTCGTCTCATTGCGTTTCATTCAAGGTTAACAATGGAAATTTTAGATTCATGGGCTACCCACAACAACCACCACGGCCCGGACAGCCCCCTCAAAATGGACATCCGTCGATGATGGGACAGCCTGGACCGCCTCCCAACTACAACGGATTTCAGCCGAACAACGGCCAATTCGGAGGTGTGCACGATCCGTACCGCATGTACGGTGGGATGCCCGGACAACCTCCTCATCAGCCACCAAATGCTCAAGGCCCACCGTCGCAGCAACGACATCTGCCGTCGGCTCAAAATCCGGCTCAGCCCTCACAACAAAGGCCACCGCCCCAACAGCCGCCACCGCAACCATATCCGGCTCAACAACCATTACCGGCTCATCTTCATCCTGGCGCGCCACAGTATCCACCGATGGGGCATCAGCCGTCAGCTACGCCCCAGAACGCTCCTCTGCAACACTATCAGCCAGCCAACTTTGGAAACAGCACTCCGCCAGTTAGAGGGGCCAGTCACAATCTGCCACCTTTGCAACCACCGGCTCCGAAACAGAATAAACCTGAAAGTGAGACTCGGCCGAACAACTTGCCCGGATCTTTCTCGAATCAGCCGTACGGAGGAGGATATGGTGGTCCTGGAGGTCCTGGCGGCCCTGGCGGCCCTGGCGGCCCTGGAGGTTTTGGACATCCAGGAAATCTCGGAGGACATGGCGCATATGGAGGTCCTGGAGTACTTCCAGGACATGGAGGTCACGGAGGCCCAGAAGGACACGGAGGTCCTGGAAGACACGGTGGCCCTGGAGGTCCTGGAGCGCATGGAGGTCCATCTGGATACGGAGCTTTTGGTGGTGCCCTAACCGGATATCCGAGCTATGGGGCGCCTACTAATCAGGGACGAACGGATCCCAGCGGAACAACTGGTGCTTCCGCAGCATCAGGTACTCCCGGAGCAAACGGGATGCATCCGCCACCAGGAGGACAAGGGCCGCCGCCGCCACAATATGGTCACCCTTCCGGGTTCAATCCGAATGGAGCGCCTCCGCCGTTTGGGGCACCTAGTTCCGGGACTGGACCTAATCCTCCGAGTGGATCTGGATCGTTTGGAGCTCCTGGAAACAATCCATTTGGACCTGGTTATCCTGGAAATGCAAATCAATTTGGAGTTCCTGGACCCAAAGACCCAGGCCACAATGCTGGTGAACGTCACACTCCCAACCCCTACGGTGGCTCTATGATGAGTTCTCAAGTTCCTCCAGTCAACCAAGGTCGACAGGGAACTCCGGGATCTGTTCCAACTCCTGGAACTCCAACCGGAACGCCTGGAACTCCTGGATCTCATGGACCTCCCGGAACCGCTCATCCGATCCAGTCTCCGCTGGCTCAACAACAACCATCCCTGAGAACACCTCCGCCATCCCATCCACATCAGTCGCCGCTCCAGAATCAGATGCTGCCCCAATACAACCAGAATACGATGATGTCACCGAATCACGGACCTGGCAGCAGCAACTCGCAGCAGAATCAGATGAAGCCGCCTGCTCGCAGCCCGATGGGATCGTCTTTACCTCCACTGAACGGACAGGTCAGTTATCAACTGGATTGAGAGGGGATTATGCGCAGTCCACAATCCTCGGCCGGAGGGGTCAATCGCGCGTTATGATTTTATTGAGGACGAGCCCCGCCGCTATGCGTGACCTTGCAACGCATACGCGAGAAGTCAGTCTGCTCCTAGTACCAATTATGTGCGCGGCCTCTGAGAAGACAGACGAGGGGGTTGAAACGGAGAAAAGAAAACAATTGGATGGAGAGAAACTGATCATGTAACGGAGAGTGTGAAGGGGGAATTAAACAAATTGAGTCTTTCGCCGCTTTCAAGAATTTTGGTAGGCTCATTCGTTAGTGTTTCTCTACATTCTGAAGTTTTAGCACCCGTAGATCAAGACCCATTCAATTGTTGTTTTGCCAAGTTCCTGCCCTTCATTGAAATACATTTTGGGCGCAAACTTCAAATTGTGGTGACAGAAAGTCGGGCCACGCTTTCCGTTTCTTCTTCTCTCCGCGTCACCGAATCGTTCTCTGTTCTAATGAGATAGTTGGAATGAATTGATTTTATGACCCACTATCTTCTCTGTTTTGCCTTCTTTTGAGAGACACACAGAAACACGCCACGCTCTTTCTTTCGCGAGGATTTTACCCGGGACACTCACTTGCCTTCTTTCTCCCTCTTTCTCTCTTTCTCTCTCTCTCCCTCACTCACATACACACTCACAAGTCTGAAGAAATGAATAGATCTGGGCGAGGGAAAGAGAGAAACGAGAGCGAAAGGACGAAAAAAGCGCAGATGAAGAACCAGATAAGCGCGTTTGTCCTATTTTCGGCCTACCAAGCGCTGGACTATTGAAGAAGTCATAGAGGGGGACAAAAATAACGGCGTATCGATTAATATAATCTAAAATTAAAATATTTCAGTACCAGCCGATGACGCAGAATAACAAGCCGTCGCCAGTGAACCCGCCGAGTGCAGAGCCTACGTTCAAGGAGCCGGCGATGCCCGTTCGCCAGTCGCCTTCCCATATGCAGTCGCCGGTCCATCCACCAGCGGGACCGCCAGCGTACAACGCTCAGCCTTCTACATCGAAGGCTATGGAACCGCCAGCAAGTGCTCCACAGAAGCCACCATCACCAACATTTGCGGTCCCAACTCTTCCCGCTGCGGCCACTTTGGCTCAAGCATCTTCTAACAATCAGGTTTCGACGAAACCAAGAACATCTCCGCAAAAGAAGAAGGACGAGGGCCCCGAGGCACCGACTCCGGATACGCCATTCACGACGGTCACTCATTTCGAGCTTCCTCCCGCTCTGACCACCTTAAAGGATTCGTTATCGGTAGGACCCGTGCGGAATTCCCATACACTTTACGTGTACATGCTCTTTTTCAGAAAACACACCCGCAAGTTGAAAAATATTTTACGCGTAAGAGACAACAACTTCGTGTTCCGTACCCAGAAGGAACGAAAGCCAAAGTAAGTACAACAGAAAACTCACCGAGTAAAAAAGTAGGGGGGAGGGGGAACACAAATCGATTGACAAAAAAAGGAGCAGCTGAGCAGTGGTCAGCCAGGAGGTTAGCTTTTTTGACATGTGCTCCGTTGCCACGGGTAACTCTGATGAACACATCATCGGTATGGCAATGAGACCCATGACGATGTGAAATTGAAAGTGGAAAAGTACGAAGAGAGAGCATATAAATATGTAGATTAGATCCATTATTATATGTCGCACGACTACGGATTAGAGCGCGTGCTGACAGAATACGGATAATCTAGTGGTGACAAAACAACAAACATCAGTGATATTTGAAATAAAATTTGAGATTTCAAACTTAATAAAAACGAATTTGCAGGCAGCGCCGGCCACGGAACCCGACACTTTTGGATTTCTTCAAGGAACCAAGTACTTTGATCCAAAATATTCGCGCGGGATCAACACAATGGGACCGCCACTTACGTATCCAATGGGACATCCGATGGGACCGCCAATGTTGTCCCGCTCGCAGTCGATGCACAACCCGATGATTTCACCTGGGTTCAACAACGCGCAGCAGTCGTCTGGTGGTCGTCCGCCGGCGAAAAAAGCGAGAAGTGGTAGGCAGTCTCCAAAATCCAAAACACCGACATCAAATCTATCTTCTGATTTCAGCTTCTGACGCGTCGGAGCCCGGATTCAACGTGCCCCTACCTCCGTCGAGACATCAAATGCGGCCGGCTGATCCGAGACAAATGCAATCGATGCAAATGTATCATCAACAAATGCAAAAAATGCATATTCAGCAACAAATGGCTGCTCAACAACAGCACATGGCTCGTCAGCAGCAAATGAATGCTATGGGGCCAGGTGGACCCGCTCCCGGAGGCATTTCGCCAGCCCCTGGATCCGCGCAGCTCCCTCCGCTGGCACCGCCATCCCTTCAGCGTACCGAGTCGATGCCTCAGCTTCCATCCCAACAGCAGCAGCAGCAGCAGCCACCGCCAATGAACCCGCACATGGGAGGAATGCCTCCGATGAACGGCAACGCGCCAGAAGGTTAGTCTTTGCACCGCCGTGTTCGAAACCGTGTCGATGATAGGTTATTACAGGGCCGACGCCCAACAACAATTCTGGCTCCATCAACGGAACTGGGCTCCCCCCACTGACCTTGGGAAGCCGGGCGCCGGCTGGAATCCGAAGCCATGATTTCCCGGGACCATCGACCTCTTCGTCGTCACAAGCACAAGGTCCGTGCGCCAGTTGTCATCAAGTTATTTTGGTAAGAAGTGAAAGCAAAGTTTCAATCAATAATCGCTTTTTCCTTTCAGCCCGGGTCTTCTACCCTGTGTTGTATGTTTCATGACTGCAAGAACGTGTTCCATAGGCAGTGCACCCGTCTTTCTTCCACTGCAATGACTCTTTTTGATCGCGACAATCAGCATGCTCGTTGGGTTTGTCCGAATTGTGAGCCCCAAATTCGTCAGCCTCCCCAAGTACAAAATGCCTGAATTCATATGCTATTGTGTCATTAGCCCCTCAAATCTCCTGTATTATCATTATTATTATTATTAATCATATGTTTTTGTTTTTATTCTTATTATCATTACCTGTTCAATGACATGATCCATTTTGCAAAACGCATTTGTACCCTTACCGTCTCCCATTCTTACATTGCCATTTTATTGTTTAAGATAAACCAGAGTTAGGCACACATTTGAAGTTCAAATCACGCGACTCAAACTACTTTCAATTGATTATTGGAATCTCAACTTGTCCTCCCGCATTATTCACAATTGCTCAGTGTTCTTAGATTAAATGAATTTATTTACTTACACATTTTACTGACAATTTATTTTACTGTTGTGAATAACTTTGAAATGCGCAAAAGGCGCGTAAAATAAGTGATTGTAAGAAGATTATAATGATTATTAGTTGGCAGCAGAAGATGTCGATGGAGCAGCAGAAGAAGTCGATGGAACAGCAGAAGAAGTCGATGGAGCAGAAGAAGAAGTTGACTGGCCAGCCGAATCAGCAGCATGGGTGCACTGGCGGTTCGCCTTTGCTGAAAAAAGACAATATTAAACATATCAGCGACTGACTAAGCGTACCGTCCCATTCTGGGTAAGTGGTCGAGCCGGACAGGTATAATCCTCTGTGCTTGATAACGTCGTTATTGTTGATCATGGTGTTGTCGGTGTAATCAACACGCTCGTCGATAATATCCTCATCCTCCAGTTTCTCATTGTCAATCAAAAGATGCGGATATTTCGTGTGAAAGGTGTTAAATTCAGTCTGTGTGATCTTGAAGTACTTATCAAGCGGCAGTCTCTCCTTCTTCGGGCGGTTGCACATGTCGTCAATCTTCTTGCGCAGTTCTCCCAAGTTCTTGAATCCGATCCACATCTTGTAGCTCTTCTCGGCATTCTCATTCAGGTATTGGATCGTACTGATGCGCTTGAGCAGATAGTCCCGGTGACTCGGGACCGGAATATCCAAAATGAGACGTTTGGCGAGGTGCTCCAGCATGTCGTGAGCGAGATTGTAGTCAACTCGCTCCGCCGGATTTGCGGTGTTCTTGAGGTCCAGAAGCTTTCGAACATTAAAACGGAACATGAAGTCGTTAAGAATATCGTACAGATCTGAAGAACGTGTCACTGCCATGAAAGATTTGAATGATGGTGTATACCTGTGTAGATCGGAGCGTTTTCCCAGAAGATTTTGTCGTTTTCAAGGTGCTCCGGGCGCGGTGGAATCAGGCGATAATTGTACTGCAATAATCGCATCATACTTTTTTTTTTGAAATTACTAGTTACCAATGCGTCGCTCACGTGGTCCACGTCTTCTTCACGAACCGAAATCACCAGATGGTGAAGTTCGTAGTAGTAGACGCGATAGCGAGAGTAGACTTTCTGGAAAAATAAAACCGTTTATTTTGTCTGATTAGCAGTGAGAATTTTCACCAGAGCGTCGCGAACTTTGTAGAGCATGATCGTCTCCGCTTGTGGTCCGTTTCCAGTGTACTCGACAATGGTAGCAACCCACCATCCAGAGCATCTTTGATCGGGCACAAACGCCGGATTTTTCGGACTTAAATTGGGGCGAATGTTACTGTTAACACTCGACAGTCTTACCGTTTGGCGGTTGCGACCCAAGCCATCGACATGTTTGTCGTCGTTTTCCGTCAGGTGCGTTGACTGTAAAGTGATACTTTAAGATAATAATAGGAGACAAAAGTACAGGGAGGAGTATATTAGTGTTGAACGCAGAGAAGTGTACGATAAGATGTAATCATATCGTAGAAAAGTAAACGTGTTTTTTGCGCCGGTATGAAACGGGTTTTTCTTTGAAAAAAAAGGTAGGTCAACCGGTAAAAGTACCGGTTTCGTACCAGTGAAAAACGATTTTTAAGAAACCAGCAAAAACCGACACGCACCGGTGAATAAGAGGGAAGAGCCGGTATCAAAAGCAAACATCACGAAGAGGAATTGCAGACGGCGAAAACTCTCACGCATTTTCTTGTTTTTGCTACTCTAGAAACTTGGAAAAACCGGTTCACTCCGGTTTTCTTGTGCGAAAAATCTGTTTAAAATCCGGTTAACATGTTGAAAACCGGCTTGTCCAGTTTTATTCTGTGAAAATCGGTTAAAAAGCGGTATTTTTCTCCCGGTTTCCGAAACTGTTACAGCTTTCTGATCCCTAGACAGATAGAGAACCGTTTTTTGAGCGTATGTACAGTCTAACAGTCAGAACCTTCGACTAAACAGATCGATAAGGAGATTTGAAGGAAACGACTGATCGCAAAAATGGTTCGACGATAAAATCACCAAGAAACAAGAAAAATCATTAAGACGATGCGAGCGCATTTTTGCAGAAAAAAAGTGGTTTAGCATGTTGAACATTAGTTGATAACGGATGGGGAATGCGGCGCTCTCCTACTCCGATCAATGCGTTCGTCACATGACAGAAATCACGCACGCTTTTACGCTCGTGTTACCCATACAACACAAAAGGAGCGGGTAGAAGGGAGAAGAAAGAAAACGAAAGGGAATGGCAGATGGTTTGATGTTGTAAGGCGCGGCGGAGTGCCTCGGCACGCCCGATATGGCCCGCCAAAAGGGAGCATTACTGGCAATGTGTGCTAATTAATGTGCGGAGAGAGAAAAAGAAAGTCTTGTGACCAAGTACAGATGGTCGACGGTTTTGGCCTCGGGTCTCTCTTTAAGAATTATGATCATTTTTGTTCGGAAGTTAATAACCTATCATAAACTGAATTAGAAATGCGGAAAAGACTATGGGAAATGTCGGTGACTCATGTATTCAGATTCTTGAACTTTGCAGATAGACCGTCGAAATCTATGTGCTGTGACAATACTGGGTTTGTTCCAATGAAAAACCGGATAAAAAATGACAAAAACCGGCGCGCACCGGTGACTAACCGGGAAAACCAGTATCGCACATACGCAAACACCACGACGATCATTTGCAGACAAGACATCTGAAACTCATGGGCATTTTGTTGTTTTTGCTCCTTTAACACTTTTTCCGAAAACTATGCGCATCAGTTATTTTGTTTGTCCGCAATTCTTTGTCGTTGTGGTTGCACGCTCAAAAATACAGGTGAAACCAGAAAAAATCAAGGGCTTTCCAGTTCTCTTCAGTGAATTCACAAAAATTTCATTTTTTCGTGAAAAACTTGTTTGCAGGTCTGATAACAACTGTGTTGCATCAAAAGTGCAAAAAAGTCATCTCGAGGTCCAAACAATGCTCATTCATCACAACTCTGTATGCACAACCAACATTTAGTATCTTATCAACTGTTGTACGTGCCAAACGAGCCGAGAAACGCAAAAAGAGTAAACGTGTTGTGTTTATTAACATGCGACCGAAAGTTCTTCTTCTGTTATTATTCTGCAGCTGGAATGCAGTGCAATCCTACAAAATCCTGGTGTATTCCAACTTGTTCGGCCACAGTCATATCAAAATGATGGCTACCGTAGCGGATACACTGACAGATGCAGGACATGATGTGGTATGTTGTGAAACTCAATTGAAAAAAGGAAATTGTACTTTCAGACCATTCTCATGCCAGTGATTGACGTGAACGAGAGAAATCGAACCGCTTTGAAGTCAACGAAAAAACAGATTTTCGTAGAAGCAGATGATAAAGTGATTGCACAAATGGAAGGCACCAGAGAGTTCTTGGCAAACTTGTGGACCACTGATTTTTCGAATCCATTGAATATGCTGCTCAGCCCGAACGCGTTGGTCCCACTGTTTGGAGCTCAATGCGACAGTCAGTCTAACAAAATTTCGAATTAAAAACGTTTCAAATGTCTCTTTTTCAGAAGTTATGCAGTCAAAGGAACTTCTGGAGCAACTAAAGTCGGAAAACTTCGATTTAGCTATTACGGAACCATTTGACAGTTGTGCTTATGGTCCGTTTGAACTTTTTAGCACTTGTAAACAGTTCGAATTCAGGAATTTTTGAGTATCTTCAAGTTCCTGCACACGTGTCAGTGATATCTTGTGGCCGAATGGATCATGTGAGCGATGCGATTGGCCAGCCGATTGCTCCCAGTTATGTTCCCGGAACTCAAAGTGTTTACGGAGATCAGATGAATACTGTGCAGCGGTTCTTGAATTTGCTTCAATTTTACGCTGGTTACTACAAATTTGCCGATATCGCAGAATATGAGTTTGAAAGCGCCAAAAGATTTTTGGGAATCAATCGATCTTGGAAGGTACGCTCGTCTTTGAGTTCTTTTTTCTGTCAACGTTCAGAAAATTTTCAGGAAATATTACCGGAGGCCTCATTCCTTTTAACTAACCACATTCCTATTCTCGAATTTCCCGCTCCCACGTTTGATAAAATCATTCCAATTGGTGGAATATCGGTGAACACAGATAGAAAGAACATGAAACTGCCCGAAAAATGGGACACTATTCTATCGATGAGGAAAAAGAATGTGTTGATATCGTTTGGCTCAAACATCAAATCGATGGACATGCCCGACGAGTTCAGGTGCGTTTAGTATCAACTTTTTTCGGGAAAAAACTAATTTTTTTCAGAGATTCTCTCATTGCTCTTTTCCAATTAATGCCTGATACCACATTCATCTGGAAGTACGAAAACCTGGCGGATAAAAAGTTAACGTGTGGAATTCTGAATGTAAACCGTGGAGAATGGCTTCCACAGAACGAATTGCTTGCCGATCCGCGACTGAATGCATTTATCACTCATGGAGGACTCGGAAGTATTACCGAGTTGGCAATGATGGGCAAGCCGGCAGTCGTGGTATTGAAAAAAACAGAACAGGTATTAAGAAAAAGTATTCCATTCAGGTTCCAGTGTTCGCCGATCAACCCAGAAATGCTGAGATGCTCAAAAAACATGGCGGAGCTGCAGTTTTGCACAAAACAGATCTGAAGAATCCGAAACTCATCGAGCAAGCTTTGAGAAAAGTTATGGAAGACGAAAGGTATCGAGAGGAAGATAATAATGTTGCTTTTTTTGACATTTTTTATTTTAGCTACCGAAAAAACGCCGAACGATTGGCTGAAATGCTCAATAATCAGCCGACTAACGCAAAGGAAACATTGGTGAAATACGTGGAATTCGCCGCTCGGTTTGTCTATTCATTTTTCCTTCAGCTATGATAAACATTTTGGTTCAGATTTGGAAAACTACCGTCCATGGACCCTCATGGTAGGAAACAGACCTTCATTGAGTACTATTTGCTGGACGTGTTAGCCATTGCACTGTTTTTGGTTTCGGCTGTAATTTACATAGCTTTCAAGATTGTTTTCTTCATTGTTCGAAAATGTTCTCCGCGTAAAAGAGTGAAATTTGAGTGAAATAAAACGTTTGTGTGTGTTGCAGGCTAAACACTTGCCAAAATGTGGTTTGTGATCACAAAAAGGCGGGTTTGTTCTAATATTGCGCAATCAGAGTGAAGGCACTCTCCGACGAGTATCTTAGTTCTTTCAAAGTCTTTTTTGCAGATTGTGAGAAGAAAAATGAAAATCTTTATCATTTTAATATTGATAACTGCTTCGGAATCGTTGAACATTCTTGTTTATTCACCTGCTTTTGCTCCAAGTCATTGTAATTTCTTTGGAAAACTAGCAGATACACTGACAGAAAGAAGACATAATGTGGTACGTACTTTTGCTTTTTTGTTTATCAGGTGTACATTACTGTGCTTCAAGACGTATCTAATGCCTCTGATTGACCCTTCGAAAAGAGATGCATGTATTGGAGTGAAGCTAACAAAAGACGTTGTGATAGTCGAGGAAGAGAGTTTGAATACGAAGAAAAAAGCAGAAGCTGCGCTTTCTCCTGAAGCAATCACCAATTTTTGGAGAGCTACGTCCAATTCCTCCAACATTCGAGAGGTTTGAAAGATATATTCTATATTCAAAACCATTTTCCTTTCAGAGTTGCAAATGGTTCAATAACGCTCAAAAAGTTGGATGTGAGTACTTTTTGAGTCGACGCGATGTCTTTTATCAAATGAAAGAACGAAACTTCGATATTGCTATTCTTGAGCCGATTTCTGCTTGCGGGCTAGGTTTTGTGAGCGCTCTTGGCATTGAAAAAACGATTTTGGCGTCATCTTTGATTTTCTTCGATGTAATCTTTCCGTATATCGGAGAACCATTCGATTACAGCTCAACGCCAGGTACAATTGATATTATACAGTGCATGTCATATCTATAAGACCCCCCCCCCCCTCAATATTGGGCCCCGCGACCAAACCAAAAAAGAAATAAAAAATCTGTTAATGCCAATCGATTTGGCATATAGAATAACCCCCGTGGACAAATTTTCATGATCATACCACATTACATTGGCATTCATAGATTTTTGATATATTTTTTGGTTTGGTCCCGGAGCCCACAACTGAGGGGAGGGTCTTATTGATATGACATGCACTGTTCATGAATCCATTAACTTCTCAACAGGAGCATTCGGAGCATTCCGCCCAGAAATGACAATGGCTGAGAAATATGAAAACTGGCAAATAACCAAAGAGATAAACAAAGGAATTGAGGAGACATATGAAGAAGAGATGAAAATATGCAGAAAATATCATGGAAGTCAGATTCCCGATTGGAGGGACTTGATTGCCCAAACTTCTCTGGTCTTCATCAACTCGAATCCTTATCTCGATTTTCCCCGCCCATTGCTTCCAAAAACGATCCCGATTGGTGGAATTTCGGTTAATTTGGAATGGATCAAACAGCAGAAAATATCCGAGGAATGGGAGAACGTGCTGCGTGTGCGGCCGTATTCAATGCTCATTTCCTTTGGTTCTATGCTACAAACAACGTACATGCCGGAAACTTGGAGGTTGGTCTTTGTTGGTTTTATTAAAATTAGTGAATACTTGTTGAGGAGGAACATACTGGCATCGATCAAACAGTTGCCAAACGTTACATTCATTTGGAAATACGAAACGGAAGATGTTGCATTTGCGGATGGAGTTGAAAATATTCATTTCTCGAAATGGGTTCCACAAACTGCACTCCTGAACCACCCTCGTCTGACTGCTTTCCTCACTCATGGTGGACTTGGAAGCACTTGGGAACTGGCGTACACTGGAAAACCAGCCGTTGTGATTCCGATATTTGCCGATCAACTCAGAAATGCTCACATGCTCGAGCAGCATCACGGAGTCGTTGCTGTGGACAAAGAAGATCTAGAACACGAAACGGTTATTAAGGAAGCAATCGAATCAGTGCTCTTCAATGAAGAATATAAGATACATGCTGCAAAAACTGCTGAACTACTCGCAAATCAACCGATTTCTCCTAAAGATCTGGTCATCAAACACACTGAATTTGTCGGAAAGTACGTGGGGTTAGGTTGTTGATTTGCAAACTCATTATTTTACAGATATGGACCATTCTCACAGTCCTCTCCTTACGGCCGGCAGCTGAACTTCTTCCAGAGAAATTTTTTGGACATCTATGCGTATTTTGCATGCCAATTCCTATTTGTTATTATTTTGACTTCGGTTGTCTTTTGTTTTCTTTACAAATTCTTAATCGAGAAAGTAAGAAAATCACAAAAACGTTTTAAAGGCGATTAGTCATTATTCCTGCTGTCAAAATGTATAATAAACTCAACTCAAAGCACAATCAGTCTCAACAAAGTATGTATATTCGCCCCTATGCATTCGTCCCCTCTCTTCAAGGAAAGCCATTTGTTTTTTCACTCGTTCGGATGAATTCAATAAAAAGCGACCTTCCGTCGAACGATGCTCCTAAACTGTCCGTCGGAATGACACAATATCAGTCTCGCCATAAGAGGACGGACATGTTGAGAAAAAGTGGCCGTAGAGAAGGATCCTTGAATGAAAAGACCACGTCCTGTGTTCATCGAAGCGTGTCGAATTCCCCCAAAACATTCAGATTCCCCTTGACGCAGTCCGTTTCCTAGTCTAGTTGGTTTCGCGTGTGTGGGCGTTTCTAGTAAAAACGTGCATCAACTGAAAGAGCTCTCAGATGATCACATGATATGCACATGTTAACGGTTCACTGCATCACAGATGCTTGATGTTTCGAGCAGAGAGACTGCAAACCTCATTGTGATTAAGAATTAGGAATTAGGAATTTCGGTTTCACCAGCTGACGCTTTGATTTCAATAACTAGCCTGTATTTCCATTAATACGGGAAGAAAAGACACTTGTTTCCAGAAATGAGTCTTGAAACGGAATAATTCGCTATTTGACTTCCGAGCCCCCGAAATTTGGTGGCGATGGCCATCTGAAGCCGGCTTCACATTCTGGCGGCTATTTGTTGGCCACAACTTCATTCTGGGACGGAGACACGCGGATACCGTAGTCTTCGAGGAAAGTGGAAAGCAGCGATGAATGGGTTGGAAAAAGTGGGAAAGGAATACAGCGGGACTTATAACGGAAATTGTGGCAGGCTGACAAATGACGCTGCAGAGGAAAGTGGTACGGTAAGCAAAGTATAAAGAATACTGAAAATAACTTGAGACGACAATCTCAAAAGCTTGTATTCCTTTTCTTTCATCAATCTAATGGTGCATCGAGAACTAGGGATTTTTTCAATAAGACCTGTACTTTGCGGAAAAACATTATTACCGTTTGATTCAGCAAGTTTAGAAGCAGTGATCCAAATCGAATGTGCTACATTGGTGCGTAGTCTCATTCACTTATTTCTGTCTCTTTTGTTTATGTGAGATATAACGGAAAACTAATGAAGTTGACGAGGCAGAAAGTTTGTAATATGCTAATTGGAATCAAAGGCACAAACTAAACTCTAACTATGTCCACAGAAAACGTAACGAAGAACTTCCCGGGAAAAATCGTTCAAGCGTCGATTAAGAGATTTTCTAGTGCTCGGAACTCGTCACAAAAGGTGTTGCTTCGATGGACAGGTGTGCGCGGGACGCTCGGCAGAAGTGCCGTGTACAACGGACTCGGATCCGAGACACAGGGCTTTGCACTTCTTTCCACATCAGTAGATTCTGATTGAGAACATTGTTTGGAGCGAACAAATGATGTCCATCTGTCATAAGTCGAACATGGCAGGTAGTTCGGGACGGAAGCACTCATAATCCATTGAAGATTGTCTGTGGAAGAACATGGTGAAAACTCCGCCTTCTGGCAAAGACGATTGGTCCGGGAATAGAAGCAAAAAGTCAGCGACGTGGAGGTGAGACGGAGAGAACGTGTCCGGGCGCGGCTCTTTTCAATTGTCACCGTTGGCCGAGACGACGCTTCTTCACTATATCGTTGTCGTCGTCGGCGTCGTCTTTTTTTCTCTTCAGAAAGTTTCGTGAACAGAGGATCCTCCTGTCTCTCCGCCGTTTCTTTCCCATTCTAACACATCCACATATATCCACACTCATACATACACTGAATTTCACGCTACACGTCACCGAAATCCTCGATCGAAAAGTTTGTGACGGTCGAGTCAACAAGAGCGAACGCGGTGAGTTCAGCTGTTTCTCAAGGTGTCATCATGTTAACCTGTGATGAAGAAGCCTGTGACTCTGTGGTGCGCAGACTGCTCACTTCGCTTAGCACTTTCACCGTCTCCCTAATGAGGTGCACCCATGCACCGTCAAAGAAGGGGAGGGGCGAGAGGTACCAACCTTTTTGATTACGACTTTTCGTGTTCTCAAGCTCATCCCTTCTAATCATCTGAAACAGACTTTACGGTTGACATCACTGAATTCGCCGCTCGATTGGCTGATGTGAGTTTGTTCAATTTGAACCAATGTTCGCACTTTTCTCCTTTCTAAGTAAATTTTGTCAGAAAAATGCTAGTGGTGTAGCTAAAAATTCTCCAGAAGCCACTTTATGCGGGCCCTCAGCAATTCATTGTGTATGTACATTCGCATGTGTCCATCTATGACTCCAAATTCCATTAGCCATCTACCGTATCTGTATATCCGGTGTGTAGGGGCGCAGCTTGCCAACAATCATCCCTCCACTCCTCTCTTGTCCACCGACGACGTACAACTCCAATTTTCAAAACTTTGTTGCGAATACCACCACCATCACCACACTCAAAGTTTATCGTTTTTCCCACCCGTTCCGTTCCGTTTTCCAACATTTTGTCGCCCTCGACGGTTTTTGTAATTGGCAATGAATTGACACCCATTAACCGGCACACCCGCTGTTCGAAAGATGTCATAACGAAAGCGTCGTTTGATGGAGGTCTTTGTCCGCGCCTATCGCTCTCTCCACTGGCTGCTGCTGCCCTGGCGCTTTCGAGGTGTTCGCCCCGGGCACCACTGTCAAAGTCAAGTGTCGAAAATGGTGCTATCCCGAATTACATAGAGAGTAGTCTCCCTTCTCCATCAAACGCCGTCGTTTTTTTCTGGCTCTCTTCCAACTTGTCATTACGCTCCAATTGGGCCGCAGTTTGCCAGACAAGGTGGTTGAAGCATGGCAAGTGCCACTTCCCACAAAGTTATATGGCACCGGGGGGGACTTAGGATTGAACGGAAGTGGCTACTCTTGGGGGGTGAGATATGTTATCAGTGATGGGAATCTCACATCTACCGTAACCCATTACCTCACAATTATCCCGGTTGTCTTTATCGTCATAGTGATTTGTTTCACCAGACTGAGAAATTCCTTAAGAAATACCTGTAAATGACAGAAAAGCAGACAATTGACTTTTTGACTAGTGTTTATTCACTTTCGGAGTTTTGAACGTTTTATTAAACTCAAATAAGAGTGACTCAAGAGAGATTCAAATCACAATCATTACTGCGTTTATGAGTTCAGATGAAGTTCAAGATAGAAACCCTTTTTTCTCGGAAATGAGCCCAGTTTTATTTATATACTCGTTCTCTAGATCTTGATCTTTCTTTAGTTTCTATCCAACCCATATTTGGCTTGTTTTTCTATATTAGCTACAATCATCGTACCTGTCGGCTTCTTCCGACCTTTCTTTGCTCTTCCTGTGGTCCCCCAGTCCTACATGTTGCTAATTATGTGTTGTCGGCACGTACCCGGATTAACTTTGACTACAAAACATATGTCATATGTTGCTTCATCTTCTGGGTCACTAATTTGCGATTAGCTTCCACTTCCGTTCTAATTAGGACCCTACCGTACCTACAGGTAGATGAGCATGTGCTCGCCGAGCTCGCCGTTGCTAAGCAATGGAAAGAGAGAGAGAGAGAGAGAAAGAGAGAGCTTACCTCGAAAAAGGTATCGCAAACTTTTGACGTCGCTGAAACTATCTACAAAAAAGGGTATCTCATTAGAACATGGTTCGTCAGTTTGCACACTGATATGAATCACATGAACTAGAATATGAATGCGAATGCAAATGTTAGTGCATGTACCCTTTTGAATCATCTTTTCAAGAGTTTTCTGTTTTTGTATGTACACACCACACAGTACTCAAACCACCCGCTCATTACCACATTACTCCGCTATGCATTTGATATTGGACACCCGCCATTGTGAGCGATGTCTTCAACGTTTCCCGCAACGGAGACCGTGACTGTCATTATTGTAATTTCGTGTGTATATGGGTCCATTTTCTAATTAACACACAAAAATTGTTATGGATGCGCCGTGGGGCCGCTGACGGTGGCGGCGGCGGCTGCGTGACAGGTTATAAAAGAACAAATAGTTGGACACCACTTTCTACCTGACATACGGTAATAACCACCCACTATTCGCACTCTTTTTGACCGGTATCTTTCCCTCTTGTCACTTTTGCTACAGTAACTTCTACTCTGAAATCATTGTTGCTACAAGGAGGGATGAAATGGAATCTCTTAAACGATCTAGGCTCTCACTCCCTCCGACAAAATATTGTGGCTCTTGACTCTCCGCAGGTTCATCTCATTTTCCGCTCCCTCCTCGACCAATTAATCACAATTGAGGAGTCCACAAGTGTTATTTTTCTCAGAAGTGTCCAAGTATGAGACCATCTGCTAGCTCGTGTCATTCATACTCTTATTCAGTCAGTCAGAGGGGGATCGCAGCACATTCTGTCATCTACGCAACTCTATTAAGCGCTTATTGTTTGATTGATTACAAATGAATTGTTTAGTAGAAATTTAGAAATTCTGAATTTGTCGCAACTGTTATTAATTTGCTGCTAACTTTTCTTTGAAGATAGTTTGCTCCAGAAGCAATTTGTAGACAGCTGGTTGAAAAAAGTTTCTCCACTTTCTAGATTCTTTTTTGAGACAGGCAACATTGACAAATAGAAAAATAGTGAAATGGAAATGTAAATAAAGGAGAAATTTTAGAAATATAGACTAACTTGCGTGAAATTTGTTACCTAACACGACTCGAGGAACTGTTACCCAACAGAACAACGGGTTGCACAAGTAACTCGTCCGGTCTCGTCAGCACTGTCAACCGGAAGACAATTATCGTGTCCTTTCTATCAGTACAACACTCACTTGTCTCCGCAGATAAGGTGGTAGATCAAGATAGGGACCACCAGTTGCGCACGGGAACATAATCCTCACTTTGGCACACGGGGGTCTTGGGTCGGGGCACAATAGTTTTCCCTACTTGGCCACTTTCACTGAATGTTATTGCCCTAGTGTTTGTATGGTATTGATTGATAGACGTTGGATGAAAAACATATGAAAAGAGGATAAGGAGGGTTGTGTACTACAGAATCCCTTGTGAAGATCAACGAGTTTACAAAGTCTCTTTCGATTTTTTCCTCCTTCTGTCTTCAGTGTCTTTCGATGAATCAGAAGACACGTGACTGCCGCCTACCGTAACCGAATTCATTGATCTGCAACACACATCTTGTGCTTTTTATAAACATCCGTGAAATACATGAAAAATATGTGGCAGTTCTTTTTGTCAGAACACTCCAACAGCTGGAAAGACTGAACTCACTTGAAAAACTATGCGATCATTTCACTCTCACTTGGCAAGTGACTCTCAGCACAAATGTGCACTTTAGTTTTAATAGTTTCCTTCTAATTTTTTTGATTTGAAATGTTTTTCACAGTAATAAGGCAAGCAGAAAGGTATGAGAGGCACGGTGGGAAACTCAGCAAATTGCTCATAGAAATGACGAGGAATAGAGCCGCGAAGTAGTCGTTTGGGTAGAGTTTGCGAGAAAAACACACAAAAACTGAAGGAATCCAGCGAGGGGAACAGAATTTCAACATTAGGCGGAATTGAAGTGAAACGGAGCGCAAAGCTAGGAAGAACATTAGCTCATCGAACCGCATGTATATTGCGCGTGTTTCTCCTCCGCTCAGTCTTTTTCGGTGTGAATTTACTAGACACCCTCTCTCCAACTATCTGTATTTGTGTCACTCGTCAGGCTCTCGTGATAAGGACAAACGATGACAACGCGGAGGTATGTTTCAAAACACTCCCTCCCTCAGTAGCCACTGACCAGCATGGGAAGGGCGGGGCGTAGGACTACGGTGCGCGTGACGTATGAACCAATGGTAGCAAGCGTCTATTGAATGACACACTCACACCGATTGCAAAGCACTTTCTATGGTTTAACTACCTTTTGATCCGGTTCATGCTCAATTTTCATTAAGGAGCCCTTCCTTTACTTTTCAGCTCTTTCTTGTTGATATTTCCGTTTTCTCTCATTACCATTGTCATAGTTGAGGCTTTATAATTTATGGATGTATTCATTTCAAGTTTGAAACATTCTAATCTGCTCTTATCTGTTATTATCAGAAGGTGCGACTGACCTTTTGACACGCTCGTCAAATCAAGTGTACCGACCGTGAAAACGAAAAACCCCAACGTCGAGATTGCCTTGGGATTGCCTCCTAAGTTCTCGCTTCATTGAACCTTGTTAGCTAAACTGACAATTATTGTAAGATATCCCCCCCCCCCCCCTTCCTTCCATCCTCTTGAGTGATTATCCGAACACTTTTACTATCACCTAATCTCCGTGACATGTTTCAGATCTGCTCGAGCGGACGCGTCAGGGCGTTACCCCCAACTGACTTATGACAGTCGAAGACGATCAAAATTGCTCCGACAAAATGTCGACAGGTACGTCTGAATTTGTAAAACAATTGTGTTTTAAGCTTCATCCATGTCATTATTAATAATCTCAAAGTTTGAAGTTTTAGATATTCTGCCCAATTCTTTTTTTTCTCTCTTTTTAAAGCTCCATCCTGTCCTCACTTTTTCTCCTTAATTTTTACTACATTCCTCCTAGAACATTTTTGGAACCAAAACTCTCCTAATTCGTTTTTGTTTTCAAATACTTCTTCAGTATTGATTCCTATCATCTTCCTCTTCCCATTCCATCGCCGTTCATCCCGTTTTCGCCATCATCCTCCACCTCCTACAGTATTTCGAAATTCTGCGAGCGAGAAAATCTTCTTCTCCATCGGCTTTTCCCCATCCTTCTACGCCCTCTGATTCACTTTATATCTAGAAAATATTGCTTCTCGATCTAAGCAATTAGTCGCGGGGACTTGGAAATTAAAATTGCATTTGCATCCGTCTTAGGTCAGCAAAAAGCAGCCCGAAAGAACTAGCGGGAGATTTCGGAAAATGATTTGATTCGCCGATTCGTAGGGAATGAATGAGCAGTAGTAGTAGCCTGCTCTGTTCCGTCGTAAAATTTTCGAGTGAGATGATGATAGTTAGGTTAGGATGACTTTTTTCTCCATTTCTCCTCAATTCGCCACGCTTTGACCTCGAACGTAAAATGCGATGAAGGCACACCGCAACGACTGTCTTTTTTGCCCCTCTCATAAAAATAAACGGTTATTGTGGTGGTCATGACAAGTTTTGTGTTGAATTGAGAGAATTTTCGAAGAGAGGGACGAACAAGTGTTGAAAAGAGGAGAAAATGGAAAATAGAAAATGACGAAGCGGCTCTGTCTGTTGCAAAACGTTTTGGGAAGAGAAGCGACTGACGTAGAAGGAGGGTGCTAACTTGTATGTAACACCTAATTGTTCCAGTCGACCAGAAAAGTGGGAGGTTCTTGATTTCACTTCCATCATTTCATTCCATTTCGATGTTTGTGTTTCAGATGCAATTTGTCCCAAACCCAAACTCATTCTTAGTCTTTCTTTGACCACACGCGGAGCACAATCTCAATTTCACACCTGCATACACACATTCATTCAGGAAGCGCACCTCCGCTTATAGGCCCTGTTATTCAGTATGCATGTACATATTTGGCAAAGCGGGAGAGCCCGCAACTCGAAGAATTTTCCCCAGTAGAATCGGGAGGCAAGGGAAATAGGAATACTTTTTGTCTCGGCGGGACTTTGATTCAATGTCTATGTCAATGGCGCAACAAAAGATGATTACAACTCCAGATGGTGGTTCAGGAAGGAAGTCGGGGGAAAAAAGTTAGTTGTGCAACCGGGCAATTAGTCAATCGACTTGTTTCTTTCCTCATCTAGATTTAATCTGACAACGTTTACCAATATTACCCGATAGATAGCTGGATAAAGTGGCTGGCAATACTCTTGCGCAACGCTCTCAGTCCATTGGAAGCCTTCGTTAGTCGTTTGGTTTGGTCCTTTCCCAGCCCGGCCCGGCACCCACTCGGAAACAGTCACCATATGGGACTCTCTTGTCGGGAACGTGAACACTAACACAAATGAACGCTGTCATCAATATGTTGATATTAATACAGTGTCTGCGGCGGATAACATATGAGGTGAGAGGGAGGCAGATTTGACTGCTGTCGAAGGATTAGCTCCAAGCACTATTGCGCAATCAACCACCCACAGGTACCCATGGCGGCAAGACGTTTCTTGTAATTATGAGGTGAATTCCTCCGGAAACAGCTTGCTACCAATACGGAAAACATGTGTTCATCGGAGACGTCGGCGAGCTCTGTGAGAGAAAGGGAGATTTTGAACGATTCATTGTTTATAAATCAAAAGCGCAGGGGGAAAAGGGAAAATAAACTGATGAGATTTCAAAACATAACATGGGGCAGCCTCCCTGACAGTTTATTAGCTTCTGTTCAATCGCTTTCTTCTATTTGCCTGTAAGTTTTCATTTTGATTTCACAAAATCCATCAAATCCGGAGTTCCAACATTAGGCCTAATCCAATTCAAATCTCTCCCTCTCTCTCTCTCTCTCTCTCTCTCTCTCTCTTCCCCTCTTCTTTCCTTTGTCTCAGCTATAATTAAAGGTTTGCGGGTGGCTTCCGGCACCGGCATCTCGTTAGCCAGTTGCGAGATTCGCGGGCTCACTGACCCGTACTCAATTACGGCACACACAGGACATAGAGCACTCATTTACCTTCTGTTTTGTAATAACAATATCAATCGAAGACAGTCTTATTATTGTTTCAAAAAAACGATGAACGGGATCAAGAATGAGGGTTGAATGGAACAAGTTGACTTGCAGATGCTGGCCATACTGGTGTGAATCAACTTGGAGGCGTGTTTGTTAATGGCCGACCGCTTCCGGACGCGACACGCCAGAAAATCGTGGATTTAGCACACAATGGATGTCGGCCTTGTGATATCAGTCGCCTTCTGCAGGTTTCCAACGGGTTTGTCGCTTTTATTTCCATTTTAAATCAATTACACGGTTCTTAAGTTCACTTTTTCCTGAATTAAGACGGAGAGTGTGCACCTTGACGTCTTTTTAGACGGCGGGTCTCGCATAGAGCGAAGTTTTTCATTTTTCAAGCAAGCGAGTAGTTGTGCGCCTTGAAATTTAAGGAGGAAACGTCACATCACAAATTTGTTTATTTTTGAGGAAAAAAAACTGAATTCCGACAGTTTTTTGTTACTACCGTTAAGAAACTGAGCGAAAACCGTAGTTTTTCTTGTACCTTTAAAAACACCTCGAAAAACGATCATTATGCCAAAAATGTGAAAAAAATGATCTACACAGCATCCATCTCGAATTTAAAAGAGCAAATGTTGATCTCGCATCGCTAGCCTGTAACATATTGCTCCGTGCGAGACCCTACAGCACAACAATTACAATTTACGACTTGAGTCAAGTTGTACATGCTTTCACTTTTTTTTTTCAAATTTTATAGAGCTATTTCGGTAATTGCTACACGTTCCGCTCCATAATTCCTATTCACAACACGATATAGATTTATCAAATATTTCAAGGTCATGTGGATAGCAGACAGTTGTGTTTGGTGAAATAATTGAAATTTGATTCAATTAACAACTATTTGATAATAAATTTCTGTCTCAGAATGAACAAACATTCATTCGTCGTCTTCTTTCCACCTTCCCTTTTGAATAAGCCAACATTTGTGCGACAGATTGGAAAAGGTGGCAGCTGGGACTTATCTGCCGCAAAAGGTGTCAAGAGTCTCACCTCTCCCCCATCCTCCGTACCATCCTTCTTCTCATCCCGCTTATCGCTTTTTATTTTTAGGTGTGTTTCCAAAATCTTGTGCCGGTATTACGAGTCAGGAACTATTAGGCCGCGGGCAATCGGCGGCTCCAAACCCAGGTTCGTGGGCGTTTCCTCCGCCGCAAGTTTGGTTTGCTATCGATCTTTCGTTTCAGGGTGGCCACATCAGACGTTGTTGAGAAGATAGAAGAGTACAAACGCGATCAGCCCAGCATATTTGCGTGGGAAATCAGAGACAAATTGCTGGCCGACAGTATTTGCAACAGCGAGACAATACCAAGTGTAAGTTTCGATTTAAGTTTAAATTTGAGATTTTATGTTCAGGTATCTTCCATAAATCGGGTATTACGGAACTTAGCAGCAAAGAAAGAGCAGATCACAATGCAGTCAGAAATTTACGATAGGATTCGAATGGTGGACAATTTTGCGTAAGTTTAAGATTCTCACTTCAACAGATTTCTAATTTCTCACCAATCACGTGAATAAGAGCTTCTAGCGTTTAGTGCATTGTTCTACAACACCAGCAACCTGGTAATCCATTCTCAGAAATCCGCCCATATTAGTCACTAAAACGGATTAGACTTTTTATCCGTCGGATCCGTCCAGTTTAAATCTTGTTATAACTTCATTCTTCATGCATCCATCTATTTCCAGATACAATCCGAATTGGTACAGTCAATGGCCTATACCAATGAATGGAGCAGTCGGTCTGAACCCATTCGCAAATGTGCAAGCGCCGCTTCTGGAGACCAAAAAGGAAGGAGACTTCGATAAAGGTTAGTGAGAACGCACGTTCCGAACTTCCGTTCTCTAATCGGTAATTGCTCCGGGGGCTCGTTACCCAGTCACTTTGACTGATCTACAATGTCAGACCCCCACATTTAGACAGATTGGATCCGCATTCGAATTCTAGGTAATCCTAGGAACATAACTTTTTTACGAGGTGCGTAGGAGAAGAACATCTGCCCCCGATGTCCATGAACAGTCGCCGAAGCGATAGTTGGACACTTTGATGGTTCATTAAATTGACACTATCGTTGCATTTTATCTACTCCTCACTGGGCCCCCCACCTCCCGCCGAGAGGTTCGCGCATTCACCCTCATTATTCGCACTCATTACCTACACCATTCATCAAAATCTTGATACATTTGATGGCTTCTTCAGCTTCTGGTTTAAAGCTCTTCAATGTATGTTTCTCTGGATTACTTACATATCATTCGAGCTTAGGATGTTTGAATTTGAATTTTTCAAAGGTCCCTTATTATTGAAATAGAAAATAGAAACAGGAAGATAACATATTTTTCGGACGATAGTGAGAAACCTGTTCTGCTTGCACCAGCACCACCACTCGCCGTCATGTTCTTCCCTTTCTACAGTAAGAATAGACTAAGCGCCTGACCAAGCGCCCTCCCCTCTTCTCATTCCTAAAAACAGTGGGCTACTGTAGGCAGACACAGTGTGTAAAAAGATTGAAGTGATTGACTTCAACACCCACGCACACACACGCATGCTTATCAAATTGAGAATGAGCGACGAAAAATGTTGTGAACATCACTTTTTGGGAACATTTGACAGCATCCGTCAGCACACCGTATCCGTTTCGATCACCTGAAGGACATTAGGAAAAAGTTCGATGAAACAGTGATTTTCGCGTGATACCTGAAGCTATTGAAGCGCAAAAATTAGGAATAGAACACTTCTTCAAAAATGGGGGTACGGTAGATTTGATCAGAAAGGAACGGTTCCGTCGACTAAGAAATCATGTGAGAAAGGTTTCGACTTTGGCTATCACGAACATTAGTCATCGAATTAGGAAAAGCAAAGACATAAATCAATAGGACAAATTCACGGAACATAATTTGAAATTTATGTGGCACCGCAACGACTAATCGAGAATAATTGCGGAAATGAGGTGCGACTCTCTGGAGCGCGACGTCAGAAGGTCTCGTTTTGACTCTCTAACACTTTTCCATTCATGCTCATGTCATTTTCTAGAATACTTTGCAATTTCTAGTATAAATTGGCTAAATAAGTTGACTATTCTTAATTTTGATTCGTCTTGCGACTAAAAGTGTGTTTTATCTAACACTCAAGAAACGGGAAAAATTGTAGCTAATTACTAAGGAAAATACCGATTCAACAGAATAAGCGAACGAATTGCCAAAAATAAAGTAAAAAAAATGAAATGACATGACGAAGAAAGAAGGCGAATCGGAGGAATGGTTCAGAGTGTCAGTGACAGTATAAGTTACCCGCCGAGTGACTTTTTACTAAACGAATTATCGAGCGACTAATTTAATTTATTCACTAAGACAACAACCATCATCGCAATTTTGCCTTTCCTTCCCTCCACTTCAGTCGTTTAGTTTCTGTGCGGCACCATCTCGTCCCGCTCTTATTCGATGTTAGTTCATGCTTTTTCTCCTCTTTTTTTGCTAGTTCTTCAAGCGTTCACTTGTAATGGTCCTATCCTATTATTTCGCAACGTAAAACTGTTCGATCTTCGTCCATAAGTTCAGTCTTTACAAATGATAATTTTTGGGTGGGCTTGAGCACCATCACCACTTCCCTCTTCTTTTGGCTTTGGTCTAAGTTTTGGTTTCCCGTTATCGCTGATATAATTCGGTAAAAATTCAGTTCTAACGACCTTCTTATTCATTATGACCTGAAAAAAAAACGTTTTGTCCTGCCAATATTACAACTTCATCACACTCTTCTTCCTACGACCATCAACTTTAAAATTGGCATTTTGTGAGGAGCGAAAAATGCTTTCACGCTTCACTGAATTCCTTTTATCAGATAACCTCTTTTTGTCTCCTCCCTCTCTTATCACATCGCATCGAATACCGTACGCATTGGACCACGTACATATGTACGTGAAAACTTTTGAGCGAGAACCCAAATAGTTCGTTCCCCCCAGAGGCGAATTAGACACCGAGTGGCGGGCCGAAAGCTCGGTCATAAATATATGAGGCTTCGCCGTTTTCGGGAGCCAAGTGAAAAATGAAGCTTCTGAGGCAGAGTGCTGTATATCAATAATTGGGTGGTGTACGGTAGTAGGCGTGGCCGTCGCCCCCCGTCTTGGACGCTGGTTGACGCGCGACGCCGGTGTCTCCTCGACGATTGGTCTATCTGGGCAAGCTGTGGAGGCTGTTTGCTTACTGCGCCTGTCGTCGTGGTCGTCGTCGTCGTTCAATCTGAGTCTCCACATCTTACCGAATTCATTGGACGCCTCTAAGATCCCGCCACCACTCCAGCATACTCTTCACATCACCCTTTTCATCTGATCTTGATTGCTTCTGACAACCCTTCCTAACCGTTGGCCCCCTGAAGGAGCCTCGGAACGACTGAGAAGCTGTGCTCCACAGGTTTATTCCCCTTCTACTCAACCTATTGTATTCCATTGGAACCATCGGAAATGCAACGTCCCGACTTGTATGCAATAGGAGATCCGCTTCCGAGATGTGATCAATCGTTAATACGAGTTAAGGAAACACTTTAATTTATCAAATTATGAAAGAGAAAACGTACACACTCGATACTCGCCGATGACCTAATGTCTAATTCGAATTCATACGTTTCGGAAACTGAAGTGGTCAAATGCGTTCCTGATTCGATGGCAAATTCGATTTTCGCAATTTCACAAAAAGCAGATTATCGCATTCAGTCTGTCAAATGTCTCACTACGAGGCGGCTGACCCTCCATTCGCACTTGTTTACTTGAATCCTTTTCTAGTTTTACCTCAAATTTTCATAGCTCCGTCCATGTGACAATTAGTCCCACTTTCTCTCCTCATTAGCACAAATATCACGCAATATTCCAAAGGTTTTTCGACGTAAACAAAGTGTGATAGGTAGCTCGTGCCGCTATCGTAGCACTCATTTTGAAATCCAAAGTCTTCTGACACATCCTTCTGCCCATCTGATCTGCGTCTCGTGTTTCTACGGTATTGCGTGATTCTCTGACGGCAACTTTCGAACCGTCCACAGGGGGGGACACTGGCCCGCCCCTCGACTATCAGTCAGTGGTCATACAGTCTCTGTCAAGAGATGATATCAGCCCACGCTCCCTTGGTGTCTCTCAAGGCACCAGTTCCAACTCGCCGAGCTTCCACTATTCGTAAGACCGCTCGTGTCGGTAAATTCTCGCCATGTACGTGATGAATTCGTTTTCCCATTCCGCTCCTCCAGCTCATATCCGTTTTTCGCCAAAATCTGTGCGTAATGAGCAGGTTCTCATGCGTAGCACCATCCTTCATTAAGAGCGGATTTCCGACCATTTCCAACGGATGTTGGGGCAAGCTTAGTGTTAGGCGTAGGATACATTAGTGCCATTTCCGGCACTTCTCGCCTCTTCCCTACCTTCCACGATAATCCCGCATAGTAACTTTTTCAGATGAGGACCAAAAACCTCCAGTTGACCAAGAGGATGATGCGGCCGCCAGGATGCGATTGAAACGGAAATTGCAAAGAAACAGAACGTCTTTCACACAAGTTCAGATTGAGAGTCTTGAGAAAGGTAGTTTCGGAAATTATTCTCGACGGGATGCTGGAGGTTTGAATGTTTCAGAATTCGAAAGGACCCACTATCCAGATGTGTTTGCGAGGGAGCGTCTTGCCCAGAAAATCCAACTACCGGAAGCGAGAATTCAGGTGGGTCCTCCATATCAGATGTCTAATGAGCCGTGTGCGCAATAGTTGCCTAATCGCTGAACCATCCTCCCTATCAAAGTTCCAATCGTTTGTCACTCAGCCCATGAGGCCTTCCGTCAGTAGCCGGACGGTAATGTCAACTAATCATCTCGACCCTGACATAGTTGACTAACACGGTTGGGCTGAAATGTCAGCGGGCGCAAAACTATGCCATCAGCAGCCAGTCTTGTGTTCAAGAGGCTCTTCTCTTGTCACTGTCCTCGACACACTTGAACTGCCAACACTTTCTAAACCTGTTCTCGCCTCTTCCCTTTGACTATTCTTGAAAGAGGAGAAAAGGAGAAATGGCGAGGATTGTCGAAAAATTCCTTAAAAAACACATGCATGGGTCGCGGGACAGAAGAATTTGAAGTGAGAAGACTGGGGTTTTTCGGGAAGAAGAAGGGCACTGCCATTTATCTTTATTAGCGATAGCGATACTCTTCCCTTTCTGTTCGTCTTTTGGACATACGGACTCGCACATTTATCTTTTTGTTAGTTTTGCCAGCTGAGAATTGGGTGGTCGCATTTTGAAATTTTCGGGACGAAATATGAATTCCAAATGTTTAGGTGTGGTTTTCAAACCGACGCGCAAAGTGGAGACGGGAGGAAAAAATGCGGAACAAGCGGTCTTCCGGGCCGATTGACTCTTCGCTCTCGAACGGAACGCCGACGCCGACGCCGGGATCAGTGACTGGAAGTAACATGACAAATCCGATCGGATCTCCGGCCTCCACGCCGAACCGATTCTCATCGAATAGTTCTGCGAACCTTCCAACGACGAACTTTGTCCCGCCGGCCAATCAGATGTACACCGGGCTCAGTCAGCAGACTATGGATCACTTCGGAGGGTGAGTAGTCGCGTGCAAAAGATCAAAAATCAAGAGGTTACCGTAGTAAAAGTGAATGATAAGAATGACTTGATTTTACTTGACCTAAAGACTTGTCAGCTGAATAGTGACGCGTAGTTGTAGTCGAGTTTGTAGAGTTACAGTAAGCCCTTTGGTTTCAGGTACGCGTTTGCGAATGGTCTCGGAATGACGCCGTATCAACCGACCGCCGACTTCAACCATCATATGTTCCAGCCGGGAAGATCGCCATATGATACATTCAATGTATAACCCTTTTTCCCCCAATTCTCATCCACACTGTTCTGTTTTCAGCCATATGCCCGGATGCCAACTAACGCCCACGGTTTCCAACCGGCAATGAGTCCAGCCACGACGAACGTTGGAGGTAAGAAGGATCCCCCGCACTTTTACGGGAGAAACCCATAAACTAAAACGGGTAATTGATTTGGAAGTGATAAAAAAGCAAGCGGCCGGCTGATGGCTTCGCGTTTTAATGTGTTGAAAGGCAAGGAGAGGGAAAGAGAGAGTGATTATCTCTAGTGCTTCAAATCCTTCGTCATCACCTCCATCACAGCCGCGTAAATTCCATAGGCATCTGCTACCGTACTCCGTGCCTGCCTCCCTCCCAACCATCCACTGTATCGGCCTTCCTTCCCTCACTATTTCTTTGTCTGTTGTGTGACATATGCCTCTGTTGGCTGTCACCTCACATTTATGTCCAATACAATATGCGTTGGGATCAGCACGATACGTTTACCTATACGTTTTTTGGGCGCACACGTCTGCGGGGAGTGTGATGATAAACAATGATATGATTTCAGAACTTCCGGCCATCACTACCGGCATGACTCTGCCGGTTTCTGCGGTGCTCAACTCCATCGACCAATCGCTTAGCCACACGCAGATGCACGAGCTCACCGACATCACGCAATCCCATGAACACTACTGGAGAGCCTAATTTGTTCTTCGGCTTAATCAACACTATCATCTCTCCCCTTCCCTTTCCCCTCTCTCTCTCTCTCTCTCTCTCTCTCTCTCCCTGGCCATAAATTTCTGGGTTTTTCTAGCAGTTATAGACTGAAGTTTCCTTATTTTTCTTCGTATTTACTTTTAACACTGTACCAACAAGTTTTTCTATGAGCTTTTTATAATATTGTTTCCCAGTGTTTCCGATCATGAGTTGTCACATATTCCTTCCCCCAGTCCTCCCGTTCCCCCAAATTGCTTGATTTTGTTGACCTCATACTCTTAACTTTGACTCGATTTGGAGTAAGAGTTGCTGGAGATAAGCTCTACAGAATATTGTGCACAAAATGACATTTGCCCCTTTTTCCCCGAGTCCCCACCAACTTACTCATTGTCCACGTTTCGTGTTTCTCAGTTCTCAAACATATTCACATCCGTCCTCATCTCCTTTTGAAACTTTTCCTGTCCGGAACTCGCATTCTTTAGGTCCGACTTTCTCTCAACAAAACTATTTTACAATTAAATTGACTTTTACTCATTCACGCAAGAACCCACCAATATACATATATTTGTAGATTGTCATTAGAATAATCACGCCGATGAGCGTGTTTGGAGTGTGCGATTCTGATTCTGGAACTTTGCAATCAGGAAACGAAGAAAAGTTTCATTTGCTTCATATCATGCATTCTATCTGGTTGTCCTTTCAATTTTTCGACCATCTTCCTCTTCTTCTTCCTCTTCTCTATCTTTGCATTGGTACCATAAAAAGGTATAATAAAAGATTGTTCCGCAAAAAAAACGTCTCAAGTTCCCATTTTTTTGAAACAGAGCCATAAAAAGTGTGAAAAGATGCTACTCGGCGATAAGTTTTATGTCACTTCATCAATCACTGTTACACGGTGGATAGAGGGGGAACAATTACCGGCGCGTTCCGTCGCGTCGTCCGGCCATTTCCCGATCCGGATTCTGTTTATCTCGACGCCATCTATCGCACTCCTGTATCACTTTATAGTCAGTCGTTACGCAATTATGGCACTCATCTCTCCAGTTTCCATCTTTCGCCTCCAAGACGAACGAATATGTCACGAACGGTTAGGGTTCAACCTTCGAGGACCTTTTTTTCTATTCGAAAAGCATTCAAAAGACTGCCGCCTGCCAACACGAGTGTTCCTCACTTTTATGGTGCCATTACGTCTGCTAAGATTCGACAAGTGAGAGCCCCGACCCCGAAAACCGGAAAATGAGAAGGAAGAGACGCTCGTTTTAATAAACACACATCCGTTCGTCGGGGGGCCGTTATTAGGTCATTTGGATGTCAACACAGCGTTACGGTAATCGCAAACGACAAATTACCGTCTCCAGATGTTTTCTCTTTTTTTTGAAGGTTCTCTCATTTGAAAAAAAAACTTGAAAAGGACCATTTATGTACACCGTTGAATAAATAAAAATTTGAATGTGAAACCCCGGATGATTGTGATGTTTTGGTTTAAACGGAGATGAGCGAGCTGCTGTAGCAATGTCCCTGGTGACAGAAATTGTCTCCAGGACACATCGAGTTGAGGCATGGACCAATAGCATCAGCTGAAATGATGATCCATGTATGTACAAATGATAATGCTATTCTGATGTACCTTGGTTAAGAGCCTTCATTGGTGGCGCGATTCCGTCTGGGATACATTGGCCGTAAAAGCAAGTGTGAGCAGTTTGGCACTTATCAGCAATGCATGGTCCGACAGCACGAGCGAAAATCTCCTCTGAAATAGTCCAAAAAATGAATTTGAAAGAGCTGTTGACACTTACCTTTCTTTTGAGCCAAACAAACAGAGATAATAGCCAAAAGGAAAGCGAGAAGGACGGTTTTTGAGTTCATTTTTGCGCGAAAGTCGGTATGTCCCATAATGGGCGCCGATACGCTTTTTATACGAACGGCCGCTTTGTTTATTCTGATCGGTTCGCGAAAACAAGGAAGAGGAGGGACGAGTGAAGTGAGTACACATTTGAGAGAAGGAGGCGAAGCTGTATCGTGATTTTTGATAGGGATGAGTGGGCGCGCAGACGATTCACAAGTATTGCTTTTCGATTCGACTCGATCCATTCATTGAGCCTTGTTTATTTACGTAGCGTCAGCTACAGACTGCTAAAAGCCTCAAAAAACAAGAGTCCTTTGTATGTTTTCTCCAAATATTTGAGGATTTGTGTAATTGGAAAACTTGAAAAACGGATCGAATTCATTCGAGGTACAACAACAAATATTAGTGTCATCTGACTAAGAGCATCTGACTAGTCAAGCGATAAGCGTATTTAAGCAATGAGAACAACACAACAAACGGGTAAACAATCAATTCTTATTCTTTGCGAGATTTCTTAGGAGAAGCAGTTTTGAGACCATAAATGTAAAACGGAATGCACAAAAGAGGCAACCAGTAGTAGATGGACGACCAGAAGTGATGCACGTCGGCGCCGTTCTTGAGCAAGAATCCGGTTGCCAGCATTTCGAAGCCACGGCAACGAATTGTATGCGTATATCTGGAATGTAAGTTTTCTACAATTGCAAAGCTAACTCAATATGCACTTACAGTAATCGGAACCATTGTGGCCGTTTTCCAGTCTCCGGATCCACAGGAACGAGTTTGAAGATGACGTCCTCGAGAATAGCGCACATTGCCACGACTCCGAATGACATGAAGTACCCAGCATAGGTTCCGTGCCAAACTGCCGAAACGAGCATTGTCGTCTCCACTCGCATCACTTTCACGCGGGAATGCACGTAGAGAGCGAGCCACGTCTGCACAGATCTGTTCCACGCTTTCATGCCGTCACGAAATCCATCGGAGAACTCAACCTTAAAAACATAGAAAACATTATATCATTAATCCTCTAAATCCAACTTTTGGAATATCCAAGTTCACAATAGCATCACTGTTCATTTTGGTGTTTTCCAAGTTCTGAAGATTGGCAAACACCTTCAAATCGGTTGGTCCCACAATAATCTTCGGCTTGGAAGCAGCTGGATAAACGCCAATGCCCAAAATGACGCAAATTGATTCGGCAATCGCCCACGCACTGAAAAAAACATGCGTGTTTTTCATCCTGAACATCAATGAAATTTCTACCTGTACACTCTTGTTTTGAATACAACGAAGATGAGGGCTGCATAGACCAGACGAGTGAAGAATGACATTTCCCAGATGGCATCCGAGCGAAGAGTCTGAAAATTTGACATTTTAACTTTTGAAGATGAGGTTTTCTGTGCTCACATCGAGTGGGAAGTAGTGGTTGGTGATCACAAAAACTGGAACAGACCACAAAAGTCTCTGGAAACGAGAAAGCACTTCGGATGTTGGATCCCATGACTTGAGTAGCGGGTTTTGGGAGTCGATTAGCATTTGGTAGGTGTAATACGGCCCTGCAATAGATTATTTGATTGTTCCCTTTGTCTGAACCCAGAAAAACAGAACCACACCTGTAAAGAGACCACAAAAGTGGTAGAAGTAAGCGAATTTCTCTAAAATGGTTGGGATTTCGGTCAGATATCTTTTTTCAGGTTTTTCTTCGTTTTTGTGCAGCCACGCATCATTCTCCTCAAAAGTGATTCCGATTATCTGAAAAATATTCAGGTTATTAAGTATTTCTCGTGGCAATGCCTACCCGGAGAGTGATTATCAGTTGGATAACGTTGGTATGGCTGGCTACTTCGTTCACAGGAAGGATGTAGTGGGCGAATCGGACGAACATCAGGTAGGTAAACGTCGTCAAGAAGACGTACAACGGTGTATTCCTGCAAAAGGATCCGATTAATCAATGAATGGTCACAGGGACTCACTTTCTGTTCGCAAATTGTTGTATTAAAATGGCTAGTGTACAAATTCCCAGAGAATACATGACTTTGGCACCTGAAAAGAAAAGAACGGAAGTATATCGATTTCAAACACTCCTCGAACACCTATGATAAATAGAGCCATGGCAAATCCAAGAGCTCCGGAAGCGAGTATATTATTTCCAATTTTCCGCACGTAACATGATGCTCCAAACGAAAATAGCAGTAATCCTGTATATATCCAATCATCCTTTGACATCAATCCAGTTATTTGGTCCATTTTCGACGCCTAAAATACGGAAATCATAAAAAAACATAGGAAAAGAGTGGAAAACCAATGAGAATCCATATTCGAGCAATATTAATTAATGCGTCGAGAAACGCGCCATGGGTCGTTGCTGGCGCATTTTCCGTCTTTGCGATGTATTACTATGAACACTTGGAATGCGCGCTGTTGATGAGATCCGATTCGACCTTGTTCACGACTATATCGATAAAAATAATACTCACGTCGTAACAATCGCAAAATTTAGTCTTTAGTCTCACAGTTTTTGTCGTGTTTCTCCGCTTCTTTCACTGAATCGTGTGATTTTTCATTTTTACTTTACAGGTGCTGAATTGGGTGACAATTAGAATCACCGAGAAATGTATTCAGCAGAAGTGCTTGATCGTGAGTTTTCAGCATGATTGGCAATGCTTTAAAAAATTTTTTTTCAGTTATCACAGCGCTCGAACAGAAAGAATGCGATGATTGCGGCAAAAAAGAGGTCGAGTGGGCTTCTGTCAAAAAAGGAACCGTCATCTGTTCGGAATGTTTCTGCTTTCACAGTTATTTAGGTATGTTATCCGGTTTTCCATTTTAATATTACACATTCTATCCGTTCAAAACTGTCTTCGGTATACACGTGACTTGCGCGGCAATCAATAAACATACACTACTCTCAGGGCCGTCGGTGAGCTATCTGCGACATCTGCGCAAGAGTGCTTGGGATGAGGAGCACATTCGTCTTGTTCACGCTCTCAACTCGTTAGTTCCGCATCAAAAGCATTAGCTCACAATCACAATGATGGTTTAGGTCTAACACGAACATGATCTGGGAAAGTTCGCTTTACGAGGGATCAACCAAGTTCCGGAAGCCAGAGTCACAGTACGCAACTATCTCGACGATTAAGGACACAACATTGAAATTTACAGAGATCCGTCGCATATCAAGGAGCAGTTTGTCAAGGAGAAGTACGAAAAGATGACATTCCAGCCGAAAAGAGGGAAAGACGAAGATCTTGAGAACAGTCTGAACAGACAGCTGATTGCTTGTGCCCGCAGTGATTTCGCCCATGTTACCTTGAGGTGAGTATACCAATGTTTTGCTGTAGACATAGAAAATCCGTTCCAGATTGATCGCACTCGGTGCTGATGTCAACTACATGGACCCAGAATCTGGAGACACTGCTCTTCACGTGGCAGCCAGGGAGGGAAACTGCAACCAGGTCGAGCTGCTCTTCCTTTACGGCGCTGACCTCATGGCCCAGAACAAAGACGGACTCCTTCCGTACATAGCCGCCAGAGATGCAGGAAACGTAAGGAGAAAATCCAAATATTTGCAGAACAATTACTTCCTTTGCAGCTTCAACTGTATCAGCGCATTTATGACTTTTTCTTCTATGTCTTTGACCGCTTCTCGTTCTTCATGTGCAACAGAAAGGCTGATCATAAGGTGCTAGCAATAAAAACACGGCGACCAAACTAGACTAGTTACAGAACAACCAAGATTTCTTCATTCCTGAGGTCACCGAGAAGCAGGTTCTGCAGAAAACGAAAGATTCGAGAGGAGCACTTTCGGTTCTATCGAAAGAAAGATTCTTTGACATGTGCGAAGACGCTTTCGATGAGACAGTTCGTCGTGAAAATGAAGTTAACTGGAATATGACGAAATGGGCGAAGACCGCCAAAGGGCCGACAAACTTGTTCTTGCCGGTTTGAACTTGAACCGAGATTACAGATGAAAACTCAATTTTTAGCCAACGACGCTGATGTCGGCCGCCCGCAACCAGAGAAGACAAAAACTTGCCAAGTTTACCCCGTTTCAGTTCACAGTGTTGCTGATCGATCTGATGAAAGAGCAGAAACGCCGTATCACTGGCGAGAGCGCTGTTCCGGCTTTGGAGCAACCGAAATCAGTGCGACGGTCGAACGACACCCCACTAAAAGTCATGAAGTATGTAATGCAGAACACAATGAGAAAGATATGCTCAATATTACCGTTTCAGAAAGAGCGACTATGGTGACTACGATGAGGTGGCCGGAATCTCGTGCTCGCCAATCTCTGGAATCATCCAGAACTCTCAAGCCAACACGCTGGATGAATCGAGCAGCAGAGTTTGGGACGAGCTTCTCGAAGTGAAAGAGAGACTGTCAACCACCGAAACTCTCGTCTTGACACTGACAAAACAGAACGAGGAACTGACAAAGTAAGTGAAATTCTGTAAGTTCGTGAACAACTAAATCTTATATCCTTTCTTAGACTGGTTCACAGTTTGCAAGCTCAAAATATTAACTTGAATTCGGAGCTCATCTCGTTCCGTGACGATTTGTACAACGTGAAAAGAGCGAACATGACCAGAAGGATGCCGTCTCCGTTGGCTATTGTCGAAACACCAGACAGAACCCTGCCGCCGCCAGCAAGCGTTCCCCAGAGTTTTCCCAGAAGGTTAGACAAAAGTTTTCAATTTTTTTCAATTTTTTCCGCAAAAACCTTTTTAACGTTTCTTCACCTCACAAACTTGTGCCCCTATTAAAATGAACATTACAGAGATAGCGAAGACCGAATTGATAGCGGAGGTGCCCGATGGAGGTCCAACTCGAGCGACAGAAGAAATTCGAACGACCAAAATCTGGAGAAGAAAGTAGAAAGAAGGCAAGACTCGATGATCGAAAGCTCTTCTTCGCTCTCTCGTTGCTCGCAAAACCCATTGTACAACCGAGAAGGTTAGGATTAGCAGGCAAATGAAAGCAATTCTCTTTGTTTTTTGTTTCTCAGGAGTGAAAAGCAACGTTTTGCAACAAAGCGAGAGGATCTCACGACAAATCAGACGGCTCCTTCAACACGGCCTCAACGGAAACTTGGACTTGAACGCCAGTTTCGACGCACACGAAGTACGTCATTGACTAGAAAACACGTAAAAAGAAGGGTTTGACGTTTGCAGATCGCGTGCTCCATCGACAATCTTATCATCATTCTGCTGCCGTTTGTGAGACAGGAGAAAATCGATCAGTTGACGGATGCTGTTGTGGTGAGAAGAAAAATGAAAGAGTACATAAGGCTGACGCGATATTTTCAGCTGCTCAATGCCAAATGCAACTCGCCGTTGCTCATTCCAGATGATATCCGAGATGCCGCGCAGACGATCGCTGAAAAGCTTCATCAAATTATTGTGGAATTCCGTTAGAATCCAAACATTCACATCTGTTACTTCTCGAAACTTCATTAGATTCGACAAATTGCTCAATTTCTGCAAACCCGTTCAACATAATGTCAGTTAATTTATCAAACTTGATTCTTGATTTGTTCCTCTCAGTTTTTTTTAATCTATTTATTCTGTTTTGACCGCCAAACCAAAAATTCTCTCTTGTTGCATATTTCATGACTTTTCTCATTCGTCCACTATCATAATGTTATTTGACATTTTTTGTCTTCAAATGTGAAAGTGTCATTATTCGAAAAGTTACGAGAGAAGAGAAATGATTGAAGATGGATCTAGAAGTGAAAGAGCAAAGACGTGCACGGTGGCCACTTTGCCCTTCATATCACCCGTCTTTTACAGATTACCAATTCCTACGGCAAATATGCTCTTCTGTTTCAGTCGATGACTTTGACATTTCGATGGAATCATCTTCTGATAAGGCGCATTGGTTTAGGGTGTTAAGGAAAGAGAGGGAGAGTGTGTGAGCGGAAGAGCACTGAGGAAAGTCATTAAATTTAGGGGCGACACAGTTTGCGATCGATCTTGGGGCACTTTGCCCGCGATTTGAGCACAGTGAAACCCTTTTTGATGGAAGCGAAGGCGCGAAACGCCAAAAAAAGTCATAAAGGTGAATATGCAACGGGGGGAAAAGCGGTGATAAGAAACAGAGCGCTGTTGAAACTCATTTGCGTTTCTGATTTTGTGTTTGCTGCGACTTTCTTACCCGTCAACTGGTACGCTCTCCCTCCCCCTCCCCCCGCATTATCCTCTAGAATGGCGATTGAAAGATCCGCCCGGCCGAACGGTCGCCGAGCGAGACCACCCGGTCAGCGGAGGGCCGTTTTCATAGATGATACTCCAAAACCGTCGGAATGGAAAAATATATGGGTGGCCATTTTCGGATTTTACATTCTTTTTGCCGAAAGTGGCGTCAGACAGGTACGTACTGTTTTCCACTTTTATGAAGCACTTTTCTATTGCACTTTGACCAGCATAAAGTTTGTGATTACGTAAGCAATTATTGATTAAGGTGATGAATGGCTTCGTCGAGCCGGTCATTATAACCTACAATTGCACGAAAAATGAAGCCGACACTGCGGTTCTCGTGATTCCAATGGCTTCAAGTCTCATCTTTGGTAAAAATTGGTTGTCTGTTTGTTTGTTTGAATTGTGTTTTATTGCAGGACCGGTCTGCTCAGTGTTCTACCAATGGTCTGGAGCCAGAATTAGTATCATCTTCGGAGCTCTGTTGGCCTGCGCAAGTTTCGTTGTCGGACCTCTCTGCAAATCCGTTTATCTGCTCATGGTGTGCACGTTCGGACTCGGTTTGTTTGTTTTTATTTGAAACATAAAATTGGAAAAAAAAGTGTCAGGGGTCGGATGTGGATTGATGAGGAACTCGATAATTTCGATTCAATGCGAATATTTCAAAAAGAAAAGGAACACTGTTATGGCGGCGATTTCCATCGGTCCAGGACTCGGAATATTTATTCTTCCACGAACTTTGAAATGGATTATGGAAAAGGTTTGAGTTTCGGAATATGGAAGTTCATTTGGAAAAACTGAAAAAGTTTCAGTACGGAAGTTGGGGACCCGCTTGGTGGTTTCTCTCGACATTCTACATCATTTCCGCGCTCATGGCTCTTTTTATCACAAAACATCCTTCCGAACAAACGACCTCATTCTCATTCGGATCCGCATTCAAGGTATTTTGACTATTCAACAGGAGAAGCATAAAACCACTTTCAGGTGTGCAAAAAAATTGAATTTGATTTTCATCTCATATCTTGTTTCTTCGCTTCATCAGTAACTTTCATTTATCTTGCTAATATTCTGATTCTAATGAGCTCCGAGAATATTGAAGAGTAAGTTGTTGAACTATTGTACTGTGTAGCTATAATAACTCTAATTATTCAGCAAAGAAGATGTGTATGGGTATCAAGGACTAGCAAGTATTATTGGAAAATTCGTCCTTACATTTGTGATGAGTTTGAATCGAGTAAGCACGTTTCCATAACATTATATGTTAAATAATGATTGTTTCAGGTACATAACGGAGTGATCATGATAATCAGTTACGTTGTGGCTCAGTTTTCCTTGTCTTCGGCTGCTTTTTGCTACAAACTCTGGCAGTTCAGGCTACAAAACGCGTTTGCCGGTATCGGCATCGGTTTGTTCTCTTCTTGTTATGAGATTTAAAAAAAAATCGTGTTTCAGGTCTGTATCAAGCATGTTTAGCACCTTTCTTGGTCGCTATTGTGGGTCCTTCACAACTTGCATACGCCCTAGGATTCACTAACCTTATTAACGGAATTTCGATCATTTCTGGAGTATGGCTATCTGGTACGCTACTTTTCTAAAAATCTTTCCAGAACCTTGAGTGTTCAGGATTCGCAAGCAAAGGAACGACTGGAGAAGATGCGAGAAGCGCGTTTTTTGTCTCTATCTGGTTAGGAGTGGCCGCCATCGTCATGTCCATCGTCACCTCATTCCTTCTGATGGCCCGGGAGAAACACAAGAGAAAGCCGTCCATGAAGCAAATGAAGCACTCGTCCGAATTGAATGCCATCATTAACATCACCTCTGTTGAGAACTCCTAAGTACATGTAATCCACTTAGCCTTCCGTGCGTCTTATCTCCGACGGTTTTCCAGATCACAACGTCATCGCAAGTGCTGACGAGAGCACCCCCGTATTCTCACGTCCTTATCAAACATTCCCTTATCGATCGATGATGTTGGCGCACACGTTCAAAGTTAAAAAGTCACCCTTTCTTGTCGGGCACATGGTTGAATTGTTGGGGAGAAAGGAGAAAGAAAAAGCCTTCGTTCCTTCCACTGACGCAATACCCTATTACCTCGTTTTCTCTCACTCAAATTCATTCTGATAGTGTTGGAGTATGAGCGTCAAATGTACAAAGTTGTAAAACATAAGAACGATAAAGGGAAAGTGAGAAGAGAACCGGAAGAAGAATGTGGGGGGAGCACGAGACCAGGCGCAAACTAGGCGTGCAGAAGTCACAAAGTACAATCATATGTTTGTTATCATTATCGGTAATGGGTTTCAGACAACCCGAGCGGTCTCATTCCAATCCAAACTACACATTTGACGCGCATACTTGTCTTGTACTCTATCTTATCCCAACTTTCATTTTGATCCCGGTCTACTCTTTAATCCAATTGATAAGTCATAATGACCCTTCTTCTTATCACTCTTATTCGTACACTTTTTTTTTCATTTTCCATCCCCAAAACTGTGACACTTGTCTTCATAGTCTCGTCTTTCCTGCTCTAAACTTTTCCCTTTTTCTAATCTTATCTTCCCCCGTTCCATCACGTTTTTGTGTTATTTTGATCTCAAGTATTGTGCGTTGAGAATGAATTTGTCGATTTCTGAGTGGGCGAAAACTTTCAACACAACTAAACTTTAATAATATTGATTGATTTATGATTTCAAAGCGCTGATTATAATCATGAGATGTGCCTTGCCCACTGGCATCATCATGTGAAACTAAACTGGGAAATAATAACCCGGAGTTAGTCGATAAAAGGCTTGTACTCTTCACTCAAATTATATTCGAATTTTTCGATAAGAATTTCGCAGACACATTACCCTTTTCAGCCCGCTAACAGTCTTCGAAATTGCAGAATTGCGTATTCAAAAATGTTTGGTTACGTCGTTGTTAATGAGCAGAACTCGATCGTTTTCCTTGACGGAAACGACGAGTTTAAGGTATGTGTGTGTAAATAATTCCAACTTATCGATTGATTCAGTCGAATTTCCAAAGTTTGATTCATTCTGAAATAACAAGTCGGAAACAAGAAGCGGATTCTGCATCGAGTGGAGTCGGCAGTTCAACTTCTACAGAAGGTATTTTCTAGTAGAAAATTTCAAAAAAATTTATACGTGTTTTTCAGATCATGAATCATTAGTTACACTAAAAAAGCAGCCTGACGTTGTTTTCAACTCTTCCGAGATCTCTCACATACTTCTTCCGTTAATCCTCCTTTACCGGTCCACAAGTGAGAAGACAAAAGACCCAATAACAGAAATGTCATCGAAACTCGGAACCATCTCCATTTCCAAATTCTACCACAATTATCTTGTTTTAGTGTTTGCCAACGAGTGAGTTTTCATATGTATGCCCATAACTTTTTTCTGTTTCGAATTTTCAGTGATCGTAAACGCGTGGAAATTTCGCAAGTAGTCGAGCACACAATAGCCACATCCTTCGGTCCCCTGATCGCATTCTGCCACACCGATCTCACGACAGTCCAACGACCAAAAGAGAACCTCGCTGGCGCTCTCCGACAGAATCTGAACTTCAGACCGCAGTGTGAGAGATACTGATTTTTGTTTTTAATTGTTATCATTATTTTAGCGCTTATTGATATCAGAAGAAGATTATTCTATTCGGAGAAGATTGCGAAACTCAGAGACACATTCTACAAAGTAGCATCTCAATTGGGCGTCTTTGTTGGGAATAACCGGTTTGTCTCAATGGTATTCTCGACAGTTCTTATCTTCATTCTCCTATTGAAGATGTTTGTTGTTGTGCCATGATGATATTATTGCGACCTACAACTCGGTGGAGGCAAACGATGATGTTTTGAAGGGACTCAACACAAACGATCTTCTCAACATTGTGGCCACAATCTCTAAATGTGATGCAACAAACCGAGTCGAGCAGGTTTGTGCTCTTTCTCTTTGCCATTTTCCCGCATGACTCGCAAAAGTGCTCTCTGTTTTAGTTCTGGCTCCGCTCAACGGCTGGTCTCATTCCATACTACGTGAATGTTATCAGTGCAACAATTTTCAAAAATATCACTCTGGTGTGTCTTGTGGAATCGTCGGAGAACACTCTCATCAGATATTTGTACTTGTTTTCAAAACAATTGGATCAGTTGAGAGTCAGTCAGGATTTGAACAAGTAAACCCCTAAAAACTGGAACTTTTGAATGGCAACATGTTCTAGAGACCTGAAAGAAGTGCGAAAGACTATAAATGACGTCCACATCCTTTTACTCAACAGAAAACCACTTCCAGACAGTTATTGTGCGGCATTTATGAAAAATCCGTTGAGAGCTTCTTCGTTTTTCAAGGTAGATTTTAAAGATGTCTCGTAAACCGTTACAAATTGAATTTCCAGTCGATATGGAACCAGATCGAGTCAGAAGTGCTCCAAATCAATCGAGATTCAGTTACTCCAAAACCCAGATCGGAATCCAGGTTTTCAATAAGTTCTTGGAGAAGCGCACTGTCCACAATGTCCATGAACTCGTCAGTTTTTACCAGAATAACCATGGATGAAAAGGTAAGCTTTTGATAAACTTTTTTTTAACCATATGATCATTTTCAGACATTGACTCAAAAAATGGATATACTGCTATCATATGGTCAAAAACAGATCAACTCTTTAATACAAGAACTGTGCGCAATAAGCATTATCAATGCTCGAACTTCTACCCTTCCTTTATTCAATCAGTGCTTGGAAAAAACTGTAAGACCGAATACGGTCAAATCTCTGGAGACGCTAGGGATAGGTAGCAAAGAACAAGAAGAAAAGTTAGCCAAGTATTTGAAACCATCCGAATTCTTCCTGGAGATGTACGCGTACCGGGTCCAATTCGATGACACACAACAGGCAATCACTTTTGTTTCAGGTAACAAAGATTTTTAATCGACAATTCGATAAAATGAAATTCAGATGAATACAAAGACGATTTGAGAATAATGCGACATCTTCGGCATGCAAATCGTTTCAGTTGTGACTTTACTGGAACATCCGGAGAGCGGTTCACAGTTTATTATGTAAGAAATATTGATGGAAAACGCTCAAAGTATGTACATTTCAGTTCCACTTCCCAAAAGAAACAACTTCCAACCAGAAGGGATCGTTGGCAAAAAGCCGTACAAGTATCAGCATGACAGCCGTGTTTCCAGAGTACATCAACAAGAATTTGGCCGAGAAGCAGAGTAATAAGTTAATGGATTGTGTATTGAAACAGTTTTCATAAATTATTTATTCAATTTCTTGTGTGTCTTTTTGAGATCAATCAATATGACACACGCATGAGAAAACAAAAATAACAACATTTTTTCAATCGTGCTCAACATCCTTCTTTGTTGGTGGATCAGCAAGGCCTGGAGGGAATTCAATGTAGGGATCTCGGTCGGGTTTATCAATTATTTCAAATGAACAATCTTTTTTAAGTTCTTCTTTTAATTGTTCACATTTCTGAAAAAATTATTCAAAAAGCTTCGCGAACTTCGATTACATTTCCATATTCTATATTGAGAATGGTTTCAAGACTTGCTGCACAAGCCAAGATGTCGGGACGATTTGTACAATCCAATTCCATGCAAGGGATTATGATATTTTCGTATCTAAAATTACGAATTACGAATTAGATTATTGATTAGTAATTGTGAATTCTCACATTCTCTGTGGGCAATATGGCGGTCGAGTGGGTCCGTTTTTGAGAAAGAGACAGTAACTTTCGTGAGTGAAGAATTGAGAGTTTCCAAATTGGAATAGAGAGAGAAGAAGATTGCCAAACGAATATACTTCGGACTGAACATGATATTGCAATAAGATGAAATAAAAGTGGCTTACCGAATAGTAATAAAGTCCATTTAGAGCTTCCATTGGGTAAATTTGCCAGGGAATTTTCACTTTACCACATGCGATCATCCATTTCGAAGTGATGCTAACTTTGGTAGTTTCTCCCCTCTGCGCTCTCTCAAAGTCGGATAGTTTGAGCAATCGATTGGCGGATACCAACACGTTCCTCATCGCCACGTCACGATGCGTTATCTAAAATCCATTGTCTCAAAAATCTCTCAGTTTTCTTACTTTTTGTAATTTCAAATACGCTAACGCGTCTGCAATTTGCCATCCAAAACCAATCAATTCGGTAATGGTAACCGTTTCGTATCCATTCTGAAAATCAGAATAGTTTGGCTAGTCAACGGTCTTAACGCACTTCAGCGATGAAAACGTTGTTTTCCTCTACCGGCATAGCAGGACTGTATTTCTTCATAAAAACTTCGAGCGACTTTTCCGGGTAATATGGCAGAACAAGATGTTCTACTTGCAACTTATAACACCATCTGAAAATGTGAGTTCACTTTGCCCGAAACAATAAAAATACGAACTTTTGTACAGGAAGTTTTGTTACTCCAATTGGTGAAACTACAGTGTAACGATTCAATGATTCCAGTATTTTCAGCTCTCGATAAAAAAGTGAAGTCTTGCTGAGATTCTTCAGACATTTCACAACCACTTCTCGCTTGTCGTCTTTCATTGGCACCAAGTAAATGATCGATGAGTTGCCCTCACCGATTTTTCTACCCTGAAGGAACACGTAATGTTCGTAATGAACGAAAAGAAACAAACCTCTTCCAAAGAAATTTGTCCTTTTTTGAACGTGATTATGGAACTTCTGGAAACGGGCGATGTGAAAACGGATAACACTGGAAGATTCTTACAATCGCTTGTATCGGAAGTTGTCGCAGGTTTTCACAATTGCAAGAATTATTATCACACTCAAAACGATCAAAAGCACAACTATTATCAAGTTCTGAAAACAAATTGTAAAAGGTAAGCAGACTTTATTGACTCACAGTAAGGTCTTCGGGTTTTTTCATGAATACTTGAGCAATAACTTTGTCGTTTTTCAGAAAAGCGCAATGAGGAATCCAGGCTGTGCCAACAAGACTATTCGGATAATATGCGGACGCAATCAGTTTGTTCTCAGTACGTCTCGGACTCGATAACTTGAATCAAATTGCACTTTATAGTCATTTAGAATGAGTTCGTCTTACGTTGGGACAAATGCTCCGGTTGGGACACACAAGAATAAATGTGTAATTCTCGTTTGGCAACTCTGGATCCGTTTCCACAATGCATCGAACTTCAGTTTTCAACATGTATGTCTCCTGAAATCAAACCGTCTTCACGTTTAGAATGTGAACCAAACCATCGTCATTCTGAATTTGTTTCCGAAAGCGTCAAACACTCTATTATCTTCGATGAATGTTGCGCTCCTCCGTTCACTGTCTTTCTCACATTGATACAGTTTGTTTGCAGTTCTATTCCCTTCTTTTAGTCGAAACCCTTGCCTGAAAAATAAAACAATTGAAAACTATTTAGTTTCCCGAGTGATCACTAACAATGGATCGTAGACAGCATCCGAGTAGTGTCCGTTGACCAGCAATTTCACATCGGTTGTGAAGTATGAGCCGAGGCACGCGACCCAAACCCCATCTTCTCCTCTATCAGCAACTCCCATTTCCGTAAAGAATTGGTCTCCATCTACGAGTACGAGTATTGTAAAATTACATTTTTCTTGTCTAAACACTCACTATCTACGAACAAGTGGAATGATAGCAATTCTGTGGAAGTGTTTGTGAAGGCGCACCTGACTTGACCGCGAGAATTACCCTATCAGTAAGTTAAACATTTAATCGATGTTCAAACAGAAAGGGAATACCTCAACGTAGTAATCAATATCCGCACCGTCTGTTGTCAGTGTTTTCGAAATTTTAGTTAATGTGTTATAGGCGACACAAATTATGCCTGTTAAAAGTTGCAATGATTTTCAAATGAAATGTGGACTCACGATGATCACATAATGAGTTGAAATTGAATCTGAGTCGATCATGAACTCTTGCATTTAAATAATACTCACCGCTTGTTGATTTCTGTAATCAGCAAAATTAAACACATAACAATTTTGAAATCTTCACACTTGGGGTTACTGGCTTTTCTCTCAAAAGAAGCTGAACACATTCATGTGCACTGGTTGCAGAGCTCAGTAGAGAATGAGAAAATGACGTAGAACTAAGGATGAATAAAGCCAAGAGAAATACCATTAGGATCGATTTCTTCTGTATAATACAATCGTCTTGTTTGGGTGGAGAAGACAGTGCTGATAACTGATAAAAGTGTGTACAACAAGCGCTGAGGGGGTGTGTTAACCGCGGAAATGAGGCAAAGAGGCTTTGCAACTGCACACAACCGTTTTCTGTGTTTCAATAAGAGCGAATCCAAGAGCAAACGAGGTCGGAAAAGTGTGCTCTATCGATCAAGTTGAACAGAAAGTTTCATTAATTTTTGGATTTTTTCACGTTGGATGGATTCCAGGTATTATTACAACTAGAGGCGCATACTCAATGCAGAGATCTAGACTATCAAACCATGGCTTACTGACCAAAACATAGAAGCAAAGCGAATCTTGTGTGACTGACCAAATGAATCCGCCGGTGGCGAAATTTTTTTAATTTTTCAGGTCATGTCTTCATGCATTTTTAAAATTATTACTGTCTCCGAATTTGAGCTAGAATATATTATATATATATGAATAAGAAGGTTGAAATTTGAAAATTTTTACTTTGACACTCAAGTTGAGCTCTGTAACCACTTTTTTGTCTCATGCCGGAAAAATATTGTAACCGATTACAATATGTAAATTCTGTCTAAAAAGTACAGGAGTTCTTTCCTCAAGGAATTAGTGATTTTTTTTAGTGAGCCTGTTCTTATCTCAATACTTTTCTGTAAAATTTTCCCGATTATTCTACGATTTTGAAAAATTTCCTTTCAAAATAAGCAATTTTCAAATCTCAACCTTCTTATTTTCTTACATGAGTTGATGCTGAAATTCAGCTGATTATCACATTCTCTTGGACATTGGTCTGGAAATCACTTCCAGGGCCGCCAAAGACCCATCTCAGACTAGTTTAGAGCGGTCTTCATCATCTATTCACAAGAAGTCCGACCAGGAACACATTTTTCAGAGGACATCCTTCTTTTTTAAGAGGAACCTTGTTCTACACTAGTACTATAGTACATTTGCCTGGCCCTATTTGAAATTTGTGCGGTCCCGCCTCCTCCAGCTTTTGTGATCGTCACCTAAAGTTGGCGTGGTGGCGGTGAAGCACGGCCTAGTGGGCGGGATTACACTATCACTATATAAACCGAGCACAACGTTCATTAACCATATCTATCTCTTCTTCCTTCCGAAGTTATTGCTATACAAGAAGTCGAACTCTCTCTCTTCCTCCTTTCGACATAGTTGCGAAAGGTCCGCCTCCATCGTCGATCAAACGCAAAGATGGATGATCACTAAGATGATCCCGAAATTACAATAGCAGACTTCTCTCTTGTAAAATGTTACAGCCAAGTCAGTATTCGAAATGTTTCTATATGAAAACTATAGCGATTGGAGAATTTGTAAACATCAAAATCAATAACTGATGCTGCTGTTCCTAGTACTTGGTCCATGGTTTTTTACACTAAAGTACATCAGGAAGCGATACAACTGCGTTCTCAATTTGATAATCATGCGATAAACAGGTGACATGCCTCTCTTTGCCCCGCCCATTTTAGCTCCCTCATGTTTCGTGGGAGTGTTATCTTTCATTCACTCAGTTCATTGTGTGACAATGGTATCACTGTTCTATGTAGCCACGTTTATTTTTTCTGTAACTCTTATGCTTACATTCTTCAAAAGAAGTTGGGGTAAGTTGGGGGAAAACTTGAAGAATATGTCAAATTCTTGTGATATCTCTTTCTGCTTATCACTTGTCAGCGATTCTGGTTTCAGTTCTCTTTTAAAAAGAAGAGAGAAAGAACAAAGTATAGGAGGGATAGAGCGATTAATCATTAGGAAATATCTCATTGCAGGCTTGATACCTATAGCTCTCGTGAAGATATTGGAAGATTTACTAGGAAGTATTGTTGGTTGGAAGGAGAAAGAGAACGATTGCAGCAGACCTGGTAGCAAGACTTTTCTGACAACCAACCACGTCCAACAAGGTACCAGATCAAAATTGTTTTTATTCTGAAAGAAGTTTTCAGCCAACTATCATCATCCATTTGAAGCTTCTTCTGACCTTTTTTGCCTCGGCATTCAGTCGATTGTTCAGGCGCGTTTGGTTCTAAGAAAAACGCTTAAAACTGATAAGAGGGCATTTCTTGTTCACACTTTCAAGTTTTAGGTTTGATGATAAGGCAAACGTTTACTTTGCAGGACGATCTTACCCGTCCATTTGTCATTGAACAGGAAGAGGCTTCACTTCTTCGGTATCCCAAAGAAAGGACCAATGTGCCTTTCTACCTGATCGGATTTGCATTCCGATGGGGGTTCTTGTTTCCGTTGAGAGTAGCTCTCATGATTGCCGCAATAGTCTTTCTGATAACTTCTGCTACGACATGCGTCTTTCTGAACGCTGAGCAGAAATACTGTTTGTTGATCAAAACGTCGTTTCAAGCAATGAACATAACTTTACAGTCCGTTATTGCGCTATCACATTCGCCAAGCTATTCAGTATTTCAACTGGTCTCATTCTCAACTTCCATGATAAGAAAAATCGTCCGAAATTCCCAGGTGACTTCTTTTTTGACAGGTTTATGACACTCAAGTCGTTACAGGAGTGGCGGTTGCCAACCATCTGAGTGCGAATGATATAATGACTATCTACGCGGGGTGTGATTATGATGGAAAGGGTTACACAATCACTGGGCAGACGCATGGAGGATATCTCAGCTGCATTATTAAGTACGGTGGCATATTGACACCGCTTCTCCTCATTAACCGATCCAGTGATAACGACAGAATGTCACTTCAACGCGCTGTTGTGGAACATTCCAAGAAGAAGGATGAAAGTGCGTACCCAGTTCTCCTGTTTCCAGAAGGATACTGCAGTAATAGCAAGGCCGTGCTACAGTTCAGAAAAGGTCTTTTCGATGGACACGCGCCCATCTACCCTATCGCCCTGAAACAGGACACAAGGTGAAGACGCTTGCTCGGCTTTGAATTATCAATTAATCTATAAGATTTGGAAACGCATTCTGGGCTGAAAACACTTACCTACCGTATCTGGTCCGTTTGATGGCGTCATGGTGTTCAATTATTGATATTTGCTACTTGGAACCCATGCTCAAATTCGATACAGGTATACATTTCTGCCTAACTTACTGGTGTTTTTTAATCAGAAACGGACGAGGAATTCGCTAAACGGGTTCAAAATGCCATCGCAACCAAGTTGTCTGTGGAGGCATTGCCATTTGACGGGAAACTGAAAAGCGAGAAGGAGCGATCAAAGTACAGGGAGAAGCTGCAAGCCTGTTTCGCCGCCAAACAATGGGGACAATACGACTTCAAAGAAAGTGTTCTGATATAAGTTTTCCATTCTTTAACACTTCCACAATTCATTCGAACCAACTGCCATCATATTATTATCAGTCCAACTGTCGCTTCGTTTCAATGTTCGATTCCAGAAAAGCAGCCTATCAATCTCTATTAGTTCTATCAGGTTATGATTTTTTTTGTAAAATGAAAGTCATAAAATTCTCATTTTGCAGCAACATTTTCCATTCTCTCAGTTATTGTGATATTTTCCACGTTTCCCATATTCTACTTATACTTTGATCGTGTAAAACTGGATATTCGCAATGAAATGACATTCTGCAAAGTGCTCAAAGTTTGATTTTATGCTAACAAGTAAAAAGTTGCAGAAGTCAGCAGAAAAAGTGTTTCATTTTGTCAACGAAGTCGAATACTATGATCCACGACGGCCACGGTTATTGGAATGAAGCTTGAGTTTCGACTGTGCATCCAACACGAACTTTCTGAACATGTTTATTTGTATTTTGAGCCCAGAAATCTGTTTCTTACATTGTCCCTGTCCCTCACTTTGATGAATCACATTGCACTTTTTTTTGAATTTCTCTACGACATGACAGACACGTTTTGTCTCCTTTTTTCAGTTGCCCTAGTAACGTGCCAGAGAAAAATCCGCGGCAAAGATAATTGGAGTAAAAATAACATTTCACTTGTCATCAACTGCTCAAAAAGCAAATCCCAATCCTTCTCGTTCCTCTTCTCTTTCTTCTTCTCTGCTCTGCCAAAGATTGACACAAATGTCAATTTGAGACGGCTCTTGTGCCGCCTATTTGTGGAGATTTGGGGCTCGGGATGCACCAAAGATAGATCTTTCTTCTTACTAAACGAATAGAGGTTTTGGGCGTCTGTGCAAGCTTTTCTCATGAATAACTTTGTGACCCCCCGACCGATGTGTCCCATACTTGGCACATCGTGATGTCTCTCGGAGCGCTTCACAATAGTACTGTAGTACAGTAGGTACAGTACTCCTATTTTTTGCACATCTTTTTCAGAATGGACAGATCGAGACCGTGTTCCTTTCATGGTAACATTTTTGAAGTATTGATAGGTCACAGTAAAAATTTAATGAGGATTACTGTAGTATTACGATAGTTACCGTAACCTAAAGTGAGCGTTTTCTCATTTTCCATGCCAACTTCAGTCCTCTTGCGCATGCGTGAGGGAAATCCGCGGCGACAACAGCGGATTTTCCTCTGGTGTCTCACTACGCAATAAAGCGAATCCCTCGCCCCAGCCCCTCCCCTCGGCGACAACCCTCAGAAGACTTATCCGGCCGTCAAGGAAAAGTATATCCCAACAACCACATGTTCATCTTTCATATGTGAAATTGGAAATCTAGTGTATATAGTGTGATGTGATGCACTTGAGTTGTTATGTGAGAAAGAATAAGCAGAAAACTGGCGACCTGAAAGTGACACATTTTTATCCTTTTTAATCCAATCTCCATCCACATTTCATTACTCCCCACCCCAACTGGCGCTCTTACCGAAAGGTCTCGCTGACAAGTGTGTTGGCTGGCGAACCAACAAAAGAGGATCGTTTTGCAGTTGCTCTGCGCGTCAGACCGGCTGGACACCGAGGAAATGAGACGTACGCGTGTTACCCCATTTGACTCCGAGCGCCGCGTCGTTGTCGTCGTAATCTTTCATGTTTATGTTCTCTTACCCCCACGTCTTCAGTGTTTCAATTTTAAACGAGCCCCCGCACAAGTAGCGAGTGTCTCCTTTGTGTCTCCCCTCCCAAAAACCAAGATATCACAGAGAAGTAGTTTCTCGTATTTCCCCCTCTCTTCCTCTCTCTTTCCCCGTCTTCTCTTTCTTAGGTGGCATATCCATACTACTTTATTATCTATAAAATGTTTATATGGGCAAGAAGGCAGGGAGGGGGTCTACTCTACTCTACTCAGAAAGCTTTCAAAAAGATGGAAAGCCGATAACCTCAACCTCTTCCTATTTTTCTTTCTTTATGAAGAAGAGGTCATATCATTTTTCACCATCTCCACCATTTCTATCATACTTTCTGGAAAAAGAAGAAGAACAAGAAAAAACATTCCATGTCCCCCGTTTCAAATAGGAGAGAAAGTGTCACTCTTAGCCTTGCATAATATGCCAAGATTGATCGGGCAGTTTTAACGATAGGAAGCGGTGATTCGGTTGCCCGTTAAACCAATCATTTTCCACATGAATAGCCTATTCGAATCGTCTTTTTCTGTTTTCTGTCCTTCTTCGATCGTACCTTCAAGCTGTCAAGTTAACGTCGAAAAAGTGCATGTGCCTGGTCTCTCCTGTCTAAACTCGTTTTTCGGGCGATCCTAACTCAATTTAATTGCCTTCACACATTTTTGCAACTCACTAACGTCCGACTAACGAACTAACACATTTATTGCATCGCGTCCCATCGTCCCGTCGTCCCATCTTCAGAATTTTTGATAGTAGAGTCTCCCTTTATTCGCAATTAATATTTAAGAAGAGGTCCTCCGATTCGATACATTATTTAACGATGGCTCGCTAACACAATTACACTATGTTTTTATTTTCCATTTTGTTTTCAGAGCAATGATTCTTCTCGCTTCCTTTGCATTTTTCACTTTTTTGACGGTTCCCGTGTTTACAATCAAATGCCACTCATGTCTGACGTATTGCAAAACTATAAACGGGAAAGTGAGTAGTAGAAAGCATGTCTTCAAGTGTTTTTACATATTTTTCTTGAGGTGGATCCGGTAAACTGTGATTGCAAATCGCCTCCTAATGAGCAATGTTCCGCAAATGCCTGTTTCGCAAAAGTCGAGCTGTTCGCCGACGAATCAACGGCTATTGTGCAGGTGAGCACTCGAGAGCTCGTTTTTTGTGCTCATGAATAAGCAAGATCTTGATGTTTTAGAAAGGTTGCATATCGGATTTCCCCGCCGGACAGCGGGGATGTCAATATGCGAGCAATATGGACACGATACACTGTTTTTGCGATCAGGATCAATGCAATACGAGGCACAAGGTACAAAGAAATGTTTTTTATGAAAAAAATGGAGAAGGGATTTCATTAAATGAAAATTGATTACATAGCCGCTCAGCTCATTAAAACCACTCTTGTTTTTTTTCCAAGTTAATTTTAGAACATTGAAAGTGTGTCGAACTTTCGAGCGAAAGGGTCCAAACTAATTGAATTTGCAGTTGGGCAGCTACATTCCGACGCGCCTTCCGTCCGTTGAATGCTGTCATTGCACTTCCCGTCATGGTGAGGATTGCGACTCGGGATGTTCGACCAAATGTCGTGGAAACTACTGTGTTGTGGATTTTGACGGGAAGGAGCAGGTGTGGTTGTAGGAATGATAGTAAGGAAGGATAATGTTTGATAATCAGGGATGTGGACTGGGGTATCCGCGGCTACCATCTTTCCTGCGTGTTGACGATTATCAAGAATATGAAGAAGAGTATTTGTGCACAAGGTTTTCCGAAAGTCCCCAGCCAAAAGCACACAAGTAATTTCTGGTTCAGATATGAATCCAGCGCGTCGAACGTGATGAATGGTTGCGTGTGCACACACCCTTCTGGCCTCTGCAATGAGTTTAACAAAACCTTCAATTACCAGGTCCCGTGAAACCAAAACCAAAACCAAGGGTTTGTTTACAGAAAAAGCATGTAATCGAGAGGAAAGACAATAATCTTCACTATTGCTATGCACTGATGCACAAAGCCTACAAACCCTTCGGACAAGAAGTGTTCAAGAAATCGTCAACCTGTGAAGGACACTATTGTTTCATTTCTTTGACAACATCTGAGATTGTATTGGAGAGCGCGGATTTCAAGCACAACTATGAAGATCATGATGAGTTCATTGGAGCTGCTAGACCACGATTCGAGTTGCAAGCCGGATGCATCAAAGTGAACGGAGACGATGTAAGAATCAGATTTCGCAATACGGCTAGGGTCAACTAAACATTTTCAGAAAGTCCGTGTTGGATGCACAGTCGAAACTCAAGGAAACAACTCGGAGATTGTTGCAAAACATTGCATTTGTGATAGTCATTTATGCAACTTCCATCATTTGGTCAAGGGGACAGATGACCCACGCCCGAAAGCGGCTACTCTCGGCACCAAACAGGTTAGTCCCTAAGTTCCTGAATCCTTGAATCCCCATCTTTGTGTGAACTTGTTGGGAAAATGTTTTTCACGAAAAAAGTGTCGTTGAGAAGAGAAGAATTATGGGGGAATATTTTTGTCTTGAGAAGTACTCGACTCATAAATCATGTAATCTCTTCTTCCTCTTTTCAAAATGTGACCAGAGGGACCGGCAACCAAACATGATTACAGACGGCGAGCCAGTTGAATCCAGTACGATTGTACACTTCAAATAAGGAAATTGACGAGAACGAGATTCTGTCTGTGATGAATGAAGCAGCAAATGGATTTTGGAGCGTTGGGACGGCATTTCTAATGTACTACGCATTGTTATTCTTATTATAGACCCCAAAGTTCCAGTTCTATTTTTTCTTTCCCTTTCCAACCCCGATTCAACAGCTATACGGCTACCTCTTTCCATAGTTTTCTATCATTTTTCCTCCTTTCTTCATTTCCTCTCCAAACCGGTGTAGATATGTTCTATTTCCCCATTTTCTCAATGTTTCTAAGATCACATCAAAATTTTTTATTTTATTCAAAGAAAAAGTACAAACGGAATGTGTTTTGTCAAGAGTCATAAACAATAATAAGGCAAAATAAAATGTGCTCAAAAAATAATAAAATAAGTTAATTATTTTTGTATTTTTTCGAGTTACCTAGGGGTGAACCTGGAAATTAGATAAATGCGCGCGTACAGCAGTAACTGAACAGATCAAAAATGTTTTGAGGAATAATTATTAATATGAATAATCAATGCAATAATAATCGGAACTGAATTATGACGAACCTCGCGAAAACATAAAAGCTTTTCAAAAAATTTCCTAAATAGAAGAAATGTGATGGGGGTTGGATATTGAAACGGTAATTTAAGGAAAAAAAATAGAGATATGAAAATGAAGAAAAGAAGTTTCAAAGGACTAGAAAGAAGCGATGCACCATAGGATGAGAAGCAGAAGCGGGTGAGGAGGTCATAGAGACTAGCACAAGATCGGAAAGACACAAACGAGAAGAGGGAGAGAGGGAGGGAGAGAGAGAGAGAGGCTTAATCAGGTGTACAGGTGGAACTCGTAGGACTTGGCTACGGAGTCTGTCCTACGCGAGCTTCCACATTTCTGTAAGCCACAGTCTTTCAGTTTTGATTTGCACTTTACAAACCACATAGAGGAGATCAAACAATACTGCAGAAGAATTAGAGCAAACAGGCCAAGCTTCTCTACCAGTGTTGCAAAACAGTTGTAAGCTGGGGAGACATGGGACATTGGCGACTATTTTTTGTTTATGAATGAACATTATCAAGACATTGTGAGGGAGAATAACCGGAAGAGAATTGGTTGGTTAGCACTTCAGAGCAAGCAAGTCATTGAGCAATAAAATTAGAAAAGAAGATCGATTGTTGATGAGCAACTGGATGGAATTGTCAATCGGAAACGTGTTATGTTGGTTGGAACGTGTTGGAACGGCAAGACTTTTCACGGCATTACCGGGTGTGGATCTGCACTTCTTTGTTGCCTATGATCGTTAACAAGGGCGATGAAATTCTTTTCCAATAACTGAAACAATCGACTATTTCAAAGTTATCGGGAAATAAATCCATACCTGTCGGTTCGAAGCATCTTGTGATCCTATTTGCAGCGCGTACGCGAAAGCGGAAGCGTCGAAAGTGTCATCCATTGCAATCAGCGCTCCGTGGATTCCACTATCCACCAAATTTCTTGAAAATGACCCCAATCCAATTTCCTCAACCCATCGCTGAACTCGCTCGTTTGACCACACCACCAAGTCTATAAAACGAGTGTTATTGTTTCGTGTGCGTCACAAAATGATTCGATTACCTGTGTTGATATTGTCGCATGCCTTTCGTCGATCCGCCAACACTTTCTTATCATAATTGACTTTCTTGAGACACATGATTCCGTACTGGAGACTTGTACGATGGAAAGTGTCGACCATGCGCAGGTGCGTTCGCAAATCGCGTTTCGAGAGGTGTTCTAACATTCGCGCGTCCAGAAGACATTCCATGAACGCCGATCGGTACTGGGCAAGACCGAGACTCGGAAGCCAGTCATTCCCAATGTACTCGTGGTTCATGTCTCCGAATGCAAGTGTTAATCGTGCTGTTCGTGGGGCTGATGGAGAAGTCAGTGACACCATTTCCTGTATGGCCAGTCGCAGTTTCAGTCGGTGTAATGGGTTCGAAATCCCAATCTCTTTTTGGATTTCCTGATCGCTCAGCGCTGACATGATGGCTCCGGACTTTACGTTTGCCCGACAGGCAGCCACGTACCACGCAGGCATTCCAACCCACAATTCCAGCCAGGCGACAACTGTGGGACCGTTCCAGAGAGCAAATGGAGTTCTTGCTTTCATCGCCTCTTCCAGCAACTCATGCTTTTTCTTTTTCCGGCGGTCATAGTCCGCCTTCTGATTGCCTTCAGTGCCCGATTGCTCTCCGTCGGAATAAACGTCTCCGTTCCTTCTGAAAAGTCAAATGGAAGTTGGAAAATACTCTACACTTGAATTCAGTATTACTTGAACAAATCACTTGACGAGTTCTTCTTCTTGTTGAAGAACCGCCCCAGTGTCTTCAGACCACTCGAGCTATTCGATCTTTTTTTCTTGCCCAGAACGCCATCTGTCGAGGAAGCGACGGAGGAAGCGGGACTCAATCGATCCCGTTCGTACTGCATCTTCAAAGAAACAAACATTAATCATCTGCGTGCGGCTTGGCACAACTCACATCGTCAAATTGATTATACCCTCCTCGCCGTGGCTCGTAGTCCAAATCCCGAACCATACGGTCATCCACATACTGAGGATTACCATAAATGTCGTAACGTCGGTCTCCGGTGACATTTGCGGGGAGCTGAAAGATAAATCCGGGGTAATTGAATTACAAAAGTCTGAATTATTGCCAACCGTGGCGTATTTGTGCTGCCGCATTGCATCCAACTGGGGACTTGCTCGTGGAGAGCTTCTCGTTGAGATTCCTTGATCATCGTAAAATTCGCGACTCGATCTTTCCAATTGTTCGGCAACCCGTTCCGCGTGATGTTTCTCTTGTTGGATCAACCTTGAAACCGTCCGTTTGATAATATCGTCTGTCTGGACACTAACCTGATCTCCGTATTGATCGCATCTAATCTATCCTGCAACATCGACGCCAGCATATGAGCATCCTGTCCGCCCTGCATTCCGCTGCCGATCCCTCCGGCCATCATTTCCTCTTGTGGGTGTTGTACGGCGGTATTCGGACGTGGAAGGGTTGTCTGACCGACATCAGCCAGCGACGGAGACGATGAGAATGCTTGTTGGACGTTCGCAAGCACATGTGCCTGTTGGAGACGGTCCCATTCTTGTTCGTTCAGAGTTTGCACTTTGTTGGGGTCCTCCTGAACAAAAAGAATGAATATCAGATTAAAAAAATTGGGAAAAACTACTTGAAGAGCTGCAGTTCGTCCCTTGTTCGGTCTTCTCATTCCAACTGTCGCATACGATGGCGGAGTTTGTTTATAAACCGGGTAGGCAGACTGCTGAGCAATTGATGGTTGCTGCGGAACGGTTTGGACAATGGGTTGAGTGAATGGAATGGCATGCATCCTACAATTATCTAGTTAAGAACAATTTTACTGGAGAAACAGTGCCTGGATTGGAACTGGGCAGTGCGAGCGTTGTACAGTTGCTGTCTCAATGCTTCAATTTCCTGCCGGAGAGACTCATTATCTCTCTGTAACCGATCTTTTATCCTTTCAGCCTGATCGTAGATCTTCTTAGTTCCATCCAATTGATGCGTTAGTCTGTTCTTATCATCCAGAGCTTGCATGCGCTCCTTCAGATGAAGTTGGAGACGGTCATTAGATTCGGACAGCAACTGAAATATAGAACACTAGTTTCTTTTGAACGTTTTGTTTTTCTGCTCTGTACCTTATCGACAGTACTGCTCAACCGCTGACTGTGCTCCTCATTCATGCGTTCCCTTTGCACAGCCCTTTCCAATTCGGCCGTCAGCTCTTGAATGTTACGATCCAATCGTTGAATGCGTTCCTCAGCGGAAACACTCTTCTGAAAAGGAAAAAACAGTCAGTTTGTATAACAGATCGAACAAAACAAAACAAACCTGTTCGGCAGCAGTAAGTGCTTCCATTCTCTGCTGAAGTTCCGCCTCGACCGACGGAAGCGACTCTGCCTTTTTCAGGCTTTGAGCAAGTTGCTTCTCCGCCAATTCCAATCGCTCTTGCAAGGAGTGCACCTTCTCTTCATTCAACCGCACCGCAGCATCTTTATTGGCAAGCTGAAAAGAACATTGGCTTTGTTTTTTTTTCCGACTCTCTCGCGGGGGACCAACCTGATGCTCCAATTTGTCATTGAGGTCTCGGATACAAGTGGACTCTCTCTGCGCGGTCATGAAACGGGACTCGAGCGTCGTAATCCTCGTGTCTTGGTCGGTGCGTTGTGCGTCAAGCTAAAAGGGGTACACTTGAGTAATAAGGGGCGCTCATTCATCATTATACAAGTACCTCACAAATCTGATTCTTGAGCCGCGCGATCGTTTCTTGTGCCGCATGCTTTTCGCGTGAACCCTCACTTAGTTGCCCCTCGAGTTCAGCATTTCTGAGAAAAAGAAGGGTTTTATGTTTGTGCATTCGGTAATTCCAATGTTCATTACCTATTCGTGACCTCTGTTGATTGTTTGAGAGTATTCGACAATTCCGTCTTCATCCTCTCCAACACTTCCTGCATTTCGACGAGTCGGTTTGCACTTTCGCTGCTAATTGAACCATTGGTGCGCGCGTTGGAAGCCTGAAGCTCGTTGAACAAAAAATTGAGAAGCGCCCTCTTTTTTGATGAATAATTACCATCGCTTCTTCCGCCTCGGCCGCGTATGTCGCAATGCGTGCTTTCAGAGACGAGTTCTCCTCTCCCTTTGTGCTCAGCTCTTCTTCAAGTGTCGCAACACGCTCCATCGCCACGCGAAGACGTTCACGAACCTAAAAACACGATGATTAGGCCAATTAGAGGGCGTGAATAGCGAATACCTTTTCGTCAAGTGCTTTGTGATGCTCGAACAGACTTTTTAGGGCTTTCAACACCTCGACTTCAGAAGATACGCCTGCGTGGTTTTGGGCCTGTCTCTGAAAGAAAAGTATGGAATAGAAAGGAAAGGAAGAGAATGAGAATGACTATTATATGTTTCGGAAGCCAAAATTACCTTCATAACTGTCATCCTGAGTGATCGCTCGTGTCGAGAAACCAGGCATTCGAGATGTTCAAGGAGAAGCCGTGTGTTGTTGCGTTCTGCTTTTAGCTCAACAATTTCTTCATCCTTCTCCAGAAGCTGTTCTTTGAGCTGGCACAATTCCCTCGTCATCGTTTGGAGTTCCTGAAATAATTAAAGTTCTTATAAAGTTGTGCCCGGATATACGAACCGAAGGCAAATTTTGCGTGTGCACTTCAAACTGTCGCTTCATCATGTCTCGCTCTTTCTCGACTTCTTTCGTTCTAGAAGCAGCATTTTCCAGCTGGACTTTATAATTTTCCAGCTGCTCCTGCAACTTATCTCGGTCTTCCAACATGTTCATCATCAACTGAAAATCCAAGTACGTAAGTCACAAAGCACACTTTCAAACCGGCAAATACCTGCTCGATGTTATCGCGGTCGGTGGGCTCGTCCATGGGACCGTCGTGGTCCACACCGTCCTCGGATATCGTCGGCATCACTTCATAGTCTATGTTTCCATTGCTGTAGTTCATATTGCTGCAAAAACGATGAATGGAATGAGATTATAGAGAGAAAGGCTTGAATAACTATTATAGAATATGTGTACTAATGCGCTGGATTGTTGTATTCCGGGAAAGAAGAGAAAGGAGAAATGCGCGCGAGAAGAAAGCGGAAAAGAATGAGAAATGTTGTACACATATGTATATCCAAACTACCTATCGGTTGGCTAAGTACGCCATTCAATTATCATGTTGACAGCGGGCAAAAAAACTTGCAGAGCCCATAGAAGCAGTGCTACGAATATGACAAGAGAAAGAAAGAAATATGCGCGAGAAAACCGGAAATTTGATACAAATATACCGAGCCAAAACGGAAAACTGAAAATAGAAAATAGCAAAACTTACCAGAGATAGAGAGAGACAATAGCACATTCAGATGCTCAATTCACGCCCTTTTTGTTACACTTCTCATCACTTGTCGAAACTCGCCTGAAACTTAATTGATTTAAAATAATTAGTTTTTTACTTTTTTTTCTGGAAGAATGGATAAGTTGTAAGAGAAAAAAGACGCTTCGCAACAAAGTAAGTAAGTTTTCGTTGAAAGTGTCTCTCTTTCTGTCCCCCCCCCCTCTCTCCGTGCTCTGTGTGTGTGTTATAAGTAATATGACTGCAACAACCAACTCTCTGAGAGGCAAAGAGTTTGAAGAGAGGCAGCGAAAGACAATAGACACAGGCCGATAAAGAGAAAGAGCACCGAATTACACACACGACGGTCAGTAGTGCTCCCCTCTCTCTTTCTCTCCCTCTCCCTTCGCCGGACGTAGCCGAATCGATGCTAGGGCATTAGAGAATGGGTGCAAACGAAAGATGAGACAGGCCACGGCCAGAGCCAGAGAACGCAGGGTCACACATCTGTCGGGCCGTTTGGCTGCTGCGCGCGGGAAGGCTACACTCCTTCCTTCTCCCGCTATTTCCTCGTCAATTGGTTCCGAGAGAAGAGAACGAGAGCGATAGATAGAGAGAGAGAGAGAGAGAGAAAGAGAAAAATAAAGATATTGGACTACATGAATATATGAATGCTTACACTTTCCTTAAACGTTCCCAAAGCACCTCAATATGGAAATTGAAAAAGTGAAAAATTGAATTCGAATTCAGATTCGGAATTCAAATTCAGACAAAAAATGTCAGTTTTGTGTGTGTTTTGTTGTTTGCTAAAGAAGAAGAGAACCACTGCTTTACAGGAAGTGAGGGTTGGAGGGACAGATTAAAAAAGAGAAAAGGCGAGAAAGTTGTATGCAGAACTTTGTGACTCATCCTTTGTTCCACCGCCGAAAATGGAGGACAGAAAATCGTACAATCGAAGTGGGGGAATTCACCAACTCTTTTACAGCCCGTAAGAAAACGGAATTTCCAATTTGTGAGAGTGGCAATGAAAGTGACAAGACCTTCTTCTTCTTTTTCTTCTTCCCTTTCCGTTTTGTCCCCCCATCCTCCCAGAATTCCTTCCTCGTTCGCCTAATTTGCATAAACTTCTCAACAGATTCGGATTGTCTACTAAACACAAAGGTTTTTAACGATTGGACGGCAAAATGGGTTGGAGAAAATATAATAAATATTCGAATATTCCGGGATTAAGCCAAACCCGGCACCGGGTTGCCGAGTGCCAGGGGGAGAGACACCTGCCTGACAGATGAATGGATATCCTGTGCTGGGGGTGGCCACCACCACACAAATTTTAGGCTTTCTTGGGAGAAAAAATGAAAGGGCAAGTTTAATTTATGCTCTTTAATTTGTCAGAGCCTTGACGGAATAGTTGAATTTGTGCTCTTCTATCCAATTAGTTATGAATGAGTCGCTTTTATGTGGAGCAACATTTAACTCTAAAAATAGAAGGGAATTGCGACCATGCATCTTATTTTGATAGTACTAAAACTGAGAACTGATCAATTGGGCCTAAAAAAATAAAACATTTCTGAAACTGACAGATTCACAGAGAAGTGAGCAGCGTAAAAAAAAGTGTTGCGCCGTCCCGCGCCGCTCTGTTTTTGTGTATTCAGCCACTTTGAAAATCGGCAAGTAAAGGAAAGAAGAACGGGAGGAACTCGGTTCGAGTTGGTGACAAGTATGTCTCGGTCCTCTTAGTAAAACCCGAAAGAAGATGTGCGCACTCATTCGTCTGTCGAATCGGTTGGCCCACACACACACACATCGTCGTAATTACTCAAGATGACGTTGCAAAAGAGAAAAGTGAGATAGACGCCACTTGTTCGTAGGCAATAGTAGTATAGGATGGAGGGATTATAATACCATTTTCGTCATTTTGCTCTTTTCAACACATTTTCATTCTCTGATGTCAGAGAATCAACTCATTTACAACACTTTTTCTAAAGTATGAAATCAGTGAATTTTAAAAGCACTAAAAAGTGCTTATTTTCAATAATTTTATACATTTTCAATAATTTTTATACATTTTCAATCAATTTTTTGTAGAGATGACGAGTTCATTTTTCCTTTCCTATTTTCATGTTTAAAAGGCAATGTCTGAGAACCTCGAAATTCGCTAATTACATTAGGTCACTAAAAATTCAGAATGCTTCAATTTGTCCCATATTATACCCAATGGGTACTTACATAACAGTGATACATCAGACAAGTTTTGGTCCAGCTCCGTGGTCCCTAGTCCGATCACGGTCACAAAATAGGTCAAACCTGTAACTAATTTCAAAAAAATGCTAGCGTCTCAGACTCAATGCCATTTGATTTCTCGCATCTTTTTAAGCATTTTTCATGTTGGCACAAAACACTTAGCACCCTTCCTTCATGGAGAAAAATATTGTTTTGTGACATTTTTCAGAAAATTTTTCAGTTTTCTACTCGTCCTGAAAAATTTTTACACTACATAACCATGATTTTATTGCTGATTCTGAATCTAGACATTATTGTGTTTCTGCAAAAAAAAAGTCACCCCGATCCCGATTGACATCAAGGGGTTTTTTGGATGAAGTTCACAAAATTCATAGTACTTTTGCATGGAAAAATGTTCGCGAACTTGAGAAAAGTGCGTTTTCTCAATTTTCTAAGGGGTCTGATTGCGATTTTTGTTGTTTTCATATTCTTTTAGGCATTCTCGATTTTTTGGGAGCATTTCGAGAATTAAAAAAAATTAGACCAAGTCGTCGACCCGAAAAAAAAAAAAATTAATTTTCGAAATGCTTCAAAAAAATTGAGAATGCCTAAAAGTATACGAAAACAACAAATATCGCTATCAGACCTCTTTGAAAATTGAGAAAACGCACTTTTCTCAAGTTCGCGAACATTTTTCCATGCAAAAATACTACGAATTTTGTGAATTTCATCCAAAAAACCCCTTGATGTCAATCGGGATCGGGGTGAACTTTTTTTTTGCAGAAACACAATAATGTCTAGATTCAGAATCAGCAATAAAATCATGGCTATGTAGTGCTACAATTTTTCAGGACGAGCAGAAAACTGAAAAATTTTCTGAAAAATGTCACAAACCAATTTTTTTCTCCATAAAGGAGGGGTGTTAAATTTTTGGTCCCAACGTGAAATATACTCAAAAAGATGCGAGGAATCGAATGGCGTTGAGTCTGAGACGCTAGCATTTTCTTAAAAATTAGTTACAGGTTTGACATATTTTGTGACCGTGATCGGACTAGGGACCACGGAGCCGGACCAAAACTTGTCTGATGTATCACTGTTATGTAAGTACCCATTAGGTATAATATGGGACAAATTGAAGCATTCTGAATTTTTAGTGACCTGCAGTTTTTGAACTTCTCAGACATTGCCTCTTAACGTTTAACGATAAACAAGAAAAGTGTTATTTTTATTTATTTACAATGCAATACTAAAATAAACGGACAACAACAACAACAAACTTAAGTAATTGCTTGGATTTAGCAGTAGAGCTTCGGTCTGAGGGCGACGGGAATGCCAGGGCTTAGAAGATAATCGAAGAACGCCTTGTAAGCTCCTTCGCCAAGAGACTGTTGGGCCACATTGCACCACAGTCGTCTCCCCTGACACATTTCACCCAGTTCAACGTTGTTCACGATCATAAACGTATTTAGAGGATGCCTACCCTGAAAGTTTCTCTTCTTTTATTCCATTTTGGGAAATAATAAAGCTATATGAGCAGGAGGCTATCTCTACTCTTTCTCCTAACCTTTATGCGTGTGAGAAGATCGTCATCTGACTCGTCGTCGTTAAGAAATTCGAAATAATGTCCAAAGCCATCCTTAAATATTTATGTTGATATTATAATTTAAAGTTGGTTCGCTAACCGTTGGGAGGGTCGTGGCAGATTTGCATTGCTTTCCTACTCCTCGCCACTCGCATCGCAGGTTGATGCAGCTAGAAATATCCATGAGTACGTGTTGAAGATGTGGAACGGCGGTAGAAGAAGGAAGTGAAAGAGTAAGAAGCAGCAACAGCAATAGACCCACCATCGTCACACACTGACCAATGTATCATCGACATCTAGATCTATCTACATCTAGGCGGGGCTTTCCTTATCACCAATTGGCCTATTTCTCTCGCTCTCTCTCGATCCACAATGATCGCGAGAAGTGCATGAGAAGGGAGTTATGGATTGTAATGATAAGATATGAAAGAATTGGTGCGACGCGAAAGAGGCCCCTGTGAGAGAGTCAGATTGTAGACTTGATAAGAGATGAGGGAGTATACATATTCCTTAGAGGAGACTAGCCCAGACGCATATTCATTATTGTACTTGGTTATCCCCGCTGTTAGTGAAGAGGGGGGATCTAGCATCTATCTGAAGTTCACCTAGGAGAATCAACAATGTATAACGTTAAAGACTTCGCAGATGAAAAAATTAAAGGAAAGTTCTATGAAGAAGAACTAACGATGAAGAAGACTTTTAAGCATTCATATGGATATCTTTCACTATTGAGTTCAAAATAAATTTCTTCAAGCCCACAATTATCAAATTTTGCAGCATTCAGATAATTGTTACTGTTGAAAAATCAAAGGTTCGACATTCAAATCGGAGCTGGCAGCGAGGCAAGGACACGCCCCCAAACAGTTTTCACTGCAACTGCCGCACGTTGTTTGGGGGGCGTGTCCTTGGCTCGCTGCCAACTCTGATTCGAATGTCGAACCTATTATTTTTCAACAGTATCTCTAGCAGTTTGAAATGCAATGACAATGTATTTTATCTTTTCATATTTTGTTCCTAACTTCTATGTAAATTCACGATTAACATTTGGGATATTATAACTCTCAAATTGTCTAGAAATAAAAGGCATTTGAACTAATTTATTACTTTCAAACAGATTTAACAGCTTATTTTGCATTTCGAGACTAGGAGGCATAATTTAAGGAATTATTTTAGGAAATTATTTTGTTTAGAAATAGTTATTACGAATCAGTCAAAGATTATATTTTCATGGAAGAAGATGTTTATTATTATTATTATCTACTCCTATTATTTGATGTATCAAAACAAAATGATAGAATTATTAAAAAGATAAAATTGAGCATCATTTTTATAATACCACTTTTTTTTTAAAAATCGACATCCAGTGATTTTGTAAAAAGCATGAAATTGAGATAAAAATATAACATTTAAACATGAAAATAGGAAATGAAAAATAAAATCGTCATCTCTACAAAAAATTATTGAAAATGTATAAAAATTATTGAAAATAAGCACTTTTTAGTGCTTTTAAAATTCACTCATTTCATAATTTAAAAAAAAAGTGTTGTAAATGAGTTGATTCTCTGACATCAGAGAATCAAAATGTGTTGAAAAGAGCAAAATGACGAAAATGGTATTATAATCCCTCCATCCTATACTACTAATGGTTGTGTGTTCAGAGATAACTGAAACACAGGTATTGGTTACTTGATTTCTCGCAGAAATAACCCCATAAACGGCTTTTGATGAGTCCCTTGACCTATCTATGTAACTCCCATGTTTTACAATTGTTTCATTTTAATCGTCGAGCGCGTCACCGTCACCGTCAACCATAAGCATCGCCACACACGGTTATCCGGTTTTCGCAGAGAGTGACCGCAAAAAATGGCTGGACGACTAGCTCGATACAGTCGGCCGTCGGCGCTTCAAGTTGTCAAAAGTTTTGGTGTCCGGTGTGTTCCGCATCGTTTACTGCATTATTCAGCAGTGGCCGAAAAGAGAACACTGAAGCGCGGGAGAGTCCGGCGGGAGACACACTGTGTGTCCAGATCATCTGCCGTATCCGCCCATCTTTGCGCGCCCGCTCGTTTTAGTGCATTTCAATCCGAAAATTCTGGTCATCGTAACGACGCCGTCGCCGTCAACATATTCGCGAAGCCACTAGATTTCTGGCTTACTGGTTTTCACAGTGTCACACATGCTTCTGAGTAGACTGCTAGTAATGAAACCGATACTTGTCGTGTTTTTCATTTTAGGTATGTTTTATGTTTTAACTCTGTTTGCAAAATCGAGCTTATTGCCAAAGCAGTAAAACGCTATATAATTTGGTTTATCAGTTTTGTTCTAAGTTGTCGCTCAAAATAGGTCTTGTCCGAGAAATCCTGTTGTCCGGGTCAAATTTAGAAAACGAAAACCGTTAAGGATGGTTTCACATGTGTTTAGTATCCAGAATAAACAAAACGGAATTGGGATCAAGGACAACAAACATCCCCTCCTGTCTACTTTTCCATTTCCATATTCCATTAGACCGCAACAGTCACAATAGAAAATAGTGATGACCAGGTTATGAACGAGTTCAAACAAAGACGTTTCGGGGTCAGGACATTTGAATTCATAGAAAACATGAATAACAGTTTCAGTTTATACGGGGAATGTGTTTGGTGATGAGCAGTTACGGCCTGCGGCAATCATTCCATGGTCCCAATATCAGAGAAGAATCGGGAAAGTGAAGGAAGGCACATTCGCCTATCAGGTATTTAATTTGTTTTTCATTTTCCTATTGAATATATGTTGAAGAAGGAAAGTGAGTCACTTACGGGAGCGGACTCTTCTCAATCAAGTGCAACCAACTCGTTCTTCGGTAGCTACGAGAAAGAGGATCTGTCATCGAGGCAGCTGCCTCGTTTTGACGAAAATGAGCCAAGGTAATTACGGAAGTACATAAAAGCGGGGTGGGCCTCCTCTCGGACCGCTTGTCGGGAGCAATTTCTCCCAGTGGATAGATTCAGACAACATTTCTCTCGCGAAACTCAAATTTATGGGCTTTTTAGCGTCCGAGGCAATGCGGCGGCACAAAAGACGCGCTCGCAATATGGGAACGTCATCCGACCGCAGATAAGGGGACGACTTCCAGCTGATCCTTCGGATTTCGCAAAGTTTCCAAAAACCAATCAAGTGGAATACTTGGTTCAAAGAGGTTCAGCATAATGACAAGGATGGACATTGAAATTAAATTTGGTGATTACAGAATTGGAAAGAGAGACTTTGGTTCCACCGGAAAGACCTAATGCGGTTTCGAATCGGCTGCCTGCCAGAATCCCACTCCGAAAAGAACAGACCCCAACGCACCAGGAAATGAACAGAGTCCCAGTAAGATCAATTCCAAAGGTCACAATCACTTTGCAACATTCAGTCGCTCGCCATTCCCAACGGAGTTCCAATGACCGCCGGCAGTTGGGAAACTGGTCAACCGCATTATACAGGCGATCGGAGACTGCATGCTGCGAACACGTTTGCCGGATCTCCATCCATTCCATACGGAAACAATGTGAGCGGCTTTTTTCCGGTTCTGACTAAACGGTCTCGCTTGGTTTCAGTTGATTGGCAACGAACTTCCCACGGCACCAATCTACCAGAAAATCGCCGATTCAAACATTGTCAGCTCAATCTTCTCGCAGAGCCAAGCTCGACCAGGGGCCATTCCGACCATGGTTCAGGTACTAAATAAGGAGATTTGTCAAGCTGTGGAGGAATTCATTTAGACTTCGCAGCCACAAGAATATCTGACAAAGTTTTTGACGGACGGAGCGTCATTGGATCAATTCTCGAAACTTGCCAAAAATCTTTTAGGAGTTGGTGGAGGGAACGGAGAAGTAAAAAAAATTTAAGTTTTAATGGATTTTCTGACTTTTTCAGACCGGTGGTGGAAGCGGTGGTTTGTTGGAGACAATGACTTCAGTTCTAAGCGGTGGAAACCGTAATCTGCCGACAAGTTCCGCGGCACACGATGACTTATCCCAGTACACGCCGTCGTCAGCCGGACGACCGCAGACCTCTGTGTTCCAAAAGCTGCTAAATCAAGGTGAATTCATTTGGAATGCTAGTGTAATGGGGGTTTGCAGCTACTGATGCTTTGAAAGACTCTTGGAAACAAAAAGAAACAAAGGACAACTCTGACCCAGACTCCAAAAAAGCGGATATATTCGCTTTGCCAGTACCTGTGACGGAAAAGCCGAAGAAAGAGAAACTGAGCAAAGATAGGGAAAACTCTATTAAGGTGGTCTTAAATCAAAATCTGATGAGTTACATTTAAACTTTTAGCTTCTCGAAGCAATGCCAGAGGAACAGCGGAAAATGCTCGAAGCAGCAATTTTATCTGGCGAAATTGACGCCGACTCCCCCGCCATCAAGTAAAATTCCCAAAGATCCCGTTTTCCTCTGTTTTGTTCATCCGACAATTTTAGAACGTTAGTAAAAAACGACCTCACGGAGGAGTCGAAGAAAGAGAAAGAAAACCGGTTGATAGAATGGATCCGTGCGAACCGTCCTTCAAAAACTCCTGAAAACGCAATTCTCAAAAATGTCCCCTACTACGGAAAATATTTGGGCAGTTTGGCAGAGACGGTGAGGAAAAACAGGAAAATGAAGTAATCAACGTGTACCCGATCGTTCATTACAGCCGACAACCAAAAAACAAAAGAGTCCGGCGGGTGCGTTGTGGCTGGTTGACGAGAAAAGAATCATGGTGACTAGATTCGTTTTTGAATCCGGATCTCTTTTGAACGGTAAGAACGATCACATCGAGCATTCAACAAATTGATTTTTTTTAGAGAATGTCACATTCTGGTTGGGACCGAAGACGCCAACCGGAAATTTTGTCGAAGACTTTATGCCGTCTGAAAATGGATTTTATATCAAGCCGAAACCAATTGAAATGTCTGCTTTTGCCACTAAGGAATTGACTGTATGTTTTTTTTTGCTTTTCTCTAGAACTGATTCGATTTCAGCCAATTGAAGCCAAACCTCGACCCAATGTTGCCGCTGTCAAACTATTCGAAGGGTTGCCGCCTATTGTGGCCAACGTGAGCAGATCAAAACGCAGTGCGGATGTGACGGAAATTGGTGCCACTGCCAAACCAATCGAGCTATTTGTAGAAGTATGGAAATAATGTGATATAGTTATAAACATCAACAAAAACATTTAGGGTGGAATAATGAAAGTACTTCCTGGAAATGGGACCGAAACAATGACGAGTATGAGCTCCTTGCCAGATGGATTCCGTTTGAGACAGCCAGAATTCGATCCCGTGGATGATTCGGTAAAACAGCAAAACTTCTTTGTGCAATTCAAAAAATGGTTCAGGTTCCCCAGCCGCTCCAATGGTTTGAAGGCTTCCAACCGCTCATGCTCACTCTTCCCGTTTCGAAGACTTTCAGCGACATCCACTGGGTGTCGCTGAGAGACCACAAACGAAATGTATGTTATACATAACCGCACGCTCTTTCATGTAGCCTAGTAACCACAAGAAATTTTATTTTCAGACCAACGTTGCCTCGGTGATTCTGCCCAACGGACCGTTCGTCCAAATCCCTAAAGTAGTACGATTGAGAGCCCTCTCACCGAACAGCATCGCCTACAACATTAGTTCTGGCCCTATAGAAGTGAAAAACAAATAAGAGAACCGGATTATAGAACACTGAAATTTCAGGTGTTGGATGTGAAGACGATACGAATCAACAAGTTCTCATTCCAACATGATGATGATTCAGTGTGGTTGATGGTCGGCAGCGAACTATTCCCCAACATTGGCGGCAAAATCGTCCCCCTTTTTGTCGAGTGAGAACACATTACACGTGTTGGTGATCTGAAACTATTTCAGAAGCACCAAATCATTCGACTGTCAAGCTCTCCGAAGTTATCATGGTGAAACGATCGTGTTCAGACTTCCCGGGGAACTCACTTGGAAGGATGTTTTCTGGTTCTCATGTAAGTTCTAGCTAACCTCTCATATTCTGTTTGCTTTTCTGCAAATGAAGCCGTAAATAAAGAAAATATTTCAATTGAGACTAAGAAGAGAGGGACTTACGCTATTATTTCTTTTCTGAGAAAAATTCAACCCATAAACTTTATTTATTTGGACTAAAGATTGAAGTAGTCTATGACACATTCCCTCAACAAAAAGTGTACTTTATCGATACACATGACTAATTACTAATCATTTTTCAGTTTATTCAATGAAGCGGCTCGTCTCTTATTCTGAAATCTACCTTCCGCTCAGCGACATGCACCTTCTCCCTGATTTGTCATCCATTGCAGTAAGTTTGAGCAGAAAGTCAAAGATTTTGAAAAGTGGCTGTTCACAACCCCCGTAACCGAAAAACGGGGGATGTTTACTCATGTTTGTGACCGCCTTTTCATGAGATAATCGCTATAAGCTGAACGGTTTTTCGAACCAGAATCCCTTTTCAACTTTCAAGCTCTTGTCGCGTATGATTCCTTTTTTCCCTCCCAATTGAGCGGTTAGCGAATAAAACAGAATTGCTTCAACATTAGCACACTGGTTTTACGACTTTTCCCATAAAATGCTAACTAGCATGCTGTGCTCTGATCTCCAGCAACGGACCACAAATTTTTCACATACTTTTCAAATTTCAGACGCCCACATGCAAATACACGCCGACGTTGTGAACCGGAGAAGGGCAAAATGGCATGAGATGGAAGAATATATGATACAATCTAATTAATTTAAGCACGATACGAGTGGCGCTCCGGCTCCTCATGAATCTTTCATTCAACTTGACTACAACCGATTACTTTCATTGTTTACTCACTGCAAACCATGATCTCGTTACTATGTTACTGATTTTTATTGATAAAGTGAAGTAATAACTATTTTTATAGGTTTTCGGTTGTGCGTACGACTGACGAGAGAGGAAGAGAGTGAATGAGAACTACAATGAAATGTCGGTCGCTTTGTTTCTCCTTCACTTGACCGATCGGGCGGGTTCTGTCGAAAAGTCTGTTATCCGCCCTCGGATCTTTTGTCGTAAACGGTCCTCTACCTGACCGTCTAGTGTTACAATCCGACGGCAGGTGTACACACAGCCACGCAAACTTGCGGACTTGCCACGGCGCGCCCTAATTTTTCCCTAAATTAATGCTCCATGACCTCTGAGCTCTTTGCTTCCTGAAAAAAGCGTCTGATTTTCTATTCTCGAGTTTTTTCTCGCGACACCTTGCAGTTTTGCCATTGAGGTCAGTGTTTATTCTCTTTTAATTGGGGAACGAGCTTGCTCTAACACAATTTATCAGCAAGAACTCGTCAAGTCAGCAGAATGAAAATGTTCCGGTTTATATTTGCTACAAAATGTTGCTTTCTTGCATTTGTTCAGATTTTCGACGTATTAGTTACCACTACCGTACCCTTGGGGACCGGAGGGTGTTCTAGAGAAGATAAACAACACTGTTGGAAGTGTGAACGTGTCTGAATCAACAAAGCAAACAGAGATGAGTAGATTTAGGGTCCGCATGTTGTTGTATAATCATGTACCAGTACACAGTGACTCTTTTTTTGCCCATTTCGTGTTGTTGCCATGGAAAACTGTCATACCGCTTGTTAGGAGGGGTTCTCACTTCCCTCCCCTACAAAAACAAACGCTCTTATCATTGCATCTCTTCATACTCCGACTAGACGACGCCAGCGAACCTGTGGGGCAAACGCACGGCGCCACACTCGGCAAGTGCCTTTTTCAGAAATTTTTGGCACCGACGAAGCTGAGGTTGCGACGCACGGGATGGTCGTAATCCAGATAATTGCTAATCCGCCCCATCGCCAGATGTCTTGCAACTGTCCCCTCACCTGTTGTTGGTTCTGGGCAATGCCAGATCCATAATCCGATGGTCCCTTCCTTAATAATGTATCTCTTGGTTGCTGGGTGATTCCATGACAACGCCATTCGTTAATTTCTCGGCAGCTGGCGTTTCGACATTCATCTACCTTTTGGCCCCGCCCATCTCCCCGCCCCCTCTTTTGCTTTAAAACACGCCCATTTAGAGCCGGTGGTTCTTGTCGACGGACAGTCTCCTGGAGTCGTCAATGACACCCTCTCAGTTGTTGTCCGTTCACACCTTCTGACCCTCATCGCCCGCCGTGACGTCATTGGTCAACAGGTGTTTCAGCTGGCCTCGAGTGTTCCGTGTCTTGGAGATTGAATATAATCATGTATATACTTTTATTTACAACGTTCTTAACAAACAACCATACAATTGAACAAAACATCATTTCCTTGTTTAGGTCTTTTAGCATTTCAAGTATTGCAAAATGCTTCTTATCAGTAGAATGTTTGTAAGTTCGAAAGGACATTTGTCTATCGTTACGTTGTGCTCACCAAAGAGTTTGCATCACGTCCAACAGAATATTTTGTCGGCGTTGTGGTCGAGAAGCTTTCGCCAGAAGTCAGTCACAAGCTAAGCCCTGAGGCGACGCGAGTTGTGTTGTGTCGCAGTTCTTTTAAATGTGCGTGTTTTTTGTGCCACCATGCCTCTCTTTTTTCAGCTCTCACAGCCGCGCCGAAGGGACTCTCGCCCTGTGTCCTATCGATCATCATCAGATTCAGTGGGGCGTAGTCCGTGCTCGGGCGACCCAACACACACTCACACAAACACACACGCTCACGCTCACACGCACACACAGCGTGAGTGTGCGCGGCAGACTCAACTCACCCGCTCGCTACTCGCGATGCGGTCGGCCCGCGTTTTCTTGACCACGTTGGCAGGAGGGAAGAGAGAGAGGGCAACCTCCATATTCATTCGGTGCCTTACTATGCAAGCGCGTGTGCGCTCTGGGTTGTGTGCGGCCGAGTAATGGCCGTGTGTGTGTATGTGTGTGTGCGCGCGCGCGTGTGTGTGTGTGTGTGTGTGTGCTGCAAGGCAGAGGGCGAGGGGCCGGCCGAAGCTGTGGCCAAGCCCCACCCACTCTCTCTCTATGCCTCCTCGCTTCCCTCAGCCGCCTCCCTTCACGGCCGCCATTCATTTCTCCTTCTTCTCGTCCGTGCTAGGCACTCGCTAGCCTGCCTCTCTTCTCTCTGCCACGGCAAACAGCCTGGTCAACCGAGAGGCCATCGTTTCTCTGCGTTTTCGCTGGTTTCTGCACTCTTTCGGCTGCGCTCTCGCCGTCTCCGTCATTGCTCGTATCGATCGCCGCAACCTAACCCTTTTCCTCATTCTGGGCCCCTTCACACACTCTCTCGTTTTCCTCTCGCCCTCTCTCCTACCTAGTCAACGTCACACAAATCCAGTGGAGCGCGTTTGAAATTGATGCACATTTATGAGGAATCAGCGGTGCATAAGTCACAATTAGCATAGTTGGAGAGGCGGCAGGTATCTTTATGGTAATTAGCTCAGAAACTAATGAGTGACGCAAGGTTTAACAAAGACAATCCGGGAAACAAGGGGAGGAGGGGCAGATGTTCCATTTTCTTGTCATTGCTTGTGTTTCCTTTCTTTTCGAACATATAAACATATCACATTGATCTCAAACTTGATATTTTCAGATGTCCGACTACAGTGAAAGACCGTCTGGAAGTTTGGCGCGCATTGGAGACTACGATGCAAGTTCGGACGATTCCGACCAGAACGACGACGATGAGACTCCTGTCACCAAGAAGTCGTCAGAAATCGCATCCATCGACACGGACGAAGTCGCCGTTGCCGAAGCATCGCCAGCCGAAGTCGGAGCTGACTCGGCCACCAAATCGGAGCCAACACCGGAAGAGCCAGTGCCAGCCACGATCGAAAAGGAAGGCACCAATGACAAGGACAGTGAGAAGGCTGACGACGAGGATAGCAACCGGACAGAGGACAACGATAGCAGCAAAGCTGAAGACGTTGAGATGACGGAAGAAGACAATAAGAAAAAGGGAGATGTGGAAGTGAAGGAAGAGGACGTCGAGGATAAGGTGGAGCCAGAAGTGGAAATAAAGATGGAGGACGTTGAGATGGAAGAGGAGAGCTCCGACACTTCACAAAAGGACGATGACATTTCGCCGAGCTCTTCTGACGCCGATCTCGTGGAAACAGTCGTAAAAACCGAGGAAAAAGAGGAAGAGGTTGCTGAATCGAGTGACAAGGGGAACAAAAAGAGAAGTTCCAAAGCAAACGAAGGCTCATCCAGTGAGGAAAGCAGTGGAGGCAGCTCCAGTGACTCGGAGGACTCTGACAATGAGGAGAAGGCTGATGCTCCGACGGGCACCACCAAGCAGCTTGAGGCGGAGGAGGAACCGAACGGAGAAACTGAAACCTCAGGGGAGAAATCCAAAGCGCCAGAGAATCCTTGGGAGACTCCGAAGCAGGTGAGAAAAATCATTGTCTGAAACAAAAAATGTTAAACACGTTGTTTTTTTCAGAAGCCAGTCAATGGCATTGTTCAGCCACGCACCAGTCCGCCACGTGGAAAGCCAACTCGTCACACGAACTGCCTCGACTTCGTCCTCTTCACGATTGTCAAAGAGGCTTTGAAGCATAAGCATTCGTGGCCTTTCCAGTCGCCGGTCGATGCCAACAAGCTCGAGATCCCAGAGTATCACAATGTTGTCTCCAAGCCAATGGACCTCCGAACCATTGAAAGACGTCTTCGTAACCTCTACTATTGGAGTGCCGACGATGCCATCAAGGTATGTGGACGGATTTAGGTGAAGGTGGTGGTGAATGGTCGATGTGAGAGCGGGGAGAAGCACAGAAACGAGCAGGTAGATTGTAGCTGGACGTGGCGGTGGAATCGAGAGCTATGCAAATGATGAGAGGCCCCAGGAGAGAGGAGAGAGAAAAAATGATGAGAAAAGAGAGGAACGAAAAGAGAAGGGTTGCCCGGGTGACCGGAAATTAGGGCAGTCACTCTGCCATGAGAAATGAGCGTCTGGTCGCACGAAGGGGCTCAGCACCTACATACATACATCCTTTTTCCTGTCTATTCACCCGACAAAACACCTGAGTATACTAGGGCTAGACATACTCCCGGTTCTTCTATTTCTTGAATATTAAATCCACGGAGCGCATTCTGACCACATGATAAACGAGAAGTTGTTTCGAGACACTGCGCCCTTTCTGTTTTTCGCTCCCTGGATCTCTTGCTCCTGCTGTCCACGGGCGCTCGCAGTTTCAGCTGTCCCCGCCCACTTGTGGGCTGCGTGCGAGAATGAGCTTCATTCATTCTCATTCATTTTGCGGGTCGTGCTGGCCGGCTCTCATTTATATCGCTACCTAAGACTCCTGCAGTTTAGTTTATGACTCATCCGGTTTTAGGGGCGCCGCAGCAGCTTCTTAGTAATAACAAACGATTTGAATAGCGGAACGGTAGCCGATATTACTCATCTGATTGTTTTTAGCCAGTTAATTGAATACAATAGAAACACCAACATGTATTGTGCGGAGAACAATGAGAGAAGGAAGGGAGAGAGAGCAGAGGGTGTATTGTTAAATGCAAATGCTTACAGTTTTGGTCAGCTTGTTACTGGCATAGTCGGTCGGGTTGGGCCGCATGTTGGAACAAACCTCAACTCTTTTGCCTTTAAAATTCATTTGGATAGTTTTAAAAAATCATTAAAGTTTTGAAATCGACCACAAAATGCATGTTTTGTTTAGCTCTTTGCCATCCTCTAACATTCTCTCTTCCCAATTCTCTGTGCATTAATCACGAACTAGAAGAAAACAGCCGCATCGTTTATGATTCAGAAAATGTTAAGAGCGGCATAAAACCGTCTCACTAACCCTCGTTCTTTCCGGCTCTGCAATCTTTCCGAAAAAGCAGAAATCTTATAATTAGCTTGACATTTTCTATTTTTGCAATACTACAAACAAAACCAATTCTCCAATATCTTTTATCTCTCTCTCTCTTTCTCTTTCTCCGTCTCTGTCTAAGGGTGCTACTCAAAATAGGTCACTTTCTGAAGCACTCTGCTCTGTTTTGTAATAGTCCCCCACACTCGTGTACTCCACACATATCCAAGTAGATGAAAGGCAAAAGAGTTGGTGGTTTCAGGACATCAACCAGTTGTTCACCAATTGTTATACGTTCAACCCACCTGAGTATGACATATACAAGATGGCCAAAGCACTGGAGAAGCAAATGTTGAGCCATATGGCACAAATGCCCCGTTCTGTAAGTTAACTTTTTCTTTATTTCAGGACTTGAACACGCTGTTCGAGAATTGCAAAAAGTTCAACGACCGCAACGACGACATTTACATAATGTGTGAAAATGTCGAGGGTGTCGTGCAAAGGGGGCTGGAATGGATGCCCACTAAGGTTCATTATCATCATCATACACGCACTCTTACTCGTTTGCATTCCCGTGTCTTCTTCTACTTCTTCTATCATCTTTCTCACACTCATCCTTATTCTTTTAGGAGTCACCAGCCGAACTCGCCGAACATCACCGTCGTGGAATGTTCCCCGCGTCAACTCCAAACGGAAAAATGAAGGGTCCAAAGCCTCGTGGAAGAAAGAGCACTCGTGGACGTAAGAAGGCGGTTGTGCCTCGTGGGCATGCCATTCCAAAGGAGGAAATAGTGGACGACATTGCCGATGACGCATCGTCGAAGGTGGAGTCGATTAACTTTGACGACGACGAAGACGACGCTGCCACCGAGAAGGACGTCGAAAGCCGCGCAGAATCGATCCAGCCGCCGGAAATTCCGGAGCCGAAACCTTCGACTTCTCAGCCAGTTGCCCCGAAAAGTGCTAAGCGAAAGGCGGAGAACGGTGACAACGGTGTCGCTGTCAAAGTCGCCGCTCCATCCGCACCAGCCACCCCTGCGGCTCCTCCAGCGCAACCACGTAAGAACCCGAACACCATGATCGACTGGAAGAACCTGCCGGCCCGCTACCATGGCAAACAGACGGAGTGGCAGAAGTTCTGCTCCAAGCTGCTGACGGAGATCCACAGCGTTCGCAATAAAGGATTCGCCCAAGTCTTCTACCAACCTGTCGACCCAATCAAACTGAAGATTTTTGATTATCTGGATGTCATCACCAATCCCATGGATCTTCAAACCATCAAGAAGAAGCTGGATAATAAGCAATACATTGAACCCGAAGAATTCGAGGCCGACATGAATCTGGTAAGGGAAACTCGACACTGTGAAGAATTCAATCGAGCAACTTTCAGATGATTAACAACTGCTGCACGTACAATCCCAAAGGATCAGCTGTCCATCAGAACGCTCTTGACATGAAAACGTTCTTTGATGTTCGCTGGAAGATGTGCCCGCGTCCTGGTGCGGATACAACTCTGGCCGAGGGTTACATGACGCAGACACTGGTTGTTAACACGGACCTCGTGGAGGATGAGAAGATCAACCAATACATCAATGCTGTCAAAGCCGAGGAAAAGAAGTGTGCTGAGAAGCTGGAACTTCTTCGCAGCATGAATGAAGGCCTTTACGGCATCGCCATGCAGCGCCGCGAGGCAAAGTTGGCAGGAAGTACTGCTCCAACACTGGGAACGTCGCATCTGACGCAATTGGACAAGCTCGGAATCACCATCAAACCAACCACTCCGATGATTGTGCCTGAACTCATCTCGCCTGCTCTTTCTGTTCGTTCGTCCAGCCGTGCTCCAGTGCCGAAGATCATTGACGACATTGGTCCATCGCCGATCAAGCAGAGAAAGATGTAAGGAAACGGAATATTCTAGAATCTCATCATAATTGTTTGTTTCCAGTTCGAAGCCGCGTCCATCTACTGCATCAAATGCATCCGTGGCGTTCACGGCCACCCCAGGAACTCGCGGCCGAAAGCCGAAAAAGTCGGGAAGACCGAAGAAGACGTACTCTCCGCCACCATCCCCGCCTCCGTTCGACCCGAACCATCGTGTTGGTCCATACGAGTCCATTTACGGACGGAAGAAAGTTGGCAATCAGCACAAGATCGAGCTGTCGGAGCGAATGGGAAAGCTTCCACACGAGTTCATCACGCCGGTCCTTCGCATCATCCAAATCGGCCAGCACAACTTGGGCAAGCAGGTCACCACTCTGCGATCGCTTTGCGAGGAAGAGATTGACTTCAATGAAGTTCACGATGACTTGGTTATCGAGTTGCTGGACTATATGGATATGATCCAGCTTGACAAGCCGAGAGGTAATCCTGTCATAATCCTAAGTCCATCAAAACGTTTATTTTTCAGCTGAGCGAACAAAAACCGAGTTGGACGTCAAGGCCAAGTTCTTTGGTTTCGAGGCCTACGACCAGCAAATCGGGAAAATTCCGTTTAAGAGAAAGGTGGGACGCAAGATGGTGCGCTCTGATTCTCCGTCGCCGTCGGCATCTCGCTCCGGAACTCGCTCCTCGGACTCTGATTCTGAATCGGATTCCTCGGATTCTGAGCCGCCTAGCCGCAGCAACAGCGTTGTCCGTGCGGCCCCAGGCAAGCGCCCTTTCAGTGGAACTTCGTCGAGAGCCTCAACTCCAGCCGGACCGAGCCGTGTCTCCGTGGCCGCCGCCGCTGCGCCCACGAACCGTCGGACCACTCCGCCAGTCCGATTGGGCAAGGATTCTGGCTCCAACAAGCCCATCTACTCGACTCGCACGCTTTCGGAGAGCTCGAGTTCGCCGGACTCGTCGGATTCATCAGATTCGGATTCTGAACCAAGTTAGTTTTGACGAGAGCAAATCATCACTCATCAAAGCAATAAATGTGCATGCATCTCATTGAGACTCATCTCATCCCACTGTCCATCTTGCATAATTATATCCCAGTAACACTCAAATCAATGTTTCGTGGTTCTTTTGTATATTTAAAATATTATGCGCGAAAATTCTCTCCCACAACAATTATAATAACCCACCCACCACTCATTTTGAAGGTCTCGTTTTATCATCTCTATATTTGTTTATTCTGCTTTAAATATTGACAATAAGTGGTTTTAATCAAGCATTTCTCTCTTTACAACATCAAAAAAGAAAGACCATGCACTAAAAACAGAACAATAACAAATTTGATGACTAACAGAAACACGAATAGTTTAATGTCGGCAGAAAGGGAAGGGATGAGTGGGGAGCATCACAGACAAAATCGCAGAAATAAATGAAATAGTGCAGTATTGTAACTTAGTGATTTACAGAGAAGCCGCCAGCGAAAACTGTGACTACTGAGAAGAAAACTGTCAGAAAGCCAGCACCTCCGCCGCCGAAGAAGAAGGCTCCGTTGTCGATTCTCGATGAACTGTTGCCGGAGACTCCGGAGAAGGAAACGGACGCCGCCACTTCCACCAGCGGGACCGGGTCCCGCATGGCGCATCCGCCAACCATCCAGAAGCCCCAGCAGAATGTACCGGCCTCGCGGATTTCCGAGGAAGATATGCAAGCGCAACGCGAACAGGAGCATAATGCTGCACTCGAGAGACAGGCCGAGGTGAGAGTTGATTAGTTTCAGACTTGTTCATACCCCAGTTCGTTTTTAGGCGCGTCGTCGTCGTGCTCTTGAGGACCAGCCGATGATCCACCAACACGAAGTTATGCAAGCGTTCGAGAGCCAATACGGCGACTTTTCCTACTGACCAACCTATTTTTCAAAATATGAAACCAAGATCTACCCCAATATGTCTCTTATTTTATCTGTATTTTGTTCTTATAAAGTCATGTCCTCAAAAATAAGGCGATCGCGCTCTACTGCAATTGTAGAGCACGACTGCTTCATTTTTGAGGCTTCACTAATTTATTATTATTATGTTTATTTTTTCTATTGTAAGGGTCTTGTTTTAAAGCAGTTTGTCATTGCTGCAGTAACATTGTGTTGCTGTAAAAGCTCACTTCGATCCCCGTTAACCACTACAACACACACACACACCTTATCGTTTTTATCTCAACTGAAATCTCGTTTCTTATAGAGAGTATTATCAACTGTCCACTTAGAAAACTGAAAATCATGTCTCCGCTCCCACCCACTACTGTTACCTCAATTCTTGATATGTTCCGTCTTATCTCTCTCTCACTCTCTCTCTCTCTCTCCACCCACTCAAAACTATGAAATCTCGCTTGTATTATTATGTTTTAGAGATTTTTTTGATCATGAAAATTAGTGATTATAACCTGAAAATGAAGGATGATGACAAGAACAGAAATTGTTGTGTTGATAATTGCTTGGCCTAAAAAATATATATTTTTCTGAGTTTTAACGTTGAGCACTTCAAGATGACCTAGTTCTCAATTATTTTTCTTGAAATGCTATTCCGGTTTCTCTATATCGCTATTTGCATTAAATTCTCATCTCGAGAAGCAAAAAGATTTGCAACAAGTGTTTTGAAATATGATACACTGAAGTGTTTGGTTTGACAGGTTGAACTCAATGATCCGCCCGAAGTAATGCCGTACCAAAGCGCCTCCAAACAGCGCGCATTTTCATCTCTCCGGCCTTCCTCGGTGCGATGTGGGTTGTCCGCGGGGCGCGTTTGCAACGGTAGATTAGCATTGCGCAACGGCAGTGGAACAAACAGGTTGTTTTAATATTTGTGTACGCAGTGTCGTTTCGATTTGACACACCGTTTCGAGGCGGTTAAAGTTGAGGTAAGGTTTCCCCACAAACTATGTAAATGTTTTCTATTTGTTTATTTATATTCGGCCTCGGCTCTCGCTTTTTATTATTCAATAGTTGTCCATCACCTTTCGGAATGCGTGTGCAATTCATTCGCCATTTCGCCGTCGATTCCATTCGTTTTTTTTGCCTTTCATTCGCTGTTTTCCAGGCAGCAGAGGCCCGAAACGAGTCAGCCAACCCCGCAGTTCTGCCCTCCTCACTCATTGTGCTGCTTCCTCGCCTGCGTCTCCACACCCACTCGATGTGCATTCTCTAATCGGACATCGCTTTGTTTTGGTGCTCTGTGTGGCGGTCCACTCGTCGATACGATGAAATCTCTCTATTGGACCGTTCTTCTCGTGCTTATCACCACGTGCCTGGCCAGCAATAATGGAAACACGCGGCTGGATATGGCTGCTCAAAGAGTAAGAGTAAGAGAAGATGAGTCATCGGTAACGAAACTGTTTCAGAGAGCCGCTAATATTCACCGAATGGATACCATTATCCTGCTCACGTACGTTTCCGTTATGGTGCTGATTGTGGTGACCGCGTGGGCGTTCAAGCACTACCGCTTCAGATTCATCCATGAGAGCGGAGTCACTCTTTTCTATGGCAAGTCGATACCAATTATGCGTATACCAATGTGCTCCTTCTTCAGGGTTATTGATCGGTTTTGTCATTCGTTACTTCGGGCTCGGCTTGTTGCAATCACAAACGTTTGATGTTATCACGAAGAACAAAACAATCGTGAAAGAACCTCCAGATTACTTGATGTACGTTTTTAAAAGTTATTTTGTAGAACTATGCTCTATTCAGGCTGGAAGTGAAGCCGGAGGGAGGCTCCCGTGTTTCTTTCCATTATGAACTCATCGAAGGATTCTTCGCAGACAAGCGAAAGAAAATCGAGCAACAAATCGAGCAAAAGGTTTTACTCCGTCTCTTCCCACTTTAATTTCAGCTAATCATGGTTTTGTAGAGTGTTTTCTCTCCCGAAGTCTTCTTCAACATGCTCATTCCACCGATCATCTTCAACGCGGGGTACTCACTGAAAAAGAGACACTTTTTCCGGAACATTGGGAGTATACTCGCGATAGTCTTCATCGGAACAACTATTTCATGCTTCGGCACAGGGTATCAACCGGAGAGAGTTCGTTTGGGGAAAAAGTAAACATGGTTTCAGATGTTTGATGTTTGTCTTCACTTCAATTTTCCAAATGGGCTACACCTTCAAGGAGCTCCTCTTCTTTGGAGCTCTCATTTCAGCCACAGACCCCGGTAGTTTATGAGAAGCAGCATTGTGAACAAATAAGAATTTCAGTCACCATCATTTCGGTTTTCAATGATATGAATGTCGAAGCTGATTTGTTTGCTCTGATATTTGGAGAGAGTGCGCTGAATGACGCAGTGGCTATTGTATTATCTGAGTGAGTGCACAAATGAATAACTATGATTACAAAAATCTTTCAGAGTAATCGAGAACTTTTCAACCACCAACGAAGCGATTACTCTTCAAGACGTCGGAAGTGCTATTGCTGGTTTCGGCGGCGTCTTTTTTGGTGACTAATGGCTTTTTCGAAGAAAATCACGGTTTTTTTCAGGCTCATTGATGCTCGGCTTCGTGATCGGATGCTGCAACGCGTTCCTCACCAAAATGACCCTTATTTCTGAGCATTCATTACTAGAGAGCTCACTTTTTGTGCTCATTTCCTACATCTCGTTTTTAGTGGCTGAAGTGTGCGGACTAACGGGTAACGTCGAATAAAATCCCTATAATCCCTAAACTTGTGTGATTTCAGGAATTGTATCCGTATTGTTCTGTGGAATCGCTCAAGCGCATTACACCTACAATAATTTGTCGAATGAGTCACAGTCGAACACGAAACACTTTTTCCACGTGAGGAATTCGATTTGATGAAAGAGTGTTGAAAGGGTACCTCCTTCTTTAGATGATTTCGTTCATTATGGAGAGCTTCATCTTTTGCTACATCGGAGTCAGTGTGTTTGTGACCAACAATCAGCGTTGGAGCTTTTCTTTCCTTCTTTTCTCTTTGGTTAGTTTCCCAGAGAATAATTTGTTATCTTTATCGAAAAATTTTCAGATATCGATAACGGCCTCTCGTGCAATGTTCGTCTATCCGCTCAGTTGGCTCCTCAACATCCGTCGGCGTCCCAAAATTCCAAAAAGGTTTGCTAGTAACCTTTCCCTACAAAATGTGCTCGAAATACATTTAATCTTGGAAAATGATCGTAAAAGAAAGAGTCAGGTGAAATTTTCAGGTATCAGCATATGATACTTTTTGCGGGATTGCGAGGAGCTATGGCATTTGCACTGGCCGGGAGGAATACGTCGACTGAAAACAGACAAGTAGGGATGATACACAAATTACAAATGCAGTTCCCAGTGGTTTACAGACTATTTTCGCTACAACAACCGCTGTTGTTATTGTGACAGTTTTGGTGAACGGAGGATTGACCTCGTGGATGATCGACTATTTGCAAATCAAGTAAATTTCCGAAATTCAGTTCTATTACTATGCAATTTGTTGTTTTAGGCATGGTAAAGATGCAATTGAGGAAGGCCAACGGTTGGAGAATGAGATGAGCTGTTCACAAGGAGAAACCGCCTCCGAACTGGATGAGACGGTGCCGGTGACCATGTCGCCCGGCCTCAATCCCTGGGACAAGGCGTTCCTCCCCCGAAAGTGGTATCATTTTGATGCCAGGTTAGTGACTCTGACAGTGTACAAAAAATGTTGGTTTTCAGCTTCATGAAACCATTGCTGACCCACGCGACGCCGTCTCTCGAGCAGACGCTTTCTCCAATCTGCCTCCCTCTCACTTCACTGCTCACATCAAGCCGTCAGCGATCAGTGAGTAAACACAAAACGGTCATTTAACAGTGATAACCTCCGCATGTTGTGAACTTTTCTGCCAACTCCGCATGACTCCGCTGAGTTCCCTTCGAGCACAGCTTTTCAATTCTTCCCATAATGCCGCTCACTCATAAAACCTATTCAGGACGAGTCTTCAACCTTCGATTCCGAGTAAGCCGTAGACCATCCCTGTGTTGTGTATGTTTCCCTATTATAATAAAGAACCTAAGTACGATGGAAATTCTCTGTTGTTTACTTCTACAACTAAACAGAACGTAACTACTCACTGATGTCAGATTTTTGTTTTCAATTTTATCTTTCTCCTTTCAGTACGTCAACTCGGAACCCTTCGACACTATCGTACAGTCAGGTAAAAGAAAACACATTGGACTGGTTATATATTCGAAAATTTTAGATGGAAACTTGATCGACGTTTCTGGGTGTGCCGAAGAATCCGTTTGATGTTGGACATTTGCCATTTCTTCCTGTTATTTGTCTATTTTGATGAGAAACCCTTTATTTACTAATAATTTCCTGGTCTTTTTCTCTCACTAGTTGCTTGCGGTGATTTCCATTCTTTTGCACGAGTTCCTTTTACTTTGTAATCGAATCCTTATTTCCGGCTTTAACATTTTGCAATCCTTGTGATTTCCCTCCCTACAATTCCACTTTGTAATAGTTTTTTGCTATAAAAATATTTATTTTGAATCAGATTGATCATTGGGAGAAACACAAGTATTGCTCAAAACTGACGAACTTCTGCTCTTTGTCGTCGGAGTGCTGAAAACAGTTTGGGTTGAGGGAATTTTTCAAGAAGATTATAATTACGATATTGGTCCGTGACAACGTGGAACGGCGTCGTGTCCACTGGATACTCTGGGGGTGGTGGCAGTTGAAACTGTTGTTCACTCAAGTTTGCTCGTCGGCGTTCCTGGAAAAAAGTTTCTTGATAATAAGTAAATGGACCACATTTTCGACCTCAACAATCAGTTTGTCCGTTCGAAGTTTTACCAGAACAGCACCACAGATGAATATGGTACCCAACCCGAGAACAACAGAAAGCACCACTATCAGCGCCAGCATTAGGGAGTTGGTTTCTAAACACAACATCTGTTTTCGCAATTATTATCTTTGTATTAACCGTGCATCACCAGAAGCATCGCGATATCGGTGTCAGCTATGCTTCGAGACTGTACAGATTCATCTGACAACTGGAAATCGAATTCGCCGTACTTTGAACATTCCTGAAAAAGGAAAATGAAAAACGGATTTTAAGACACTTTTTTCAAAAGACCTGAATCATTAATGCGATTTCCTCGGCTGAAAGTGGTTTTGCTTCATCTGTAAAGGGCAACGTGACTGTGATATTGTAAACGACTCCTGAAGGAAGGATTTCGCATGGTTCCGCAAGTTTTTGTCTGATGACTAACCAAAAAACACTTTATAGTTTTTGAATCTGTATTCAGAGATTTGAAGTGTGGTAGCCATAGTTTGTGCCCATTTCCGTGCATAATCGTCGGCGTCGGTGCCAAGCTGAGTGAGATAAGACTTTTGGAAATTAAAGGTTATCTTTCTAGCGTTTGAATCGCCATTCAGATCTGGAAGAAGGAAAAAAGTCAATAAGATTAACTGACAAGCTTTCGAATTGTTACCCTTGGATTCAAGTGGTTATGGGAGCAATAGTTTGACCATCTAAATGTAAAATGTTCCACCGAACGAATTTTTGTCTATCTCTCTCTCTGGATTTATGGTGTATTTTCAATTTTTACGTTAAAAAAATTGTATCTCAATCAGTTTTAAAGATTTCTTTTAAGTTCAAAAAAGAAATTAAAGATCTCAAAATTATGCAACTTATTGCTGTCAACATCATCGGGAGAATAAAACAGATATGTGCGTAAAATTGATGATTTTTGACAATTTTTCATAGCTTCATAAGATTATTTGTTATTTGAGGGCAGAGGACAAAAAAGTTCAATACTGCCGACGCTAGTTTGAATCTTCGTGTTTTTGTCATTTATTTGATATACATCAAGTCACATTTTGGACAATTTTTTTTCGGTGTCATCTGAATCCTCAAATGACTTCTGAATCTTTTTGATATGTATTTAGATGAACGGAGCACATTTTTCTGATCATTTTTGCTATTGGATGCTTTTCGATAGCTATATCCGTTCTCGAGATATCACCGACACCACAGCGCCCAACGGCGTCCGTCGCCATTATATATACACCCTATGGGAGATTGAGCCGCGTGACCAGGGTGGTGTAGGCGGTTAAGCTTGTGCTTAGCAATCCGAAGACCGCAGGTTCGAGCCCCACCGAGTGCAAAGAAATTTGCCTCGGCTAGACACTGATCGTGACGACTTTCAGACCTGACTGAAGGACGTGGCGACTCCGGAAGTGTGTAAACGGTTCAAACTAAGAGGTTAAAAGGACGACAGAAAGAAGGATTGAGCTCGGAAGGTAGAAGAAAGAATTCTAGAGTGAGTTTGAAGGAAAGAAAGCTCGATCCTGTGGTCTTCACACCGTAATACCTGAGTCACCCCTTTTTACAATTATTGTGTGTATGTCCTCACATGGAGCTGCCTGTTTTCATTGAACATACATGCAATACTAGTAAAAAGGGGTGACTCAGGTATTACGGTGTGAAGACCACAGGATCGAGCTTTCTTTCCTTCAAACTCACTCTAGAATTCTTTCTTCTACCTTCCGAGCTCAATCCTTCTTTCTGTCGTCCTTTTAACCTCTTAGTTTGAACCGTTTACACACTTCCGGAGTCGCCACGTCCTTCAGTCAGGTCTGAAAGTCGTCACGATCAGTGTCTAGCCGAGGCAAATTTCTTTGCACTCGGCGGGGCTCGAACCTGCGGTCTTCAGATTGCTAAGCACAAGCTTAACCGCCTACACCACCCTGGTCACGCGGCTCAATCTCCCATAGGGTGTATATATAATGGCGACGGACGCCGTTGGGCGCTGTGGTGTCGGTGATATCTCGAGAACGGATGGAGCTATCGAGAAGCATCCAAGAGCAAAAATGATCAGAAAAATGTGCTACGTTCATCTAAACAGAAATAAAAAAGATTCAGAAGTCATTTGAGGATTCAGATGAAACCGAAAAATAAAAATTGTCCAAAATATGACTTGATGTATATCAAATGAATGACAAAAACACGAAGATTCAAACTAACGTTGTCAATATTGAACTGTTTTGTCCTCTGCCCTCAAATAACGAATAATCTCAAGAAACTATGTAAAATAGTCAAAAATCATCAATCTTACATACATATATTTGTTTTCTCATGACTTTGGCAGACAAAGTACTATGAAACTTTGGGATTCGGCCTCATTTTTGGCGTAGGCTTTTTTAGAAACATGTTCAAAAAAATATTCACTTGGTGAAAGATGCTACTTGGGTGGTCAAACTTTTGCCCCTGTAACCACTTGAATCCAAGGGTAACTATTCAAAAGCATTACATGTGAAGTGATCTGCTCACCTCGCTTAACAACAGAGTAGGTGAAATTGAGAACTGTGATCACATTCAAAATCTTCTGATATCCAACTGCTTTTTGAATCGATTGAACCGCAACACTATTGCTTTTTTGGTCACTTCGGAATGGAGGCCGTAACGTAGCTTGGATTGTTTTGTTTCCTTTGTTGGCTACTTTCACGAATCGCCTGAATCATTCTAGAATAATAATGCTCACAAAAGGAGACTTCAAACTTCTGATCAACTTCTGACAAATTGGCAATTCTAGCAAATATCTTTGAAAGATCATCTGCAGTGACCTCTGAATCTATGATCAACGAGAGTAGAATCTCATTGTGATCGGGGAGTGGATCGGGGGTCGGGGCGTTGACCAGGAACACCCTGAAAATCTGGTCAAGATCCGAGTTTACAGGTCTTACTATTTTACCCAAGGATTCCGGTTGCGGAACAATTGCACGTGACAAAACTCCTATCCTGCACTGTTTTTGCATAGTTGGACGATATGCACTGTCTCAATGCCCATCCACTATTCTGATTGTATAGAAAACACTGAAAGCCGGTTATACTTCCAAACTTGGCTTAGCATTTTAGCATACGCTATAATAGTTGATCGGTTTGTAATTGGATACTGCAATATCCACAGAGTATAAGAACTGGCCGTTGGAAGGTGTGAGCATTGTGCCGGAAATCGGATCCACAAGGCCGAGCTGAAATTGGATAACGTAAAATGTAAACTTTCTCGCCTTAGTGCAAACCTGGTGCAGATCAGAGACGCTTTTGTTCAGAGACAATTCAATTTGGTCCGTAAAAAGGTCTTCGGAAAGATAGGTATTGTCGGTCATGGCACTGTGAGCTATCCATGCAGTTCCAAGACAGACGTAACGACAAGTAGAGGATGAAGAACTTCCGCACGTCCAGGAGGCATAGGACGACTCGAAATACGATGAGAATGTGATCTGGAAAGCAGCATTATTAGCTGATACCGTTATTTTGGAATAAAAGACAAAAATAAACGTTCGATAATCCATCTGGTCCACTTATATTGAACTTTCCAGTATATCCATCTCTGTTAACGTTTATGGTCTGAGTTTGAAGAGTTGTGTAACCAGATCCCTGAAGCTCGTTACTAAAGGTCATGACATTTTTTGCAACAACTACCGTCGCCGACATCAACCGTTTCGAGTTTTCATCCAGCTGAACACAAAATCCGGTCAAAAAATCATTGATATTCAAAAAGAACACGTCGACCACAGGTTTGTCCTTTCCGATTAAGATATCGTAAACTTTTAACATATCATTCGCCTAAAATTTCATTCACCCATATGTTCACTATCGTTGTTTCCCACTTCGGACTCGGTTGCCTGATAAACTTTAGTCGTTGCTTCTTCCGTTGACCTTTTCTTTCGCGAATTGCCAGTTGTAGTGCCGTACAACGTCAATGCGCGGTAGTTTGAGAGCACATGAATGAGCTCCGTGAGAATTTCCGAGGAGACAACAGGAAGTAAAGAGTATGCGGCTTTCAAAGCTTCTTGGAATTCCACGCTTTCACTCAAACAAAATGCATTGCAAGACTAATTGGTCAGAAGACAAACCTCGAGTCGGTTAATGACTCAAATAGAAGCATTGTTATCTTGTCGGTTTGAGTCTGATCAAAATTTTCAGTGCAGAGTTCCAGATTCAATGCGTTTATTTTGGCTATTGCAGATATGAAATTTTCTGGAAATGGAAACTAAGAACTGCAATTAGTTGTAATAAAATAAACTCACCATTAACAACATCAGTGTTCAGTAAACTCATCAGATTCATTGCCGCCAAAGAAATGTTTTCAGACTGTTCAACCCCAAAAATTCCCGACTCTTCGGAGATACAAGACCCAAGACGGTCACAAACGGACAAAAGAGCAGTGATTCCAACACGTTCACCACACTCTTCAGAACTGTTTCCAGTTGCTGGAAACGAGTTTTTGCTTCTTTTTTTGAACGAATATTTGTTCACTTACTGGATGGTAGAAAAAACTGATGTGATTTGACTGTGCTCCTGGAGCCCCAATACTCGTACGTCGAGTTATTCCAATAGTGAATCTTGTAGCCGAATTGATAGCTCAAGGGCAAATCGTCTTTGTCGTCGTTCCAACCGTCGCCTACTGAGAATGTTACTGGTGTTTCCAGAGCAATCATCGGGTAGTCTGCCGCTGTTATCTGAATGGTCACGTGTAATGGTTCTTTTGAAATCTAACAAGTAATTTAAATTTTACATCAATTGCTCCCACAGTCGGAGGTGAGTTCGTGGACAGATGAAGATCGGCAAATGATGATCCTTTCTCATTCGTTGCCCACAGCCGAATCGCGAATGTCTTTCCACTCAACAAACCGGGCCAGGCGGAAAATCTAAAACAGGTTTCAGAAAATAACTTAATAACAGAAATCTATACTGAGAACTTGACGGCGGAATGGTTAATGACACAAAAACATCGGATTTGGCCGGAACGTTCTTGATTATTGTCGTTGGATTGTTCAGAAACGAAGAAAGATTGAAGAATCCAAACTGAGAATCACGAACAATTTCCCAGGTGACATTCAACGTCGGGAATGATGAACTGACAAGAGCTTGAATACGGATGTAATCAAAGACGTTCACTTTCTTCTCGGCTAATCGGAAGAAAGAAACCGTCGGTATTTGGGTGGATCCGACAGTTACAAGACAAGAGGAACTATCCGATTGGTCTCCAGTCGAAACTGTAGCTGTGATGTTCATTCTGAAAGGATTGTGAACTATTTCTTACATATAATGTTTTCGAATTGTTACCCTCGGATTCAAGTGGTTATGGGGCAAAACTTTGACCATCCGAAGGTAAATTTTGGAGGGGGACACCTTCAGGAAAAGACTATTGACTTACATAGAACTTTGTACGAGTTTCGAACTTGGTATTTTGATATACTCATTGGTAGTCTTCACATCACCAAGGTCACAGTTGCGAGTTCCGTTAATGCCTAGATGTATGTACAAAAAAAAGAAAAAATAACTTGAAGGAACTTCTTCTTACCATTCATAATTTTGCACTCCCAGTGATATGTCAAGCTAGAATCTTTTCTGTTCTGATCGACTGCCAACACACGAATCAGCAAATCGTGATCTTCTCCAACCTGTCGTTCTACACAATCTAACGTTACCAACAATGGAAGTCCAAAGTACTGAAACACATTTCGAAATTGAGTCGAAAGCTGAAACGTACATGAATAGTTTTGGTTGTGCTTGAAGAGTAAGTCTTTTCGTGGTTATATCTTGCTATCAAAGTGATATTCACTACATCATCGACCGAATACGAGTATGCGGGGAGCTTCAATCCATCGTCATACATCTGACCTTCTCCATTCAATTTCCACTCATACTGAAATTAATCATTCACTTCTAATTCTGTTTGAGACTTTACCTGAACGTTTTTAGGCGCCAATTTTGAGCTGCATTGTTGGAAAGTTGGATTAGCATGCAAACGAAGACCGAAGGAAGCCGGTGTTTCTTGTTCATAACCTATAAAAAAACACAAATTTGGCTAGTTGACACTGAAAGTGTTACCGTCAATAGAAACTGAGAAAATGGACACATCGTCCACAAGGTCTGTAGTTATAGGTTCACTTGAAGTGCATTTTCCGGCAAGATTACAACCTGTCACAATTATGACGTTGCTTGTTAAAAGCTGAAAATATCACGCAATTACATGTAAGACAACCGCTAAATAACTAACGTGATTACGTGGTATTTCCAGAAGTCTCTCTGATGTCGAGTTGGCAAGTTTTTCCATGTCTTCGGTTCCTGTGAGAACTATTGAGATAGCAATGTGATTTTGAAAACGAACCATTGAGAATGGTCCATTCGAAGTGCAGAGGCAAGAATCCGCTGCCAGATATCTGTTTGACTTCGAATTTGGTTGCATTGGAGCATGTGGCCACTTCTTTTTCGTGGGAAATAGTAAAATTTGGATACACCTGAACAAAAATCATTACGTAAAGAGTTATTCAGATAGAACTACCGCATTTTTGGCGGATTTCACAAAGGCAGAATTTATAGAATACTTTGTTTTCATTTCGTGTGAGACTCCGATCTTAGGATTTGCACCAAACTTCACCGCAATGTTCTCACCGTCACCCAGACATACAGGATTCTCTGAATTAATTAATGATAACTGTTGCCACGTGTCAATGTTAGCATACCTCCGAGTATTTCTGGATTGTCCATCAAAGAGGAGCAGTTCATAATGCCGATTGGGAATTCGATAGATTTGTTCAATCTTTGAATGTTGATTCCAAGAAGATCATCAGAAAGCTCCACTATGAAATCATCCACCTGATCGATTCTCACTTGAAAATTACTGGAATGTGGAACTAGTTAGTCAGAGGACGTGATAATTTTCAAACCTGTTATTAAAGTTCGGGCAGAATCTGACAAGCAAGGAGGGTACCGGTTGAACGAGACAACTCTGAAACTTCTGGGGAACACTTCTTTCTCCTTCAGAGCCCGCTTACATTGGTGCAATTGGAAAGTGTGAAATATGACATTCCACGGATTCTTGACCGGCTCGCAGAGTCCCACTCAAACGGAATGAGTGATAAGCCACTGGAAACGCATCCATCCACAGTTTCATTTATGGTGAAGAAAAAATTGTAATTCGGTGGGACCACCAGCAGCTGAAAAATTCCAACCCCTCTATTTTCCTCAATGTCTGTTCTTTTCACAATCCAATTTCCTCATCTCTTCTCTTCTCCCCGCCGGTTTAATCGTCCATCCGGCACCTTCCATTTTACACCCTCGCATAATCGAAATAAAAGACAAGAGCAGTTGGTCTTTCACGAGGTCTTTGACGCATTTGCAAACGAACACTCAGACACGTAACGCACCATTAGATTACATCCATATGGTTCCCATTTCCTTTTCTCCATTCACATACACACACACAACGTTTTTTTGTGCGATTCTCATCCGGAGGCACCTTTCGGGTGAAATGAGTGGATAGATGCGAGATGACTGACTGAATGACCCACCCGTTTCGCGTCATCTGCGTAATTTTGAATGTCAATGCAATGGACTGTCACATTCGCATAAGGACTGTCATATCCATCTGGATCTTGAATCTCAATCGGATGCTCGCTTGTCGAGTCCGGAGAGATTTTCCATTGAACATTCGCGCGGGAGCCGGCGTTCACCACCTGAATGAAGAAGGTTCACAAATTATTCAGCAAATTGTGCGTACCAGGGCGGCAAGTGTTGAACTATGATTGAATGCCAAATGACTCAGCAGCTCGCTGAGCACAATGCGGGTCGAGGTGCTCGAGTTGGCTTTGAGCGTCGGCACATTATCGCCGGTCAATTGGACGGTGTCCACAAACTCAAAGTGGCCTTTTTCAAAGCGGATGCACGTGTCTCCCGACTCGTAGCACTGATTGAGAAGTGTGGATTTGGATGAGTCGAGAGAAGCGATAATTAAAAATATCAGAAATTTCAAGTTTTTCCTCAGCATGTATGTCACATAACAGCGAGGGAAAATGGAATAAGAGTGCTGTTGCGTGATTGAAAAAATGCGGCGAGTCTTGAGTTTTATTTTATCACTATGGAAACCCCAATTTCTTTTTCGTTGTTTTCCATTTGGGGCTTCAGTTTTTCCTCTTTTTGCGCTGGCCAAAAGAGAAATTGAATTGATTTTATGGTGTCAAAAACAACAAGAAAATGTGATTGTGAGCATATGGAAAAATGGTACGAAGGAGGTATGGGAATAGAAAGTACAAATGTGAGAGAAAGAGGGAAAGGTGAAGGGGAAAGGGGCAAGTTTGAAAAAACTCTAGCAGATAAGTGCCATCAGAAACCAGAGGGACCACGTGAGAAAGTTGAGGAAAAACGTAGAAACATGAAAATAATCTAAACAAAACCACATACTTCAGGATAAGTACATACGAATTTTCTGTTAAACCAATACGTCGAATAAATTTCAGAATTCAAAATACGACAAGCAGGCCTATCCCTAATTCAGAATGAAAGATCGAATAAAGTAAATTATTTGATTGATTGATTGGCACCAAGAATTCAGATCAGTTTATATTATCAAATTATCACGAATTTGGACAGGAGGGGCCTTTACAAAAGGAAGGGGAAGGAACATTATGGGATGGTATGGCATTTGGAATGAAATCTGAGAACAGAATCATATAATGATCATAGATAATTATTTGAATGACAATGACAGCACAGTGATAATGATTACGCGTAAAACTCCTTTGTCGATGCTTTGGTGTAGGCATACGTGGCGTACGGCCTCGCCTGTTTCGGTTCATCCAGCGCGTACGATCCCTCGTCCTTTTTCCGAATCCGGAACACGACGAAAAGAACGAGTAGGATGGCGGTGATGACGGCGACAAGGACACCTCCGGCGATCGCTGAAAAATGTTTATGTTTTGGCAGGTGTTTCTGATGGGAACGGCGAAAGGAAGCGTTCTCCCTTCGCACTAATTAGGTTTTCGGAAACAAAAGAAACACATTGTTTGTGTCCAATTCAAAAGTAATGATTCAAACCGAAATTCCCTTTCTTCAGGCAGGACACTTCCACACTTCCTCCTGCGCCCCCCACTCAATGTCATAAAATCAAATATGCACAAACGCCGGCCCGACCCTTGACCTCGCTTCCGTCTTTCTCTTCTTCCGGCCTCCTCGGTCATTCTCAAGAGAATAGGATGCTGTCTTCCGTCCGTCCGTCCGAATTTTGATAAGCGCAAGTTTTGAAACGTCAAAACGACAATGCGACTCGCGTTTCATCTTTGTGTCCCTTCTAGGGGAGACGACGTCAGCGATAAAACGGCTTAGCTGCCTGACCAGAAAGTTTACATTCTTGGATTGGAAAACCAAACATTGCCTCTCCCCTCGCTAAAAAAAAGCGTGCCATTCACATTCAGTGAGACACTCATCCATCTCCGCGGCCCGGCTCCATCATAATACGATTTCTGGCGTGTCATTCATACTTGTTGGTTCCTTCATGTGTACGAGAAGAGCCCCTCTCCGCATCCAGAATAATTAGACACATGGGGAAGCGTATGTGCATCATTCATACGAGGGTCCCTTCATGCTATCGCGACAAGGAGAAGGAGAAAAAGAAGGAGAGAGAGAGGCCACGCCATCTGTCATTAAGAAACAGCTCGACAACAAACTCGCACATCTCAGGCCCCGTACACATTGATTGATCGACTGGTCGACGAAAGGCAGGAGGGCACGGTGCCAAAGTATGCATACTTTTATGCAAGTCTCATTCTTGCCCGGAATGTTCTGTCATTTATATATCTCGCCACCCCGGCCGGCCGTCCGCTCATTCACTATCGATTAATGAGACATCAATTTATCATCACAACAAATCATTCGCTCGTCTTCACCGGCGACGAAAGGGGGGGGGGGCGATTTATGTATATTTCAAATATTTGCAGCTGCTGTTGATGTTTCCCCTCATCAGTTAGTGACAAGAGCTCTCGCAAAATTAATGAAAATGGGTTCATCCACATACCTGCGTAGAAGCCATTAGTCATGGTCTCATGGAATGGCGAGAACGGGCCAGTGGAGATGGTCGAGGTGACCGGAGGAGGAGGCTGCTGGCGCGGCGGATTCGTCGAATGTGCCACGTGTGACCTTGGAGGTGTCGTTCTGGAAGATGGCATTTCATGATTAACGAACGTTTCGGGTGAAAAATGGGGAAAGTAATTGAATGAACAGAACATACGTGGTGAAAATGCTGATCGGGCGATGAGTCGTCGTGCTGGTGGTGAAGAACTCGTCGTCGTTGTGGATGTTCTCATCAGCAAAGTCGTCCTCATCCTCATCATCGTCGTCTTCATCCTCATCGTCGTCGTCCTCATCGTCATCATCCACCTTGATCTCCTTGTCGTTCGCCGCTGGCTTTGGCTTAGGCTGAACAGGAGGTTTGAAGCTCTGAAGAATGAAGGATTGAGGTTTGGGAACATCAAAAGATGCCGACGAACCGCTGTAGTAGGCAGCATTGTCGTCGGCTTCGCAGTCACAACAACATTGCTGGCCGGCGTTTGCTTCGATTTCGATGTCACCGGCTGTGTTGGCGGCTTTCCTGAAAAAGAATTGGAATTGGAATTGGAATTGAGAAATTGCCAATTGTTTTTGACTAGCCCTGAACAGTTGGAACAAATTAGCACGTTTTCGGGTCCTAACAATCTCATTTGCATCTGGACGACAACAAGGACAAGCACTTATATTCCTAACCGGATTTCATTTCTCAAAACAGATGGTACCTACCTGATCCATGAACGTCGTCGCCATCCTCGTCATCTGTCGGGTAGCCCGATCCATTCACTTCAATATCAGCTAACCTGCCTGGAATGTTTGCGCTTCCTTCAACTTGCTGCAAAAAATGATACATTATTATTATTATTATTATATATAGAATATTATTATTATTATTCCCCATTATATCTGTTTGAATAATGCAAATATTTTGGTGCGTTTGCCGCGCTTCAGGTTCTAGTAGAGCTGCTTGCGCAAACAAATAAGTGTGCGCTTTGCGGCGCGGTCAAAACTCTCAAATATTACGAAGACAGTGATGTGATGTGATACAAACCTCTGTGGAATTGGAGGAGTTATTCGCGGCAATCGTTGTTGATGGCACCGCGGCTTTCGTTTTCGCTTGGTTGGCGGCGAACGCTTGTGTGGAGAAGGCGAGAAGTATGAGGACCGAGTAGGTCGACAGGCAGAAATTGAGCTTTCGAGTCATTTTTCTGTCTTCACCTGACCGGCATGTCAACGTACCTCTGCAAAAAAGACGGTTGTTGGTGGTTGTGGGTGGCGGCGAAGACAAAACGGCCATTGATTTACAATTTACAATTGGCGGAGGCGAAACGAGATAGAAAAGGCGGCAAAATGGTTCCAAGAAAGGTTATCGTAAATTTGAATTGGAGGCGGAATGGTGAGAAACAACGACCGGCGATTTTCTTTTTTTACAGCGATGGGTGGCAGAGAGAAGGAGAGGAAAGAGATAATATTGAAGAAAACGTAGAAAAAAGCTATAAAATGTGTGTTGGAACATACAGATCGCGAGAAGACTCGTCTTCATTCTCTCCCAACGGCGTGTTGATTAAAACGATGTGAAAGAATGAAATGAATGGAAAGCAAAGGCAAATGTTGTATTACTCACAGAGACCCGCAAAAAGACTGAAGGAAGGAAGTTGGCAAAGGGAGTGGTCAAGTAAGTCGAAAGGGGTAAGCGGATAAATTAAAGAGAGCCGACGGATAGACGGGTGAAGCCCCGCGAGTGGACCCCTTTCTCGACCGCACTGCGGGTGCGTAATGAGATGGGCAGAGCCCTCTCTCTCTCTCTCTCTCTCTCCCTCTCCCGGTGCCGCGACAAATTCCCGTGCCAAAACCTCTCTTCGGGGGGCCGGTCCAATGACCCTTCATGAAGTCCGGCATGAGTCTCGAGTGGCCGATCATCGCAAGTTCGCAAGTCGCAGGATTGAAAGTGAAACAAAGAAAGCTGGATCAGATAACAGTCGGCCACGAAATATATTACGCCAGCCAGATGATGACCTCGTTTAGGACAATTTCCGTTTATCCGCATGCCCTCATGATTGTTAGTGATTGTGAATATAGGTGGAGAAAAAGGAAAAGGAAACGGAGAAAGGCATGTGGGGGGGAAAAGAGAAGATGCAATCCAAATCACTCTTTGTTTTCGTTCAGTTTAGTTTAGCAATTACTGCTAGTGATTTGTTGTTTTTCGAAAAATTCTCTTCTTTCCACTTTCGGTAGTCTTGGGGCCTCACTAAAATGTTTGTGGGAACGAGACGAATAAATGAAGGAGTTGAGATGGCCAAAACAAATCTCTTATTCAAATACATTTTCCTTTACTTCTACGCCCGAAATGCTCTCAATCTCAAGACGGGGCGCGCGCGCGGAAGAAAGAGTAACTAAACCTACTTGCCAGATTACCAAAAGCCTTTTTCTATCCATCCACACGGCGCAAAATGGAGGGTCGGCAGCTTTTTTGCAGTCGAGCTCTCGGCATCGGGGGGTCCCGGTCTTGGTAAAATGAGAAAAGAGCAGTAAAGCGCGCGCAAATTGCATTTGGTGCCGTTCGGAGCATCCGCATCACATACATACACCGCCGAATTCGCACTGCCGCAGAACGGACTCAATGGAAAAAGGAAGGGGAGTGACAGAAAGGGGCGGACTTGTGACGGACGACACCATGGAGAAATAGAGCAGTTTTCCCTACTAGTTCCTTTTCATGGAACGGATGATTCAAAATGGACGGGATGGATAGGATCGGATCGGATTTACGGTAATTCGCGCGGAAAATTGAGCAGTGACAAGTTAATGCGGTACTTGGTGAAGGGCAAGGATATCCGTTCATCTGGTCGCCAGTCTGCCAGTCACTCACTAGATTCTTCATATAAAGTCAAAGTCAAACAGTCCGTTTCTGCACTCGTAAGTGCTTTTCAACTTGCCAGATGTTTCTCCATCTGGCAGCGGTAAAAGAAACTTGGAAAAAATTGTCCTATCCGCTTTAACCTCCAAAAAGGCAGTATTTGAGTATTTGAGCAGTATTTGGTAGGGGGCTCACGTTCAGTGAGCCGATTTTTGCGCACATCCGTCAAAAAGGGGACAAAACAAGGCAGGGAGGGTGGCGTTTCGTGTCCGTTTTAATAGCTACACGAGCGGGGGGTTAGCGAGAAAAAGGAGAAACGAAATAAAATACAATCGGGATTCGGAGACGGCACAAAAACGGAAACACGACGTCATCGGGTAGGAGGCGCAAGGAGGTAATAAAAGGAGAAAAAAAACGGAGAAGGGATCATTCTGCGGTTTTGGAGCGAGGAAGGGAGCGAGAGAGAGAGAGAGTAAAGGGTACCGAGACTCCCGCGGTTGATGCGTGTGTATGTGTGTGTGTGGTCGGAGAAGGCGAAATGGTATGCAAATGTCGATGAGGGGGCTGCGCGGGGACGCTACACGCACACGTCTACGCACGCAACGGGTCGTGGCGCGTTTGCGGTTACCGCCAATGCGTTCCGAATGAAAGAAACACGGGTAAAACGGTTGGAAGTGAGAAAAACAAATGGGAGAAGTGAGAAATTGCATCTTTTGTTCATATTGCGTCGAGGAGAGACAGCAGGACCAGGCGTGTGTAAAGTCGTTGGCCCGACTGGGGGCTCCACTTGTTGTTGTAGACAAATTTTGAAATTTTTTTTGAGTTTTGAATAATGACAAACAGCTCGAAGCGGTTTCGCAATGCGACGCGTCATTTGGTTGGTTCGGTTCATTGTCCAAAAGAGTCCTATTTCAAAATCTCATAAAAATTCAAGCGGAATCAAGGAAAAGCATCCGGATCTCTGACGGATACTACAAGCTGAAGTCAAATATCAGACAAAAGAACCAAATATTCGGCGGCAAAGGAGACAAATAGTCCGACGGACGGACGGACGGACGGACGGACGGACGAAGACGACGACGGCCCATCTGTTTTATTAGCATTACGACGACGAAGGCGATCGATCCGCGTGGTGTGCACTCTCTCTCTCTCTCTCCCTTCTTGCTAATTCTTCTCTCTGGGGTCTCCGCATCGCGTACGCACTGTGCAAAGGGACTCTCTGGGACGGGTTGACGGGGCGAAAGGTTACCGCAACGGAGGCCCCTGTGTCCACTCGCTGACCCCCTCTCTCTCTCTCCCTCCAATCTGACTCTTTGCGGAGGGGAACGTACGTATTGTTTGAGTTTCACGCTTATAACACTGCGTAACAAATATAACAATAACATAATCTTGGCCTCAATATTTTTTGGGTTATCACTAGAGCAAACATGTGGAACAAAGTGCAACAATGTTGATAACAGAAAGAGAGCTAGAAAAAAAATTTGGGAGGAAAGTAAAGTAACTTCAAGACAAAATAGTTTTTTATCTTTTCTGCCTGAAGGCAGGAAGAGTTACGTTGGAAAGATAAAAATCTGGCCCGAGGGTAGGGGGTCGATGCCCCCGACTTTTCTTTCTCTTCCTCTTCTTCCTCGCCGACTCCGAGGGACAATTGACAAGCAGGCAAGAAAAAAAGGTCGTTGTTGGATAGATCAAGTGGCCAGATAGACCCGTGGAGCTTTGAAAGACAAGTAAAAGAGACGCTCTTTTGAATAGGACGTATCGAGTGGAAGCAACGAGTAACGGATAGTTTGAATGACGAAACAAAGTGGTATTCTCAGCTGGACACCTCTTTTCCATTCGGGTTCGGATCCGGCGGAAAGTCTCATGTATCATGGTGGCTGCCTGTCTAAACAGTGGGGACAATATGAGTGGGGATGGGCGGGTGTCTCAACCGGAAACTGATATCGAGAATGATAAATAACACACTTCAAATGTACTTGATCAGAAATGACTCAATGAATACAAAACACGTCGAGAAAGATAGGGAAATGGAGTGATTGACTAGTTTTTGTGTGGTGTTGCTATCGTTTCGTTTCGCTCGTGGACAGGTTCCGTCAAAGTTTTGAGATTAATGTTCAGAATGCTAGGCAGTCTTGCCTCGTCTTCTGATAACGGATACTAAATCTTTGCCGTTTATCACTACTGTCCTTGAAAAACTAAGAATTAAGTGACACATCATAAAATTGGTGGAATTTGATGTTATTTTCACCTGAGAAACAGAAACTTGATTGCGATTTGATCGTTTTTCTCATTTCTCTCCAGTTTCACTAGGACATGAGGGAACAAAGGATTGGAGGGAGCCTGAGCACTTAATCCCCTTTTCCTTCCTTTCATTATGACAATTATTAATGGCAGTGTCTTACGCCTAACAATCTATCAAGTCATATCCCCTCAGCAGCCGTCTCCATAATTATCCTAAATAGTTTCACTTATGGGCTCGACCAGATGCATCTGACAAATTATCCAATTCCGCCACCAAAAATAAACGCGGAAAAGGTTCTTGAGAAGGAAAGAAAGAGTTGTACAAGAAATATGTGGAGGGGTTTAGAACTGTTTGCAGTCGTTTTCACATTCTGTCGACTGATTCATTCTGTTTGTCGATGAAACCCTCGGAGAACATTTGACAAAGAGAGTTGCCGGCGTTCGAGTGTTCGCTAACAATACGCTGTTGCTTGATGATAATCAATATTGGGGAAGTAAAATTGCAATTTGACACGAAACAGTTCTTATCGGTCATTTGTCGGTAGGCGAAACTAAAGAGAAAGACTCTCTAATAAATAGTGACATATCGAATGTGTTTTAATAACATCAGATAATGAACGACCGACCAGAGGTCGGGTTCGGGTTTCAGAACCGAAAATTTGAATTACTCATTTCTGGGACACATTTTTGTCTAAAATCGTATGGTTTTGTGGTTTAGAGTATGCAAACTAAATTGTCAATGAAAAAAAAGCAATTTTCTAGAAAACAATTAAGAAAGTCGATAATTAGTTCAAAAATCTTCAACTAGGCCCAGACTGGACCGATTTTCGACAAGTTTTTTTGAGGTTGATGGTCTCCAATGACGTGTTGCTCAAATTACTTTGATAATTTTAGGTTTTGACGTTTTTCATTGACTTTTATAACTCAAGTCCAGTTACCACAGTACATCATCCTTCCTCAAAAATTCGTATTTTCAGCAAAGTTTACTCTGACGTACTTCTAGACAGATATCTTTACAGTTTCCCCAGACATTCGAGAATTGTCATCATCCATGGAATCTAGAGCAATGAACATTTTTATGAACAGACAGTAATAAGTAATATTATTAGTTTTTATAACGTGCCGCCCCCAGGAGAACACTTTACCCATCCTTCCTGTGAATTCCTCCGTCAACACGAATACAATTGTGTGCGTGACTGGACGGAAATTCTCTGAACTGATGTCACCTTCCAACGCGCGGGAATAAAATGTTATCACTTATTTATGAAAAAACGCTTTTTGATGATGAGATCCAATGAGGAGTAACGTTTTCGTTTGGACGAGCATAATTCACTTTCTCCAATTGTTTCCCTGTTCGGATCGCTTTCTAAACTCAAACGATGATCATTCAAATTGTGGAGTGTTTTCCGAATTCAGAGCCAGACACACAACAGCTCGAAAACACAGTTTCGGTTTTGGTGGAATTAGAGGGGATCAGTGTGTGCTCTGTTTGCAACTACATACAGAACCGAAATTTTCACGGATCATAAATCTGAAGAAGAAATGTTATTTGTGGAGATCCCGAGATCATTCCTCCGCGTGGTTGACTCAACTTTATTTTTCTCTGTTTTTTCCCACCCCTTAATTTCTTTCGATTCCTTACTTTTTCCCATCACAGCTGATTGACTAGAGTCTTGTGACGTGAAACTGAAATCTGGAAGCTTCTGACCAGCCGATGATCAGATCCAAACTGACGGGCCCCGTCCAGAGACAATTTCGAATGCCGGTGACGTATTTCCGCACACCTTCCGTAGTTTCATCTCCATGGGAATAGGAAACGAATTTATGAATTTTAATCATTTGCAACAACTGCCATGTTTTGGAAGACGTGAAGAGGAAACTGAATTCGAAAACACGCCAATAACTTTGGAAACCGAAAAAGCTCGTGACGGTGATGGTCATCGGTTTGGTTTTCAAGGATTGAGGATCACGGAACGGAAAACAAGCAGCCCATTTGAATGCAAACAGAAGCAGTTGAATTGTGAATTCATCCGATGAAGGAACCCATTTTTTCGGGAAACCGACGCTCATTGAGCTCAGACGTTCAAATGAAGCATCCTATAGCCGGTTTACTGGATAATCAAAAATTCATTCAAAACTATTTTTTTCGCATCGAGAAACTGTGTTGTGATCTGAGATTTCCGGTTCCTCGAAAAATGGAAACGACCTATATCCGGTGTGACCGGAATAAAATTAGTAAACGCAACCTTCCATGAATCATCGCTCATCTTCCAAACGCTTCCCCTACATTACATCATCTTTTCTCCATCTCAATTTTCGCACGCAAAAGTCGAATATAGTGCGGTGCAAGTTTATAAGGCCACCCCCGTTTGGCACTGCAACGTGGCGCTCGAAAATATTTCCGACCCGGCGACTTCAAAATCGGATTCAGGGCACAAAGTTACGTATGTTTGGTGATTTTCGTGATGATACCTGGAAAACTGTCCGAACTACCTCGATAAAACTAAAAATCGGCTTTTTGCAACCGTTGCAAGTTTATAAGGCCACCCCAGGGGATAGGGGTTTTCGCTAATCTGGTCAACCCCTATGAGCAGAAAATGAGTTATACATATCTAAAAAGACGTTTTAAAACTGTTTTTGCCATTCAGACGCTTTAGGTTTTTTCGTAGGACATGCCACGGGGCACTTTCCCTACGGATTCCAAAAAAGTCTTAACACAGCCATTCAAAACGGTTGGATGGCCCAACCGATCGTTCAGTTGTTGTCTAAAGTGATTCAAATCCATTTCGTGACTAGTCGAAACTCAAAAAAGAATTTTTGGAAGACCGGGCAGACATTGAAACTGAATGTTTGTGCCAAAATGTTCGCCATCCCTGTCGCCAAACTCAAATAACGGCATTGATTGAGACCAAATAAACTACGGGAGGGTCTCAGATGATTCTAGAGGACTTCAGAGCAGTGCAACAAGTTTATCTGAATGCATTTTGTAAATATCCAATCGAGGAGAAAGCGTTCAAAACCATAAGGCTTCGTTCTCCAAAGGTTCTTTTTGAGAAGACGAAGCGGTCAGTGCGGATGTCGTGCCAGTATCACTTCCATTCCTCCAGATCGTTCAAATTGACCATATTTTCAGCAGAAGGCATGATTTCACCGGAAAACATGTTTCTGGACAAACAAAACCGATCATAACAGCCGATCCCTCATTGACCGACATGTTGCCACGGACGCATTCGATGCGATGTGACTTGTGTCAATGCACGGAATGCACGGAGAGGGCCACATGGTCTCAGAAACATTGTTAGGGCACTCTTCAACAGTTTCCAAAACCATACACTTTCTAAATCCACGGTCCAGCTCCTGTTCCATGCCGTTGCAGGACTTCTTCGCAGTTGAAACGGCACGGATGAGGAACCTTTTGGCATGAGAAACCCGTTTCCGGTTTTTCTAAGATGTTCTTTTAGGCTGGACTGATCACAAAATGTATTTGAAGCACTTTAGATGACAACTGGTATCTTGGTTCGACCATCCAGCCGTTTTGAATGGCTGTGTTAAGAGTTTTTCGGAATCTTCGGGAAAGTTCCATGTGGCATGTCTTACGAAAAAAACCTAAACCGTCTGAATGACAAAAACAGCTTTAAAACGTCTTTTTAGATATGTACAACTTATTTTGTGCTCATAGGGGTTGACCAGATTAGCGAAAACCCCTATCCCCTGGGGTGGCCTTATAAACTTGCAACGGTTGCAAAACGCCGATTTTTAGTTTTATCGAGGTAGTTCGGACAGTTTTCCAGGTATCATCACGAAAATCACCAAACATACGTAACTTTGTGCCCTGAATCCGATTTTGAAGTCGCCGGGTCGTAAAAATTTTCGAGCGCCACGTGGCAGTGCCAAACGGGGGTGGCCTTATAAACTTGCACCGCACTGTATGCGGAGAGTTGATGTTCTTTGAGACGTCTTTCTTCGGATGGGCCACAGTCTTTGTGACGTCGTCGCCTTCTCACTTTCCAATCATTAGCACTATAACCCAGTTGGGCCCTCCCCTTCGCTTCCCTCTTGCCGTCTCGTTCTCGCCGGAAACTCCCGAGTTCTGAGTAGATATCGCCAAATCCCCGTCATCACAAATTTAAGCCACGGCCTGCGACTCAATGTGTCGAGGACACGCCCACCGAGGCTTCATTCATTGCACCGACATGTCCTTCCAGCTAACGCTGCTTTCCATGCTTCTACTTATTGCCGTAGTCGTCGGTAAGTATGGGTGTACACGTCTACTGTAGAGAACGGTTGATAAGTACATCCAGGGAGGCGTTAACACTACAGTAACCCTGAATAAAAAATAAGAAAAAATTAGACGAGGAATAGCCTGATAACGTTATGTGTCTTTCTTGAAAAATGACCGACCCAACAATCAGATCCAACAGACCTTTTCTACGTATCCTAAATCACTTCTGGATATGTATGAATGGGTTATGATCGCTTTGAGAAGAAAATTGCACCATATTGAGACACCTCGAAAACAATTCCTAGATTCCCAGAGCCTAATTAATTAGGAGCGTTGTGAGTATCACATGGTGCTGGGCTGGCTCCAGTGCTTCCGAGTAACGGAAATCCGTAAAAGCGAGAGGATTGCAGGGCAACCCATTCAGTCACAAGGTGACTTGAAAGTCCAAGCCGTTCGGGACAACTCGCCGTTGAATATGGAGGCGTTCAACGACGATCCGGCGCTGTACGACTACATCGAGGTGAGCAGAGGGAGGGTCATCGGCTACCTATTTCCCTTCCTGATATGCTCTACTAATGACCATGACCCTTGTGCGTGTTTTTCAATTCCGTTTTGGGATTACAGAGGCGGAGACGTCCGTAATACGAGCTGCGAAAAAGCCATCAGTATTCGGGGAAAAATAATAACGAGCTTTTTGTCTGTTCTCCCTCTGATCCACTTCACATCCTACAAAAATAGGTGCCGTCAAGTAGGGTGAATGGATGTGCGAGAGGATGATTGAATTTGAATTGAGAAGACTTGAACTTTAGTTCATTATGATTGCAGCAACCCGATCCATCGCTCAAGAGCATGGAGAAGCGCTGGGCAAACCAAGTGAGATTTGGAAAGAGGGCATCTTGGGCCAGCTCGGTCCGGTTCGGTTAACCGGCTCGCACCCGCGGACTCGCTCCGCTCTTTAAAGCCACCAACTGCGCACATCAGACTTCAGACGACAATCAGCACACCTTTATTCTCTCTCTCTCTCTCTCTTTTTCTCTGTTCATTTTTCTCACGTCCCGTCTCTCACACTCGAATTCACTCCGTTACCCCTTTGTATTGTCAAAACAACATTAGCAATAAAGTTTGCGACTTGTTAATTTCATGGGGATTATGTATATAGTGCAAATATGATGCAGAGCGAACAATTATGCGGGGACTAGAGTGTCAGGAATTAAGGCAAAACGTGAACAGAATGAAGGCGTCAGATAAAAGAGTAAACGGAAGAAGCAGAGCGTTGTACACCGTTTGGTTGCGATCAGTGCGAAATAAAGATGAATGACAGTCAAATCTCATCAGTTTCAGGGAGAGAACTACACGTGTTTCAATTAGTTGTACCTACATATTTCGTGATGAAAAAGTCATTTGGAAAAGATATTACAAAACAAGTATCAAGGAGAAAGAATCGGGCCATGAAGTGCAATTGATAACAGAGAAAAAGAGATATAAGGACAGTGATTATCGGTCTACCAGACGCATGATTTGGTCGAAACAGTCTTGGAACGCCATCATCAACTTTCCGTCGATGGGCTTTGCTTTTGGATTGTGCGAGAACTTGATCTGCCGGTTATACATTTCGAGCTGCGATAGAAGTTCTCTGAAACAGGACGGTTGAGGATCGGTTGAAATCATTTCGGATTCTTACTTGAACCGGAATTTGCTGTGCGGTGAGATTTGTTCAGCGTAGACGGAACACGTCGAGTGAAGTTTTTGTACATTGTCAGCCAAACTGAACACATAATATTCTCACCCCGCACCATTGTATTTTGTAACTTACATTACAAACTGCTGCAATTTTTCGTCTGTTAACTCATTACTTCCCAAAGTTGGCAGATTTACGAAATCCTTTTGAATCACTCCGAGCAGAGAAACAATCATATCCTGAAAAACGAGAAAGTTCTGTTGGTTGAGTGGTGTCAGCTGGTGTGTTCTTCGATCATCATCACCTGACTCTGATCATTTCTGAGCGGACCGGAAGTTTTTTACTCTGGGACTATTTGTGTTTGACGTCTTCTGACTTTTGTGTGCGCCCACTCAATCGTTTTCGTACAAAACACATTCTGACTAATGGCTTTCGTCAATAAAAAAAAGTATGCTGAGCAGCTATTTCGAGAGTGTACTATCATAAAGTGGATTGTTGTGAGAGAAGTGGATTTTGAGAGATGTTTGGGAAGTTAGTGACGTTGACATGAAATTTCTGTTCGGGGACCGTGACTACTGTACCTTGCTAACAGTCTCTTCCTCCAGGGAACCCGCCTCTTCGGTGTTTTTATTCCTTCTCGGAGGAACCACGTGCTTCAACTCGTTGTTAGTTTCCATCATCGAGAATCGCTTGGAACTCTTTTTCTCGACCGCATGTTCTCGATATGGAGCTTCTGAAAGAACAATGAAAGGTCATATTCCTGTTACCGCGTCGACTATTTCATCACTCGCAGTACGTGTCGAATTGGCGCTTATTTGAAGGCAAGCACACAAACGAATCACGCGCAAAACGAGCCAAGCGCTCGTATCCGATTGCACATGTCATAACGAAGGCGTTAAGGTTCTCAGTTTGCTCATTAGCAGTAGTAGGCTCTTGGTTAGATTGACAAGTTCAATCGCCCACGGGTAGCGTGTGAGAGGAAACGAGATACTGGGGTTGGGACCAAAAACAGAAAACATACACACCTTCTATCTTACTTTCAGTGACCGACGGGGTTCCGAGCTGTTCGAACTTGGTGGTGATGTCGCGGAGGGACTTGGTACGGGACATTCCATTGCTCTCCTTCTCGCCGTTGATGAGCCATGTCACCGGAACAATCTGAAAATGAAACATAGTTACATCCAGCAGGATAAAAAGAACCTTCTCTCCGTCGCTTCTCTTCCTCTGTAACTCCAGTGGTTTTATTTTCTCGTCGTTGATTCCGGAAAGAGAAGATGTTTCTGAGCTGTCAGCGTGTTCAGAATGTGAAATAGCCGAGCTGGTCGAGTTATTCGGACATTGTAGGGAGAACGGACGATGATGTTGGAGCGGGAACACCTTCTGTGTCACCAATTGTCTCACTTTCGCCTTCTCGTTTCCGTCCTTTGTCATCACAATCGGACTATCATTCGTCGTGTCTGTAGCGTCCAATTGTGAATCCTCCAGACTTGTGTTGTTCTCCTCTTTTGGAACATGACGCAAGTTGCGAATCTTTGCTTTCAGCTCTCCCTCCACATTCGAATGCGAGTCATTCTAAAACAACAGAAAATGTGTGTGCAAATAGCAATTGTTTTGTTTTATCGAATCAACATACCTTAACAACTTCAATCTTCCGGGTCACTGCATGTTTTGGACCCCACATGCCGACATCTTTTGTTGTTTCGTCCGAAGAATCTTCCGCCTTTTGGTCTCCTTTCACACTGACAGACGCATTTCGGGATGGAGGGATTGGGACCGGACTGGCTCTCGACTGATGCTCATGGAAGTCGGCTCCGTTTCTCACCGGATACTTGGTACTTTGCTTGCTGAGCGATCCAAATGGTGATTTGTCGGATTTGGTAGCCGATTCTGAAAAAAATCTTGATGGTAATGAAGTTAAACATTTATTTCTCACCATCAGCGGTGTCGGAGTCAATATGATCCAGCTCAGGAGTTTCGCTACGCTTCTTTAATTTCGAACGAATTTGACGAAGAAAAGCGTTCTCGCCGTTTGCCGGATTCATCTTCCCGTAAGTACTCGAGTTCATAGAATCCGGAAGAGGCAAGGTGTCGAGAGAGTCGTTAGACACTGTTCTGCTCAAAGAAGATGATCCTGCGCCTTCGTTGTCGGCATCAGTGCTTTCTGGAACTTAACATTTTTATAGTTTTGGGTGCGGAGACAATATACGTACCTTTCCAGCTCTCAACTCTTCTCATAGAGTCCAGATACGCATCGATGCGCTGTCCTTTTGGCATTGTTCCACCTAGCCTTGTTACTGCTTTCCGAACATTCTTCTCGGCCAATGGGATAATTTCGTCGTGCTCATTCCTTTCGAATTCTTCCGATGCATGACGAGCATTGCTATTGAGGACTGACTTCAGCAACTTTGGCTTGGTGCTCTGTTGTGGTGGAGCTGGGAATGGAACTTGCGATCGGAAAGAAGTCACTTTGCTGGCGGGTTGATTGAAAAATACAGTGACACCTCCATCATCGTTCCTCACGTAGTTCTTGTTTTGGATTTCCGGGTTCGAGTTCCTCGAGTGGAGTGATTCTCTGTCGCGGTCACGATCGTGGTGGGAGTGTCGAGATTTCGAGTCGCTTCTTTCCCTGATATGGGATCTCCTCCTGTCGGTTTCCAACTTTTTCTCACTGCCCTTCTTTAACTGCTTGCTAACTTCATCATTGAGTGAATTGTTTGCAATAAGCGTCTCCAGATTGTAGTGAATGTCTCTGAACCGCGGCCGATCCGATGGCGACCAGTTCCAACATTGCAACATGAGCCTGTACACCGATGCCGGACATCCTTGTGGGCCATCCATTCGGAACCCGTTTTCCAAGAGCCCGTACACATTTGATAATTCCACTCCTGGATACGGAGCCATTCCATAAGTCGCTATCTCCCAGAGAAGAACTCCGAAAGCCCAGACATCCGATTTCGAGCTGAACGTATTGAAAGCCAATCCTTCTGGAGCTGTCCATTTGATTGGAAATTTGGCACCGGCGTGCGCTGTGTACGTGTCTTCCTTCATGAATCGCGCCAGCCCAAAGTCAGCAATTTTGACGACATTGTGATCCGAGACGAGGCAGTTTCTTGCAGCCAAATCTCTGTGAATGAAGTGTCTCGCTTCCAGGTACGACATTCCAGATGCGATTTGACTGGCCATTTGGACGAGGATGATTGGTGGCAGTAAGGTTTTATCGGTCCGTCTCAAATCAAAAAATCATTAAAAAGCAATTCGTGGAAGAGCAAAACGCACCTCAAGTACTCGAGCAGATTTCCATTGCACATAAACTCTGTGATGATGTAGAACGGCGCTTCGTGAGTGCAAACGCCGAGCAGTCGGACGAGATTTCTGAAAGGAGTTTAGTATATTTGAAATTTAACGCTAAGTAATCAGTTTTTATGATCTTTTTGATAACCAACTCACTTATGATGTAAATCCTTCATAATCGCAGCTTCAGCAAGGAACTCATGAAGTGGCATCGCATCTTCTTTCAAAGCTTTTACCGCTATTGTGCAATCATGTCGTTTCCAGTAGCCTTCGTACACATCGCCGTACTGCCCTCCACCCAATTTGTTGTGCATGATGATCTCGGATCTATCCAGTTCCCACTCGTCGGGTGCATTCGGAGACAGAGAGAACAATCCACGTGTTTTATCCTTCTTGCTCGCCGGATACATCAGAAGACATATCAATCCGTCGGCGTGAACACTGTGGTGATGCACAAGTTCCCCGAGTGTGCGAAACTTCACTTCTTGCGTGATGAACATCTGGAAAACGCTTTTTGTTTGCACACATTGAGTTAGTTGAGTGCGCTGAACATCACAAGCTGATCAATGCGATCAAGTACATGAACTCACCCTCTCCGTGTTATCCACGTTTATCCGGTAATGAAACACACGGCCATCGTGTCTCACGGATATTGTGTATTGTCCCAGACTGGTCTCACTTTCCCGAACCAGGAATGATCCCGTGATGCCGCTGCCCAAGATTGCTTCCGAATCACTGCGCGAGATCTTGCCATGATACCACGTATACTTATCCAAAGAGTTATAAGGCGCTATGAAGTTGCTCGGGACCCATCCGATCTCGCCTAACCGACGCTGACTGCTCGCGTCGTTCTTCCTCGTCGAATATAACCGTGCTTCGCACCACTCGTTGTTCTTGTTGTAGCCCAGTATTCGCACCTGCAAAAACTTGCTGTTTGACCAAGTGACATGAGGATGTTGTGCTCGCGGCAAGCTGACACGGCGGGGGGAGATATCTTTTCCGTGACTGGCATTTGATTTATGATAACGTACTAACCTGGTCTCCTTTTCGTAAGGAAAGCTGCTCCTCGCCAACACCATGAAAGTCGTAGAGTGCGACGAAGAGAGGGGTTGATGAGGATGAGGAAGAGGATACTGTGTTCATGTCGGCCACGTTGTTCACCGAATTCATCGAGCTACATGCTACCAGGTCCTCTCTGAAAAATTGTATACATTTGTGAGTTCCAAAAATGGAAAATGTTCGAGTAGGAATGTGGACATGAATTCACATTTGGTAGTCAGTTAGAGTAAGTAGTTGTGACGACACATCATCAAAAATTCTGTTCACTTTCGCTTCGGATGTCCACTCGGCCATAATAATGGCATTTTTATGAAACCCGCCGGTACAGACAAAAACGAAGAGACACTCCAGACGCGACGAAGCATCATACATGTTGGCAACTGTCAGTGTTCTTCAACCGTATCCGAATCCAAATCCGAACTAGGCAGGCAGGTTTAACTGACTATTCATGTAGAAGGATGGCAAGTCAAGTGAGCGTAATAGGGATAAAATGACAGAGATTGCTGCGAGTGGGGGGAAATCGAAAAACGAAGAATTATTAGGCCACACTCAATGAAAAATGACTGACGGAAGACGGACGGCGCTTCTTCAAAGGATAATAAAATGAACAGCTGAAACTTTCCGTTTCAATATAAAGTCTATTCCTAGCAAACGCCACACACACACACAAATCGTTTCAGCGTCGTGTGTACAATGTGGTTACAGGGAATTTCTCCAGACAGGGGGAAAAACCAAAAACCTAATCTGAGAAGTGTAAAATGATAAATATTCACAAGTCAAACAAGTTTGATTTCCCGACAATTCGTGGGGGTATTCACTTACAATGAGTCTATAGTGGCAGTGATGAAACAGATGCTTTCGGCAAGTTTGTGATGCAAATAATGCATCGGTAATGCGACAGATGGTAGACTCCGTGACATGGCAAGTGATGAATCACCGACCTTGGCCAAGTACATGGTGCTCCGCGACTTGGCTCTGTCTTTCGACCGCTTCTTCGTGCGCTTCTGCGACCGTTCTCGGAAGCACGGATTCATGATCATCGTTCGAGAGGGAGAGATCGGTGAGGAAGCGTTGAGCGGAAGAATGGACGTGCCAACAACTGATTGAAATGCATCCGCGTGCGCGCGCACACCACACGGAGCAAGAAGACGGCTGGTGGTGTATTGTGTGAGAATGAGTGATGCGGGCTATATGAATGATGATCGGAGTCGGAGGCCCCCTCAGCGGCACCGGCTGTTCCAGCGGTCGAGCGACAGATAGATTAACACTTGGCAGGCGGCTATCTGATTATGAGAAGGTTGGAAAATAGAGAGGAGCACGTTGATGGGCGCGTTTTGAAATAAAAATAAATCTTCACGGGTCCCTCGTTCCCTCACTCTCTCTCTCTCTTTCTTTCTTAGTAATGTAATGCATACGCTTCCCAATCCGTGAAATTGCAGGTACTACACAAATTGCCACGCTCTCACCCGTCGCGTTTATCTATTATTGCAAAGCGTCTCATCATTCGAGGTTCACTTCGCATATGCGCATTCAAGGTCACTTCAATCATCGTTTTCGGAAATTGCCGCCCCTGTTCAAGTTTGGGAGAGAGAACGTCGCACGGAATAATTGCGGCAGAAATGACGACAAGCAGTCTAAGCCTCTCTTTTTCTCGCGCATGCCATCGGAAGTCAGAGATGTGTTTTAGAAGATGTTTCAGGGGTCTAAGGATACCGACAAAGTACCAGGCTTGCAACACTAGGTCCAAAATCTCTGCAAAGTATAACAGCAACACAGTTCAGAATGTGTAAAGTGAGTGAGTGAGAGCGTCAGAATTTACATGAATAAAAGTTGCAGAATTTGCATACATTTCAAAATAGGGCTAGTGCCCATAATTTGTGAGAAGGAAAAGCTGTTGTTGTTCGCTAAAAAATAGTGAAAATTACCGCTGCCCAGTTTTTTTTCTCTTCACAGGGATTATCGATAATCAAATGAGCCTATAATCAAATATTTTGAAAACGACGTCAACAACTTGAGAAAAGTTCAGACAATTGGACCTGTTTTTTGAAGAACCAAAGGAAAAGAAAACAGTTGCATTTCGACAAGAAGCGAACAGAAAGAAAGAAAGAAAAAACAGTGACCTCTTGAAAAATAGCTAACGTTTCGGGGCAGGAGACGAACTAATCTCGGTGGTCGCGCTGACGGGCAGAAGAAAGACTGTCTGTTGGCATATTTGGTGCACCGGAAAAGAGAAAGAGCAAAGTGGCGATTGGTTGTGCACAATGTGAAATCGAGAGAGAGCTGAGAGGAAAAGAGAACGGCCGGGAAAGGGAAAGACAATAGAGAGCCCACACACGGTGAGCTCCATCAAATAGGCAAAGGGAAGCACCGTGAGCTGAGGCAACAACGGGAGGACCGACGGCCTGGCCTGAAGCCCCTCGTTCACCCCTCCGAGAGCCGCGAGCAGTGCCGAATGCAATGCGAAACGATTAGATTGAACTCCAATTAATTCTGCTCCGCCAATGTCCTCGGAGAAGAAGAGAGCGGAGTGGACGGCCCCCCGACACCCTGCTTCTTCGAGTATCATCAAAATAGTGGGGTCTGGGGAAGAGAGTGCGAATATTTGAAGTGGACCTATTCGCATGTGTGGGAAATCGCTCATATTCTACCCACTTTTTTGCTTAACACCACCACCACCACCGACTAAAAAACGTCTAGTTTCACACATTTTACGAAACAACGAAAACGCTGGAACAGAATTGTTGACTAAAAAGGAAGCTGAAGCTGAAGAAGGAATGTGAAAGATGATTCGTTCGTCCAATTTCCCTCCTGTCGAGTTCGACGACGCAAAGAGGAACGGGGGGACGAAAATGAACACAAAATAGCAAAAACAAACATACCTGCTTTGGCTGCCACGGAAAGTCGAGCTGTCACTATTGGACGGTCGAAAAGTGTCAAACGTCGCCTGCGGTCGATACATCTAAAAACAGTAAATCCGGGGGGTGATCGTTTGTATCATGGCTTTATATAATAGAATCACTGTAATTTCAGTAAAATTTTTATTTTACAGGTTGAAAATCGATTTAGAGTTGTCAAATGTGTCGAATACTCGTCTAGTCAATCATAGATTGAAAAAACCATCAAAATCAAGTTTTTTCTCATCTAGGTGTCAAAATGATCAGTGAATTGCAAGTATTGATTCTCGCGACCAAGAGTGTTTCAAGAAGGTGAAAGAAGGTCATACCTCGATTGTCGCTGGACTCTTACTCCGCTCTATTTCTTCGGCTAGCTTGTTCGAAATCTCCGATTTCGGACTCGCCACCGGCTGATCGAACACAGTGTCTTCTGAAAACAAAAATAGTGTTAATGTTGCAGTAAAGATCATGTTGGTGAGCTATTCTAGTTATCAGTGCCGTCACGTTTGACAGAGAAAAAGAGGGAAAATGTTTGTGATAACGGTTAACGACCGTAAAGTTTCTGGAGAGTGCGGGAAGAACTGAAACACTCGGACGACTGATGCATTCACAAAGTATACTAGGAAAAGAAAAGAAAAAAGAAAGAATATGGAAATGAGGCGACCTGGGGTGAAAACAACACCAATCCCAAGTCGAAAAGAGGAAAATGACGCTAATTCTGTGGGCAACAGCCAACTTCCAAGAAAGAAAGGGTCGGGGGTCGGAGGGAGGAGTGTTGTCCGAGTTGCTCTCGGGGACATATCCCATTCAAGGGCAGATGTAAAATGTAAATAAACAAAACTTGCGTAACGTGAATGTTAATGGAAAGAGAGCCGTAGTGAGTAGTGTCTCGAAAAACTAATGAGAATGGAGAGTGTGTCGACGAGGAGGAAAAGATCTTAAATTAACCGAAACCAAAGTGCACAGGCGTTTTTTTTGTGAACTGGTAGGCGGCCGAACACACGGAGCTACAAGTGAGCAGCAGACGACCGGTATTTCGGTGGAAAAAGAGCGTAGGGGGGGGGGGGGCTTCCTCCATATTGACAGTCTGAGGAGAGAGAGGGTAAACGAAATAGCACACGGTAAGCAGGCCGATTCGACATCAGCTTACCACACCCAAACGCTAACCCTCGCTTGCTTCCCCGTTTCCCCTCACAGGTCGGCCTCGCCTATTCCTATTTCTCCCGCGTGGCTCTTGTCAGGGAGCAAAAGTCTCTTTCTTTCACCCTCTCATCGTTTGCCTTTTTCCTTCTTGGAGCCCACCTTTTCCTGCGCGATCGACTCACTATTTTACGGTTTGTCTTTCTTTTTCGACTCAATGATCTACAAACACACTCGGGAGGAGGGGTGAAACAGATAATGAGAGAAGAGAAGAGAAGTGTTGAGAAAGAACAAAATAAATTGGCGGCGCTGGTATGAATTTTTCAAGCCAAACGGTTAACGAAATGCGAATGAATAATCCGAACTGTGTTGACCGAATGGTCAGATGGCAAGTGGTGACGCATCGTCTTGGGAAAAGTGGAGTATTGCGAAACAGCGGGGTGGCCCTCTCGGAATGAATGGCATGACAAAATAGGGTCCACAGGAAAAGAAAGGAAAGCAAGAGCCTGATGTCTGTTCGGACAAGTTTCTCTTTTGAAATAGCACGGAAGGCTGTCAAAAACAAAAAAAGTACTTTCTTTTCTTCAGACCTAACAGCCTTATTTTCAATTCTCATTAACAAGTTATACAAAAGCAGACACACTCGGAATCGGAATATTTCTCAAGCTTTCTGACTTCTTCCATTAGCACCAATTTGCCCGAAATCCAATTGTAAACCCAGCCTATCGAATTACATCGGCTCAGAAGAGAGGAAGAAGAAGGAGAAGAAGCATCATGACTAATCCAAAGAATACAGACGAGTCACCACTTCGAAAACAAAACAAAACAAAACAACAATACGAAATTGAGATGAAGAAAGAAGATGAAGAAAGATGGAGGGAAAATGGAAAAAGAGAAGGGTTGGGTTGAAGAGAGTCAGTGTTACTTGACCCAAGTACTTTCCATAAGTAGCTTATTATACCTTCGAGTATCGGGAGATGCATACAAAAAAGTAATCGCTCAGTCCGTACCCGAACGACCCGACCTGGGAATTGTAAAACGGCAGAATTGAGAGATGTTTATGCCGGCCGTCCCTATGTGTCGCACCAAATCCATCATAAAAAGGAAGAAGAACGTGTGGCCCACACCCGTCCACAATAGGGAAAGTGGCCGGGAGCACATTTTCTAATTGGCGGACGTCTGGCTGTGTACTAGTCCAGCTGCTTTGCTGACGGCCCGAATTGACCGCATAAGGTACCAATATCGAAATTCATTGAAAAAAGAAAAGGAGGGAAGAAGAGGGATATGAGACGATATGAGCATTTATAACTGCCAATATGGCATTGAAACCTATTGAATTGGAATAACAAGTTGGAAAGCGGAATGGGTTTTCGGAGGAAGGGGGAGGGCGGCAACGAAAGCCGAAAAACAGATTCTTAGGAACTGGATCCTTTATCTTCAATAAGGCTTAACCGTTTTTCCCCACAATTTTGTAGTACACAGTTCACAAAAAAAATCATCCAATTATTCTAGATGATCGGAAGAGATTCGGATCGTCTATACATATATAATGTCCTCCTTGGAAACTAGGGACCGAGGAGTGGGCATTCGAGGGATGTGACCTCTTGGCCCGGCTGCGTCTCTCTCTCTCGTACTCTCTTACTATCCGCCATACCAGCCATTACTATGTCCTCCCTCTTTTTCTGTAATCCCTCTCCCCTTGGTGCTACTGAGGAAGACCCTCTCACTCGTTGTTTCACCCTCTCCCTCCGATATCTGCATTGAATGAAGGGGACGAACGCGTGGAGGATCAGAGAAACCACATAAAGCATTTGGTTTCTGGATCTGTCATCCGCACGCCCTATTGTGGAGAGAACATTCAAATGTGTTTCATCATGACAATTGATGGAAAGCAATTGGAGGCAACACGAACGGTCAGGTTTTGCGAGAGTGCAAAAAGTTGGAATCGAATTTCCCCCTCATCTTGTTCGTTAGTCTCACAATAAAAACGGTTTTTGGAAATTTCCGCCTAATTTCGCAGTATTTTGAGAAAAAAACAGACTTACCACATTGAAACAGTTCATTATCGTTAATTTCCTTCCCGGTGCTATGTGAGTGACCCCTGAATAGTCGATTTGAAAACTTTTTACAGCAGAGAATCACTTACATTTTTGTACATAAAGTGCTACATGGGCGCTTGATATCAGAATTTATACAGATCGTCTGAAACTTGGAAAGTTAAAGATTAATAAGAATATCACAAAGAAAAAAAAGAAAACGAGTGAAGATCAGTGGAAAAAAGGAAGTTTTGGGCCGGAATGCCGAGGGAGAAAGAGAGTGGGCGATTGGTGTGAAGGTATGTGTCGAGTACTCTCCGCATCTCTCTCCCTCATAACCCGGGCCAGTGTCCAGCGGGGCGCAATTGCACTGTTTTCATACTCCTCTCCACAACTGCTACTTCTGCCCGCTGTCACCTCCGCTAGTGCTGTTCAAACAATTATAAAAGTTAGAATAAGAGAGGCAAGTTGATTGGAATAACTGTTGCGGGCGGATATATGGTGTTCGTCTGTTTGTGTTCTCCCGCGCGGAAACCGAACATACATAACTGATATTGATTTTCTGCAGAAATTGAGAGGAACGACGGAAATGTTGGCACAAGACTTACCGGCCGACGGATTATATCGATACGCGCGTAAACGTAAAAGCAATCGTCACATCGAACTCGTTGTCGCCTCTTCTTCCGAATGTTTTATACAAATCAGGCAATGTACGTATATGTGTCGACGCGAGTGAAAAGTGAAAACAACAAATGAAAGAGTGAAAGAGCAGAGAGGGACCCATTCATGATTCAATTGATACACAACATAATATTGTCTAATAAGCATTCTTCAGAAAGTGAATTGTCCCGGCGGGAATCGGAATTAGAGAATTAGAGATAATTGTCTGGACAATTCTTCGAGAGAAAAACGAGAATTACTGAAAAGTCGCTGCTAAACGGCAGGTGAAGAAACTGAACAAAACACCGGGTTTATGTGAGTCACATTCGAGAGCGAATCGATGAAAAACCGAAACAACGGGACGGGATTGGGACAAACAAACATTTGAACAAAACCGAGAAAAAAGTTTGGTGGTTGGATAATATCCCGACTGGCCCGACACCAGAATGAAGAGGAAAGAGGAGGAACACAACAAGATTGTTCCTTTTTCTTGCTTCTTCCACTCGACGAAGCGACTATACATAGTGAAAAGATGGGCAACGAGTCGGCACGATGTTTTCAATAATGGGCTTATCGTTTCCATCCAATCCAATCATTCTGTTGGCGTTCTTCTTGTCCTCGAGTGGGCAAGATGCATATGCTTGGGAACCAGACAAAATTTCAATTTTTCTTCATGTTAAAAAAAGCTTCAATATTTGAACAAGTGAAGTAGGAGTGGCAAAAATGATGTCTTCAGAAAAGAAAAGAAAATGAAGGCACCAAATCAATTACATGTGATGTTTCAAAAACGGATAAGACCAGTATTTCAGCTTACAACGCTGATCAACTTGTGGCACTGGGATTCGATGGCGGCTTCCAAGTTCTCAATAATATCTTTTTCATTGCATCCGTCCGTCATCCCCTCCTCAGCCTGCTCAGCGTCTTTACGTGCTCTCAAGGCCTCCTTTAGCTTGATTCTCTCTTCCTGTCTGTAATGAGAATGTCTTCCGTTTTCCAATCTCTTCTCGTCAATAAGCACTCACTTATACCAGAGACTTCCGCCGTATTCGCAAGCGGGAATTTCGGCGGCTTGAGCGATAATCTGCTGAATTCTTGCTGCGAACATCGTGTTATTCTCCGACTCTTTTCTCGTTTCCATAGCTAAAAACAAGGAAAATGTTTGTGAATGGATTGAAAATGTTGAAAACTCACGAAGGTATTGAATGTCGTACACAACTGCCCAGTTGAGCATCACTCTAATCAGGTACTGCAAGAATTCGTCTTCGTACCAGAATCCATCGCCAAATTCCGGAGATTGCCTTAAATCCAACAATATATCAAACGAACATTTGAGTGTTGACTGACTTAATCGCAACGGGGTAGATATTGACATTCTCCTCGAAGATGGCTTTTCTGAACTGAAGGACCTGGCTGTTATTGGAGCAATATCCTTCTGGGAACAGGAGTACTGGCCCTTCCCTTCTCGCAATTTTCATCACTTCAGCCAAGAATCCTTGTCGTTCATTACTGCATTTCCGCTCCAACCAAAGCGAGGGGCACAGCTTTTCAACCAAATGTTCAATGACTCCTAAACAAACATTGTTAGTGAGAAAAGAGCTCTTTTTTCATCTGGTACCAATGATGCCTTTGTGTTTTTGACCAGTAACCACATATCCGTATGTGCTTCCATGTGGCGTTCCAGCGAACAGAATTTGAATGTCGTTGGGGGTCAGGTGATTGGAGACAGCGACTCCTTCAAGGAATCACAGACGAGATTCGGATGTTGCTTCTCAGTTTCTTACCAGGCTTCTTTGGTCGGTTTTCGGAGTTTCTATAACTAGCTACAAGTCCCATGCTGCTGCAAAACAATCGACAGTACACGATGGCAACCCAAGTCTTCTCACGATCCGAGAGTGTCTGTAATTATGTCTGTAACAACGGTATTTCTGTAAATAACATACTCTGAAGGCAGTTTGAAGACCGGCCAGGGCCACGAATGCGAATGACGTGAGCAGAAGTGAAATGCGGACCGGCATCAGGAAAGAAACCCTAAAAACTTATTTTTGGGAATGCTCAGAGCATTTGCGACTTTTCCTAGATGTTTTTGAAGCATTTTCCTGAAAAATTGTGATTCTGCGGCTAACCTGAATGCTAGTCCCAGATAGAACACCAATTTCTGGGCAGATGTCCAGTGTTTCTCGGGCATCAATCCCAGCAAAGTCTGTCTGATAGTTGGGGCAGTACTGAAACATGGTCCTAGATTGGTCTGAAATCACTAATTGTCTGTCAAAGTCCTTCTGCCGACCAACGTCAATAATCGTTTTCACTTCGTCCTCAGCGATCTGATCGTTTGTTTTCTCATCCTGAAAAATGAGTCATTGAGTCACGGGAAAAACCACTTTTTCTCTCACTTCTAGTTCCTCGTTCTCTGTTTCGGTCCCATTGTTTTCAGGCCGGGGAAACGGAAAGAATCGTTGAATGAGCGAAACCACGTGCAAGTAGCGGTGCGGTATGGTTCCCCAACTGATTAATAGGGTGATAAAACACAGAGATCTCATGACCACAACTAACCTTAGACCGAAGAAGATTAAGATGACGGTGGAGAAGTAGGCCGCCGTCAGTAAGCTACCGTAGACGTACAAGATTGAGAACATTGCTTTTCTGGAAACTTTCTTCTCATCGATTTGAACGAAAAAGAGCAAAAAAGTACGTGCAAAGGGAATAGCGAGCCAACAGTTTGTTTAACTAGACAGTCAGAAAAGAAATGGAGAATGGCTGGGGAACTGTTGACCCAGTTGAACATAGGCCACAAAAATGGAGTTTTCCATGTTAAATATAGTTTCGTGAGGGTGCGACGAAGTGATTGGGATTTATGTGATGTCGGCCATCATTTGACATTTGGTCTATCAATCCCGCTATGATTGATAACCGGGTAACTTCTTCAATCGGGGACATACACGATGCGTGGAAAAACAACAAACTGTATACGGAAAAATGAAAGGGGGTCTATGTCTTGATCGATGAATGAAGAGGGGGTCGAGAGAGAAAATAATGGAAAGAAGGAAGAGAGAAAGTGGTTGGTCCGCTTGTACCTCAGCAGGATCGCCTGCTCAATACACCGGGACGAAAAATGAGAGGAGAAGGGGTCATCGGAGATAGTGTGCGCTGGTCTTCCCTCCGGCCGACGCGAGGAGGACCGAAGTGAGGGCGAGAAAGAGAGGGAAGGAGACCGAGGGTCGGAAAGAGTCGTTTCATGAGTTCTGGTGGAGAGATGGACGATAAAAAGAGAACTGACGATTTGGGCAATTCGGATTTGCATAAAACGTACTTTAGTTTTAATGCTTTTTAGGCGTACCCATTTCCAAGGAAACTAGAATTCGCAGAAAGTGATGACCACGTGGTTTTTTGTTCTTTTGCACTTCTTCACGTAGTCATTGTTTCTAAAACCGTCTGAGCTGAGAGACGGCACAAACACGATAACAACATTCCTCTAACACATGGGGAGCAAGTTACAAACTTTTACAGAATCAGAAAGTGATCAATGAATGAATGAGGATGGTTAAATATAGACGGTGTACAATAAATCAGCTGTTTCGAAACGTTGATGAGTCACTGACTAGTTGTCTAATAAAGTGAATTGAGCTCATTTTCAGTTTTCTCAAAAATTCATTCTCTCCCACGGAAAAAGGGAAAGTTCAGAAAATGAAAAAATGTTTACTGCAAACATCTAGAAGTGACCTTCGTACATCATAAAATTCGAAGCTAAAAAAGATGAAAGCCGCATTTAATGTTCATAAAAGCGCAAGAATTCTTAGTAGATAACAGTATCAGCGTGGAAAAAAGCGGTTTGTTTGAGCTATGAAATGGGGAAAGAAAGCACGGTGAAAGTTCAAAAATTTCGCTAGCGATCTGATAAGAGAACAAAACCATACTCGATGGATTGACACGGTTACCCAGACTATGTATTCTGTTTTGCTGATCTGAAGGACATTGACACTCTTTAGTAATTGTGATCATGAATTTCATCAATCATGGCAGTGGCAGTCCGAATCGTAAACAGAATACTCAAAAGTTGTCGGCCACTACAAAAAAATGAGTAAAGATTGCCATTACAACTTCACTCATCAAATATTTTCAGACATTTTTCATTGAAAAAAAGCATGTTGATAAGGACAAAGTTGGAGGCTCTTAACTCACACTTACCCTGTATGTTGTATGTTTTTTTTTTGAGGAAGTTGGTGATCGAATTGAAAAGAGAAGTACTTTGAGAAGAATGAGATTGATCAGTTTCCGTTTATGGGGAAAGAGAAAGAATAACTTGTGCGAGAAGTGAGAAGAGAAAATGATCGGAATGTAGTTTCGGTCCCGTCCGATTCATTCTCACTTCTTTTTCCGTGCAATAAGGAGACAGGGGCAGCTGAATCAAAGTGCAATACGAGTATTATGGTCATATGTATTTGATTGGAAATGGCAAAGAGCGAGTTGAGAAATTGGAAGTTTGATTGGATTGGTTAACTGGGTCCACCTAACATTTTCATTTATCCCCGGGTATCATAAGCCAAATTGCTTTTCCTTTCCGTTTTCAAAAATCCGCTGCTTCACATGCTACTCTAACCTTGTATAGCTTTCGAAAAATTTGAAAGTTTCTTCTCAAGCTTTTCTAATTTAACCAAATTATAACATTTCCTAATTCGATTATAATTGATAATTTCATAACTCTCAAAAAATTTGCGTGTACCGAATTATGGGCACATTTACCATTACCGTCTTCTTCAACTGACCAGCCTTGCTTCAACTTTCCACACGTTTTATATATCCCATTCAAACACGAGTTTAGACCCTAAGAAGTACATAGGAGACTAGTCAAAGGGCGTATTGTGGAATGATGATAGAGACCACCCGTGGGTACTTTCTCCGATAACTTTTCATCATCCCTATTGCAACATTCGATACATCTTCAAACAGATACAACACACCTGCTGCTGACTGTCCTAACACTAAAGTGCGACAGTCTTGTGTCCTTTCTGGGCCATTCTCAATTTCTCGTGTTTTATTGTGCGCTTTTTTTGTGCTTAGAACTTTTTTGCAACAACAAAAAGACGACGTGTATTCCAACATTTTTTTAAAGGCTAAGCAAAAGCCCAAAAAATGCAACTTTTGTGACACAGATAGCAGGGCTGGGCGAAAAGTCGGCCCAGATTTTCGAAGGCTTTCTAGTGACTGGTCTTTTGACCCATTTGCATTATTCCGATCGAACCCAAACTTTGCAAGTTTCTTGAATTTGAATTGAAGTCTCTTGAGTTCAAGTTTCCAATCCATCGGATTGTCTGCTTTAGGAGCTATGTATATAGCTTAGGCTTGTGGTCAAAACCTGGCTTTTTCGGTTTCACATCTTCATATCTCCGAGCCGGATAATTCGATCGTACTGAAACTTTGACCTCAAATACTTCAATCCAAGCTTCTCGAAAAAAGCTTGGCGTGGCCTTTCGCCCAACCCTGAAACCTTCCGTTTCTCAGCTTGCTCATATAACGTTAAGCTGGCACTCGTACACAGCCTCCAAAAATTCAGGGTATCCTCGAAAAATAAAAATGTAGAGAGGACTCGTCAGATACAATTTTTTTTCTGTGCAACGCTCTTTTTTGGAACGCATTCATTTTTCTATAGTCAGTCTATAGAATTCCATGGAATTCGAACAAAATCACTATTGAAATTATTAAATTCGTCATGTTCACCTCGTCTTTAGAATTGTTCAAAAGTTTGAGAAAAAGAACATGAGGTACGCGACCATCTGGTTTCATGAAAGAGCAAATTGCTCTATAAACAGGGCTTAGAAGATGATGAAAACGCGTTCCACATGCCCATCCATCCCATTCTCTTTTTTCTGCCAATATCATTCTTATTATTCTTTCGGAAATGCACCTAATTCTCCCACGAGAGCACCAACCATCTTTTCTCTTCCTTCTCGGCCACGTCCTCGTTTTGCATCGTAATGAACCGTTGCCAAAAGTGCACGGCTTTTTCTGTGAGAGTTTCAAAATGAAAAGCAGTTATTAAAGTGCACCTGCCAGCACATTCGGGAGCCGTGCCAGTCGCCCGTTCTTAGTGCAGCTGGCGGAAAGCCTTTCGGCTATATCTACCATTAACATTTCCTTCTCAAAATGATCCGCTTCACTCGGTGCTTTTATTAGCAGCATAAGATGAAATGAGACCTCTCAGACACAATGCAATCTTTCCATTTTTTCAAAATGTCACCTAAACGCATCACTGTCTGCTCTCTTGTCTACATCGAATCTAGCTATATTCTGCTTGCTGGAAAGAACTCTGATCTCAATACTCTTGCCGTTAAAAGTGCAAGAACGGAGCGGCTCCCGATGATAAACAACATGAGTCAAAAATGCTGAGATTTTCTCACCACACTCTCCATTTTTCACCTTTTTTGACGCTTGTTTCCGTCACTGTTCTCGTTTAGCTAAATTTTCAGCCTTTGCTCTTTGAGTGTGTTGAGCTGTTGCGAGACGCTTCCTATCTGAAATTCAATTATGAAAACACAAACTCTAATCTCATGGAATTCTCATGAACACGGAAGAAAAGTAAAATTTTGTTGATAAGCGGCTGTAATTAAAACTTGAGAGTTGAGATTTCATTTCATCGAAACGCTCGAATAATATTTGATTTGTCTGGTACATTTCGTCGTTCGAGTACGTGAATCTGGCACATCAAAGCTTGCAAGGGGCTGTGCTGAAAGGAAAATCTTCACAAGCACTGCTCGGCCGGGCCCGGCCTGCTCACCCCGGACATCCGGAAAAACAAGGAAATTTGAATTGAAAGGCTGTACTGACAGACGGGCTTCGACGAGCTAGGCTGGGACTTTCCAAGTATGGTGGGGCAGCTGAACCCTTTTTAGAAACTCAAGTTGTTTATGAATGATCGAAAAGTTCGATTGTTTGAACATTCGAGAAAAGTTGCAAGCGCATGCTCTTTCCGTAATGGGGTGTCCCCTCGAGTGATAAGACCTACAATGATGCTTGTCAAACAAACATTCGGAACTGAAAACCACACGGAAATGAGAACAAAGAGCTTCTCCCCGAACTACTCAAATGTGCCTGCCACATGTTTCATTCAATTCGATCTGATCCCCCTATCTCAATGTGTTTGCACGTCAGTCCCTATCATTCTAATTTCTCGACCTACTTGCCTTAACTTTTACAATTGTGAGCACCTGAGTCCATTTCTGATTATGATCAAGCTCTTCGCCGCTGACCTGCAAACAAAATTAGTTGGTTGTGCTAATCTTTTACTTTTCTCTTTCCTCATGACTTGTTTAGTAAGTGCTGTGGAATATCCGAAATGCACCTGCGAGTGACCATTGTTCTCTCTTCATGAAACATACTTTGGCACTCTTTGCCTACGAATTGTATGATTAGAATATTCAATTTCTCGGCCTCCACACACATATGCACCCTTCGTGGTGCCGCAATCCTTTTTCTCTTCCGTTTCATCAGATTTGCACTAATATGTAAAGTGCCAATTCAAGCAAACTTTGTTGCCTTTTCAGCGCTAGTAACCATAGGGTCGCAAATGTTATAATTATTATTTCTCGCGGCTTCACATCGAACTTTTGTCCCGGCTCCCCTCCCTGTTCTGACTGCAGGA